AGGGAGCCACATATAAGAATGTAAGAGCTCACTGTTGCCAGCGAGGATGGGTGGATGAGCCAGAGCAGTTCCAGGTTCTAGTTGTTCGAGCTCCAAGAACCATATGTCTTTCGAGACAACAATGCAGTCTAGCTCTGGAAGCCATACCCAGTGGCCCTTGACTGTGCATGAGGCATCAGAGAAGCCCAAGTAGATACCATGGAGGGCTCATGGTCAGAGGTGCTTGCTGACAATTGGGTGGCTTTGTAGCCATGTTGTACAAGTATTCCCTCAGAGGACAACATAGGCTATGCACCCGAAATGTCAGATCTGGTGAAGCTCAGGGCATTTCCTGGAGAAGAGCTCAAGAGGGGTGACATGACCCTGGGTCATTCCTGCCAGCCTGTTGTGGATGAAGGTGGCCTGAGAAATGGCAAAGGGCCACCAGCATTTGGCCATGTTAGCATCATAGAGGATACTTCAAGCAATCTTTTGGAGAGTTTGGATTGCTCATTCGGCAAATGCATTATTGGAGTGTTGCTGAGTTGGTGAGGCAGTGACTTTCACACCTGTGGAGGAGCACAGATCACGAAAGGCCATTGACCATAGTGTCACAGGGACGGCTGGCCTGCGCAAGAGAGTGCGCCAAATGATCAGCGGCAGTTATGATAATGTCGTGTAACGGAGCAGTATATGAAGGGTGTGCAGAAGATCAACATATGAAGGGTGGGCCAGATTGATCAGAGTTGACAACCATCGGGGATCAACGAGATTAATCAGGTTGGCAGTGCACATGATTTATGAGATCGATCGAACCCCAGGAATCCAGATCGATCTCATGGGAACGGTCAGAGTCAGCTGGACCAGTATGCTTCAACGAGTCAGCTGATCTGAACAAGTACTCGGAGCTATGCCAATGACGGAGGCAGTCAGATCAGCACGCCTCAACTAATCAGCCGATCCGAACAGGTATTCGGAGCTGTGCCAATGTCAGAATCAGTCGGATCAGCACGCTTCAACTAGTCGGCCGATCCGAGCAAGTATTCGGAGCTGTGCTGACGATGGAGTCAGTCGGATCAGCATGTCGGCCGATCTGAACAAGTATTCGGAGCTGTGCCGACGTCAGAGTCAGTCGGATCAGCACGCTTCAACTAGTCGGCTGATCTGAACAAGTCGAGACGGAACTGAGCCGACATGACCACATAACCAGGGGGTATGGTCATGAGGTTCAAAAGGGGATTCACAAGATTAAGACGAAAGGGGGCTGTGCCAAAAGGGGGCATCACACATCAGACAGAAGGAGAGCATGAAGGTGAGAGGGCAGTGTTGCATAACCCTTATGCCGAGCAAAATGGTAGGAACGCAGTATTGAAGGGGTTGATGCCAGCAGGGCAAGGCAGTGCCTAACAGGGGACAAAGGCCCCTCAAGAGGAGCAGGATAGGTGTCGAGGGAAAACACCAATCAAACGTATAAATACTCTCTTTCTACCATAGCATTTGAGTGGACCAGCATCCACTCTGAAAACTCTACTACTTACTCTATACTTACTAGGTTACATATCTTCGCAATAGCAGTGCTCTTGCAATGACTCTCAATGTGTGTGTTGTATCACCATTAGTCGACAACTGTAGGCAGTGTTCCTTACACTAGCGGTCCAGTTCATTACTGTAGGTGGTGTTCTTTACACTAGCGGTCCAGTTCATTACTGTAGGTGGTGTTCTTCACACTAGCAGTCCAGTTCCTTGCTGTAGGCAGTGTTGCTCGACACCAGCGGTCCAGTCAGTTATTGTAGGTGGTGTTTCACACCAGCAGTCCAGTAACTCACATCCTCTGTAGGTGATTGGCATATTGCAGTCCAGACAACATCCAAGAGCATATCAACAGTACTATGAACACTCGTACTGTAGGGGAGGGTGTATCAGGCACTCACCAACAAACAATGTCCATGCCACGCAACCTCTGAATGGAGTGTTCAAGGCGGTCAGTCGAGACTTACTAGGCAACAACACTTGGTTACGTTTAGGCGAATCATATCGAGTAGTCCTTACTCAATCAACCCCAGCTAGTCTCTGGCGCGCGACCGCTTACACATAGCTTGCCTTGATCCACTTGTACTTCCTTAATGCCATGATCAAACACTACCTCCAAGAGTTTCCAATGTGTGGTGATGTGAACTTTGGAGAACCACCATCCTGCCTCTTGAGCTGCTTGACCCTTGCTCATTAGGCCCTGTACCCAGACCATCCCTGAATATGCATCATGGATGATCAGGACATAGGCGAACATAGTTGTACCATGCAGTGGTCCCATTACATCCATGGACACTAGCTCAAGTGGCTCTTTGACATGCTGAGGATGAGCCATGGTTCTAGCAGTTGCTTTGCTTCAAACACAGGTGTTGCAGAAGGTGCCAGGATGGATGGCAGGGGTCGAAGGGATATCATGGGAAAGTGTTACCATCTGTGTTTGCAGGATTGAGTCATGACTAGCATGGCCTAGTCTGTGGTGCCACAGGTTTGCCTTAGGACATGTTCTGTGAGTGTTCCCCATGCATGAGGCAGTGGCCATGAAGGTGAGTGAGATGGCAGGTTCAGCCATTCTGTCATTCCATATCATCATGGCTGCAGCCAGGTAACCATCTCCACTTGTTGGCACATGGATCGCACAACCATGTTTGTCCTGTACAGTAACAAGTTCATTCTCAAATGTCACCTTGCCCTGAGCATGCATGACTGACTTGGTTCCAATGAGGTTCATTACTAGGTTAGGGACAAGGAGACAGTTTTGATATGTCATTCATTCCCAGCACTGCATCTTAGGGCTGAAACTCAGAAGACTGACCATCCCTCCCATCTTGGTCACTGAGAGTCATCTGCCATCAGCAGTAGTTATGCTGACTGCTTCCTTCACATCTTGCCAGTCCTTTCCATGATGAGCAGAATTGACCATTACACAGGACACACCCAAATCAAACACAAATGGCATGAGCTGAGGTGGTGTGTTAAATGGTGCCAGCTCAACTTTTGTAGAGAAAGCTAAGACCAGCATTGTATCCTATTCCTCCCAAGAGTTTTCAAGTGGTAATACAATACATGCATTAGTGCGACCTTTTGGCAGTACCTTGACCTTGCCTTCTTTCCAATGAATGTGAGCAGCATCATTAGGGCAGTGGTTAGCTGCATGGCCGAGCTTGCTGCATGCCCAACAGTTGATGAGGGTGGTGGCTCACAATGTGACCAGCTCCAATTCCTCAGTTGTGTGATGGCAATGCATGGAAGTGTTTTCAGCAGCCAGCTCATAACATTGGCAGAGGACATCAGAGACACTCACAATAGTCTGGTCTCTACCATGTACTTTCTCATGCAATATGAATACCAAGTTGAAGAGTGCATTTTGGCCAGAAGGGAGGGCACATTTAAGAGTTCTGTAATGGTAGTCTGGCATCCATGGATCCTTTAGGTACTTGTGCAATTCTGATATGTGGGCTTCCCATTTGATGAGGAAGTTGTATGTGTGACTCCCCACCTGGTCCCAATGTAAATCAAGAGTTACCACTAGAAGTTCATACTCTTTGATGTTGGAATGTACTGTGCATTTCTTTAGTGCCCAATCAAAGAGATCTACAGCAATGAGCACTGGCTGATCCCTGTGTTCAGCAAAGTACTCAGTGTGTAACTTGTTGGAGATGCTTTGCATGACAATTGAACTAAGCATTATATTGGCATCTTCGAAGGTTGTTGCCTTTCTGTCGAGCACTCTTCTTGCAAAAGGGACAATGGATAGCATTGCGAAGATCTTGCATTGCCATGTGTGCACAGAGACAACTCTTGGATCCAGGAGTTTGTGTTCATCCCATTGCATCCTTTCATTCAGGCTTGAGAGTACCTTAAGATGATGATTAGAGATGGTACTAAGTTCAGGAGTAGGTCCTGGAGTAGCTTCACAACCAATTAAGCGATGATTGGGATTGCTCATGTTGAGGGTGGGAGTATCACCCCTAGCCAACATGGGAGTTTCAGTCTTGATGGGGAGGCACATCTCTGGGTTGCATGCATGCTTGATCAGACCTTCAATCTTGAGGTCAAGGATACAAGTTGCATCCCACTCTTCATTAGCTAGGAAGAGGGTCACTCTAGTTTTCATTGCTCTACCAAGTTCAGTTCGATTGGCAAAGGGACCAAGGTTGTGCATTGCTTTGTAGAGGATTGCAATACATTTGATCATGATAGACAATGGTGAAACTGCTTGTTCCTTGTCATCATCATCCATCACATATTTCAATAGGTGACCTGTCTTTGGAGCACTAGGCACACCATAGACTTGATTTATCATAACCCAGTTGAAATGGTTCTGGACTATCGTCAGCAGGTGTGGGAGGAGATCCTGCATGGAGTCAATGAAGTCATTGTAGGTTGAGTAGTCTGGTTCAGACATTGTGGAGTTCAAGGGTGAGGTAGGGCTTATTTGGGCTCATAACCTGATATAAGTAAAGAAGTTTGATGGTCCTGATACAGGCAATCGGGGATAGTCTAAGTATAATGTCACTACTCGTTAAGGCAGAAACATATACTCAATTGACTAGTATGAACAGGCTGAGAGCCTAGTGCTCTCAGCTAGATATATATACATCTTTGTGACATCTTCCACAAGTGGGAGTACTCCTATCTAATGATTTACCATGACAACCAGTGGGACTGTGTTGCACCCAATTTCTTCCTAGATCAGTTCTCTTGAATCCCTGATCAGATTGGCCTATCCCGATCCCTTCACCATTGGCTTGCGTCACCTCTCGTTATCATGTTTGATCGTTACCTTTGTCATTTTATTCGTCGCTTCCTGCGTCACTTTTTTACCAGATCTTTCTACACCATCATAATTGAAAGACACTCTCAAAACCTCTGCTTTGATAGACGAGGACAAGCTTAAAGTTGCACTTCCAGACTCATCTCCAAGATTGTGTATAGAAGATTTTATTGTAGTGCATGCTATGGCTGAAAGCCCGACTATTGTTCCAAAAATTCTATGGCTGCTGTTGCTGTTGCAACCGGCTCAAACCATCATCTTTACTCCTCTGCGTCCTCAATCCAGCCGATGGAGTTGCAATCTCTGATCTTGTCGTCGAAGGATAAACAGATCTACCAGCAAATGCACCTGCCATCTGTGCAGCAGAACGTGCTCCAGGCCAACGGCCACCACCGATCCCCGGTACAAACGCCTGTTGTCCTCCTGCATTCGGACAAAACATCGGTTGACCATACATCTGCTGTGGTGGTTCATAGTACTGTTGTGACAAACTAGCCCTTCTTGGTGACCCAGCAGCAGACACGCTACCATGGCAAGCTGGAGGAGGAGCCATCATCATTGACAACATTGGTTGCTGTGAACTTGCTGGTGCTGATACTCGAGATGGAGCATTTGAAACCGGCATTGTGTTTTCCAACAACGACCCCGATGAAAGAGTCTGTTTGTGAGTAGACCTCATTCTCTCTCTCTGTACATTCGTCGATGTTCTCGAACCATCAACCTTGCTCGCTTCATTCGTCTGTGAAGGTACTGCTTTAGAAGTGGGCTGCATGAAAGCAGCCAACGGAGGCCCACTACCGGGTTGAACCCCATTCCCATTCGCACCCGCGTTCGCACCCATATTGCTTACACCAATAGCACTCGCCGCTCTTCCATAATACTGCTGTTGATGTCGTTGTAGCATCATCTGATAGTGCGCTTGTTGTGCTAGCATGGGGTTGGCCATGATGGCCATGTAATTTCGCATGTATTGTTCTTGTAATTCTGCTTGACCTTGTTGTGCGTTTAGCATGGAGAGGTGCTGGGCGTTGAGAAGACTGTTCGGGTCCGAGATGTTGGCTTTGCTAGGAGGAGGAGGTACAGGGGCGGAGAAGGAGGGTGTCGGGTATACGTAGTCTGTAGAAGTAGCAGGGGCGGCACTGGCTGAACGAGTGATGGGTGGTGCCATGGCGATGGAACTGCGTGATGAGTTCGTGATGGCGGGCGAGGCCGTGCGTGCGGCGGGAGAGACGATCGAGGCTCGAGGGTCTGCGGAGGAAAAGGAGGCTGCACGCATGCCCAAGGGGGATGCAAGAGGTCGGTCTGCTCCAATCGCTGGTGTTGTAGGCGAAGAGAGGGATGCACCTTCAGGGTGAGCGTTGCTGCCAGATTGCACTGTTAAACAAGTTTGGCGAGGCACCATGTTCGGTTGGGCTCCACTACTTGCAATCGTCGGTAGCTGAGATACGCGGCCCTGGTCTGTGCTGAGTCGCACTCGTCCTCCTTGAGCAAGCGATGAAGGATAGCCATCTGCCGGGAACTGCGTAGTGGTGGGCGAGACAGACTCGGCTGCAGCTGAAAATGATCGACGGTGATCAGACCATGCAGTTTGCTGTGATCCTGGTTGCTGCTTTTCGAGCTCTCCAATCACATCGATCAAAGTTCGCCGCCTGCCGTTGCCATCGGTATGCTTGCCAAGCACACGAGCAGAGTCGAAACCTTGCCCACGAGCTGCATTGACAGACGAAGGTCCATCTGCCTCAGGTTGCGCAGAAGGGTTCTGTTGGTCCAGTGCCGCATTTGATCCGCCGAACAAGCCAGAAAGCGTTCCGGCTGCAGCGGATCTCACTGTTGCGAGTTGTTCCGTGTAGCTGAGAGGCGAGCCAGAGGGATGAGAAGCAGGGAAAGTTCCGTTGGTGTTGGCTGGGTTGACCTGAATGCGAGGCTGGTCGAATGAATTGCCTCTTGGCCCAGAGTCTTCTGAGGACAACGAGCATCTCTTCACGTTTGGGATGACAGCGACGGGTGGGAAGAGCTCGCTGCTACAAGTTGCACGCTGATTAGCAGGCCTTTCGGAGACGAAGAGTTTGCCTAGCTTTGCTCCAACCCGATCAATCGACGAGGTGACTCTCTGCACTGCCTTCTGAATATCGTCTGTAACCTGATCCAGAGTCTTGCTTGCGTCAATAGTGACCCATCTTGCGCCATGCGACTTGACATCTTGCGAAACCCGAGTGAAAGCTTCACGAACTTTGGCCTGGAACTCTAGCTTTTCGTACCTCTCCTCTCCATACCCACCTCTAGCTGCCGCCGTCTGTGCATCGAGATCGAGGAACATGGTAAGATCTGGAAGTGGGAGTCCAACATCGGGGTTGCGAGACCAATCATAGGATAGACCTTTAGCGACAGAATAGGCAATGCCCGAGAAAGCGTATCGATCGCAAACGATGCTCTCGCCTGCCTCGAGCGTGTTTTTGATCGAAGCGACGCATTCCCAACGGTTGGCGGAGAAGAGGAGGTGAATGGCCTGATCGTCAAGATCGCTTGTTTGGGCAAGGTAGGAGTTGATCATCTGACCAATAGCAGTGGTCCTTTCAGGGAATTTGATTGCTTTGGCTTGAAGATGCTCGGCAAGCCTGTCGACCTGTGTGCTCTTACCTGCTCGATCCAGTCCCTCGACAACAATGAAGAAACCGCGCTTTCGAGGCTGCGAATCGTCCTTGTTGATGTTGGCAGCTGAAGCAGCAGCAGTCAATGATACAGGGTCGGCGCTCTTTCGACGTTCAGGATCGGTAGGGCGGTAGTTGCGTGTGTGCGTCTGCGCCAACACAGCTTCCATAGCAGCCAAGTCTTGCGAAGGTGTCCTGGATCTTGGCGGTCGAATGAAACCTGATCCACCTTGGATCGTGTCGATAGTGGGTATAGTGCCGCTTTCGCCTCGCTGTCTTGCGGCTTGGCGGAATTTGGCAGCGGAGATGCTGGCTGGCTTGGCGTTACTGATAGGACTGGGACTGGTAGACTGAGCTCTGTTCGCATCGGACAAGTTGGTCTGAGCCCCAGTGGTGGCCAGAGTTGGCGCGGGCTTGGTGTCGTGGAAATAACGAGGCTCGGGTATCTCTTCTCGAGGAGTCACGTATTCGTCCAAGGAGACGATGCTGTGGACCCTGGAATGCGTTTGCGTGCTCGGGTCGTGGGCATTGGAGACATCGCTGGTGGAACGGACATTGCGGAAAGAGTGCAGACTGAAACTGCTGTTGACGCCGTCTACATTGGGACTTGCTGAAGGAGACTGTGCGCGTGAGTGAGAAGCGGAGCCAAGGTTGAGGTAGGAATCCGAGGTGCGGCGGGTGGAGTTTCCGGCGGTGGGGTTGCTGCTGAGTCTGCGAGTTCTTGTGGTGGAAGGTGGGTATTGCGAACGAGTGTTGAGTGCATTCTGGGATTGCTCGGTCAAAAGAGCATCCGTGTTGGAAAGCGTCAGCTGCGGCAATGGATCCGGATGAGGTGCTGACAAGGAAATTCTAGGAGCAGGCTCGGTGGGGGCATCTGGAGGGTTGTGAATCGAAAGACGGCTGACGGGTCGCAGGATCTCGACTTGTGGAGATGGCTGATTGGTGGAAGAGTGAAACGAGGTGGTGCTGCGATTGGGAGGTTTGCGGACCACTTCAAAGGAAGGCACTGGCTTTCGAGAGGGCTTGAAAGCATGGAGCAGCCTCGAGGTTCGTTTCGAGGTTCTCGAGTCTGCCTGCTCTGAACCGTTCGAGCTGCGAGCCAAGTTGCTCAACCTAGAGAAGGTGTTACTAGATGGTATGGTATCGGATTGTTGAGATGCGTCTTGGTCCGGCTTGCGTAGAGACAAGGAAGAAGGAAAGTTCTTGATTCGCCTGAGATCCATCGACACTTTTCTCCTTGGACTGGAGCTCGACATGATTTCTTTTCCGCTCCGATTGCTCCGATCGCTCCGATGGACTTGGCGGGACCAATGTCTGAATTCGAGTACGATTGGACGGAGGGCGAGGTTGCCCGTTTGCATTTACAAGGTGAATGTCATCACGGATGTGTTGGAGAGATTAGGAAGCGATGGTGGGAAAGGGGCCGATGGTGGGAAAGGGGCCGATAATGGTGAGTTGCGATGGAATGTTGGAGATGAACGATGTCAAATGGACCGGCGTCTGCTTCTTTTTGCCAAGATCGCACCTCTCAAGCTCGCTTGCAAGAGTCAGTAACTAGAGGGTGAGCGTATGAGTGAGTGAGTGTGAGTGTGTGTGAGTGAGTGAGTCTAGAGAGGTTTCGGTTACTTAGCTACCAAACGACGAACTCGTAAGCGAGTAGGTCGGAGAGGTGAAGAGGGTGGTGGTTCGGAAGCAACGACATTGACGACGACCAACTCGGGTTTCGGACTGCTCAATCTCAGGGGGAAAAAAGGAAAAAAACCCACGTGACGCATCTGTTCGATTAATAAGCATGAGCTCACCAACCCTCGGCCCTCGACTGTCACGCCTGGGCACTTTCTCGTGCGAATAGATGCCGCACGAGAAAGTTCGATTTCTTGGGTTGCTTTGTATAGACTCCCTCTAGATCCTCCTTGCGACAATGCACTTGGTTGCTCCCTTACAACGTGCATGTAGCCTGCGCATGTAACAGTCGACCTTATCAACAAAGACGCCACCAGTGGCGCATTTCCCACCGTTGTCAACCACAGCACGACATTGCGGCTGACCAATCGAATTGAAGCCAGTTTCGGATATGGCCCACCTTCTGGCCTCGCCAGCCATGTAGCATTTAAAGGCTTGCCATCCCAACAGTTTTAAGCCCCTTCTTTGTTGAATGATAGGAACCCCTATCTTGCAATCATCAAGTTCGCTTCCAAAATGAACACACTTGGGCTCATTCTCCTCCTCAGCATTCTCAGCTCGCTTTCTGCGGCCTTTGCCCAAGACTGTCCGCTGAAGTTCACCCCAGTTCTCCCTCGCAACTCGGACTTCGAGAAAGCTTGTTCTGCTGATTCGGCCACCAAGTCTCCTTGCTTCCATCACGTCTCTGGCTCGCTTCGCTTGGCCAACGTCAGTTCAAATTCCCTTCAGGAAAACATTAAAGAAATGCTTTTCGTCAAAGACGGTTTCTTGACCGACTTCACCTTCGCCTACTCTACTAAGGGTTATTATATCAATTATTTAGACGGAGGCGTAGGGCTGCAGTACACACCCGTCGATAGTAACAACTGTTTTGGTCCAAGCTGGAACGCCCTTGGTGCGAGGTCTGGGGCTTATAGGTTGAGCGGAGCTGTGGCAAATGGCGGAGAGAAGTTGTTTGACTCAAGCGCTAATGGTTATGGTACTGTCCATGTTTGCGATCGTTATGTTGATCTTTGGTTGGAGAAGTATTGACCATCTGACAAGAAAGCTGGATCCTGCAAAGGGGCTAGAGCTTCGGCATGATGCATTTATGCCTCTAACTGTCCTATACTCTCATCCGTTTTGCTCGCCGACGGAGAATTGTATACACCATACTTTCTCGAGTGCTGTTACTCGTGGTCGCGATCAGGCACGGGCCGGTAAAGTTTAAGGTTCACCATTTCTCACTATACTTTCACATTCCACTCATCATTAGTAAGCAATATATGTTACATTTCTCTCCAAAAACATGCCAACGCCCAACTGCTACTAATGGAAAAGGGCCTTCTTTGGGGCCGAGTGCAGCATGGACGTTGCTACCGAAACCTCACTAGTAACTAGAGTGTTGGCATATGAGTGTATGTGAGTGTGTGAGTGTGTGAGTGTATGTGAGTGTGAGTGTATGTGAAACGATTTCAATGTTGCAAATTAGCAATCCAACATGACGATGCGAAGTAACATGAGACGATACGGGAGGGATCGGGCAAAGCCGATCCAGTCAAAGATTGGGTGGAGCCAATCTCATCAGAGATTGGATACAACATGGTCCCACTCATTGTCATGCATTGTCATGAAAGAGGATACACCCAGATCTGGCATGTACCATGTAGATGTATATACAGTGTCATGGGCCTGGGTGCGCAGAACGAGGAAAGACCGAAGTTCATATGAAGGTAGTGCAGGAATCATGGAATCGGGTAGATTGTAGGAGCTGTGACAAAGTTCACTGAGATCGGTAGTAGAATCAGCTCTATGGCAGATCACAGTGAAATTGGCATGAGCATTGTCAATATCATGAATCCCACCAGAATCCGCAGTATGCGAGATTGTGTGGCAGATTCTGTGGAGATTGGTAGTAAGGAGGTCTGAATGATGATTCACATGCGAGAGGGATCGAGCTCAGTGACATGCAGTCGGTTACCACTCAGGGGCCCACAGGACAGGAGTAGAAGAGAACCATTGCTGGTCAAAGGAAGGAGAGCTGTGTATAGGACACTGGCGAGAGGGACATGAAGAGGAGGAGCAGTGTCAATGAAGTCAACACAGCTCAGGAAAGACAGAAGGGACAAGGTTCGATATGGAGGAGGGGCCTCCTTGGAGATCCCTGTACAATACTTGACAAAGAGGGTACTCTCTGGAGAGAGAGAGCAGGAGCAGTGTCGCTGGCAACGCTGCAAAAAGATATATAGGTGTACCTTCTCGTCATGAATGGTCGAGTGGATCCTCTTCCACTCTACTCACCATACAACTAGTCAATACTTTAGAAACATAAGTACTCATTAGTTCTCAGTCAGCATAAGTTGCAATCAATAGATTGCTCCTCATCAAAGTGCATGTGTTGTATCACCGTTTCCTGACATCCGAAGGTGGTTCTAGCAAACCAGCAGTCTGGATATTGATAGAACCGAAGGCAGTCGTCCACTGCGGTCCAGGGATCACTTCAAGTGTTAGCCGACACACTGGACACTCGTGTCGGTGTCATCAATCCATACTCACACCAGACCATTGGTGTCAACAACAAGCTCGCTTAAGAGTTGTATTGTAGTTTGATCATGCCGAGCTACCTCTGGGCAGAGTGTCCACAGCGGTTAGTCGAAATCTGTCATAACAATAATACAACTACAGATTCCAACGAGAAAGGTGACAGAGAAGGCTCTGTTGCATATTTCACTAGGAATCGAAATACCATTAGTGCTGTTGCATAACTCGACAGAATCGGTGATAGTACTGATACTACTACTGATCTCAGGTTTCAGGTGTGCGACCGCTGACATACAGCACACGTGTAAACTGTCCCATAATTTTACATGTCACCATACATCACTCTAATGCTCAATAGCTATAAGTTGTATTGCCACACTGTCTGATATTGTCTGAAAGCCCTGCTTCTTCTCTCCAAGACTGTGTAATTGATATTGACATTGACTAAAAAAAAATGTGCTATGAAGAAGAGCCAAATTTTATTATTATTGTGGGACAGTTTATGGAGCACTCCTTGACAACACCTTAGTACTTTGTATTCCCTCCTTTGGCCTTCAGAACCACCTTGATGCAGTCTGGCATGCTCTCTATTAGTGTCCTACATGTCTCTGGAGTGATCACTGTCCATTCAGCTTCACATCTCTTGAGCAGTTCATCCCTGGACTTTGCAATTGTACTATACTGTGAAAGTTGCATTTTGAGATGGTGCCAGAGGTGTTCAATTGGGTTTAAGTCCAGCGACTGTGCTGGCCATTGCATAACCTTAATGCTATTGCTTTCCAACCATGTTATTGTCTTCTTTGACATGTGTTTCAGGTCATTGTCTTGCTGAAACATGATGTTGGTGTATGCATGCTGAAGCTGCAAATCTGATATTGTTTTCAAAAGCTTGTCATTCAAGATATCAATGTATTGGTCTGAATTCATTGAACCCAGCACCAAGTGCATACCTCCCACCCCTTCCCATGTCATACAGCCCCAGATCATGATGGAGCTGCTGCCAAACTTGACCATTGGCCTGACAAGCTTGCTGTTGAAGCTGGCATTCTTAATCCAACAGAACTGCTTACCATCCAGTCCAAAGAAGTTGATCTTTGTCTCATTGGACCATACCACATTCTTCCAATCCTCAACAGTCATGTCCTTGTGCTCATTAGCAAATTTGAAATGGGCTTTGCAATGTCTCTTGAGTAGCTTCAGTTTTTTCACTAACCTTCATGCTTTGTAATGACAGTAATGAAGTGCTTTTCTTACTGTGGTTGGGCATGCTTTGATTTGAAATGTCTCCTGCAGTGCATGACATGCTTTCCTGACTGTGGAGGTTGAATTGAGCTTGAAACAGTGATCCAGGAAGCAAACATGACAAGGCTGGAGTTTTCTCAGCTGGCCCCCCTTTGACTTTGGAACATCAGCAGAGGTGCTTTTGCTGATGTGATTCACTGTAGACTTGCTCATACCAAGTTGTTCTGCAACTGAATGGATAGATTCCCCATTTTGGATGTGAAAGAGTGCCAATTGGCACCTCTCTGGGGTGGTTTTTGGCATGATGGTATAGATATGATGGTGTCAGACTGGAAGTGCTGCCAGATTGCTTGCAGTCATCTGATTGAGCTGAAACTTTCCACATCACTACTTTCAATGTATATGAAGGCTCCCACCAAGTTACATTGCAAGTTTTATTGTAGTCAACAGCCCACAAGGTCAGGAATGGAGTGGTGTTGCTATTTGGGAGCATGCTCCATAAACTGTCCCACAATAAATTTTTTTTGGCTCTTCTTCATAGCACAATATTTATTTATTTTTAGTCAATGTCAATATCAATTACACAGTCTTGGAGAGAAGAAGCAGGGCTTTCAGACAATATGAGACAGTGTGGCAATACAACTTATAGCTATTGAGCATTAGAGTGATGTATGGTGACATGTAAAATTATGGGACAGTTTACATGCATGCTGTATATCTCACAGAGAACACTAGGCTCTTGGCACATTCCTTTAGTCAATTGAGTATACATGTTTCTGTCTTAAAGCAGCAGTAAGATCGTACTTAGACTGTCCCCGATCGCCAGTTATCGGGACCAAAAGGTCTTTACTTTGAACATTTCAATGTTGCACGCTCTCCAGTCAGCAGTCCACACAGCCGCATTCAGGGACTCGTGTTTTCTCTCGTTTTGGCGTCTTAAACGCGTCCACGATGGATGATGAGCATTTTCGTTTTCCTGGCGTGGCACGTGCGATCAATTCTGTATCTCAGCCCCATCGGGCGATCGATCCGTACGAGAAGCAGAGAGCATTCAAGCGAAGAAACAAGTGGAGAAACTCAGCTGTTCTGAGAAGCGAAGCTCACACACACACACGCTCTCAGCAGAATCTATCTTTCCGCTCACCATCAGCATCCAACTTTCTCACTCGTGCATTCACTCTCTCCATCTTCCGGACTGACATCGCTAGACTCGCGCCCATCTGGTAGCTACTTGGGCATCTTGGCTAGACGGCAGAGCTAGCACCTGGGATTCACATCGTAGAGGATTGCGACAAGGTGCGACCAAGTATGCCTCCTGTCAAGCCAGAGCCAGGCAGCGTCAAGACCGAGAATGCAGGAGGCTCAGCACAAGGACTGCGACCTGCTAATGGCAGTGCAAGGTCCAATCTCAAGGTCGAACAAGACAAGAACGACATTTCACCACCGCCGCCAACAACATACAGAGACATTCCCTTGCTCTCGACCAACTGTGGAGAATGGCTCACGCATCTTATGAAGTTCGCCCATCATACTCGTGTCGACCCCAACGATACTAGGCAGTTCATTCCGCCACTCAAGCTCAACCGGAAGAATCCACCGAGGCTCAAGTTGCCTCGTCCCAACCCAGGCGATCCCATCACGGACAAGTACAATCGACCTATGATGGGCAAGGATGGTGAGCCGCTTACATGGCCTCGTCCCAATGACGACCTGCAACGTATTGAGGAGGCTATCCAGAAGCAAGTTGCTTCCAAAGGTCCCGGTGCAGATCAAGCTTTGGTTGCACCAGGTGCAAGTGCCAGGCCAGCCAAGAGCAAACTGTTCAAGAAAAAGGTGCGAGAGATTCACAAAGCAGCGGACAGTGCTAGAAAGACGATGAAGGAAGAACACTTCCCCTGGGTTCTGGAGGACTTTGAAACATGCGAGGAATGGGAAAGCATCCGTACTCCCATCCCAACTGGTGCACGCGCCCTGCAAGATCACATAGACGAGCTCAAGAACAAGGGCGGCAGAAAGGAGAGCACTGATGTAAATGGTCATGTCAAGATGCAAGATTCGTCGAGTAGAGTCAAGTGTGAAGCGGGTGTCAAGCAAGAGTCTGCCGCATCTGCCACTTCGCATGCACCTTGGATCGGAAAGCTGGAGGGTGACTCTAGCTCGGAAGCATCTTCGCTTCACGTGCTCTTTGTGTTTGACGAGCGGGATGCAGGTGGTTTCAAGGTGGTCCCTGTCTCGCGCATGTACAAGTTTCTACAAAAGCCAAAACACTCGACGTTGACCAACGAGCAGGTGGAGCAAGAGTACCAAAAGTATCAGAAGACTAAAGAGATGGACCGATGGGCACTCCGCAACAAGCCGGTTGCGTCCGGCAGCTCAGTGTCAAAGCAGCAAGACAGCGTAGCCTGGCGCAATTGGCCGCAAGTGAACCAGCTTTCGTTGCCTACGGGCATGTCATTTGGCGCAGCTCGTCGTCGTAACCTCATGGCTGTTCACGGTGGTGAGCTGTTGCGTGATGATGAAGATGATGATCATGCTAGTCGGCCAGGTCGAAGCAAGAGGCAAGACAGTCCCGGTGCTGGCTACGACGAACTCGACTATGAGGAAGAATTTGCAGATGATGAAGAGCTGCACCATCCCGAAGCCGATGTGGCAGATGACGAGGAAGCCAAGGAGCTCGAAGAACGTCTGAAACGTGAAATGGCTCGTGCCAACCATGTCGGTGACGCAGAGGATGCAGGCCAAGAGGCGAGCTCACCGGAGGATGAGGATCAGATGCTGACAGGAAGCGGCAAGCAAATGATGAAGATCATGCGGGCACTTGCCAAGCGTGACGGCAACGAAGCCTACCAGAAGGACGACGATGGACGCAATCCTTATGCCTCGGATGATTCAGATGAAGAGGAAGAGTCCTACGTTGCCAATCCCGAAAAAGCGATTCAGCTGGCAAGAGAAGAGCGTGAACAAAAAGAAAAGGAAGCAGCCAAGAACAAGGGCAAGTCGACTCCAGGCACCGCCTCTGGTTCCAACACACCTACCGACCGTGTCGAGAAGAAACCTGCCACACTCGGAGGAGGAGGAGGAGTAGTAGTAGTAGTAGGAGGAGGAGGAGGAGGAGGAGGAGGAGGAGGAGGCAACAGTCAGACTCAACAGCGACCAGGAGCTGGGCACGCCAGCCTTGCTCAGCGTGCCACCAGTCCGACTCGGGGTGCTTTCAAGATGGGAAGCAAGCCAGTCAGTCGAGCTTCGAGTCCGGGAGGTGGCGACTCGCCTCCTCTGGCTTCGGGAGGAGGATCTGAGGGCGTTGCTGGCTCTGCTGGCTCTGCTGGTTCTGCTGGTTCTGGTCTGAAACGTCGAGCTGACTCGCCTGGTGCAGGTAGCGCTGCAGGATGCAAGGGAAGCCATCGACCGGATGCCAAACGGGTCAAGACGGGCAGTACTGGATCTCGTGCAGGTTCTCCCTCGGGATCGTCGCCGGCCGGATCGAAAGCTGCTTCGCGTGCTGGTAGTCCTGGTGCAGCACGTATTCCTGCAAACGCAGTCGAGGCTGAGATCATTCAACTCATTCGAGAGGGCAAGATTGCCAACACGAGTGAATTGGTGCAGCACTTCCGAAAGAGATTGAAGTCCGAACCGCACATCAAGGATCAGCTGAGTGCAGCGGTGCGTAAGGTGGCAGTGATGGACAAGGCTACCAACCGACTCAAGCTCAAGGATGGCTTCTGAGAGCAAACTGCCTCTCAGCGACCTGGCAGTAATGTGCAAGAGATGGATGCTCTTGTAATGCGTCAAAAGTCTGTGTATATATGGCTCACACGGTGAAGGCCATGGGAGACGAAACGAGTCTGAATTTGTGAGAAAGGAAAAAATCTAACACAAGGCGTGCAAATTGAGAAACCAAGTTCCATGACTGAACTCGGCCGCAAGGATGACAGCGTGTTGCTGTCATGAGCATAAGAAGATCTGTTGAGAGGAGCAAAAGAAGGGGGTTCAGGTGGACAGCATGGATGAGAAAAGAGATGCACAAGGAATTCAGTCTGCAAACATGTTTTTCTCACACAAAGGATCTCGCTGGCAATTTCCATCAAAGGAAGCAATCCCATATATGATGATACATGCTGACATAAATGTAATTGGGACATGGAGGAGCAGATCTGTACAGAGATTGCCTACAACACAGTCCCACCAGTTATTGGGCCGCCTAGCGTGATAAAAGTAAAGATGTTTTATGGTCCCGATACTGGTGATCAGGGATAGTCTAAGTACAATGTCACTACTTTGTTACAGCAGAAACATATACTCAATTGACTGGACTTGTGTAGCAAGAGCCTAGTGCTCTCTGTAAGATATATATACATCTTTATGACACCCCCCCACCAGGTGGGGGTACGCCTATCTACTGCTCTACCATGACAACGGGCAGGGCTACGTTACACCCGATCTCTTCCTAGATCGGTCCTCCTGAATCTCTGATCAGATCTACCTGTCCCGATCCCTCCACCATCGGCTTGTGTCATCTCTCATTATCATGTTTGATTGTTACCTTTGTTATAGCAGTCTGTGTTGTAAATCCATCCTGCTGATTTTTCTGAGTCCAACACTTTTTCCATTTGCGTGCAACCAACGCTCAGACCCTGACTTTCTTTTTTCTTTTTCTTTCCCTTTTTTTCTTTTTCTTTTTCTTTTTCTTTTTCTTTTTCTTTTTCTTTTTCTTTTTCCTTTTTGGCCTTTTCTTTTATTAATCGAATCCTAACGCTCGTCACCACCGACACAAGCTGCTTCATAGAACTTAAAGATATTCGCTTGCCATAAAGCAAAGGCCCGGACAGAGGATGAAAGTCGACCTGAAACTGACGGCTGGATGGGATCTAAGCCCACTTTTACGCCATGCTGCGTCGAGGGGAAAAGGGGGAAAAGGCAGCTGAGAAAGGCAAGCGAGATTATGAAAGGATCTCAGCTGTGCCCGCGCCAAAACTGGATTATTATTTTTTGCACAAAAGCACGCACCCACACGCTGCACAATAATCCAAAATAAATCCAAAACAAATCCAAAATAAATCCAAAATAAATCGCAAAAGAAAGAAAGAACAATTTATTTTACTCAACTTGAGATGGAAATTCGGCTGTGCTTTCCCCTAAATGCTTGTCGCCACCCTGCTTGTTTGGTGATCCTTACATGCACACCTCTTCTCGTCATCTCTTCTCCCTCTCCCTCCTCCCCCTCTCCTCTCACATTCTCGTTCACATCTCCCCCTCAGCGTTCACATCTCCCGCCTCTGCTGGTGTCGAGGCAACCAATCCCCATTCGACAATACTGGACCTTCTCTGCCCCTCTGCAATCCATACTCGCACCATCACCCCCGGAGGATAGTCATCATCAACCCCCCGATCTAGTCGGTAGCTGCGGCTCGTCTGCGCCCAGCTGTGGACATTTTCCACCTAGACACCTTCTACCTAGACACCTTCTACCTAGACACCTTCTACCTAGACATCATGTCCGCAGTCAATCCCGCCCCCGAGCAAGTGGCCAAGCTCTCCCAGCTGCCCAACATCACTCTTGATACCATCTTCTCCCTCCTTCGTGATCGCTTCTACTCTGGATTGCCCTACACTGCTCTTTCAGATTCCATCCTCATCTCCGTCAACCCGTACGCCTCTTCTGGAAACCGCAACAGCGATGACACCCTTCGCGAATACACCAGAGAGTACCGTGAAACCAACAAACAGCTTCGCGGTGCCCCTCTCCCACCACACATCTTTGCACACGCTTGCAATGCTTATTTCTACATGCGACGTACTGGCCAGGACCAGAGCTTGCTTATGGCGTGAGTACATTCTTCCCCACCAGTACTTTTGCCTCTTCCACCTTGGCTGCATACACATACTCACTCAATCTATCTTTGACGCAATTCTTTCCCACCCTCTTGCACCTCAAACAGCGGCGACACCTCCAGCGGTAAGAGCCAAGTCCGCCGTCTCGCTATCCGGGCCCTCATCGACCTCAGTGTAGCAGCTCCGGGCAAAAAGGGCTCCAAGCTTGGTCTTCAGATCCCCTCAGCAGAGTACATTCTCGAAGCTCTTGGAAACTCGCGCACCCTTGAGAACAGCAATGCATCCCGCTTTGGCAAGTACACTGAGCTCCAGTTCTCCGACTCGGGCAAGCTCCTCGGTGCCAAGACCCTCGACTACTACCTCGAAAAGAACCGCGTCGTCAGTGCCGCCTCCAGCGAGCGCAACTTCCACATCTTCCACTACATGGTTGCTGGCGCTTCACAGGAGGAGAAGGCATATCTCGGCATTCACGATGCTGCCTCCTTCCGCTACCTCGGCCAAGCCTCACGCAACAGGGACAGCGAGGACCCAGCCAGCTTCTACAGGCTCAAGCTGGCTTTCAAAAACGTCGGCTTCTCCAAGCGTCATGTTGCTTCCATCTGCCAAGTCCTTGCTGCCATTCTCCATCTTGGTAACATCGAGTTCCACTACGACCGACAACGCACTCAGGACTCGGCCACAGTACGCAACCCTGAAGTGCTCGACAAGGTCGCTGAATACCTTGGCATTTCATCAAAGTCACTCGAGGAGGCCCTCACCTACAAGACCAAGCTCATCCGCAACGAGGTCTGCACCATCCTCCTCGATGCCGATGGCGCTTCCGACCACCGCGACGATCTCGCCAAGTCCCTCTACTCGCTTCTCTTTGCTTGGGTCAACGAGTCTCTCAATGAGAAGCTTTGTCGCGATGACTTTGACACCTTCATTGGCCTTCTCGACTTGCCTGGCTTCCAGAACCTCTCTCGCGGCAACTCGCTCGATCAATTCTGCGTCAACTTTGCATGCGAAAACTTGCATCGCTTCATGCTCCGAAGTGTATTCGAGAAGCGACGTGACGAGTTCACCGACGAAGGCATCAGCCACCTTTCCCCCGAGATTCCATACTTTGACAATGCAGAGACCCTTCGTCTCATGACCAATCAGCCCGGTGGTCTCATCCACATCATGGACGACCAGGCACGAAGGATGCCCAAGAAGAGTGACCAGACCATGATCGAGGCTTTCGGCAAGCGATGGGGCAACCATTCTTCCTTCAAGCTTGGTCCTGCCGACCGCAGCGGCTTCTCCAGCTTCACCATCAGCCACTACAACAGTGCTGTCACCTATACCAGCGAGAACCTGCTCGAGAAGAACAGCGAGGTTGTCAGCCCCGACTTTGTCTCGCTCCTTCGTGGCAATCAGCCAGAGTCCTCCGCCAAGCTCGGTGCCGACCCCAATGCTACTTCGGGCTCCACCATTCCTTTCATCCGCGGCATCTTCAACACCAAGGTCCTCAAGACTCAGTCACATCCTAAGAACGAGCAGACCATCGTCGCAGCTCAGCAGTCCGTCAAGCCCATGCGTGCTCCTTCCACACGCCGACCTAACCGCTCCGCAACGCTCAAGCGAAGCAACACCATCAAGAAGGGCAACAATGACGACGACGACGACTCGGAAGACGATCTTGCTGACAACTCCATTACCAAAAAGAATGCCGTTCGATGTGTTGCTGGTGAATTCCGTGGTGCTCTCGACTTGCTCTTGGAGACTCTCGAGGAGACCAAGACATGGTTCACCCTCTGCATTCGTCCCAACGACAACCAGCTGCCCAACCAGTTCGAAGCTCGCGTCGTCAAGCAGCAGATCAACACCCTCGGCCTTTCCGAGATGTCCCGCAAGCTCCTCAACGAGTACAGCGTCAGCATGACCTACGACGAGTTCTGCCAACGCTACGCCCACATTCCCTCCCTTGAGGCTATCCAGATGCGCGGCGCTGTTTCTGGCGAGGCCAAGCAGAAGTTCTCGGCGGCACGAGAAGTCATGGCATGGTCTGAAGAAGAGGCTGCCTCCGGTCGTGTCAAGGTCTTCCTCTCTCATAGTGCATTCCGCGAGCTTGAAGATGAGCTCCGTGCTGCTGACCCTGAAGAAGTTAAGAACAACGAGAGGCGAGCCATGCTTGATGCCGATGCGGCTGCACGTGGCGAGTCAGATCCCTTCTCGCCCTTCGCTGTGTTGACTGACGACTTTGCTCGTAGCCGCAGCAACGACTTTGTCGGTGCCTACGGTGATCCCTTCAAGGAATCCTCCTCCGTGGTGCTTCCTCTGGTTGGAGGTGGAGCCGCAGCCGACCAAGAGCTCGAGGAGGTCAAGAGCCAATACTCGGGTGTGTCGGGTACTCTGCCTCGTCGCAGCTACGGTGGTGGTCTCAGCGGTGCTGGTTCCGTCATCGGTTCCGAGGCATACGCCCCTTCACGCAACATGTTTGCTGACATGGGCAAGAATGGGCTCAACGAGAAAGCTGGTACAGCTGCTTTCACCGAAGAGCCGCTTGGCGAGGTAGCCGAACAGGTCGGCGTCTCTGCCACTCGTCGCAAGTGGGTCGCCTTCACCTGGGCCATCACCTTCTTCGTCCCTTCGTTCATCCTTCGCCGTTTCCAGTCGCTCAAGAGACCAGACATTCGCATGGCATGGCGTGAAAAGCTCGCCATCAACTTGGTCATCTGGTTCATCTGCGCTTGCGCCGTCTTCGTCATTGTCATTCTCGGCAACCTTATCTGCCCCAAGCAGCACGTCTACAGTCCGAACGAGTTTGCCACCCACAAGGGTGACTCTTCCTTCACTTCGATCCGTGGCGAGGTCTTCGATCTCAGTAAGCTCGTAGCCAGTCACCGAGGTATTGTCCCCGTCGTGCCTTCCAACGCGATCCTCGCCTACGCTGGTGAAGATGCCACCCCGATCTTCCCAGTTCAGGTCAACGCGCTCTGCAATGGTGTTGACGGCGAGGTCAGCCCATGGGTTCAGCTGTCCAACGAGAACTCGACCGACAAGAATGCTCAGTACCACGACTTCCGATCCTTCCACATTGACGATGCCCGACCTGACTGGTACTACGAGACCATGTGGCTTCTCCGTTCCAATTATCGTGTCGGTTTCATGGGCTATACTTCCGATGGCATTCGTGACATCTTGTCTGAAGGACGAACCGTTGCAATCTACCGAGGCGATCTCTACGAGATCACCGACTACATCAAGCAAGGCAATCAGGGTGTGCTCAAGGCGCCTGACGGCTTCCAGGCTCCGATCAACACGAACCGCAAGTTCATGAGCGATGCCATCATCAGCCTTATCGCACAAAACCCAGGCAAGGACATCACCAAGCAGCTTGACAGCTTGCCTCTGGATCAGGATGTTCTCGACCGCCAGCGAGTCTGTCTGCGAAACCTGTACTTCATCGGTAAGATCGACCACCGTAACTCGCCCCAGTGTCGATTCTCGCAGTACATTCTCTTGGCTCTGTCGCTCTTCATGGTCGCCATTCTTGGTTTCAAGTTCCTTGCAGCTCTTCAGTTCGGCCGTGCACGCAAGCCCGAGGACCACGACAAGTTTGTCATTTGCCAAGTGCCTTGTTACACCGAAGGCGAAGAGTCGATGCGCAAGACGATCAACTCGCTCGCTGCTCTCAAGTATGACGACAAGCGCAAGTTGCTCTTCGTCATCTGTGACGGTATGATTGTCGGTTCCGGAAACGACCGTCCCACCCCGCGTATCGTGCTCGACATTCTCGGTGCCGACCCTAACTTGGAACCAGAGGCGCTCAGCTTCCTTTCGCTCGGTGAGGGCAGCAAGCAGCACAACATGGCCAAGGTCTACAGCGGTCTGTACGAGCACCATGGTCATGTCGTCCCTTACATTGTTGTCGTCAAGTGCGGTAAGCCTTCGGAGCGCTCGCGTCCTGGTAACCGTGGTAAGCGTGACTCGCAGTTGGTCCTCATGCGTTTCCTCAACAAGGTTCACTTTGGTCTGCCCATGAACCCAATGGAACTCGAGATCTACCACCAGATCAAGAACGTCATCGGTGTCAACCCAAGCTTCTACGAATACATCTTGCAAGTTGATGCCGATACCCAAGTCGAGGCTCTGTCGCTCAACCGCTTCATCTCGGCATTCATTCGCGACAAGAAGGTCATCGGTCTCTGCGGTGAGACGGCGCTTTCGAATGCCAAGGCGAGCATCATCACCATGCTTCAGGTGTACGAGTACTACATTTCGCACTACCTCTCCAAGGCGTTCGAGAGTCTGTTTGGCTCGGTCACCTGTTTGCCCGGTTGTTTCTCCATGTTCCGAATCCGCACTCCCGACACCCATCGACCCTTGTTCATCGCTTCTGCTATTGTCGAAGACTATGCAGAGAACCGCGTCGACACTTTGCACACCAAGAACTTGCTCCACCTCGGTGAAGATCGATACCTGACAACACTTGTGCTCAAGCACTTTGGCAAGTACAAGACCATCTTTGTTCGCGATTGCAAGGCTTGGACCATGGCTCCTGACGATTGGAAGGTGTTGCTTTCCCAGCGTCGACGATGGATCAATTCGACAGTGCACAACTTGGTCGAGCTGATCTTTACCCCTGGTCTTTGTGGCTTCTGCTTGTTCTCGATGCGCTTTGTTGTCTTTATCGATTTGCTGTCGACGATTATTGCTCCCGTTACGGTTGCTTACATTGTCTATCTGATCGTGTTGGTGGCTACGCAGAATGGTACTGTGCCTTTGACGGCCATTATCATGCTTGCTGCCATCTACGGTTGTCAGGCGCTCATCTTTTTGCTGAACCGTAAGTTCGAGATGATTGGATGGTTGGTTGTTTACATGATCGGTATTCCCATCTGGTCGCTTTTCTTGCCGCTCTACTCTTTCTGGCACATGGACGACTTCTCCTGGGGTAACACGCGTGTCGTTATGGGTGAGAAGGGTCAGAAAGTCGTTGTCCATGAGGAGGGTACCTTCGACCCAAGCGAGATTCCTCTGCAGACATGGACAGACTACGAGAACGAGCTTTGGGAACGCAACTCGGCACGATCAATCGGTTCCATCATCGAGGCTGCTCGTGCGGAGAACAAGTCGCTTGGATCGCGAGCTGGATCACAGTATGCACCAAGTCTTTACGGCCAGCCTATGTTGCCCAATAATGGCAGCTTCGGTCATCATAGCCCTTCACCTTCATACGGTGGGACACCTTCGCAGTTCGGTGGCCCTACTCGTCCTGGTTCGCAGATCGGTGCCTACTTGCCTCAATCCGATCCTGCTCGTCAATCCACTTACAGTTTGGCTGGCTATGGTGCACAGGCCATGTCGATGTATGGTATGCCAACAGGAGCAAGCGGATTCATGCCTCAACCTTTTAACACTACTGCAAGCATGTATGGCTACCCCCAACAGCAGTCACAGCAGATAGCTGCTGCCCAATCGATCTACGGCGGTTCTCAACTGGGCTTTGGCGGTTTTACTGATGGCCAACATCAGCATCAACAACTTGAGCAACAACAACAACAGCAACAACAACAGCAAATGAGATCGTCAGGTAGCGTTGGAACTTCAAGTCCTCCAAGAGAAGCTGGTATGCTTCCATCAGATAGTCAGATCAGGTTGGATATTCGAAGTCTTATTGCTGAATCCGATTTGACGACAATCACTAAAAAACAGTTGAGAGGAAAACTGGAAGCGAAGTACAACACTTCGATCGATACAAAGAAACAGTTTATTAATGCCCAGATCGAGCGGGTTTTGGCTGAAAACTGATCTCCTTCAAGCACTCCTTGGTTTGGTTAGAATGCTCAGTGGTTCGCTTGGCAATTTCGTTGGTTGGCAATTTTATATGGACTCTTTTCAAAAATAGTCTTGCTTTCATCAATGTCTCTGTGTATGTTTGACTTGGTGCAATCTTGCAGATTCTTGGAGTGGTTTGAGAGGCAATGTTGCTATAACTTTAGTCTTGGGCGAGAATTGGTCTCTTTGAACCGGATCTCAGAGCATTTTGCATCTTGATTTTGAAAAGTTTTAGGTCCCGATACTGGTGATCAGGGATAGTCTAAGTACAATGTCACTGCTGCTAAAAGACAGAAACAAATATACTCAATTGACTAAGGGAATGTGGTTGGAGTCTAGCACTCTCTGCAAGATATATATACAAGTGTGCAGTGCATGCTATGAGTGGGGGTACTTCTACCTAATGATCAACCATGACAACTGGCTTGTACATGTTGCACTCAATTGTGACAATGAGCAAGACTGTGTTGTACCCAATTCTCTGTTCCCAATCAGGCCATCCCTTGTTCCATCCCTTTTTGTCTGCTTATGTCAACCAATGTCATCTCATCAGATCATCAATTTCAATACCCCCTCTTGATCCAGCATGCACTCCCAATGTTGACAGTCCAAATAGTTGATGGAGGTATGAGAGTGTCAGTGCAGCTAGTGGTTTGGTGAGTAAGTCAGCTAGATTCTCACTGCTCTGGACTGGAGTGATTGTGAGCCATTGACTTGCAATTTTGTCTTGTAAGAAGAAGTGAGCAATATCAATATGTTTCATTCTCTTGAAGTGTTGGGGGTTGCTTGCAGTGGCTCATGCTCTGGAGGAATCACTGTGCAAGATAGGCACATTATGATTATGGACAATTTCACCATTGTGTGAATGTAAGGTTGAGGTCCCAGCACTTACATGGAGTTCAGCTGTCTTTGACATGGGCTGTTCTAGCTCCTGTAAGAACATTGAAGTCCATATTAGCTCCCTGGCAGCACCTGCTAGCACCACATATTCTGCCTCCATAGAACTATTTGCTACCATTGGCTGGAGTCGGGATGACCAGCTACACACAAGTCCATCTATCATGAATGCATACCCTGATGTTGACCTCCTGCAAGCCCATGAGCTGGCCCAGTCACTGTCTGCCCACCCAGTGACTATCTGTCTTCCAACTGGTCCCTTCACTAACAGACTCACTCCTATGGTTCCCTTCAGGTATCATAGGACACACTTGGTGGCTGTGAGGTGTTCCCCTGACAGATTTGCCACAAACCTGGCACACCATCTGACTGCAAAGGCAATATCTGGCCTACTACCTTGAGCAACCCATAACAATGACCCCACAATTGATGTGTAGTGACATATCTCCTTGGCACTTGCATTGTCCCCTTTGCATGGCTTGAGGGTGTTGATTGTGTCAGTTGCCAGTGTTGATGCTGCCCAGGCCTGGTCCATTCCAAATTTCGTTATGATCCCTTCAATGTATCCACTTTGGTTTATTGAGAGGGTGCATGCATCACAATTGTAATGAACATTCAGACCAATGATGTGTGAGATGCTTCCCTGATCTGTGATGCTGAACACAGTCAATAGCTGTTGTCACACTGATTGAACCCATGTGTTGCTTGGTCTGATGATGAGCAGGTCATCTACATAGACTGCAAGAAGGACCATTGCATCATTGACACCACACATGTATACACACAGTTCAGCTTGACATTGCTTGAAGCCAAAGGCCTGAAGTTGCTCATCAAGGGCAGTGTGCCACAGGCACCCAGCTTGCTTGAGGACATATAGTGCTTTCTTCAGTCTATAACACTTCCCTTCAGTCTTGTTCATCTTGAACATTGGTGGGATTCGGATGTAGACATCTTTATTGATCTTTCCATTCAGGAATGTGGTACTTACATTGAGCTGAATGATATGCAGGCCATACCAGCACACTATAGCAAGCAGCATTTGTACTGTTTGTAACCACACAACTGGACTGAACATCTGATCATAATTGAGTCCCTGACATTGAGCATACCCTTGGGCAACTAGCTGAGCTTTATATCTCATTGCTCGATGTTGGGTGTCAAGCTTGAGTTTATATACCCATCAGACACTGATTAGCTTACTGTCCATTGGGATGTTAGCGAGCTCAAATATGTTCATTTTGTCCATACTTGCCATTTCACTGTCCATTGCTTCCTTCCACTGGTGCCAGTCATCATGTGCTTTGGCTTCATTGAGTGACAGTGGTTCCAGCAAAATACCATCAGCACTTTGCATCTGTTGCCCACTTGCAATCAGTGTGGCACCATTCATAACAGTGGTTGCAAATGCCATTTGATCAAGATGGTGATTGCTGATCATGATTGTTCCTGTGCCAGAGCACATCACTGCCAAGGCTGTGTATCCAAGTGTGCTTATTCTGTCCATCGGTCCTGCATGATTGAGGTCCAGTATTGAGATGTCATCATACACACTTGCCATTGCGTTGCTTCAAGGTGTCTCAAGTGTTGGTATATCCACACATGTTGGGTCCTCTGTACTGTTCTTTGCTTGGGACGAGGTGATGTCCAGTTCAGCATGTAGATTGGCTGCGATTGCATCCAGGTCTATAATGATTTTGCCCATGTTTTCTATCTCAGACATCAACTGGTCCCATTTGCGGCCATAGCTGGAGGAGTCAAGTGGACTCTGTTGTAGTTCCACACCACGTTGGTGAGAGTATGGCCTCACAGTGGGTGGTGTGACGTCATCAGGTTCTGGTTCCTCAGAGGCATCATCATGTGGTACCCAAGTATATGACTGGAGAAGTGGGCTGTTCCCAGTGAGTACAGGCATATGAGAAGTTGGTGTAGCAGCCCCCAGGTGCTCAAGTTTGGAGAACTGGATGTCCTTGGCGATGATGATTCAGTCAAGTTCAGGAAGCCAAACCTTGTGGCCCTTGATGCTTCATGGGGCATCAGAGAAGCCAAGATATGTTCCTCTGAGAGCACAGGGGCAAAGGTGTTTGCTGACAATGGGGTGATGTTGTAGCCACATCGATCGAGTGCTGCCTCTGAGTACGACATAGGCAGTACAACCAAATCATCACATGTCATGTAGATCTGGTTGCTTGCCATAGAAGAGCTCAAATGGAGTGATGTGCCCTTGTGTAGTGCCTGCTAGTCAATTGTGTATGAATATGGCTTATGTCATTGCATGAGGCCACCAGCACTTGTCCATGTCTGAGTCATATAGCAGACTTCAGGTGATCTTCTGGACCATTTGGATCACCTGCTCAGCAAAGGCATTGTCAGTGTGCTGTTGAGTAGGGGATGCAGTGTTCTTCACTCCCTTTGATGAGCAAGCATCTCGAAAGGAAGTAGACCATAACTTGCCTTGGTCTACATGAACCTCCTTGAGTCTGTGAACAGAGTTCACCTCTTCCAGCCACCATGTTGCCTCTTGGGATGCCACACCTTTGCTTGCAAGACCACACACCCAGATCATACCAGAGAAGGCATCATGAATAATGAGTATGTATACTAACTTAGCATTACCATGTAATGGACCCATTACATCCATCAAAGCTAGTTCAAGCGGTTTTGTGGTATGATGGGGGTGTGCAACATTGTGTGCAATGGCTTTACTTCATACACAAACATTGCAGAGGACTCCAGATTGAGTGGCAGGGCTTGCCAGGATATTGTGAGCATGAGTCACTGCACATGTATACAAGATTGATTCATGACTGGCATGTCCAAGTCTCCAGTGCCATAAGTTGGCTTTGCTGCATGGCTTGGGTGAGTGTGCTGTATCAGCCATTGTTGTGGCAAATGCAAGGGAGACAGAGGGTTCTGGCATGCTGTCATCCCATATGATCATGGCAGCCACAGGGTAACCATTCCCACTGGTTGGCACTCTGATTGTATGGCTGTACTTGTCTTGTACAGTGATGAGCTCATCCTCAAAGGTCACCATTCCCTTAGCCCATGTGACCAACTTTGTCCCTATGAGATTTGTCACTAGATCAGGCATGAATAAGCAGTCTCAATAAGTCATTCATTCCCAGTGATGCAGCTTGGCATTGTAGCTCAAGAGACTTACTATCCTGCCCATCTTTGTGGCTGAGAGTTTGCCACCATTGGCGGTGGTGATTCTGACCGAATCCTTAATGCCCTTCCAGTCCTTTCCAAGTCATAGGGAGTTGACCATAATGCATGATGTGCCTGAGTCAAACATGAATGGCACAAACTGGGGCAGAAGGTCAATTGGTGCCAGCTCGACTTCTGTGAAGAATGCCAGGGCTGGCACTGTATCCTACTCTTCTCAAGCATCTTCAAGTGGTGGCACAATGCATGTGTTGGCATGATTCTTGGGGGGAACTTTAACTCTGTCACATTTCCATTGGCTATGTGAAATGTTGTCTGGGCAGTGGTTGGCTGCATGACCAAGTTCACCACATGCCCAGCAATTGATGAGTGTGGCTGCCCACAGAGCGATTAGTTCGGAGTCCTCAGTAGTGGAGAGTATGTGGGCAGGGGCACTCTCAGCAGTGAGCTCATAGCATTGATGTAGAACATCAGCAACACTCATAGCAGTTTGGTCTTTTCCATTGAGTTGTTCATGCAATATAAACACTGAATTGAAAAGAGCATTTCTGTCCAAGGGGAGAGCACACTTGAGTGTCTGGTACCTGTAGTTGGGTGTCCAGGGATCCTGCAGATATGCATGGAGTTCTGATACATGTGCTTCCCACTTGGCTAGGAAGTCATACACATGGCTTCCAACTTGATCCCAGCAGAGGGCATAAGTGGCAGCGAGGAGCTGATACTCTTTAGCCACAGAATGTACCATACACTTCTTGATTGCCCAGTTGAACAGATCAACTGTGATAGGTACCAGTTGATCACCATGTTTGGTGAAATACTCCATGCACAGCTTGTCAGAGAAGCTGTGCATGATAATTGAGCTGATCATGGAATCTGTGTCTTCAAATGTCGTCACTTTTCTGTCAAGGACATTTTGGGCAAAGGGGACTACTGACAACATTGCAAGCATTTGGCATCACCATGCATGAACTGAGACTGATCTTGGGTCGAGGAGTTCTTTTTCATCCCATCTCATCTTGTCATTGAGGCCTGATAGCACTTTTAGGTGATGGTTGGTGATAGTGTTGAGCTCAGTAGTGGGTCCCAGTGTAGCATCATGGCTGAGTAGTCAATGGCCTGAGTCGCTCAGGGCGAATACTGGAGTATCACCTCTGCTCAATGTTGTGAATTCATTTTTAATGGGGTAGGAGTGTTGTTCCACATCACAAATTGACCCCATTGGGCCTTTGATCTTGAAGTCAAGGATCTTGGCTGCATTCCACTCTTTGTTGCTGACAAATTGGTTGACTCTGATTTGCATCTGTCTGCCAAGTTCAATTCTGTTAGGGAACAGACTGAGATCATGCATTCCATAATAGAGTTCACTGACACACTCAATCATGATGGAGAGAGGTGTAATGACTTGCTTGCTATCACTGGTGATGGCAAACTCTAGTAGGTTTCCCTCCTTTGGTGCATCTGGTGTGCCATAGACTTCATCAGTTATCATCCAATTGAACCTATTTTGAAGGATTTTCAGTAGCCATGGAAGGAGGTTTTCCATTGGAGTGACAAAATCATCATAGAGGGAGTAGTTTACTTCTGTCATCATTGAAGGTGAGTTCAAGGATGAGGTAGTGCTCTGAGTTGGGCTCATAACCTGAAAAGTTTTAGGTCCCAATACTGGTGATCAGGGATAGTCTAAGTACAATGTCACTGCTGCTAAAAGACAGAAACAAATATACTCAATTGACTAAGGGAATGTGGTTGGAGTCTAGCACTCTCTGCAAGATATATATACAAGTGTGCAGTGCATGCTATGAGTGGGGGTACTTCTACCTAATGATCAACCATGACAACTGGCTTGTACATGTTGCACTCGATTGTGACAATGAGCAGGACTGTGTTGTACCCGATTCTCTGTTCCCAATCAGGCCATCCCTCATTCCATCCCTTTTTGTCTGCTTACATCAACCAATGTCATCTCATCGGATCATCAATTTCAATAGATTTGAGTTGCGACTTGCATTGAGAGCACCGTCAGAATAATTGTGGTCTCGGTATTGCAAAAATCGGTTATCATGGCAAACCAACGCTTGGCTGTGCTGTGGCAATTTTAGCTGGATGGGTTATATAGCTTGCGGTTGAATTTGGGTGTGGATCGACACTTGCAATTGTCACATGGAACTCGTTTTAGTCGGAAGCTTTTTTCGGGAAAGACGATCTTTAGTTCTTGTGGATAGCATTACGGATAGGTTACAAAAGAGTATGTTAATGTCCAACGTTTGCTCGGCCTCTTCAAGATTGACATTTGAAGGGTGGACGTTGAAGTTTAAGATTTGAATCCACCAATACCTCCAGCAAACATCCTCGCACTAGCAGCTTTGTTCAATCTAGGTTGGATCGTAGGCTGTTTTAATGAAGCTAGAGAAAAGTTGAATGAGTGTCGTTTGTGACGTGCGACTTTAGCATAGTCTGTTGTTTGGTTTTCTTTTTCTCCTTCACTCTCGCCACCTCTCTCTGCCGAAGTTGGTATGGGGCGAAGAGGTTTAGCACTACTGCTTGGCGAAACGAGACTGGTATTGTTGTTGGTAGTGTGGGGGAGGGAAGGACGAGTTCGTGCAAGTGAAGCTTTATTCTGTCTAGGGATCATTGAAGGCGTAGCTAAAGAGGGAATCGAGAGGGAAAGCGAGGTGCGTTTGTGTCCTGGTGTTTGGTCGAAGGAAATTGGTTGACGTTCTCTCTGACCTTCCCCGAAGGAGCAAGTAAGGGATGTTGCTCGACCTCGACCAACGAGGTTGCATCTGTATGCTGAAGGTGGACCACCTCTTGTTCCACTGCTGTTAGTGGTGGTAGAAGAGGAAGGTGTGGAACCAGAAATACGGCTCAAACTAGCTCTGTTCTGTCTAGGAGCGATACTCGGAGGAGCAATTGAAGCGACACTCGACCCTGCCAGAGAGAGACGTTTATGGCCGGGAGTGTTGGAGAAATCAACTTGTTTCCTCATTCTCCCCCCACTTTCACTCCCGGAAGCTGTGGTGGAAGAAGGCAAAGATTTGCGCACACCAGCACTCGTAGTACTCACAGCACCAACACCTTCCCCAGCAGGAGCACCACCCTGTCGAGCAACAGCAGCTTTATTTAACCTGGGAGCAATACTCGGCGCTTTTAAGGAAGCTGGTAGCCCAACCGGTCGTTTTACTACTCCGGATATACCCACATTCCCGGCATCCGCGGTTTTGGCAGGGCTAGAGGTGCCGCGAGCTGGCGATTGAATCTCGACTCCCATCCGTAGCGCTGCTGCTTTGCTGAGACGCGGCTCGATCGACGGTTTGCTGCGAACAGTGGAGGGGATTCGGCCGGCTCTGAAGGTGGAGTGGGAGGGAGCATGATTTGATGCTCGAGATTGAGGATGGATGGAGGTGCGGGCTGTTGAGGCGGAGTGTGTGCTAAAACCACTAGCGCTTGCTTCACTGGAGGTGATGGCGTGGGTCATGAGTGGTGCTTCAAGTGCAGCTGACTCGAGTCGACTGGCCATAGCGTCTACGGAGTTAGTGGAGTGTAGGTCGGGAAAGAGCAGGCTGATCTGTAACTCTGCAGTCTCGCGGTTGGGCGAAATATAGATTTCATCCGTTCCGTAGGTTTCCCTCAGCGCAGGTGCATGTTCCTTCTGAACCAGCTCAAACAGATCCGCACTCGGGGCATCGGTGTTGAGCTGAAGAACCAAGAAAAAGTTGGTAGTCGTCGTAAACTTGGAGGCCCATTTGACGAGAGTAACGGCTTCGCCTTCCGTTTCGATCTCGTATGCTAGTAGCGAGCGCAAGAGTCCATCGTCTCCGGGAAGCAATAGGCGCAGGGATCGCTCTGAAACGATCTCAAAGGAGGACGAGAGTCGGTCGAGGATGGTAAGGCGGCGGGTAGTGGATGCTCTGTTGAGCAACGCCACTAGTAGACGGTCTGGTTTCGTGGGAGCGAGCGACATGTATTCCCGCGCAAAGAATGAGGTTGGTGTGTGTAGGTGACGATGGAAGATGGTGTTCGAAGGCTGGGGAGGGTGGTGTTGTCAAGGCAGACTCTCACTCGCACAAAGCTTTGATCAAGATCAACACTTGGTCCAGTCTCGCCCACAACAATCAAGGGTCCAACAGCAACAACAAATACTCAAACACCGCGCTCGGCGCTATTTTGGCGACGCGTCGACGCGTCGACGCGTGTTGCATCGGTAGGAGGTTCGTGCGGTATATCGGCTCGCATCGGGCCGATTATCGCGATAAGGCATCGGCATATCGACTCTCCGATGCCGAGGAGCTAGGAGTCGAGACCTAACCCCCTGTATACTCCATGCTCGAGCCTCGTTGACAGGATAGCATGCCCCTTCCTTCCCGTTGACAGGGTAGAGGTAGAAAACACACAGGATATAGCCATCTTGTTGTTCCATCAGAACCATCATCCCTCCGCTGTTTGTACATACAGTTCGTAGTCGCCACACGTAATAAAACCGCGTCCTACCATTCAAGTCTGTCGCTTTCCAACAGCATCATGCATTCTTGCTTGTCGATTTCTAAGACCAAGAGTGCCAGCTGGGTGGCTCCTGCTTTGTGACGCCTTTCTCAAAGATTATCTGGGCTCCTGTTGGGGGCTGCTGTGGTCAAGGCCCCGCTGGCGCCGTCTCAGAAAGGCACGCTTCCACCTCAGCGCACACGTTATCACTTTCGTTATGACAGCTTCGGGTAGGGTGAGAGAAGACAGTATATTGAAAAGTGCCTCGCATTAAGTGCATCATCAGAAGCGAGGCCCGGGATGACCAACATGAACCACACTTGCATCAAAGCAGAGCGATCTCGACCAGGTTTACGAGGTAGAGTTAAATGTCCACATCTTCATAAGCCTTGCACTGGATATAGTTACTGATCTTGGTAGAATAGTAATAACCCATTATCTGAGGACTGCAATTGATGCAGTTGACACCAATGTGGTTAGCGTCAAACTGCTGGAATTCGAAGTCTCTGTTGTTGACAAATACATTCGAAAAGACATAGTCACGGTTTTCGGGGAACTTGGCCTTGCACTTGTGGAAGGTAGGCTTGACAGTTCGAAGATCAGTACCGTGGGGTTGAGAGTAGAACTTCCAGTATTTAGCCTTCTTGTGGTGGATCCGAGTCCAGGGGACAGGCTTCTGGACTTGGGCCGCTTCGGTGAGAAGAGCACCAGCGACGATGCAGGAGAGGGCGATCAAGATGGTAATGAACTTCATTTTGGGTGTGTGTTTGGAGTAAGGCGGGGTTGAAGGAAGGAGGGTTTTATTGAGTGAGGCTTGGAGGTGGTCTTGTTGGATGATGTTTGGTGGTGCTGGTTTTATATCTTGCAGGCTGGACCAGGCGGCTAGCTTGAACTGAGAAATCTCTAGAGGCTGCTAGGATTTAGCTTCGGTGCGTGGGAACCGGAACGACGTCGAACAGCAGGCTGTGCAAAGTTGATCTAAAAGGGGCTTCAGCCACAGCCGAAGATGAGAGCAAGTCGAGGTGCGTTAGACGCAAACTTGAGGCCCCCCCCCCAACATTACTGCAAGTGGCATGGCGTGCGCATCTGAGCTAGGACCACACGTGTCACAACCCGCTCAATTGACTTTGTTTGCTCCCGACTCCTCTCACCTTCCCACCATCGCCTTCCCACCATCATCTTCTCATTTCGGCAAGTGTCCCTTCAACATCGACCTTGCCCAATCTTTCTTTCAATCTTTCCACCTCTCTCCTTGACCACATCCTTCCCTCTCCTCTTTGCTCGATGTCAGAATTTTTTCATAGTACCACCTTCCCGACACGCCATAGACCTCAAGGATCGCAATAGACCCAGTACTCCAGCCTTCACATTGCTCCTGCTTCGTGTCATGGGACCCGATGTGCAGGAAGCAGGAAGAACCAAAGTCATATGAGGAGGAGTGCAGCAATCACAGGATTGGGCAAAGCAAGGGTTTACAGCAGAGTTCATCAAGATCTGTAGTAGAGAGGCTCTACAACAGATTCTGTCCAAATTGGCACAAGCAGGATCTTACAATGAAGCCCACTGGAATCAGTAGTAGCATGATCATACAACAGATCTTGCAGAAACTGGTAAGAGGATGCTGATTTCACAGATCTCACAACCATAAAGATGTCAAAGACATTGGGGTTGCCACCCTGATGAAGCAGGGGCTGGCTCAATGATGAACTCGAGAGCAGGAGGATGGGCGAGATGAAGGGGGGTGTGAACTGCCACTCAGATGAAGTGGGAAGGGCCCCTGTTGATTATAAAGCAACACAAGGACTGCCCATCCACAGGGAGCAAGGGTAGCAGTGACAATGAGTAGCATTGCAAGGTGGACAGGACTAATAGGAAGGACAAGGGGAGGAGGAGCAGTGTTGAAGCAGGCTTCCCAGAGCAGGAGCAGTGTTGCAGGTGACATTGCAGGAATGGTTATATAACCATGCTCCTTGTCATAGTAGTTGAGTGGATCCTCATCCACTCTACACCTTACCTTACTAGCTATAACTTTCACACAAGTATACTTAGTAGCTTTGTCAACAGTAGCAATTGCAGAGCATTGCTTCTATCATAGCATGTGTGTTGTATCACTGCTTCTTGATGCCATCCAAAGGCAGTTCACACTGTGGTCTGGATAACAATCAACACCAAAGGTGGTCCACACTGTGGTCCAGCTCTCTCAATCTTAGAACCAAAGGCAGTCATCCACTGTGGTCTGGGGATCACTCAATCAACTCATCAACACACTGGACACTTGTGTTGAAGCAACCACATTAGCATCAGACCTTGGTGCCACCTCAGACAAAGCAACTATTGTACTTTGATTGTGCCAAGCTACCTCTGGAAGGAGTGTCCCCAGTGGTCAGTTGAAATTCATGATAACTGTCAGTTATAACATATTTGAGTGAGAACAGCCATAGAAGGCTTCTATGACAGATTCCAACAAGAACAATAATAGAAGGCCTTTACTACAGATCTTGCTGAGATTAATTGTAGTTGCCTTTTACTACAGATTTCGGGTTTCATGCACGTGACCTCTGACACTTCGAAATCTGCTGGAAGAGCTTGTTCCAGCAAATGTCAGCGAGATGTGTCGAGTGAGCTCATTCCGACCAATCTCAGTAAATTGTGTTGAGTGACTGTTTTCCAATAGATTTCGGCTGACCACTGTAAACACTCTGTTCAGAGGTAGCATGGCACATTCAAAGTTCTTGGATACTTGAGTTGATGTGTGATTTGACTATACCAGATGTATGGTACAACTACACCTGTCTTAGCACAAGTGTTTGTGATGCTTCAACAGTCATATGATGATACTGGTTGAGGTGCCAGGACCGCAGTGGAGGTGCTGCCTACAGTTGAGGGGCTGTAGCATCGATTGAGGTGTCAACAACATCTAGGAGCGGTGATACAACACACACATGTGGAGTAGTTGCAATGCCCTGCAATTGCAACTGAGATGATACTTAATGGAAGGACTGTGATACTGCGCTTATATCACGAACCAGCACGACGGTTGAGAGGACGACGACGAGGGCGAGATCGAGAGGCAGAGGAGACTACCAGACTTCGGAAGGGCTAGTTGTGAGTTGATTGAGAGTGACTTATTGTCAGAGGTTGCGCACCTGAAATCCGAAATCTGTGGTAAAAAGCAACTATGACTAATCTTGGTGAGGTCTATTGTAGAAGCCTTCTATTGTTGTTCTTGCTGGAATCTGCTATAGAAGCCTTCTATGACTGTTTTTGCTTGAATAGCTTGTAGACTAAGAGTTATCATGGATTCCAACTAACCACTATGGGCACTCCATCCAGAGGTAGCTCAGCACAATCAATATCCAATGGATACTTTGAGGTGACACCAAGATCTGGTGTGAGTGAGTTGGTCTTTGACACAAGTGTCCAGTGTGTTGATTGATTGATTGATTGATCCCTGGACTGCAGTGGACAACTGCCTTTGGTTCTAAGATTGAGAGAGCTGGACCACAGTGTGGACCACCTTTGGTGTTGATTGTTATCCAGACTGCAGTGTGAACTGCCTTTGGATGGCATCAAGAAGCAGTGATACAACACACATGCTATGATAGAAGCAATGCTCTGCAATTGCTACTGTTGACAAACCTACTAAGTATACTTGTGTGAAGTTATAGCTAGTAATGTAAAGTGTAGAGTGGATGAGGATCCACTTGACTACTATGATGAGGAGCAAGTGTGTATTATATAGATGCCTTCATAGTGTCGCCAGTGACACTGCTCATACCCTATGTGGTCTCATCCAACACTGCTCCTCCTTCCCTTGGCTCTCTTGCAAGGTCCTGCCAGGACATCCCCCTCCTCTTTTAGCACTGTTTCCCCTGTTCCTGGCATCCAGGAAGACCTTGTGCTGTTTCAGCCCTGATAGGGGCCTCTCTCACTTCATCTGAGTGGCAGATCACCCCCTCCTTCATATTGCCCATCCTCTTTGTCCAGTTCATCATTATGTAGGGCCCCTACCTCATCAGGTGGCAGCCCCTTCCCTGCCTATTGTCTTGTTATTGTGGGATTGGTGAAAGAAGCACCTTCAAACCAGTCTCCATGAGATCTGTCATATGAGTGTGGTACTACTGTTCCCACCAAACTATGTAACAAGACCTTTGCTCTTGGCGATCCTGACAAGTTATGTCATAGAGTCCTTGATCCTACCGATCTTGCTGAGCTCTGTGTCACAGGGTCAGTGGATCAGCATATGAAGTGTGCACCAAATTGATCTGCAGCAATCATCAGGAATCAATGATCTAATCAGGTTGGTAGTGCATATGGCTTGCAAGGTCAACTGAGTTCTGGGATCCTGATTAATCTCACAAGGATCAATCGGAATCAGCCTGATCAGCATGTCTCAGCAAGTCAGCCATCATGAGCAAGCATCAGGAGATTCAGGAAGGAGGATACCAGCAATAGAAGGAGAAGCATACAGAGATAACCACATGCAGGAGTGGGGACTGAGCTCAGCATCACACAGATGGTTACCACTCAAGGGGAATGTGTGTACAGCCACAGGGGACCAAGCACAGGGGCAACCACATGATCAAGGGGGCTTGGCAACAGGACTTGACAGGTGGTTAAGGGATTCGCAAGATAAGGTCAAGGAGGTAGTTGCCAGTGAAGAGAGAAGGAGCTGTGTCAAGCAGACCAGGGATTGTCTATGAGGAGGAGGAGCTGTGTTGAAGGGGTCAACACACATCACCAGGCAAAGGGGCAGTATTGCACAAACCAATACACTGTGCAAGCAGTAGAGGCACAGCATCAAAGGGAGTGACACCAGCAGGAGAGAGAGTGACAAGAGGAGACAAAGGCCTCTCAGGAGGAGTAGGAAAGGTGTCACAGGTGACACCAAGTGAATGCATAAATACTCTCATTCTACTATAGCATACAAGTGGATCCTCATCCACTCTACTCTATACTTTACATACTCTTTACTTGACTCATAGTTACATATCATTGCAATAGCAGAGCTTTGCAATGACACCTCATATGTGTGTGTTGTATCACCATTAGGCATCAACTGTAGGTGGTGTTACTCAACACCTGTGGTCCAGTCCCTTACTGTAGGCAGTGTTTTCTTGACATCTGTGGTCCAGTCAGTTATTGTAGGTGGTGTCCAACACCTGCAGTCCAGTAACTCCTGTCCTCTGTAGGTGATAAGCATATCACAGTCCAGACAATGATTAGAGAGCATTAGCAACAGTACTATGAACACTTGTACTGTAAGGAGAGTATACTACTCTCCCTCCAAAGAATAAACAGATGTGCTGTGCAACCTCTGAACAGAGTGTTCAAGGTGGTCAGCTGAGACCTACCAGTACAAAGCCATCTGGTTACATTTAGTTGGAACATCCTGAGTAGATCTTACTTGATTGTCTTCACCGATACCAATCAGAAACACCCAATCTGGTTTCAGGCACATGACCACTTACACTCTGTTGGAACTTTCTTAGCCCGATCCACAATTGCTGTGCATGGTCTCTTCGTATGATTCCAGTTCTTCCTGTGCATCCATCCGGTCCCATGACATTTTGGTCCCGATAACTGGCGATCAGGGAGAGTCCAAGTATGATGTCACTACTACTTTAGGGCAGAAACATATATACTCGATTGACTTAAGTGAACATGGTGAGGACCTAGTGTCCTCAGCTTGATATATATACATCTATGAGGTGTGTGCCAAATGTGGGAGTATCCTCCTTCATGATCTAGCTTGACAACAAGTGGGGCTATGTTGCACCTGATCTCCAGACAGATCTGTTCCATTGGATCCCTGATTGTGTTTATGTCAGCATGCATCATCATATCGGATCGCTTCCTTCGGCAACACATCGCTCAAGAGGAGGAAAGGCAGTGTCAAGGAGATCGACACACAGCTCAAGAAGAAGAAGAGCAGTGTCGAGGAAATCGAAACACTGTTCAGGAGGAGGAGCAGCAGCATCAAGGAAGTGCTCACACTTCTCAGGAGGAGCAGGAGCAGTGTCGCAGGTGACATTGCACAAACACATATATACTCTCATTTCATCATAGCATACAAGTGGATCCTCATCCACTCTATCTACTACTTAGTTTACTCTTTACTTGTTCCATATCATTGCAATTGCAGAGCATTGCAAAGACATCTCAAGCACATGTGTTGTATCACTGCTAAGACAACAACTGTTAGCAGTGTCTCCACTGCAGTCCAGTCATTCACCAAAGGCAATGTCTCTACTGCAGTCCGGCTCAAACCCCATCTGCAGGCAATAACTCTATTGTGGTACAGACACCTCTCAACTATTGTTGAGTGACAGTCAGCATTACAAACACTTGTGCTATGACAGATGTCAATGTCCTATACTTGGTGTAGTCACAGCAAGAAAACTTTATCCCACCAAATGTGCCACATAGCCTCTGAACGGAGTGTTCACAGTGGTTAGTCAAAACCTACCATTACATGACCTTACAGCATATCTTGTGGAGATCAAATGTAAGGAAAACCTTGTTGCACTTTTTGTGGAAATCAGTTATACTAGGTTTCTACAACAGCTTTCACGTTTCTGGTGCGCGACCGCTGACATCGAGGTGTGTGGATTGCCTCGATTGTCGGATAGGCGGAAAGGACTTGGCCATCCCGTCGGAAGGCGCCGGTCGTTCCGTCGGAGACATCGATCATTCCCGGCAGAAGGCGCCGGCTATCCGGTCGACCAGCGTGATGCGAGTTGATACAAAGGCACCCCTCATTCATGTTAGAGGGCTGCGGGTATATCGGCTCATGTCAGGCTGATTATCCGATAAGGCGCCAGCATACCGGCTATTAGATGCCTGAGGAGGAAGAGATAGTTTCCCTGTCATGCTTGGCAGGGTAGATACATAAGGGGCAAGACTTGGTTGTTTCGCTCTTCATTAGCATGAAGTCCATCCATCTGTACATACCCTTTGTCGTCGCCATACGTAATCAAACCGCGTCCTACCATCCGAGCTTGTCAACTGCCTGCAACAGAAAGGCCTTGGCGACAATATCGTCACGCAAAATCCCACCCGGCCGCCACCGACAACCCTGCGTCTGTATCTCAGTCTAGTTGCTGATACGAGTCCTTGGCCGTGGGCATTCACGTGTGGGGTGACGAGAAGGCTTGGCTCTTTTGGTTAGCATCACTTGCTGATGCCGAGTTCCGACAGTATCGTCGCTCAGAGAGTACTCGTCCAATGATGATTGACTGAGGACCGAAGCGGGCCGACAAGTGGGGTGCATCCCCACCACTCGCTCTTGAATAGTTCACAACCCGTTTCATGTGGCACGCTCTCAAGAAGCTCCTCGGACGATTAGGAACACTACTCGCTGAGAACGCCACATGAAGGATCTCTCTCGAATCCATGACTTGCACTCATTCTCGTACCATTCATCCTTCCTCACCGTCACCTGTTTTACTCCCCTCAAACCTTCAAACCGGCTTCTCTTAGGATTCGGCAGGATGCTCTTCACTCTGCTGACCCTTGTGCTCGCCCTATCGCTGCTTGCGACCTGCGCAAGTATCCCAGCGGCACAACCTCAGCCTCAGTCACCTCCTTCTTCCACCACCCCAATCCCAGCCTCCGCATCAGACTCCACCGATGGTCTACAAACCGTCAACCCTGTCGACATGGGTCAACTCTGCCAACAACCTGCCTACTATTGTATCTACGTAGACCAAGTTCGAGCAGGCATCGTCCATGCTTCACCTGTAAACGCTACTGATCGTCGTAAGTATCCTGCAGGCCTCCGTTCTTTTTTTCTTTTTTTTTTTTCTTTTTTTTTCTTTTTTTTTTTTTTTTTCCTCCCTTTATTCGCATTCAAAAACACTTACATGTTCCCATTTCACATCTGACAGAGGGAGGCTTTCTATTCGAGCGCAAAGCATACCTGGATCAAGCCTTCCACGTTTGTTTCGGCGGTTCTTGTATCGACCTCGACTTCAAATCGCGACCAGGCTGTGTGACGATGAACTACGTTGCAAGAGAGAGCGAGATCAAAGGACATTTGTTGGCTAGATTTGCGGATAATGTACAGAACATTATTGGTCCAAGACAGGATATGTTGCAGATGTTGATCGCTTGTCCTAATAATGATCAGCCTCTTCCCTATGCTGTCATTGGACCTAGAGGTGGAGCTAAGAAGCAGGATCAGAAGCAGGATAAAAAGGAGGATAAAAAGGAGGAGAAGAAGGAGGAGAAAGAGGCAAAGGAAACAGATACTGGAGTAGCGGCAAAAGCTGCCGTAAAAGAGAACAAGTCCGCTTTTCCTCCTACGGCTGCTAATATTACACAGCCAGGCAAGTTGGGTCATAATTACTTTGACGATGTCACTGTGCCTTTGGTTGATGCTTGATCTCGAGCGCATCCCTAGATCGTCTTTCCCAAAATCATACTACATCTCTTTTTCGTTTTTGTCGCCGCTTATAAAGAATCTACTCGTACCATTCAGTCAGATATCTGACACTCCTGCACAAGAAAGGCTTGTGCGTGTGGCGACGTTGCTTGAATGAATGTTGTAAGAATTGCGTTTGCATGCAGAAAGTAAGTCATGAGTGGCTGACACGTCCCAAAACAAGTGTTTGACAACGAGTGGGCTACGAGACAGGACGCCACTTAGTATCGCGCCTCGTAGAGAGAAACACATCCGCCACTTCATCTGGTTTACGCCATGCCGACTTAGAAGACGGCGTCAGATTGGTGACGCAAAATCGACGCCCTTCTTGCAATTCTTCGCCTAGCTGAGCTGCGTCCCACACTGTGAGCTGGACGGTTCGTGCGTGCGGATTCCTCTTCTTTGCCCCTCCTGCACCTGCTGATGCCGTTGCTGACGCCGCTGCTGCTGTGGGTGGACAAGGTGGGGGTAAGCGAGCGTCTCTAAACCGCACCACCCTAAATTCGCGCACCTTCCTTGGTGGACATGCACGGTCCAAATCTGCCGCTAACCTTGCTCCTAGCCCACCCATGTCTTCTGCCAACAAAGCACTCTTGGCTATCCCATGCAGCCACGGTGCTAGGTTTGAATGCCCTTTTGCAATGACTAGCTCTTTCACCGCTGATGCAGGATCTTGCTTCGCACGTAGCTGATCGAACAACTGCTGCGCACTTGCTTCCAGCCTACCCATCGGATCATCGGGAATGGAAGGCAAGAAGCTATCACTAGCCAGATCCGACAACGCTTCGACAAGATCGAACAACTTGCTGTTCTCGCTTTCAAGATTCATCTCGAGTTGCTGCATTGCATCTTCTCTTCGCTTCAGCCAAACTTGTTGCTCTTCGGCCTCTTCTTGTTCGCCCCTTGGAGCAGACGGGCTTCCGTTCCTCTCCGTATCAACATAAGCAAGCGGAAAGACTTTGGTGATGACGACATCCATCAACGACACCAGTCCGCCTTCTGGCGTCAAACTTCGCAAGCTCGCAAAGAATCTTGTTGATGTGAAGCCTAACTTGGCGTCCCAACGAGCTAGAGAGACAGAGTTGGAGGAGAGCACGAGACTGGACATGTGATATGCTGTCAGTACTTCGTTGCCTTCACCGTGCGCGTCAAGGGTTGCGCCCATAATCGCGAGTTTCTGTCCAATGCGCACCCGACCGCGTCGACAAGCAGAGGCCAGAACAGGATCGAGTTGCGCTTGAATACGGTACCATCCATCGGATAGCTCGAGAAGAGTGTTTTTCCGGACAACCACTTGGCCAGATCGATCTTGGATTTCCTTCTCTTCCTCCATGATCTTGGAGACGAAGAGCACCATCGGTCGTGCGGGGGAGGAGTCGTGCTCCTGTATCCTCTTCAGACATGATCTTCGCGCGCGGTTAACCTCGCGCTCATACCGATAGAGAAGTTGACGGATCAGCTCATCCCAACTCCAACGTTCTGATGCTGAGCCAGGATCCAGTCGGACGATGGCGGCAAGCTTCCATAAGATCAAAGTCCAGTGGTTGCTCACCCAAGGAAGCGTAGCAATGTTGCAAGCCCGGGCGCGAAGCTGGTCATAAGCATTCTGTTGCATGAGGAGCTCACCGTTGGCTGCTTCAAAGGCGTACTGCGATGCGCGGGAGGCGTCGTTGAGAATGACCAAGACTTCGTCCGGTACACCTTTTGCTATCATTTGCAGTGCAGAGACTTGTTCTGGTCGCCCTAGATCGGCAAGCTTCTGACGAGGTGTGCTGGAATGCAGGTGGAATACTGTGGGTCCTTCTGAGGAGGGACCTGCCTTTGCCAGTCTCTGAGGAGGCGGATAGTAACGGTTGGCAATAGGTGATGGAGGATGCAGGTCATGCGTGAGACCGTTGTTGGGCCTGCGTAGGGGTGAAGCGAGCTCCTGCTGCTCATCCGTTTTTGGACGCTTGCCGTTTTTGAAAGGCGTAACGAACTTGGGCAGCGTTCGCTTCCTGCCTGTGCTACCACCGATGTCGACCCTGGGCATGAGGTTGATACGCTTGCTCGGCTGTGGTGTGGTGAAGCGTGACGGAGAAGCGGCAGCAGCAGCTGCAGTCCGCACAGGACTTGCTAGGCTGGTAGCGCTGGAAAAGAGGCCGTTGCGTATGGGCTTGGGCGTGGCGAAAGGCTGACGCTCTACTTGGCTGGTTGACATTGCTTGTGCTGCTGAGATGACCTGGGATGATGCAAGTTTGCCTTTCGGTGGAGGAGATTGGCTTGCGTTTGGCATGAGACTGATCTGTTTGGGGACTGCCTCCTGCAACGGCGTTCTGTCGATCGTTGGCCTTGTAAAGCGACGCTTCGGTGCTGTGAGACTTTGCTTAGAAGGCGAGTCGAATGTTCGCGGTCGCAGCTGTGGCGACAATGCCTGGGAAGCTGCTGGCGGCAGCAGCGGATCGTGCAACTCTTGCAGATCAAGAAACAGCTTTCGTGCCGCTTGCAAAGACTTTTCACTCGGTTTGGCATGCTTTCCATGGCCCGTTTTGAAGCCGGCAAACTGTGGGTCGAGGAAGGAGGCCATCTGACTGGCTTCTGGCAGCTCTTCAGGCGGTGCATCCTTTCCGGCTGGAGTCAGCTCAAGTGGGTTGAGGGGCTGTGATGCTTGAAGATTTCCGTTGCGAGTTGGCGAGGCTGGAGATTGAGCGTGAATGGTGCTGACAGGGGCATCTATCGAGGGCAAAAATGCTTGCCGCCGGACCGGGGGGCTGAGTTCGATATCACTGAAAGCGCCGGCATCGATGCCGTCGAAGAGGTTGGTGTGGTCAAGATGGGGATCAAGATGGGAATCAAGCTGACCGTCCATGGTGGTAGGAAGCTGGGTGACTGCAAGTGCAGTTTCTGTCGCAATGGCTTGGATGAGCAGCTGCTGCGCGTTGTCCACAAATGCTTCCTGGAGCTGCTCCGACTCGGGTAGCAGAGGGATAGAAGCTGATGTTACTGTCTCTTGCACCTTGTGCACCTCTGATGTACTTGGTTCGACTGCGACCAGCTGGCCATTTGTCGGTATGGCATGGGCCGCTTGCTGTGCAATCGCTTGGGTGCTGAGGCTGTCTGGATGTGGGTTGTGCATGATTGCTTGCTCGCTAATTGTATGCAGCTCCTCTAAGATGGACTGCTGGGTGGCGGCCAGCTCGTCATCCTGCAATTGGTCGAGGCTGGCAGGCGGAAGCGCTTGAACCGGCGAGGATGTGTTGTCGTGCATCGTGACAATCTGGCCTTTCCTGCTGGATGTGTGGCGACGTTGAAGGTAGCTGGAAAGGAAGAGTGAGCCGAAGGCGCGGAAGGAGTCAGGTATTTGTATAGAACGGGCTAGGAGCTGTTCATCCTGGTGGCTTGTAGGCTTATCCGAACCGGCCAGAAGAGCCTTGTCGGATGTGGCGATGAAGGCGCCAGGTCAGTAGTGCTGCGGATGGTGACATCGGAAGAGCCGAAGATAAGGTCGCAGTGTAGAGTCGACAAGAGGCAGAGTCGAAAAGTGGCAGAGTCGAAAAGTGGCAGAGTCGAAAAGTGGCAGAGTCGAAAAGTGGCAGAGGGGAGAGAGGATCAAAGTGCTTGTCGTCGTCAGTCGGAAGTCGTTCCGATTCGTGTCAAATCGCTCATCAAAAAAGATTCGACAAGGCCGACACCCTTCGCTTTTGTCACCCTCGCGCTCACCCTCACGCTCACTCTCACGACACGCGTAGCCTAGCCTCAGCCTCAGCCTCCACACCGAGACTCTTGTATCTGCCCGATCTTGCAGGCGGGGGAAAGCAGCTGCATCGGGGTAAATCCCGATTCAGGAATGCTGGAAGCTTTCATCATGGCCGGCGGTTTCATCTTTTCCAGCAGTTGCTTACCTTGAAGTGCGATTGCCTTGCCAGCTTGTTTCGCATTTGGGAAAGCAACTGAGAGCATTTTTATTTTCATTTTTCGCTCAAGCAGGAATAGCTTGTCATGACGAGCGAGTGAACAGGAGCATACACTCTTGCGAGGGGAGCTTGTCTTGTATAGCCCCAAGCAAGACTGGAATCAGCCGTCCAAGTGCGGAGCAGTCGAAATCAAGTGACTGTAAAAAGTGACAGTAAAAAGTGACAGTGGAGAGTGAGAGTGACAGTGGAGAGTGAGAGTGACAGTGGAGAGTGAGATAGTGACAGTGGAGAGTGAGATAGTGACAGTGGAGAGAGCCTGTCAACGGAATTCCAAGGCTCAGGAGTCGATCGGCGTCATTGACCCAAAGCGTCAAAAGAGAAGAAAGAGAGAGGCGCCGCCATCTTGGAGAGGGATGAGAACAGTGTCGTGAATATCATCTCGAAAGTCATGTCTCGGCCTTGTTTCCTTGCAGTCGAATTTCCTGCACAATTTCGCTCAGCTCTTGCCACTCCTCTCAGCGCTTGTCCGCCTGTGCGCTTGTGCGCTTGTCCAGTCTGTTACTTTTGGCGCAGCAGATTGGCAAGCAGCAGGAACGAGAGCAACAGCCAACAACCAACGGCACAGCCGACACACAGACACAGTCCGCCAGACAAACCAGAACTCCAAGAGGCCTTTGGCGCGCTGCCCAATTCGCCTCGTTTCTCGCTCAAGCTTTCGCCTAGCCAAGCCACACAACACAGACACTTTCTCTCTCTCTCTCTCTCTCTCTCTCTCCTCTCGATTTGGCCACGTCTGCTTTCAGTGTTGCCTTTTTAAACTCGCCCTATCATCTCGTCGACATCGTCGCTTCTCCTTACCTCCCCACCATCATCCATCCTGCTTCATCCTCTCCTTTCCTTTGCTCCCTTTCTTACTGCTCCCTTTCCGTTTGCTCCCTCTCCTATTGCTTTCTACAATCTAGAGACGTAGCTTTCCTTGCTTTCCTTCCCTTTCCTTTCCTTGCTTTCCTTTCCTTTCCTTTCCCCCTCCCCCCCCCAACCCCCTTTTCGTTGATCCCCTTACACCCTTGCTGAGCATCGGATCCTTTCATATACACTTGTCGTCAAAATGGTAAGCATCTCTTCTTTCAACGCGCAGACTTGCTAGCTAGTAGTACATGGCCGATTGCTGACTCGTTTTGCTTTGGACGCAAACCGATGGCGCCCAACCACATATGCCACAATTTCACCATCCTCTCTTGCATTATAACAGTGCGGCATTTTCGCTTACATCAACCACTTGGTGGAGAAGGACCGCAAGGAGGTCGTAGACATTCTTGTCAACGGTCTTGCTCGTCTCGAATACAGAGGTTACGACTCTGCCGGTATTGCCATTGATGGTGACACAGAGAGGGACACTCTCGTTTTCAAGCAGGTCGGCAAGGTCGCTGCTCTCCGCAAGCACATTGACGAGTCTCCCATCGACCTCCGCAAGGTCTCGATCTCCCAGATGGGTTTGGCCCACACCCGTTGGGCCACTCACGGTCAACCCAGCCCTATCAACTGCCACCCTCACCGATCCGACCCAACCAACGAGTTCACTGTCGTCCACAACGGTATCATCACCAACTTTAGGGAGCTCAGGATGGTTCTCGAGAAGCGCGGCTTCAAGTTTGAGAGCGAGACCGACACTGAATCCGTAGCCATTCTCTGCAAGTACCTCTACGACTCGGCTCAGGGCCGCAAGCCCGACTTTACCTCGCTCATCAAGAGCGTCGTCAAGGAGCTCGAGGGTGCCTTCTCCTTTGTTTTCAAGTCTGTTCACTTTCCCGGAGAGGTTGTCGTTGCTCGTCGAGGTTCGCCCCTTCTGATCGGTGTCAAGACCGAGAAGAAGCTCAAGGTCGACTTTGTTGACGTCGAGCTCGGTGGTGCTGTTGAAGAGACGGGTTTCGGCGATGCTGGTCTCCTTGCTCCTCCGGGCACCGACCCCTCTGGCCCTGGCTCTCTCACTGTCCCCAACGCCAACAACAAGCTCCTCCGCTCTCAATCCCGTGCTTTCTTGTCCGAGGACGGTCTCCCCCAGCCCATCGAGTATTTCATTGCTTCCGACGCCGCCGCTGTCGTTGAGCACACTAAGCGTGTCCTCTACCTCGAGGACGACGATGTCGCCCACATTGCCGAGGGTGAGCTCCACATTCACCGTTTGCGAAGAAACGATGGCCTTAGCTCCATGCGTTCCATCGAGACTCTGGAAATGGAGTTGGCCGAGATCATGAAGGGCTCCTTTGACCACTTTATGCAGAAGGAGATCTACGAGCAGCCCGACTCGGTCGTCAACACGATGCGTGGTCGTGTCGACTTTGACAAGCGTCAGGTCAAGCTTGGCGGTCTTACTGCCTTTCTCAACACAATCCGTCGTTGCCGCAGAATCGTCATGACCGCTTGTGGTACCTCTTACCATTCCTGCTTGGCTACTCGTGCCATTTTTGAAGAGTTGACCGAGATTCCCGTCTCGGTCGAGCTTGCCTCGGATTTCTTGGACCGCAAGACCCCCATCTTCCGTGATGATGTTTGCCTTTTCGTTTCGCAGTCCGGTGAGACGGCCGATACCATCCTTGCTCTTCGATACTGCTTGGAACGTGGTGCCCTTTGTCTCGGTGTCGTTAACACTGTCGGTTCCACCATGTCCCGAGAGACCCACTGCGGTATCCACATTAACGCCGGTCCCGAGATCGGTGTCGCCTCCACCAAGGCATACACTTCCCAGTACATTGCCCTCATCATGATGGCTGTCCAGCTCAGCGAGGACCGAATCTCGATGACCGAGCGAAGAAACGCCATCATTGACGGCTTGCATGCTCTCCCACACCAGATCAAGTCCATTCTTGCCCAGGACAAGGCCCTCCAGGGTCTTGCTCACAACACTCTGGCCAAGGAGCGCTCCTTGCTCATCATGGGTCGAGGCTATCAGCACGCTACCTGTCTCGAGGGCGCCCTTAAGATCAAGGAAGTCTGCTACATGCACTCGGAAGGTATCCTTGCCGGTGAGCTCAAGCACGGTCCTCTCGCTCTCATTGACGAGTCGATGCCCGTCATTTTGATCATGACCAAGGACTCTTTGTACCCCAAGGTTCAGACCGCGCTCATGCAGGTCACAGCGCGAAAAGGTCAGCCCATTATCATTTGCAACGACGACGACCAGGACATCAAGCCGGATATGAAGACCATCCGTGTCCCCCGCACCGTCGACTGCCTTCAGGGTCTCTTGACTGTCGTCCCTCTCCAGCTCCTCTCTTACCACCTCGCCATCGCCGCAGGCGTCGACGTCGACTTTCCAAGGAACCTTGCCAAGTCTGTCACCGTCGAGTAAATATTCCCCCCCCCCCCCCCCCCCCTCCCCCTAGCTTTTGCATCTGTTGTCTTGAGGACACCACCTCTTTGTAAATCATGGCTGTTGTGCCATTCTAACCAAGTTACCAAAGCCAGAGCACCTCTCTTGAGCCATCAGAACGTTTGTGCAATCAAGTCTAAGGCTATTCCTTTCGTTTGAGATGTGGATGCAGCCCTGAGATTGCGATGATTCTACAAAGGACGAGTGAAAAATGCGATTCGAGTTGTTGTTGTCCGAAGAAGGGTCAAGCCAAGAGACCAATCCAAAGCGACGGGTTTTCTACAAGATGTTTCCAACGGTTAACCAGACGTGCAAGATCTGCACCTTCCACCACCCTATGATCAGCAGTAAAAGAGACAGACATAATAAGTCTCCTTACGATCTTATCCTGATCCGAGACACCAAGCGAAGGAATTTCGGATGCAAACCTAGGCAAGATTCTACTTCTACCCAACGCACCAATTACAAGCTGACCCGTAGGTGGCAAAAGAGGATGAGTATACGTTCCTCCACCCACAGCACCAACATTACTCAAAGTAACAGTTCCTGTCGCCCTAAGATCCGAAGGCGACAAACCCCTAGACGAAAGTGCAAGATTCTGTAACCTAGCGATACAACCTGAAAGATCCAAGACCGACTTTACCTGACAATCCATAATACAAGGTGTAAGCAGACCTACTTTGCTTGTAATAGCAATTGAAATATCATGTGAAGAACGACGAACTAACTTCTGATCCCCATTAACTGTCGATCGAAACATCGGATGATCCTTGAGTGCCAAACTCATTGCTTTGACAAGAAAAGGAAGGAGTGTAAGCTTGCTAAACGAAGAATCCCCAGCAGAAGTATAACGGTCTGGGATAGACTTGGAAAGCACCTGACGCACTTGGTCGAGATGAGTAACATCCACCTCGTCTGAATAGGCAAAGTGTGGAGTAGCAAGTGTAGCTGTCATTGCTTTGAACATTGATCGTTGGACGGGTGTGAGGTCGATGACTTGCGTGGTTCTTTCTGGTTCCTGAGCAGAGGTGGAAGCAGTGGAAGCAGTGGAAGCAGTGGAAGCAGTGGAGGGAGTGGAGGGTAAAGAAGAGGCAGCAGTGCTAGAGGACTTGGTTGAAGCTTCTCTGCCATTCTGGACAAAGTTGAGCACGTCTTCCTTGGTGATTCTGCCATCTTTACCTGTGCCAGGAACGTGGGCGAGGTCAATGTTGTGATCGCGGGATACTCTTCTCACAGCTGGTGTTGCCAGTACATGGTTGCCATTTAAATGGCTTGCTCCCCCATTGGAATGCTTGCTTTCTGCCGAGACAAACGCATCCATATCCACCGCCTTGAACTGCTCGTCCTTTGATACACACTTAATCTTGACCTCCTCTTCCTTCTTCCCTGCCTCTTGGACCTCGTCAGCCGTACCTTGGGATTCCATCTCGATCTCGCACAAAGCATGGCCAACTTTAGCTACATCTCCTTCCTTGTACATCAACCTCTTGATCTTTCCAGCATATCTCGAGGTGATCTCAACAGAAGCCTTATCCGACTGAACCTCACAAATCGGATCGAACTCTTGAACAACAGCACCAGGCTGAACAAACCACTTGATCATCTCGCATTCGGTGATACCCTCTCCAACATCGGCCAGAAGGTAGGGTATGATTTCAGTTGCTAATCTTCTCGGTGTCGTTGCAAAGCTTCGAAGCGATGTGCAAGAGCTTCCCATAACAGTTGGGATGGATGTCGATGAAGATGACCATTCAACGTAGGATCGGGAGAGGCTATGTGGTGAGCGAAAGGCGCGAGTGCTACTGTGAGCAGCTAGGCCAATGGTCTGACGGAGAACGGTTCTTGCTACGAGCATCGTTGCTATCCGCTGCAATATCAACAGGAGTTTGGCTTGGATGGATGTAAGGTGTTGCAAGAGAAGCTACGGGCTTGAGGGATGAGATAGATGCAAAGGCGAGAGCGAGCGAGGCCTCTTTCGTGTGGGGCCCACCTCAGCTGTCAGCAAGAAAGGAATGATTTTCGTCGGTTTTGACGGTCTGTCGGCATCCAATTCTTCACTCACGCTACTACTGCCAGCCGAGATTCGATAGAGACACGTGACTCCATCAGCCCACACAGTGAAAGTTGTCCACTTGCCACACGTCGGCACTTTTCGCGGCAACTTGGCTTGGACGTGTGTGATTGTGCGAATCTAACACCTCCGTTTTCAGTTTTTACCCTCCTGAGGTGTGTTGAGAAAGATACACTAGACACACCACCTCACACAACATCGTCACGCATCGGAGAAGAGACAGTAGCGAGCCTCTATGGATTGTGCAGAGATACAACGAGACTTGTTTCAGGTGTTTCGGTTCTTGAAGAATGCCGCTGTTTGCTGTATCATACCACCGAAACGCTCGGCGACGGTCACTTGGTTTCGAATCCACGCTGGAAGACGTTGCCTGATCTCAGGTCGGCCGTATCTTCTATCGAGCAGGATCAGTGCTGCGTAGTCCTTCTGGTGCCGTACTGCTCGACCAATGGATTGGTTGACAGCCTTCATGCATAGATTTGTATATAGCTCATCGCCCTGCGATAATGGAGAGTAACAGGAAGCATATTAGCGAGAGAATGCTTCATCGGTGAAAGGGTGCCAGGGCCACTTACGGGATCAGCCACTTTCGGCATTGACAAGTTGCTTGTCGTTCTTGCTTGCTTGGCCAAATCTCGCACATACTTGATTCTTTCCGCCAACTCTGGGCTGTTGATGTTGGCGAAAGGCATGCCTACCATCACCACGCCTCGTGCGAGATCATCTGAGAAGTTGATACCTTCCGACAACTTTGCTCCGACTACAGCCAACATAATCGCGCCGCCACCTCCTCTCCCCTGCTCCGCTCGAATGGCTGCCGTGTACTCTGCCAGCACCTTGTCTACTTGCATCGTCGTCTTAGGCTCGATAAAGATTTTCTTTTTTGCACTTAATCTCTGCAACACTTGGCCTGAGGCTGCATCTTTCCACCTTGCCATCAGCTTGTCTAGGAATGCATATGACGGAACAAAAACAACCAGACCTGCAGGTATGATATTGCAAAGGTTAACAAGCGTCTTGCCTAGTTGGTCAAGCATATCAGTGTTGTCACGCGAATCCAACTTGAATTCGAATGGCAAGCCTTTCGGACTAGAGGAGAGGACGGAGACCATGAGGTTGCTCGGTGGGATGACGTGACCGCATGAGAAGGTGACAAGTCGGTCAGAAGGCAGGAATGGAAGAAGCTGTTGACGAAAGTCTGAGATAGGCTCCATCGTTCCACCAGCCAGAATGACTGAGCGCGCCTCGTCGACGAGCGATTTGAAAACGTGTGATGGGTTGAGAAGCTGATACTTGGCACGCACGATAGTCTCACCAGTATTGCTGTCAAGCGTGCTGGTAAGGACTACCCGACCATCTTCGGATCGATTGGCAAGCGACAGGATGAAGGCTTCGATCGCGTGCATGCTCGAAATGCCACTTTGACCTATGCCACTTTGACTTGTGCAGGCTCCTTGCTCGAGATCAGCTTTCTTCGGTAAACGCTTTGTCGTGGCACGATTCTTGCTGGCGTTCTGATTCGTGTTGGCTAGCATGGCTGCTTCTGCTTGCTCGGCTGTCTTCTTCTTGCGTTTCTCCGCATAGCCACTTATCTTTCTTGCGATCTGCGTCTCCTTCAACCACGTCTCGAGCGTCACAAGGTTAACTTGATCTACACTGCCCATCATTGCTCCTAGCATGTCTGTGAGCGACATGACCACGTCAGAATTGCCTTTCCCTTTGGTGGCGTGCTTAGAGAAGAATGTCGACAATGCTGAAAGCACTTTCTTGACTTTACGAAGATTTTGCTCGTTGTTTCCTTTCAACCGCAGTGCGAAACGGTCGAGGTACATTTCGATCTGTTTTGACGCTTGTATGATCTGCCGCGAATCGATCGTCACTGAATGCGTGGAGAGGATGGTGTCAATGAGGTTGTGTGCTTCGTCGATGAGAACAATACACCCCTTCAGGCTGATACCAAGAGACTGACGTGCGTCTTTTTGCAGGAGCAGATTGTAAGGAAGCGTAACGAGCTCTGCTTGCTTAGCACTACTACGAGCTGCAAAGTATGGACAGGTCTTTGTACTTATACCCAACTGAACGAGATCTTCAATATCGCCAACTTCTGCCATAGCTGCATCGCGGAACTCCAAAATTTCAGCTCTGCCAACTTGATCAAAGGTAGGCAACAAGGCACATCGACCCTTGCCCTTCTTTGCCTTGATCAGTTCTAAACATCGCTCGTTCATGGCTTCTGAACCTTTGATGCTTGCTATGCGCTGAACGTCTTGGTTGATGCACATCTGTTTTCGACTTGCCAAAGCAATTGTTCGGACGGGCATCTTCTCTGCATCCAGCACATCTACTTGGCCGAAAGAGGTCTTTTTGAGCTCGGCGACGAATTGCGAGAGCTGCGAATGTGTTCTACTAGCGTATATAATCCGTGGCAAGGTTTCTGGTTCCTCTTGCTCCTCTTGACCACGGTTGTGGGTCTGTTCGTATTTCTGCATGAGAGCCCGCACTGCTGGTGAGAGGTTGCAGTCGAGATCTGAAGACTTTTCCCACAGCGCAGTCTTGGAGTAAGTAGCCATACGAAGCGCCTGTGCACCCTTTGCGCCCTCGCTTTCTTCGATAAGAAGATCATCATCCGAATCATCATCCTCGTCCCTATCATTGGCGCTGGAACGTTGTCGCTTAGCTGCTCTTGCATCTTTGGCGAGCATGCCATCACGACGACTTTGCTTCAGAGCAGCTTGCTTTGCACGTGCAACTGCTATACGCTCTCTAAGGTCGATCTGATATGCTTCGTGTTGCTTTCTCTTGCGCTCTTGTTCATGCTGAACGACCCAATCTGGCTCATCAAGCGTCCCTACACTATTCCTCTCGTTACTGCTGCCACTAGAACCCTTAACCCCCCTCTGTTCATTCTGCCGCAACCATGTAAAAGCAGCACATATCAGCGATAAAGACTTTCCTGTTCCAGTAGGACTCTCGAAAATACCGACTTTTCCATCCTCGATCGTTGAAAACACCTGCCGCATCAGATCCAGCTGAATCGAGTAGGCTTCAGGGAACGGAAACTGAAACTGGCGCGATGCGAGCTCAGCATCGCTGCTGGATCCAGGTGTTGCGAGTTTAATCTCGTTGTTACGGGTCGTCATGCCTGGCAGTTGCCAAGTGATTCGTGTGTTAGGCAAGCGATGGTATCACCTTGCTTACAGCCAGAGTGTTGGTTGGCGCAAAGAGAAGCAAAGAGAAGAAAAGAGAAGCAAAGAGAAGCAAAGAGAAGAAAAGAGAAGCAAAGAGAAGCAAAGAAAGTTGAAGTTTCGTATGATTGATGATAATGGGAGAGAGAGAGAGGGCGAGGAGAGAGAAGGAGTCTATATATATACTAAAGAGGAGCGGCAGAGAGCCACATCGACTGCGGAGCAAAACAAAGCATTTGTCTTGAGTAGGTTGTGACACATGTGGTCTGTGCTCAGATGCTCAAGCCTTTTACTCGGCCGTAAGCACTACCCTCATGGTCTCTACGCTTTGTGTAGTTTTTATCTACTTCAACTAAGAAAGAGTGCATTTCAGGGTTCAGCCTGGCGCGTCTCTTTCGCGCATTGTTTTCTGTCGCGTAAATGGCCGACGCTCCACATTTTTGCACGTGACATCTTCTGTGTGTCTTGTCCTCACACGGCCTTCTCATCGGACAGTCGTCTTGGGTAGACACTGTCGAAGGCGAACTGGTCAAGGCACACCTATCCTACACGTCATACCCGGAAGAGAAGGGTAAAAACATTGAATTGAACAGAGTACAGTGGAACACATCTATCCTGAATCGGGAAATACAAATGTCGGATGGTCTGGTTGAGACAGCGTGCAAAGAGCCATTGTGGCCTGTCGAATCGCAGATAGCGAGTCAAGGCGAAGAGCTGCGAGGAAACTTGGTCCAAAAGCAGATTTGAGACCTCTGAGAAGGGCGAGATTGGTGAACAGTAAAGAGCGTGAGGGAAGATGGTGGGATGTCTAGGTGAGAGTTGAAAAGCGTCCAAGGTGAGAGAGCATGAGAGCTGCATGGCAGCTTTGAGGTATCGAGGTTGCGACCGTGTGCTGCGTTTAGCCCTTGTGTGTCTTGAAAGCAACCAGACCAGCAAGAGCGATACCGTAACCGAAGAATTGTAGCCCGCTCACTGTATCGCCGAGGAGCAGCATGGAGCCAAGGATGAGGAGAATGTCCTTGATAACACCAGCGAGAGTGAGGGTCAAGGAGCTGGCGGCGCCGATGAGGAAGACGGCGGCGATGTTGAGAGCGAAAGCAACACCGGCATTTGTGAAAAGTACAAAGGGTCCCAGGTTGGAGATCTGGAAGAAAGGAACGAGACCCTCGGTGAAGGGGAGCACAAGAGCGTTGATAGCAGCGCAAACAGGTGCAAAATAGTAGAGCGAGACGAGCGGATCCATCTTAAGGCCCTGGAGAAGGACTTGGATCATGACGAGACGCGAAGACTCGAAAGCGATGGCAAGAACCTGACAGATGAAACCAGACATGGCAAAGTCGCCCTGACCGTAAGAGGCGAGAGCAACACCGAAGGAAATGCAACCGACGATCATGGTAAGGGTGCCGGAAAGCTGCTTGAGACCGAAAGCAAACGAGATGAGGAGAACGGCAACAGGAGTGAAAGCCTTGAGCATCTGGATGAAGCTGACACCAAGGGTGAGGTAGGCCATGTTGCTGAAGATGAGCGAGCAGGAGAAGAGGGCGCCGATGGGAAGAATGTTCTTTAGCCATCGATCGTTGGTCATTTCGACGTTAGCCAGACCATCAAGGAGGTGAGTGTATCTTGCCAAAAGACGGGTGCCGAGGGTTGCAAAAGCCATGTGAAATGTTGTGAGGAAGACGGGGAAGGGGAAGTTGAGCTGGTTGGGATCGAGAACAAACCTGTTAGGAGAGAGGGGGGGGGGGGGAGAAAAACAGATCAGCAAGCGGACCAGAAGAAAGGCACGCTTGAAAATGGCAAGGTGGAGCAAGCAACACTTACTTGTTGTAGACAATGACGCTACTGGAGAGGGCAATCCAAAGGATAATGATGACAGCAGGGTGAAGCTTCTTCTTGTCTTGCTTAGAGGCGCCACCAGGGAGGATGCCACCGTTGGTGGGCTGTGCGCCCATACCGCTGTGACCGGGAGTGCCCACGGAAGGAGTACGGTGGCCTGTGATAGGGTCGTGGCCGGCCTTCTCGTCGATTGAGAGACTCTGCATAGGGAGTGATGTGTGATCCTTCGACATCTTGACGGTGTAGCTTGACGGTGTAGCTTGACGGTGTAGCTTGACGGTGTAGCTTGACGGGTGCGAAGCAGCGAGCGAGTGACTGAGAGGAATGGACAGTTAGGGAGGTGGTTGGTGGTGGTTAGGTGGTTGTGGTTAGGGTGATCGTGGTAGGTGAGGTGGGGTTGGCCTGTCTATGATTTCCTCCTCACCCAAATTTAATTTTGACTGTATTTTGCAATTTCAAGTTTCGACGCGTGTGTGCGTGCGTGTGTGCAAATACTACATTTTGCTTTGAAATGGCTGTGCGCGAGAGGAGAAGAGACAAGTTTCTAGTTTCGATTTCTCCTTTCTCGCCTGCCCCTCGTCCCTACGTCCCTCTGTGCCTTCTGTGCCTGATAATTGACAGCTCCCAGCATTCGGCGCCAATCAACCAGGGATTGTATTGATCAAATACATTATTCAGGGTTTCGATTCAGATCTGCAAAGTCGCTACGCTTGTCCGGGGTTGTTGCTCGACGATAATTGTCTCAATCAAATTACAGTATTTTGTATTTCAAATGGAGCAAGAGCCCAAGCTACTTAGTTACTACTCTACCTGGACAACGTGCTCTCCAACGATCCAGCAAGATCTTGACGGGGATATGAGCCGATACAGTAAGAGATCGGGCAGAGCCGATACACTAAGAGATCGGAGACTCCTGGCTCCTGCTCGTTGTCACACTTCATCATTGAGAGGCATACTCCTACCTTTGGGTATCTGCCGCTACTGTACTGATATCGCTCGATAAGCGTCGCCAACTGTCGTACTTTCTATTATCCCCCACATCATCATCATCATCATCATCATCATCATCATCATCATCATCATCATACCCCTGCTCTTGCTTCCGCCAGTAAGAAGCTGTTGTCAAACCTGCATTCTTCTTGTCTTTGCTATCGTGTCTGATGAACTGCAGAAATACTCAGAGTCGCCAGGCAGATATCAGAGCGTTGGTCGCTTTGCATGGAAGCATCGCATGGAAGCATCGCATGGAAGCATCTTCTATGGCCGGAATGCTCGCCCAGAAAGGTTCTCTTCAACTGTACAGCTTTCCATCGGGCATGGTCCATGTTGATCGTCAATGCATTAGCCAAGGGAGCAACGACCCAGATTGTCTCCAGTGGTCCTGTGTTGGCCTTTCGAGGATTTGTGCTTGAACCCTATTCACACACATCGATGCGTCGATAGTCGTGTGTGTCGCCATGAACGCTCCCGGCACGTGCTCCGGATCTATCTTGGCAAATGCGTCCATCATGGGTCTGTTGCCCGACAGAGTGGTGCAATGTACGCCTGTTGTTCGTGCGCCAGGTAGACGTCCTTCTCGATCGCCTCGGCTGCCTGGGCCGCTTCTTGCTCGTCAACATCGAACACATCTTGCCATCCCAGTTGTCGCTCTTCTTCGCCCTTGCTCCATTTCGCCGTAAACTTGGCCGGATCGAGGTTTGAAGTCTTACACGCTTGATGGAACGCTCCAGCTGCGAGCACTGCTGCTTCGAACATGACGCACGTCGAGTCTCTTAAGCTGTGTCGTAGCATCCCATTGAAAAAGCAGGGAAAGCATCGATATCAGTGTCTGTTGCCTCCTCTGCGCGACGTTCGTCTTGCATTCTTTGCCACTTACCTGTCATTCAGAATGGTCCATCCCAGGCGCACCAGCCAAGCATCGACAGTCAACCGGCTGCATGCTTTCACCAGGATCTCGTGAGGGTGCTCCACAATCAGGTCAAAGCACAGCGTTTCCAGCAATGTCTCTTCCGACAACAGAACAATGTCTCGCCATCTCGCATACTCCTACCGAGCAAAAGAAATAGAGCATACAAGCAACGCGATCAGTGTCAGCTAACAGAATGCTTTGTGCAAGACGTGAGACATACAGGGGTAATAGCTTACTTTGCTGGAGGGATCTGCGCGAAAACTGCGTTCTGCCCATCTCTGATTGCCAGCTGGACTCTTATCGAAGGATGCCATTGCAGCATCTATGACACTGGGCAGCTTTCTATGCGACTCTTCCACTTTGCATGCCAAAAAGACGCATGTGGCTGCAATCTCGTAGTGTGAATAGCCAAGCTTGTTTGGTCCATACTCGAGCGGCTTACGCATGAAGAAGCGGTGCAGATAGATGCAAGCCGTGTTCATCACATGCTGCGAAAGCCGCATGTATTCTCCCATTCGATAGATGGCATTGATGCCCTTGAAGCGTCGATGCTTTTCTTCGCTCGGATCCAGTCCTGCTAGCAGCACTGAAGGAGTCAAGGCCAGATCTGCCTTTGTGAAGAGCCATTGATCCTCCCGTGCTTGCCCAGCCGATGGGAGAGAGCCGTTGGATGCGGTCATTTTGTGTTGATCATGCTTGATTGTTGCTCTTTGTGGCTGTCAGTCGAGCAACAGCGATGGTTGTGTGCAAAGAAAGCTGTGAGCCTCTTGTTTGCTTTGTCGAAACTCAAGTCACTTTGCTTCGGAACTCGGGCAAGTTCGCTCCACATTCTTCTTATGTCGAAAAACAAATCACAACATATAATGTTGAGTTTTGGTCCCGATAACTGGCGATCGGGCAGAGTCTATGTACAATGTCACTGCTGCTTTAAGACAGAAACATGTATACTCAATTGACTAAGTGAACCTGCTGAGAAGCTAGTGTTCTCAACTTGATATATATATACATCTATGACGCTCATACCGAACGTGGGAGTATGCTACTTCCTCACCTAGCTTGACAATGAGCGGGACTGTGTTGTACCCGATCTCTGGTCAGATCGGCTTGGCCCGATCTCTTTCGGATCCGCTTACGTCAACTCGCATCATCATATTGGATCGTTTCCTTCTGCAATAAATCAAGCTGCAATTCCCTGCCAAGAAAAACCGAACGAAAACCAAGAATCAGATCTGATCGCCATGAATATCAAAACATCGTAGCACAAGTGCGAGCAAACCAGCCATCCAGCCCTCTGTACGACAAAATCAGCATTGCGCATATCTTGCTCACAAGACCATGGCGGTGCAAGATAACAGCCTGGACAGAGTCAAAAGAACAAATATGCTGTCATTGCGGAAGCTTACATTAAGGACGTGGGTATATAAAAAAAAAAAAAAAAAAAAAAAAAAAAAAACACACACAAGTTGCAAATGCGTGACGAGACTCTGGGAACTGCAATGTCAGTTTCTTGCGTTGAACTATGAGCGGATCGCCTCAGCCGCAAGATGAGAGCATGTTGCTGCAGAGCATTTTCGAAAGAGGAGGACCGCCTGCTGGGTATAATGGGCAAGATCAATGGTAGGAGGGAGCAAAGATGGAAATCTGGCTCATAGAGGATCTGTTAGCTTGCCTCCCATCCAGCCTTCGCCAGCCTCGAGCAGATTGACCATGCCCGTGAACAATGCGGTAGTGGTAGGACCCAGGAACCCGACGCGCAGTTCCTTGGTCTCTTGATTTGGCAGGGCAGCCGCTCCTTGTTCGCCGCCAGGTCCATTGTCCGACCCTGGATCGCGACGCTCGGCTGCTCGTCTAGAGATCCGGGCGTCTCTTGCTCGCACATACCGCAATCGTGCATGCTCGTCAGAACCAGGCGCATCACCGTCGATCTCGCCCTGGAGGCCAAATCCTTGTTCGGTCCTGCTTCCTCCTCCTCCTCCTCCTCTTCCTCCTCCCCCTTCTTCTTCTTCTTCGCTTGAGCTGTAATCCAAGGATTGGGCACGCATGTCCTCAAACCACCGACCAAACTCTTTGCGATCGTAGTTTTCCGGGTTCTGCATAACTTGATCGATCGCCAATGGGATGCTGAGCGTCACTCGCGCAAGCTGCAACGTCAGCCGAAGACGACCAGGAATGTCAAAGTAGGAGAGGCCACGCAAGTCCTGCTGGATCTCATAGAGACGTGACATCTCGTTGAGCAAGACGCGCGAATACCTGCGTGTAGCTCGCATGAGGCGCGAGAGTGTTCTGAACTTGGCCTCGATGCTGCTGATGTTGGCGTCGCTGTAGGTAGCCATTCCGCTGTCTGCGAGAACCTTGAGTAATGCTTTGACGGAGGTGAAGTCACCTTCGAAGAACTCGACATATACGGTCAAGAGGACGTCCTGGAGCGTAGCATCTGCGAACGCTTGGCCAAACTCATCATCGAAAGCATCATGAGGCGATTTGCCGTTGAACATCGAGTGGGTAGGAGGGGAAAAGTCGTATGCCTGTCGCGATGCTGGCTTGCAGAGTGTCTCGTATGCGAATGCAAGTTTCTGAAAGGCGATGGTCGAATTGGGATAGTCAGGAAACTTGTCTGGATGACATGATCGACTGCCAGTGAGGAAAGCTCGGCGGATGTCTTCGTTTTTGGCATTGCTCTTGATACCTAGCACTTTGTAGAGGTTGTCTTCTGCAATAATGTCTTCGATGATCTGAATCTTGCTCTGGAAGTTGTCGGGATGGGAAGGATCGATTGTGGGGTCGATTGTGGGGTCGAATAGGTTGGAGTCTGCATTGGCTTGACCGGCACTGCTGGAGCCCTCAGGCGGGACTCTGCCTGCTCTAGACCCTGGACACTTTGCTCGAGGGACTTTACCGATGGGAGCTCTCCTAGACTCTTGACTAACTGCGGCTCGATAGAAGATGGACGAAATGAACGACATCTTGCTGACCAAATCCGGGCTGAGCAGAGATTCGATGATACCGAGTGTCTTGGTGGCGGTGCCAGTTCAGGCAAGCTGTATGGAAAGCTTGTTTTGAAATGAGCAGATCAATTGACTGCTGCTTGGGTAGAGGGTATGTTGTTGTTGTTGTCGTCGTCGCAATGTACCAGTGGCGAAGGTGGTAGCAAATCGTAGAGCTCAACGTTGCGATACCATGGTCGAGGACGTGGATCGTGAACAGGCTCGGCCACCGAAAGACTGCTGTATGCTATCGGCTCGAGGCCCTCTGTCTTGCCGAACGACAACGGATTGCGATCGTATCGTGACTGTTGATGGCAATCAAGTCAGGAATGTGTCCCGGGTAGTGTGCAGAATGCGAGAGAAGCGAGCGCCAATGCGGTGTGAGGCTCTGAAACGAACAGTACAGAGGTTGTAGCTGTACCACGAGACGATGGAGGAGGCGTGATGGCCGAGATCTTGGAGGTATGTATGCAAGTGTGGGCGTCGAGAAGATGGTTGTTACACAAGACCACCGAGTTGAGACAGGTTTTGGTCGGTGGAAAAGAGACAAACAGACGTGACACAGAGAAGCGCCCTCTAAAACACACTCAAATGAAGATAACAATTAATATACGGCGTTATCGGGGTCACGATCAGACTCCCTTTACCACAGCCGTATGTTCTATGTAATGCTTGGTTTTCATGATGTGAGACTGAATGACAAACACATATATATACTCCATTCACTGCTCTGGTCCTATTCGAGGCAGGATGTGTCTCTTCATTTGTACTCCTGTGTTGCTATGATACCGGGTGCCACTGTGCTGTCACCATGACAACAATTACGTACCTCATTGTACTTCTCGCTTACGTGAGCCTCCCGTGTCTCAATGTCTCGGCCGTAACATGTGCATCTCACTTGAGATGCCGACGCATCTTCAACTCCCCCCTTCGGCGGGATCTCCAGTCCTATCATCCTAGCCAATCGTGAGGTGTTAAGACCCTGTAAGGGTTTTGTCAAGACATCTGCAACGTTGTTTGCCGTTCCGACATATTTGATTTCCACATCGCCCTCTTGTACGTGATCGCGAACGAAATGATACCGTGTGTCGATGTGCTTTAACTTCCAATGTTTGGCTGGATCTTTACTCACCTGTATGCACCCCTGGCTATCTGTGTATAGTACGGGCCGAACGTCCGTGGTCTCCAAATCCCGGAGCAAATATGAGAAGAATAAGGTTTCTCGTACCGCTTCGGAAGCGGCGACAAACTCTGCTTCGACTGCCGACAATGCCACACACTTCTGAACGTGTGATTTCCAACTCACTGGACACCCATATACATATGTTATCGACCCCGAGGTGCTTCTTCGTCCATTTGTGGGGTCGGATGCCCAGTTTGCGTCGGTATACGTCGTTACCGGTGTATCCGAGTGCTCGTTTGTCTCCCCTCCTAGGTGCAACTGATATTCGTTCGTTTGGTTCAGGTACTTTACCACGTGGATGGCTGCCTTCCATGCACTGTCGATCGGGATCGACATATATCGCGCCAATACGCCGACGGCAAAGGCAATATCTGGTCGGGCTGTGTTGGAGACCCATAATAGTTGGCCGACCAATTCTTGATACTTCTTTGCTCGCTGAGGTTCACATCGCTCGCCTCCGGCAACGTTCGCTACACTCAGCATGGGTACCCAAGATTTCTCGTTTGCTCCTCCTAACCATTTGTTCACCATTTCCTTGATGTATGCCGTTAGACCCAGAGATATCCTCCTCCGTCTTCTATCACGTGTGATCTTGATACCCAGAAATTCTTTGACCCTTCCATTGTCTTGCGTCTCCCATTTGTCCATGATCTCTCGCTTTGCGCGATCTACTTCATCACGACTGGGTGATGTTATTAGCATGTCGTCCACGTATGCTGTGATGATCGTGATCTTGTCGCCTGTCCCTCTTGAGTATAGGCATGGTGCGCTCGGCATGCAATGGAATCCGATCGTCCGGAGATGTGAGTCTAACTCAATGTTCCATTCTCGGCCCGATTGTTTCAGACCGTACAGTCCTTTCACTACCTTCAACACTTTTCCGGGTGGCATTTCGATTCCTACTGGGGGCTTGAGGTATACATCATGGTGTATAGTGGAGTTCAGGTACACTTGCTTTACGTCGATAGAATCCATTTCCCAATCTCGTACTGCTGCGACAGCGATCACCCCTCGAATGGATTGGATGGGTGCTACTGGTGCGAAGACCTCTGTATAGTCGATGCCCTCGCGTTGAGTGAAACCTCGTGCCACGAGCCGGGCTTTGAACTTTGTCGGCACGAGGTTTGCATCGGTTTTGATCTTGAGTACCCAACGTGTGTCGACAGTATTTGCACCCTTTGGGAGGTCGACTATCTCCCATGTGCCCATCGCCTCCAATCCATCCAGCTCCTTTCGCATGGCCTCCTCCCAGTGTTTTCTGTCCTTTCCACTCATTGCTTCATGTATGGTTGGGTCCAGGTTCTTTCTCCATTCCGGTCGCGTCGCTACGAGTCCATAGAATTCGCTGTCAATTTGAGTTTCGGCGATTGGTCCTTGTTCCATCACCTCCGCTGTTCCTTCGCTTAATCTTTCTTCCGAATCTGTCTCCATATCCATGTATTCTCGTAGTGGCTCTTCATCTGTTTCGTCGAATATATTTTCTTTATTGTATCCTAGATCTTCGAAATTTTCCTCTGTCATCATCATTGGGGGTGCCTTTGTGTCAACCGGTCGCCACTCTGTTCTGTCTGACCAGCACTTTGATTCCATGAATTTTGCTGAGTTGCTCCAGAAGATGTTCGGATTGTAGTCCGGGCTGTAGAAGAGCCAGCCCTTCCTTTCTAGACTGTACCCTAAGAAAATGGATGCGACGGCTCGCTGGTCCAGTTTCTTGTTGTCCCGTTTAACTTTGGGTACGTTTACCCATGCCAGACAACCAAACACTCGTAGGAGCTTTAAAGCTCGTTCCGGCGACTTGCCAAACATCGCTTGATAAGGGAATTCATTATCAACGCTCGGAGTGAGGTTTATTTTGAACGCCGCAGCTCTGATCGCGTATGGCCAGAACTTCTTCGGTAGTCTCCTCTGCATTAGCAACGTTCTCATCTTCTCTCCAAGGGTCCTGTTCATTCTCTCTACCCATCCATTTTGTTTGCTGTTGTACCCTACAGTGGTTTGCCACTCTATGCCCTTTTCTAGCGACCATTCTAATGCATCATTGCTTTTCCATTCCGTTCCTTGATCGGATCGGATCGCTTTTAGCTTCCGATCCGTCTGTGTCTCCAGGAACGAAACAATCCTTTTGAGTTGCATAAAGGCATGACTCTTTCGTGTCAATGGCTGTGCATACACATACTTGCTATGATCGTCGACCAGCACCAACGTGCATGTGTACTCCGTCACGTGGGACGAGTCTATTATTAGATCGACGTGGATAAGATCCAGGGGCCCTACGGCTCTTTCGCCGCTACCTTTCCCCATCCGAGCGCTTGTGCTCTTGGATCGTACGCACTGCTCACACGTCAGAGCGGTGTTTGGATCCAATTTCATGGTATGCTTATCCTTTAACTTGGTTGTGATCGCCTTAGCTTTATCTCTTCCTGGGTGCCCGAGACGCTCATGCCATAGTTGTTGTTTTGAAACTTTCGGCTCATTCTCAATATGCTCGAACTCCTCATCAACACCTTCAAACAATGGTGCTGATGTGGCCATCGCGCTTTCTTGCCATGTGTCGCCTCGGAACTCCAGAAGTCCTCGCTCGCGATTCTTTGCAATCTTAAGTGTCATGCCGTTTGTTAGAAAAATTTGGCCGCCGGTTGTGTCCAATATCACTTGTGCTCCTTCATCCGTTAATGAATTTGTTGACAGAAGGTTAACATTAAGGTGCTTTACATACAATACATTTTGCAGAGAGATTTCCCCGTAATCTGTTGATATGCTTGCATCTCCTATAGCTGCCGCTTCCAAGACCTCGCTTCCGGCGGTAATTATCCGCTTTCGGCAAGTTCTCGGGTGGATGAGCATGCTGTAGTCGTTCACCATATGGTAACTCGCCCCCGAGTCCAAGATCCAATGAGCTGTTTCTTTTGTGTTCGAGGGGTCCTGCCATTTCATTGGGAGGGTGAGGGAGCACCACGCTTCCTATTTAGGTTCAGCGAGGGGGGAGTCCTTGGGAATGGTAACCAAGGCGTTGCATTGACTGATACCATGTCCCGGTCGCTTGCAGACCCAGCATCGGATTCGGCGTGACTTGCTTGCATTCCTCGAGCTCGCGTGGCTGTTGTCGGCTTCGGCTTCGGTCTCTCCGGCCCGTTCGTTTTGATCGTCGTTGCCGGCGGTTCTAGCACTGGCTTGTCGAGGGTCGATCCTTTGTGCGGGGACGCTCTCGACAGCGGTCTGCCGGATGCTTAGTGCGGTGGCAAGGGCGTTGAAATCGATTTGATGGACGGTGGCAACCGTCTCCTTGTACACCGGATGCCGGATCGTGCATTTCTGCAGAGCCGAGAACAATGTATCATCGGCGAATGGTTTGCCGAGGAGGCTGCTTTCGGTTTGTATGGACCGGATCTCTTGAATTAGCTTTCTGGCGTCCGAGTTAAACATCTTTGTATCGTTGAGTTGCGAGATAAGCGCAAGTCTGTGAGACGTCTTGGTGGCTTCATTCGTGAGACCGTTTTCGATCTTTCTCCACACTTGGTTGAAAGTAAGGTACTCCTTGATTACATCTAGAACGAGGTAATTTACATTGTGTTCTCCGGTAGTGTCGATTGTTCCACGCAGGGCGTTGATTAAAGCATCGTCGAGGGAGCGGCTCCATTTCGGGTGTTTCTTGTCGTACGTTCCCTCGAGATGTTTCATCGCATGAGGCACGGATCGGAGGAAAGATTTCACGTGGGCGCTCCAGCTATGATAGTTTCGTGACGTGAGCTTTGGCACGGGTTCGAGGAGCTTTGCTAGGGTGCGAAAGTTATATCGCTTGTCACCATCATCAAAGTCGGAGTCGGAATCGGTGTCTTCGTCGGCTTCATCATTGATGGCCTCCGGCTCGTTCTCGCTCGTGGCATTATTATCGACCCGAACCTGGGTGTTCTTGCCTTTTCTGCCTCCTTTGGTCCTCGTTTCGGTGTCTTCTACCATGGTTGTCGGCGAGTTTCGGTTAGCTCGGTGATAGCTTCTTCAGACTCTTAATCAAATGAAGATAACAATTAATATACGGCGTTATCGGGGTCACGATCAGACTCCCTTTACCACAGCCGTATGTTCTATGTAATGCTTAGTTTTCATGGTGTGAGACTGAATGACAAACACATATATATACTCCATTCACTGCTCTGGTCCTATTCGAGGCAGGATGTGTCTCTTCATTTGTACTCCTGTGTTGCTATGATACCGGGTGCCACTGTGCTGTCACCATGACAACAATTACGTACCTCATTGTACTTCTCGCTTACGTGAGCCTCCCGTGTCTCAATGTCTCGGCCGTAACATGTGCATCTCACTTGAGATGCCGACGCATCTTCAACTCACTCTCTCCCTTTTTCACAGCGAAATCGAGCGAGTTGGCAAAGGTGAAATCACACTCTTTTTTGCCTTTCACGAGACACAGCCAAGGACGCGTTGCTCTTGTTGTGAAAAACGAGATTTGGTCAGGATGCAAGATGTTACCCAGTGTCGATCTCACAATTAACAATGCAAAAAAAATAAAATCGGTTGGTCTTCCTCCACCTTGTTCCCTTTGGCCTGTGCGTGAATACATTGATTCCTTCAATGCTGTTCCTTCCTGTTGCTTCAATCCTGTTCCTTCAATCCTGTTCCTTCAATCCTGTTCGCTACCAATTGGCTTGGAAACCCTCGGGAGACATCAAGAGCTCTTTCCTGACCAACGGATCAGCTCCAGCCTGGAGCCAAGGATGACAGACTGGAGTCTGCGCAGCGCCAGACTTTGATGCAACGGCCTCTGTAATCGACAGCTCGGCGACTTGTGTGTGTGATTGGGTCGAACGTGCAAAGGCTCAAGCATGTTGTTCAATCCGCTCGCAACCCGAGAGCAGCTCGCCCTGGCTCCGTCAATGAGCGATGGACTCTCGCACAATCTCGAGATGGAGCTCAGAGCTCTTGGCTGCCAACTGATCCAGCAGATCGGCATACTTGTTCGCCTACCTCAACGGACCATGGCGGTAGCTCAAGTCTTCTACCAACGCTTCTGGTATACCTCGTCCATGTGCGACTTGTCCGCCAATGAGACAGCGCTGGCTTGCTTGCTCTTGGCAACCAAGCTCGAGGAGACGCAAGTCAGTCTACGGCATCTCGTCAACGCCTTCCATTTTGTCCTCTTCCGTTTGAGTGGCAGGAGGACCGCACCGAGCAATGGCACATCCAACCAAGCCAGTGCTCTACCCTCAGCTTGGCAGTCTTGCTCATCAGCTTCGGTGATCTCCCAGTTTCGCCCTCTGCCGTATGACTCGGCCGAAGTGAATCACATTCGCGAGGCTATCATCCTGTCGGAAATGCAGGTTTTGAAGCGGCTCGGCTTCCATGTACAAGTGATGCTCCCATATGCACTCTTGGTCAACTACCTACAGGCCCTCGGGCTTACAGATCCTCAACTCAAGGTGACCATCAAGCCGCATAGCAATTGGCACACCTATGATGATCACCCTACGATTGACAACGTCACACCACAACAGGTCTCGGTGGCCCAGTGCGCATGGTCATTCCTAAACGATGCGTAAGTGCGCCAGCTTTCTTCTCCAGTGCCCTACTCAAACATGCTGACTGACTTGCAACATTGACACGACCATCCAACGTCTCATCTTACTCACTCTTCTCACATCAGCCTTCAGACGCCTGTGTTGTGCATCTTTGGCCCTCACATCGTTGCTTGCGCAGCCATTGCGCTGACCACAGAGATGGGCGATCCACAGATTCAGTTACCTATCGAGCCCCACCCGTGGTGGTTGCTCTTTGACGCGACCGAGCCCGAGATCAAGATCGCAGCTTCTCATCTTCTGTGGCGCTACCATCACGAGCCTACAGAACTGGATACACCAAAGTTGATGGACCGCCACGAGCTGCGCAGGTACATCGAATCGCTTCCGTCAAACCCTGTCGTTCAGACAAGTCGCTAGGCTGTCACTGCTGTCTCGTTATGCTCCGCTTGGAAGCAAGGCGTCTGTTTTTGATTTTGATTCTGGAATGTTGTTGAGTTGCTTCTCCTGTGATTTACATGCTTGACAAGAGAAAAGCAGTTGCAACGCTAGAGGCCAGTATGCTCGCGCAGAAGAAGCGGATGAGGTGCACAGGTTTGTGCCTTGATTGGCATTGACAGATGGTTGAAAAGTCGGCCAGGAACCTCATCCCCGCCCCTGTGCCGAGTGGAGCTGCTCGATGCAAGAGTCTAGCAATTGTTGCGCGTCAAGTTGAGATGGTGCATATCTACTCGTCGTCGGATGATGGCTCGTTGGCGGTGGCAGCCTCAGCCTTGGCGGTGGCCTTCTCCTCTTTGGCGATCTTAGCGGCTGCGACGACGGACTTGGGATCGGAAACAGGGTTGCCGTCCTTGGCAGCAGCAACGCCGTGCTTGAAGGTAGTGTCGTCGTGAGGAAGCGAGCGTTCACGCTTGACCTTGGCCTGCTTCTCGAAAGCGTGCTCGTCAGGAATCTTGTTGGATTCGAGATGCTTGTCACCCTCAGGTGCGTCGTGGCGCATCTCAGGGCGCTTCACCTCGACGAAGCCTTCGGGGTGCTCGATGCTGCCGTCGAGAAGTTCTTGTGGTTCCTTGGGAGGCTCACGCTCGGATTCCTGGTCCTCCTCGGCGTCATGGTGTTTGGAAGCGTGGTGACCGTGGTCGTGCTTGTCGCTACCAGGAGCGGTGAGGTAGACAAAGAGACTACCAAAAGTGATGACGGATGCGATTGCCCAAGGAGCGTCGGACTTGTTCGGCAAAGGAAGCGGCGAGTTGGAAGCGTATCGTCGAGCAGCAAGACGAGCGAGCGAGGGGCCGACGGCGGAACGAGCCAATGGACTGGCAGACCGAGAGATGGACCTAGCAATCATGATGATGGCGTCTATCTGTCGTTCTTGAGCGACAAAGGCTTGTGTGGTTGGCTTGGCTTGGCTTGGCTTGAATGAAAGGGCGTTGATATGGAGTGAGTAAGAGAGCTCCGATGAATCATTCATCCGTCCGCTGCTTGTCATCTGTGACGCATTGGTCCGTGCTCATTCCAGACAGAAAGACTCGTCGGACACAGAGGAGAGGCCAAATCATCAACTGGCGATTTTTGCGGATCTCTTTTCGATGGCCTCTGTCTGGCTGGTTGGCCTGAGCCCGATCGATCTGATTGATCTCTTTCAGATTTGGCCTCGACGTTTTCCATGTTCATTTCAAAGGAACTTGCCATGTCGTAATCTCGCTGCCATAAAACACAAATTTGTCACCAACATGTTAGAGTTGACGAATTAATTTGTCGCTTTCTTCATCTCTCTCGCACGTGTCGGCGGAGCGGGTTGAAACGGATCTGGCAACCCCATACCCTAACCCTAGCTCTCACACCTTCTCTTGTCATGACGGACGTTTTCTCTCATCTAGTCTTTACAACGGCAGATAGTCTGAGCTACTTGACCGTGTTTACGCCTATTCGGCCGTCTGAAGCCTGAAATCCATCTCAATGCACAGATGGGAGAGCAGCTCATTCCAAGAAAAGCTTCAGACCTGTAATATCGCAGAGCACGGAAGACAGCGGAAGCAAGTTGGCGGGCGAGACAAGACTCTTCCTCCCGGATCCGCACAGGCCCAATAGAAGCCTGCTTGTCAGTCGCAGAGCAGAGAGCTTGCAGGTTGGGCGATCAGATTTCGTCACTGCCTGAGTATTCAAAGGAGCGTTACTTGTTTTTTACTGATCTTCTTTATCAATTCAGGCAATTTCAATTTCAATTTCAATTTCAATTTCAATTTCCATTTCATTTTCAATTTCATTTTCAATTTCATTTTCAAGACTTGCTCTCATTTTGTAATCGAAGCATTGGTTTTCCATGTTGGAGCACCAATAGAAAGATGATTTCCTTCTTCTCCCTCTTCAAAACTAATACAAAGCAGTTCTAAGCCCAAGGTCCTGTTTTGTATTTGGCTTTATATTTAACAAAGAAAGGCATTTTCTTTTCCTCGCGAGGTTTTCAAGTCTGATTTTGTTCGCGAATTACAGAATCAAATCAGTCTTTTCATTCGTCGATGGATGATCGAGAGTGTGTCTCTGTGTGTCTCGAGTAATCTCTCTCTCTCTCTCTCTCTCTCTCTGGAAAAGGAGAGTGCGATCACAACCTGGATTTCTTGGTCTCTGCGTCGGAACCTGTGTCGACCCTCTTTGCTTCTGACCCTCTTTGCTTCTGACCCTTTCCTTCACACCTCTTCGTCGTCATCAACACCCTATCCAATCCTTTCGTCGCCAGAATGCCCCTCATCCAGCGCACCGCCGTGCGCGCTGCCAGTCGCTCCGCTCTCCGTGCTCGCCAGAATGCTGCCGCTTTCTCCTCCGTAGCTCGCGCCGCTGTGAACGCTTCTTCCAGCGTCCGTGCTGCCGCCCCCAAAGTCGCCGTCGCTGCCCTCAGGCCTGCCGTTCAGGCCCGCTCTCTCGCCACCGAGGCCTCCCCCAAGGGCCAGACCGGTGCCGTCAAGGCCGTCATTGGTCCCGTCGTCGACGTTCAATTCGACACCGAGCAGCTCCCTTCCATTCTCAACGCTCTCGAAGTCCAGGATGTCCAGGGTGGCGGTCGTCTCGTTCTCGAGGTCGCCCAGCATCTTGGTGAGAACACTGTCCGTGCTATTGCCATGGAAGGTACCGAAGGTCTCGTTCGTGGCCAGAAGGCCGTTGACACTGGTCTCCCCATTCAGATCCCCGTCGGCCCCGCTACTCTCGGTCGTATCATGAACGTCATTGGTGAGCCCATGGACGAGCGTGGTCCCATCAAGGGCAACAAGCTTGCTCCCATTCACGTCGAGCCCCCCGCCTTCGTTGACCAGTCCACCAAGGCCGAGGTTCTCGAGACCGGTATCAAGGTCGTCGACCTCCTCGCCCCTTACGCCCGTGGTGGTAAGATTGGTCTCTTCGGTGGTGCCGGTGTCGGTAAGACGGTACTTATTCAGGAGCTCATTAACAACGTCGCCAAGGCCCACGGTGGTTACTCGGTCTTCACTGGTGTCGGTGAGCGTACCCGTGAGGGTAACGATCTCTACCACGAGATGATCGAGACCGGTGTTATCAACCTCGAAGGTGACTCCAAGGTCGCTCTCGTTTTCGGTCAGATGAACGAGCCCCCTGGTGCCCGTGCCCGTGTTGCTCTTACTGGTCTTACCATCGCCGAGTACTTCCGTGACGAGGAGGGCCAGGATGTGCTTCTTTTCATCGACAACATTTTCCGTTTCACCCAGGCCGGTTCCGAGACCTCGGCTCTTCTCGGTCGTATCCCTTCCGCCGTCGGTTACCAGCCCACCCTTGCCACCGACATGGGTGTCATGCAGGAGCGAATTACCACCACCAAGAAGGGTTCCATCACCTCGGTACAGGCCGTCTACGTGCCCGCCGATGACTTGACTGATCCTGCCCCCGCCACCACCTTTGCCCACTTGGACGCCACCACTGTGTTGTCCCGTGGTATTGCCGAGCTTGGTATTTACCCCGCTGTCGACCCTCTGGACTCCAAGTCCCGTATGCTTGACCCCGCAGTCGTCGGCCGGGAGCACTACGACATTGCCACCAGTGTCCAGAAGCTCCTCCAGGATTACAAGTCGCTCCAGGATATCATTGCCATTCTTGGTATGGACGAGCTTTCGGAAGAGGACAAGCTGACCGTCGAGCGTGCCCGTAAGATTCAGCGTTTTATGAGCCAGCCTTTCGCTGTTGCCCAGGTTTTCACTGGTATCGAGGGCAAGCTCGTCTCGCTCAAGGACACCATCTCGGCCTGCAAGGAGATCCTCCGCGGTGACCACGATGCCCTCCCCGAATCCGCCTTCTACATGTGCGGTGGTATCGATGACGTCAAGAAGAAGGCCGAGGAGATCGCCCGCAGCACCTAAGCATAGAGTTGATTCATGCTTGTTTATCTCTTCAGTCGTGCTTCGGGTCTTGACCCCGGCTTCCAGTTCACTTGGTGGTCTCCGGTGTCATCTAAAATCCCCACATCTTCATAAATATAAATGATTGCTTGACATTTTCCCTCTGTGATCAACATCTGCTCTTGCAAAGATGCAATTCAGAGCGACGCGTCCTTGCCCACAGCAACACGCGATTCTTGAATCAAGCCGTGATTGTCTTCGGTCTAATATGGCACACTTTGGCCACACGTGCACGCACAATCGCATTCTCATCCGCAGCGAACAAGGTGTGCTGAGACTGACACTGGTTCATTCTAAACGTGCAAAGCAGACACACTCGAAGACACTCTGTTCTGCTCAGAGCTATATTGTAATGCCAATTGACGATTGTATTGAATCAAAGGCCTCTCTCGATGAAGCGTGTAAGCTGCCGAGCCGGTTGCACGCCTATCAATTCACTCAGATCTTCCGCAGACATCTCGCATAGGTCAGAAATGTCACGTACCTGACTCATGATGTAGCGGAAGTTCTTAGTGTTGACTCCTGGCAAAGCACGAAGCAGATCTTGCGGTCCTAAATTGAACGAGTGTTCGCTCGACGACTGCCAATCTGTGCGCCTGACCATCTCGCTAGTAGTGCTACCTTCAGCTTCTAGCATATCATCCAGACCTACCAAGGCCACCTTCGCCGCGTCTGGCTCGTCGAAATTCTGCTTGAGATCAGCGAATATCTCCGAGGTCGCAAACGGAGAGCTCGACCAAATCATGCGCAGTCTCGGGAATGCTAACGTAAGCAAGACGAGCTTGGCTTGCATGTCGAGCTCTGACGGAGCTGTGCGTCCGCTCGGCTTGACGTCGTTGATCGATTTGAGCGAGAAGGACTTGTCCTGGTCGAATTCGATCAGAAGGATGGGGTGTTGGTAATAGACACACATAAGCTCGCACTGAGTGTACAAACGTCCAGAGTTAAAACTCTGTATCAAGTCGCTAAGACTCTTGCGCTCGACACACATAGTTGGTGTCAGGACGTAATCACCCACCTGCAGAGTACAGGGAATCACCTGGATGTCTGCCGCATGCAGCATAGACGGCAAGCTCGATCGAAATTCTCGCATATCCACAATGATTCGAGGCGGCTCCGCTGTGGCTGATCGCTGTCCGCCTGCTACTCTGCTGCTGATCGTCCGCAAGAAGCGTTGATCAGCATCTTCGGCGATTGGTCGACCATCTGCTGAAAGTGGAAGCGCCATCATGGACTTCTCTCGGATGAGTCTCTCGAAAGATTCCTTTTCCCTTCGCAGTGCGCTGAGATATCGTTGTTCTTCCACCGAGTCGGCGTAGATGAGGAAATATACTCGCACACCCACACCAGGGTTTGTACTGCGGTAGATCTCGACCCGACGCACAAATGCTGGGTCTGGGTCGTACATGATGACGAAGCGTGGTCGAAGCTCTTGTAGGACTTTGTCGTCTTGGTCACCGCGGTAAGAGCGGACTACAACGAGATTCTCCATGCTGAGCATTCCGAAGAAAGCGTCGAATTCAACCTCATCGATCTCGTCAGAGATCTGTTCCGCATCGATGGGCGCTTCTAGCGTGGACGAGCCGTTTTCGCCGCTTGCCGCTGCAGATGCGATACTGGTGTCAAAGAAGAAGTACAGCGCGGAATGTGCGGATGTCAGTAACAAGATCTTGCCAGCTTCGTGTCGGTGTACTATCCTATACTTACAAGTCGGAGACATGCGCAGCCTCGGCATGAAGGCTCGCTTGCCCAGCAGCATCCGTGGCACTGCTGAACCTTCCTGCCGCATGCTGCGCAGAGGAACCGCCACGCTGTCGCCTTCTCTTGTTTGCAGCAGACTGCTGACCCTTTTGATATGCCAATTTCCTCTTAAGCGCTTCGTTGATTGGTCCAGACTGTGGGGAGGATCCCTGTGCTGCGTTCGTAGACGACCCTGGCTGTTGATTTCCTTGACCCTCTCTCTGGTCAGCGTTCAGCTTTCCGAGACCGCCTTTCCAAAAGAAATAGGATCGCAGCAGCTGATGCATCAGCTTCTTGCCTGGCTGACCGGGGGGACACTCGTCCATCGTCGATATAATCTGACGCAGCTGCATGCTTGTCCTCTCGGACCCACACATAATCAGGATCGTGTTGGCTGCTCCTGAATCTGTCGGGTTGCAAGGAAATGTCAGCACTGTCGTCGCAGAATGATGTTGCGTAGTCGAAACTTACCAGATGCATCAATATTGAAGTGAATCTCCTGCTCGACCTCGTCTAGGACTTCCTGCAGCAGGTGCCACTTCGGGTTCTCCTCAAGCACGGGCTCGACCTCTGGAGGTATTGGGCCCTCAGCACGACTGTCCGATTGGACCGTGTGTCCAGCTTCTGCTTGCCGTAACGCCTCCTCATCATCTGCGTATTCTTGTTCTCCTGGGCCTGTGGTTGGCACTTGCTGATCTCGAGCATCGTCCCAGATGTACGCTCTCTTCTTCGCCTCGTGAAAAATGACATTTGCTGCATCCATGAAGAGCCATGCAGACTGATTCTGTCGGGTTGTTCCCTTCAGTGTTGTCGTACTTGATGCCAGTATCGTCTCTAAATAAGAGTTGAACGTCACGCAGTCATACGTCAAGAGATAGCTGAAGAATAGGATCAGAGGAATCAGTGCATTTCAGTAAGGGGCGTCCGCTGACTTTAGCTGAGATAGCGGCCAATCACTCACTTGAGCAAGTTGCGGAGTGTCGTTAGATCGCCCACAAGCTGCTTCGTCTTGGGACTGACTCGATGCCAGATGGGATCTAGCTGCCTCCGTACCATGACATCGAAGGCTCTGAAGATGGCATGCTCGATGGAAAAGTCGTCCGTCTCGACCTAAAGGAACACGTGAATCGAGATGATCCATGTCAGCTACGCTTATCTTTCATGTCTTCGGCTTCCCGTCTTTTCCAGCTTACATTTGAGTTGCCTCGTTTGAGCTCGGAGAGAGATGCGTCGAGACACTCAATGATGGCTGTCTGAATGTTGCGCATCGATCGACTCAGAGGTTGATGGAGCTCGATGACGTCTGCCTTGCGTTGACCAAGGTCTTTGCTCGTTTGTTGATGAAAACGTGGCCAAAGCTCCACCTTCCTGACATGCAGCTGGCTCAGAACTGTCTGAAGTGGGCTGATGCCCATCGTGAAGTGTTCTGGATTGTCAGAGAATGCCTTGAGAAACCCTTCTTTGTTCTCTTGACGATAGATCCTTGCGATGAATGCTTCGACCGAGGTTGGCGTGACCTTCTCAGCATGCAGCACCACCAGTCCAGTGATCAAGCCAGTCGGTATCCTCTTGCTCAACATATCCACCACCAAGATACGCGATGTGACGCTCATGATGCCGCCGGAGAGATACATCTCGGATCTTTGCTTCGCTGGCATTTCGTGGTGAATGGCACGAAGCCCGGGCTTTCGGACACCAAGCGTCGTCAGTTCCTCGCCGATACCGCTCTCTTCCTCGGACGTAGCATTAACCAGAATAACAAGGCTATTGGGCGAGTCGTATATCCGTAGGATCGTGCTGACGATCCTGCGAAGGCCTAGACCTCTTGCGATGATGACCAGGGCATCACCCTCGTCCGGGCTGTCATCTTGGCTGGGAACCAGAGAGTTGACGATCTGGCAATGGAAGGGGAGGAGACCGGCCCTCTGCAGAATGCCACGATGCGACGCCATCGTTCAAGATGCCGTGTTGGCCTTCTTTCGTATAGCAGAGATGATTGGTATGATGCTGAGTCACTTGATGTTGGACGGTGGTGGTGTTACTTGGAATGCGCAGTTGGTCATTGTGGAGGTTTAGGGTCCAGTTTGTATCCCGAGTTCCGAACACCGTTGCAGATGAATCGGCACGTGACCTTTCCTCGAGACTCGCCAAGCAGGTCTCAGCTCTTGCCGGGCCGAAGTCCTCTCACACAAAAGAGCTCTTCGAGACCGCGGGCTATCGGACACCACAGCTCCTGCCTTTCACAGCGTATGAGATGCTTTCATATCTTTTGCTGGGCCAAAAGTATGCTTGTTTCCTTCTGAATTATGCTAGCCCAATTATAGCCTCTCAGACAAAGAACAAGCATTCTCGTCAAAGTGTGACTAGCGACACAAAAAGAGACCTTTCCGTTGGCACAACGATACCTTTATCGTGAGATTAGTCTCCTAACTTCTCGATTTCGATACTCAAGAACACGAACAGCCTGAATGATGTCACAGGGTCTGCGTAGAAGGTTGTCAGCAGTTGTGTGCCTGGAACCCAAAATCTATCATAAAGGCCGACTAGAATCAACCTTGGCGAAATCTACCATAAGAGCCTTCTATTATCTTTCTCACTGGAATCTATCATAGAAGCCCCTTAGGTTCTTTCTTGCTCAAATAGATGGTAACTATGGTTTAGAACAGATTTTGACTAACTGCTGTGGACACTCCATTCAGAGGTAGCACAGCATGATCAGTGTCCAAATGGACTCCTTGAGCAATACCAAAGTATGGTGTCAATATGTCTGTCTTGACACAAGCATCCAGACTGTTGATGGTTGATTGAGTTGATTGATCCCCAGACCGCAGTGGACAACTGCCTTCGGTTCTATGATCGAGAGAGCTGGACCACTGGATGAACTGCCTTCAGGATGTCGATCAATGTCAATGAGCAGTGATACAACACATGCACTATGATAGGAGCAATGTCTTACAATTGCTACTGTTGACAGACTACTAAGTATACTTATATGAAAACTATAACTAGTAAAATATGGTGTAGAGTGGATGGCCATCCACTCACTTGCTATGACAAGGAGCATGGTTATATACCATCCTCACAGCATTGCCTGTGACACTGCTCCTGTTCTGTGAGGCCTCCTCAACCCTATGTCTCCTCCTCATCCTTCCTACCATTTTCCATCCACATTGGGCTGCTGCTCATTGGCACTGCTTTCCTCTCTTCCTGTGGATGGACAGCCCTCATGCTGCTTCATCATTGTCAGGGGCTGTTCCCACTTCATCTGAGTGGCAACCTGCATTCTTTCATCTCCCTCCTGTTGCCACATGCCCATCTGCCTGCACCAACTTCATCATTGTGCAAGGTCCCTGCTTCATTCAGTGGCAACTCCTCCCTTGTTCTCTGTCATCCCCTTGCCATATTGGCAATAGAGGTTTCTCTCTAACTGACTCCCATGAGGCCTGTTGTAGCAAGCATGATCCTGCTGATTCTACTGACTCCTGTAATAGGACCCATGTTCCTACCAATCACAATGAGTTATGTCATAGAGTTGTTGATCCTACCAATCTCACTGATCCCCATTGGAACTCTACTTTCCTGCTGATTCTACTCCTGTAACAAGACCCATGCTCCTACCAATCACAATGAGTTATGTCATAGAGCTGTTGTTCCTGCCAATCTCACTGAACTCTGTTGGAACTCTACTTTTGCCTGATCCATGATGGTTGCACCAGATCTCTTCATATGAGTTCCGTTCTTCCTGCGCATCCATCTGGTCCCATGACACGGCTCTCTCGATCATAGAACCGAAGGCAGTCATCCACTGCGGTCTGGGGATCACCTCAAGCACTCAGTCGACACACTGGACACTTGTGTTGGCAACAACAAGCATTACTCACACCAGACCTTGGTGTCATAGCAACCTGTCCATTGTTATTGATTGTGCCAAGCTACCTCTGGACAGAGTGTCCACAGCGGTCAGTCAAAACCTGCAATAGCAAATCAACTATCACATATTAGAGCAAGAAAAGTCATAGAGGCCTTCTACAACAGATCTTGATCAAAATAATAATACACAAGACTTTATCACATAACTTGACAGGATCTGTAATAGAAGCAGTTCTACTACAGATATCAGGTTTCAGGTGCGAGACCTCTGACAAGGGTCTCCTTTGGCACTGCCCCTCCTCCTCTCATCTCTCCTACGGCCCTTGTTGCTTTTAGGGTGTATACTCTTTGTTGACACTGCTTCTCCTACTCCTTGTGGTCAAGGAGACCCAGTGCCGCTTCATCGTTGATAGGGGTCACTCCCACCTCCTCCGAGTAGTGGGACACACCCTCTTTCATCTGCTCCTGCTGACAGTGTCCATCTCTTATGCTGAGTTCATTATCATGTAGGCCCCCCCCCCCCCCCCCCTTCATCTGGGTGGTGAACTGTCCCTTCACTTGTCCCCTTGTGAGGTCCATGGGAGTGGCACCCTCTGACTGGTTTCATTGAGATCTGTTGTAATGTCTTGATCCTGCTGATCCCAATGAATCCTGTCATAAGGTCTCATTACTACCAATCCCAATGAATTCTGTTGTAGGATATAGATCCTACCAATCTTGCTGAGCTTTGTTGGAACTCCTCAGTTGCCTGATCTTGAGATTCTTGTGCATGATCTTTTCTCCTTTGGGTTCAGTTCTTCTGCGCAGGTGGTCCTATGACAGGTGCCAGTTTGACATCTGTGAAGAAGGCCAAGACCTGCACCATATTGTATTCTTCCCAGGCATCTTCAAGGGGTAACAGGACACATGTGTTTGCTCAGCTCTTGGGTTGTGCCTTGACCTTGCCTTGTTTCCATTTGGCATGCACTGTGTCATCCAGACAGTGGTTGTCTGGGTGTCCTAGCTTGCCACAAGCCCAGCAATTGATGAGCATGGCAGCTCATAAGGCAGTGAGTTCAGATGTTCCAGTCATGGAGGACAAGCATACTGGAGTGCTCTCAGCAGCAAGCTCATAGCATTGCTGTAGGGCATCAGCAACACTCTTGGTCATCTGTTCCTTTCCATGGAGCTGCTCATGCAATATAAAGACTGAGTTGAAGAGAGCATTCCTGTCTGAAGGTAATGCTCACTTGAGGGTCTTATATCAATGTACAGGTGTCCAAGATTCCTGTAAGTAGGCATGGAGCTCAGACACATGGGCCTCCCATTTGGTTAAGAAATCATATGCATGACATCCTACTTGATCCCAATGCAAGATTTAACCATCCAATAGCATACCTTCCATCTGCTTGGAGGACTGATCTCTCATAAGTGTCAGACTGAGCAAAACACACAGTGAGCAAGCTCAAAAGAAGAGCTTTCGATTGCAGTGAGTCTTGGAGCTGACTAATATTTGAGCAGACCTCCTTGCTTAGTAAGCACTTGCTCCACATGATGCTCCATCAACTCAATCACAGGATTGATATGTTCAAGCATGATCTGGGTGTTTCACACTTCCTCTGCAGCTCTGGCAAGTTCATCCTGGGTTTTTGGTACCAGCAAGTGCTTACCAAGCAAGTTTTTGAATACATACCATATGTTCTCAATAGGGTTAAGGTCTGGTGAAGCTGGTGGGTGTTCCTGCATCTGTATGTTGTATTCTGCCTGCTGTTGCTTGCAGATAGAGCCTGATGACAGCTGCTGCTGTCTTTGAAAACTGACAGGCTGTCAGGATATGCACTAACAGCAGTTACAGCATCCTGGAGCAGAGTGTCAATGATCCAATCATGATACCTGACAGCTGTGAGGTTCTTGGCAGGATCCCATTGATTAGCTGACCCCAGTTGCTTCTTCCTTGGAGCCAATGGGAGCACAACCAAGGGGGTTTTAAGGTTGAATTCAATGCCAGCCCATACCTGGATGCTGAAACAGCCAGAATGGAATGTTGGAACCATGTTGTTGATGTCTTCTTGAGTGTTTTTCCAGCAACTTGTCACAGGGCCAGCGCAGAGATATCTAATGAGGATATATGGCAACAGATGGGTCCCAGCAGCCCTCAATCTCCATCATGTGGGCCCGCCCGATCTCCGATCAGATCGACTCTCCCCGATCCGTCATCAGATCGCGCTCCACTGGATCGTTATCTCCAACAAGGAGGAGGAGAGGCAGGAGCAGTGTGTAAGCGGTCGCGCGCCAGAGACTTAGTTTGGGGGTGTTAAATTGAGTTGATTGAGTAAGGTCTACTCAGTATGTTTTGCCTAAATGTAACCAAACATTGCTGCCTGGTAAGTCTCAACTGACTGCCTTGAACACTCTGTTCAGAGGTTGTGTGGCACAGACACTGGTCATTGGTGAGTGAGTGAAACACTCTCTCCTACAGTACAAGTGTTCATAGTACTGTTGATAATGCTCTTGGATGTTGTCTGGACCATGATATGCTAATCACCTACAGAGGACAGGAGTTACTGGACTGCAGGTGTGAGTCACTGCCTACAATAACTGACTGGACCACAGGTGTCAAGCAACACTGCCTACAGCAAGGGACTGGACCACAAGTGTTGAAGAACACCACCTACAGTAAGGGCACTGGACCACTAGTGTTGAAGAACACTACCTACAGTTGTTGACTAATGGTGATACAACACACATGTTGAGAGTTGTTGCAAGAGCACTGCTATTGCAATGGTACATAACTGAGTAAGTAAAGTAGATAGAGTAAGTAGTATAGAGTGGATGGGGATCCACTTGTATGCTATGGTAGATTGAGAGTATTTATGCATTCAGTTGGTGTTGCCCACAACACCTATCCTGCTCCTCTTGAGGGGCCTTTGTCCCCTGTTTGACACTGTCTTGTCCTGCTGGCATCAATCCTATTGATACTGCACCCCTACTGTTTGCATGGCATAAGGGTTATGCAACACTGCCCTCTCACCTTCATGCTCTCCTTCTGCCTGATGATGTGTGATGCCCCCTTTTGAGACAGCTCCTTCTTGACTTTATCTTGTGAATCCCTTTAGCCACTTGTTGAACCTCATGACCAAACCCCTTGGTCCTGTGGTCTCTTCAGCACAGCTCCTTCTCAACCTTATCTTGTGAATCCCTTTAGCCACTTGTTGAACCTCATGACCAAACCCCTTGGTCATGTGGTCACTTCAACACAGCTCCTAGTACTTGCTTGTATCAGCTGACTTGTTGAAGCACACTGATCTGACTATTTCTGACTGATCCCCATGAGATTAATCTGGAACCCAGGGTTCAATCAATCTCATAATTCATATGTGCTACCAGCCCAATTAATCTCATTGATCCCCAATGGTTTGGTGCTGATCAATCTGGCATGCCCTCCATATATTGATCCATTGTGCACCCTTCATACATTGCTCCATTGCATGACATTCCCATGACTGCCGTTGATCAATTTGGCGCACTCTCTTGCGCTGGCCTGCTGACCCTGTGACACAGTGTCGCAGGCGACACTACACAAAACACATATACTCTCACTTCACCATAACATACGAGTGGATCCTCATCCACTCTACTCTACTTAGTTTCGTACCATTGCAATAGCAGGGCGTTGCAACGACATCCAGCGTCGACCAACTGAGTGTCGACACACGTATTCTTATTATACTTTCAACAGGGTCGTATTCTTCAGCAGCCAGCTGTCATCTTTTCTTAAAAACAAGTCAAGCTAAATTAACACAGAAGGCAACGTCCGAAGTGTCATAAATCTGTGGCGCCCACAAAACTTGGCGTTTGGGCCCAGACTTAGCCCTGCGGTTCGGAACAACAATGTGGCTATCCGCTCGGGTGTCGTGAGAGGTCTTGTCAGAGTGCATTAAGTTAGCTGCCAGATAACAGCAGCTTAATTGAGAACAGTTTTCTGTCGTTTTCGGCAAATTTACCATTAGGGGGTTTTAATTTTTCCGAGCTCTCGAAAACCCGAGTATTCCAACACTCAAAAAAGCTCAGGAAATTGGCGCCCCCAAATGTAAGCTGAGTTTTCAGAGTGTGGATTTTCGAAACCAACCAAGGGAGGGCAGTGTTGGCCGGAAAATGAAGCAGTTCCGGAATCGGAACCACCTTGTAGCTCCACCATCTTTGACACTCTCGTCGCACACTACTCAGATACAGTTATTATTGACACCGTTCATATTGCATGTATCGCGCGACACGATATTGATTGTATGTTTTCGTGCGGCATGCATTCGCAAGAGAGAGTACACAGGCATGACAGTTTTGCTCAGAAGAATGGGTTCACGCGAAGAAAGCTGCGCAGGAAAAGTGGAGGTATTCGCGCGAGTAGATCACGAGCAACATCACGTAAGTGAAAACTCAGGTCTAATATTGAAAACTCTGCCGCATGAGTACTGCTGATGCAGTGTTTTCAAAAACTGGAGTATTTTTCTAAATGGCAGAGCTTAAGTAAGTAATGAATATTCAACGCAAGTGAAAACTCAAAAAAAAAACTTGAGTTTTCGGGAAAAAAAAAAATTAAAAATTTGAAACCCCCTATTGAGAAATCATGACATGTGCGCACAAGGCTTGATTGCGCTCTGCGCGGTGGTTGTCAAGTTGCAGCCATCATGTGTCAAAAACAATCATTTCAAAGAAATGGCTGATGAAAGGTATGACACTTAGCGATGCTTATCGAGCAATATCAGTCAAAGCACAGTACTGTTGCTATTAGGCAGAAACACGATTCTATGTTGAATGAAGAGTGACACTTAGCGACAGAGCTTATCGGGAGATATCAGTCTAAGTAGCTAAAGAGCAAAACACTATACTATATTGATATCAAGAAAGAATGTGGTGTGTGCCTCGAGCTCTCCGCTTGTTATATATATACAGTGGTGGCATGCACCCAAAGGTGGGAGTATCCCTCTCAATGATGAAGTATGACAACGAGCGGGACCAAGAAGTACCCGATCTCTCACTATGTCGGCTCCGTAATGAAATGAGAAGGACAGGTGTCGACGCTTGACGGTCGATGTCAGTCAGAGCACAGTGTTCAAGCTATTGAGCAGAAACACTATACTATATTAACCTGAGGAAAGAACATGGTGGCAGCCTCGAGCTCTTCGCTCGATATATATACATGGTAACGGCACATGCCAAAGGTGGGTGCATCCTTCATAAGGACGGAATGTGACAACAGGGGAGACTAAGCTATACCCGATCTCTTTTCACATCGCTTTATGTCACTTTTAACGTCTTGCTGGATCGTAACTTTCAGCAACTTTTAGTTTCTTTGCTGGATTGTTATCTTCAGCAGTCGACGCTCAGTGGTCAATGTCAGTCAGAGCACAGCACTGCTGCTATTGGGGCAGAAACACTATATTCGATTGACTTTGAAGGAACGTTGTGACAGCCTGGAGCTCTCAGCTCGATATATATACATAGTAGCGCCACATCTCAAAGGTGGGTTGATCCTTCTCAATGACGAAGTTTGACAACGAGCAGGGCTAAGCAGCACCCGTTCTCCGATCAGATCGGCTCTTACCCTTACCATATCGACTTATGTCACTTTTAGGGTTCTGCTGGATCGTTACCTTCAGCAACATGTTTTATGACAAAATCAGCAGCTTTTATGTGCATCATGAGCGCGCAAAAAATGTGGGAAACTGATTAACAATGTTTTGCTTAAGATAATCCAGCAGGGCACGAAAAGTGACATAAGTCGATGTGACGAGAGATTGGGTAGAAACGATCTGCAGACGAATCGGGCAAAGCCGATCTGATTAGAGATCGGACGGAGCCGATACAGTAAGGAATCGGGTACCGCTTAGTCCCGCCCGTTGTCATACTTGGTCATTAAGTATGCGCCCATCCTTAGGCATGTGCCACAACTTTTTTCATATATCAAGCAGGGAGCTAGAGGCTCCCGCCACACTCTCTTTATATCAATATAGTATAGTGCTTTGCTCTTCAGCTTGAACACCGTACTTAGACTGATATCTCCCGATCTCTGTCGCTAAGTGTCACTCTTCTTTTCTCAGGTTCTGAGCCCAAATAGCTGATACACTACCAAACCAGCCGCTACGCTATCAACAAAAAGTTTCACTGTCGACATGTCAGACCACGACTCAGCGTACGAAGACTTCGCTCAGGATATCGAGGCCATCATCCATCGCCTCCTAGCCAAGTTACAAGGTCGTTTCTATAGGATGATCAACAATAAGACGTACGTGATAAAAAGAGTACGACATTTAGCGACAAGGAAGATCAGGAGATATCAGTCTGTGTACGGTGTTCAAGCTTTTGAGCTAAAACACTATATTATATTGACATGGTAGGAGAACATGGTGAGAGCCTTGAGCTCTCTGCCTGGCATATATACAAAAGTTGGCACATCCCATATGTGGGAACATCACCCTCAACAACAGAGTAGGGGGTTTCAGTTATCTCTGAGTTTTGAAAACACAATACTTTGAAAATATGTTTGGGCCCAATTTTTGATGCCCCAAGAAACTGCACAGGCCTGTGACACGTGCATCTTGGAGTTTCACTTGACTCGCCCAGTAAAAACAATCTCTGATTCCCTACACCAGGTCAAGATCAAAGTGATCATATCAGACATTGTTGAACACTATACTGAACAATGCCAAAACCTTTGATTGAAAAGCTAAAGCAAATAGCTTACATCACACCTGTTCTGATCGCTGTCTTCTGCGAGCCTCATGCCATTGGTTTTGTCTCTCCTGCCATTTGGCGAAGGCCAATGTTGTCATTCCCATCCTTTGAGATTCTGCTGTTGTGTCCTCAAAAGGGCGGCCATGAGAAGCAAAGAGTGCAGTGAGCATCTCCTCCCTAAGATCCAGTGCTTTCTCCTGCCTGAACTTCTGGACTCAGTTCTGAGACATGCCCTCCATGGCAGCAGCCTGTTCCTGTTTGTATTGCTGCTGGTTTTCCCTTCGTTGTATCCTTGCATCTTTGGTAGCCTGCTGATATGCTTCCATCCCTGACATGGTCTCCAGCACCTCAGCTTCAGATAGAGTTTCTGATGCCTTAAGGTATTCTGCCACCTCATCTGGTCGATCATAACAGCTTGCAAATGTATGTGCAATGATACAAGCCTGGACTGTATGTGCAGCTTTCTCATGGTCCTCTTCTTGATACAGGTTGCCTCGAAATCCCATGAGACATTGGAAGCAGTTCTTGAGGTAGGCAATGCCATGTTCAGCCTTGACACGAATGTGGGAGAGTGAATAGTTGAAGTAGTGGAGATCTCTGCTCTTTGCAGCTGCAGTGTTGCTGTACAGTCCAACTGTGTAGCTGGAGTAGCCATAACCAGCATCAACCCAGACAAACTCGCCTTCATCAAGATGCAAACGAGGCTTCGCAACAATACCACTGCCTGAAGCCCAGACTTGTGCATCATGTGATGACCCAGGATGTCCAACCACCGACTTGACAATGCACAAGGAATGAGGGAGGAAGACAAGGGCAATGTTGAATGTATAATCACCCTTGTATGAGTAATGCTTGTGAGCATTGAGTACTGGCTTCCAAGCAAGATTGATGTGTGTACCATCTACCACCAACCATCCTCTAGACCATTCCTCAACTCCACTCTTATCAGCAACCCATGCTTTTGCCTTAGCATGCTCGTCTTCAGTTGCAAAGGTTACTACCTCACTGTTCAGCTTGTATAGGCCTGCAATAGTCCTATCTGTCCACACATGAACTGAGCCCCAACTGCAACTGCAGGCAAATGCAACATCACAAACTCCACCACCATTTCCTGACTGTCCAAGCTGATATAGACCAACTGCCACTTGCTGCTGAACATGCCGAAAGCTTGATATTGATCTGAAGGCATTGGTTGTGCTGAGTCTGTAAGTGAGAGCTTGGAATGCATCTGGGGTCATGCGAACAGCCCCTCAAAAGAGCTTGCAGTTGATGACAGCATATCAATCAAGCATGTTGATGAGGGGATCCTTTTGTTGTGGCAGTTGAAGGCATTCAACTGTGTATCGAGACTGGCTGATGATGTCGTAAGTCCTGATGAGTGCGAATGAGATAGCATGATCGAACATGTCATCATCAGAATCTTCAAGGTCATCATTAGGGTGCCAAGTGGCATTGACATCCATCAGATCAAGTTGCATCTTGGATTCCACCATCAATGAGTGCATGATGGTGGTCTCAATGTCATCCAGGAGGTGCTGTTTGTTGGAAGTGCACACCATGGTTGAAGTAGAGGGCCAGAAATAGGAGAGGATGATGTGGTCTGAAAGAGAGTCCAAAGCTACAAACACAACACAGCTGAGTTCTGCACAGCTGGGTTCTGCGCAGCTGATTTCTGCACAACACACATGCTCGGAACCAGGGCTACACCAATCAGCATCTTGTATGTGGAACAATTCATCACATTGAAGCAATCTACATTTGAGAGATTACACAGAAGACTGGGTATGGGGTATGCTAGTCATACATATTGAGAGCTAGCTTTACAGAGAGCAATGGTACAACAAGTCAGAAACACAGGAACAGAACTTGGAGAACTCAAAAGGAACACCATTCTTGCCAAATGGTCTACTCATGAGCTGAATCACTATTGTCCTGCTGATCCATGGCAAGAACCAGTGGGTCAAGATCAAGATTGCTTTGACTACTTCCAGTGATGTTGCCAAAGGGTAGATTAGGGTTCATCATCTGCACCATCTCCATGAGCCAACCATGCTCTTCAGTTCACATGTGCTCTTGTCTCTCACTTTCTTCCCTGGCAAATTGAATGCACATTTCCTCCCTCTTCGTGCATTCCTCCTCAACCTTGATTCGTGCCTGAAGCGTGTCTTGGGTGCAGGCCCACACAATTTCTGACAGCTCTTCTCGCTTGCTCTTGGAAGTGAAGGGTCGAGACTTCTTGGGTGTTGTACCTGTGGCTGGAGAATGGTAAACAGAGTCACCATCACCATCGTCCACTTCATCAGCCTCAAAAGCGGTGCTGGATGAGTGCTGGTGGGTTGGAGTGTCTATAGGGGTAATGGTGAAGGGGGTGGGGCCAATCGAAGATGGGTTGGATGAGGAAGAGAAGGGCGAGTGGGATGAAGATGAAGCAGCAGCTGGGGTGGCTGCAACCGAAGAAGAAAAAGATGAGATAACTCTTGCTCCAATGGGATCATTTTGCAACTCCTCAAGAATGGATTCCATGCCAGGAATGTTGCGTCGCTGAGGGTAGTGAGCATTGCTGGCATCATCCATGTTCACATCAGCATCAACCAAGTTATTCTGAGAGGAGGCAGGGGTGGCATCATATGGGTGACCAGTGAGAAGAACAACTGGACCAGTCTGTGCACGGTTGGTCATCATCTTGTGCCAGTGCTCAAACCAAGGGCAGCTTTGAGCAATCGATTCACATGTGGCATAGTCCTGCAAGTTGATAAAGAAGCATAGACAGAGATATAAAGTATAAGAATGTTGGCATACTTAACATGAATCAACTAAGTTGTACTTACCAAGCTGTTGTGATCCATGTCTTGAAGAAGTACTCCAGCACCGGTCTGCTGCAAGATGGTCTTCTTGATGTTGTTGTATTGTTCAGTGAGCCAGCAAATCTTAGTCTTTACTCGACCAGCACCACCAACAGTAGACTCATCTGGGAACAGCTCCTGCCATATCTGCCTGCAGATAACATCTTTGTTTGTCTTCAGACCCTTTTCCTGTTCCACAGTCAAACGTCCTGGCAATAGAACATGTTGGTAATGATCATTATTGTAGATGATATCAATGAGGTTATTTATGTCGCTAGGCAACCAATTGAAGTAGGCAATATGATCTGTTTTGTTGAACCTGCTGCCATGAGTACTGGCTTGATGTCTGCGAGTTGCAGAGATTCGAGTTGGCCAGGTAGAGGTTTGGTGAGGCAAAGAACTGGCAGATGTGGTGGTGTTGGAACCAGAAGGAGTGGAGGAGGACAAAGGGGAAGCAGGAGAGGTTGCTGGCTGAGTTGACTCAGCCCCAGCCAAGGTGCTGGAAGTTGCAGAAGGGTGGCACTGACGAGAGCAATCAAGGTTGGTCTGAGCTGACATTATTGTGTTGTGCTGTGAAGCAGTTGAAGACTGCTCTGATGCTGGAGCCAATCCAGAGGCTTGCTGCAAAGCTGTGAATAGTGTAATGTTGTTGATATGGTTGTGAGGGGATGGCATGTCCATGTCCTGGCACTGACAGGGAGGAAATGCTACTGGAGATGGTGATAGAAGTGAAGCAAGGACAGACATAACTCAAAGTGTGAGAAAGTGTAGACAGTGCAGAAAGTGGAGGTCAAGGGTTGTGTGCAGAATTGTGTTAGAATCACGTGATATCAGCACATGACAAAAACTCCTGCTGAAAACTCAAATATTCAGAAACCTGGGCTCATGGCAAAAATAAGTAGGGGTTTTCAAAACTTCCAAGCTTTTCTTTCCTGGCAGAGCTTACTTAAGCAGTGAGCTTTCAAAATCCAAAAAAACCATGAAAACTCGGAGTTTTGAAAACTCAGAGAAAACTGAAACCCCCTAGTGTGACAACCAGTGCGATCCAATAGCATCCAATCTCTTCTCCCAGGCCGTGTCTGCCCAATCCCCAATTAGATTGGCTCTACCCAATCCCAATTGGAATTGTTCTGTTCAATCTCTTGGAGTCATGCTGGATTGTCATCTTCAGCACCCCCTCTCGATCCAGAATACTCTTTTGGTGTCATCAAACCAAATAGTTGTCGAAGATGCAAGTGTTGGCACCATGAGTGGCTTCATCATGATATCAGCAAGGTTCTCACTGCTTTGTATTGGGGCAATTGTGAGGCAACCATTAGCTACTTTGTCTCACAGGAAGAAGTGTGCAATGTTGATATGCTTCATCCTCTTGAAGTGCTGTGGGTCATTGGCAATTGCATGCATGCCTGAAGAATCACTATACAGTTTTAGGATAGTTGGGTCAAGAACAAGATCCCTGTTGTATGAATGCAGTGCTGTAGTCCCTTCTGTGATGTGGATTGCTGACATCTTTGGTAGCAACTGGTCCAGCTTGCACAGGAACATGGATGTCCACAGCATTTCCCTTGCTGCGGCTGCCAATGTGACATATTCTGCCTCCACTAAGCTATTTGCTACAGTTGGTTGGAGGCATGAAGACCAGCTGCAGATGACACCATCAACTGCAAATACATATCCTGATATCAAGCAGTGGCAGTCTCACAATCCTGCCCAGTCAGAGTTGGCCCATCCTGTTAGCACCTGTCTGTCACATGTTCCCTTTGCAATCAGACTGATGTTGATGGTTCCTTTCAGATACTTGAGTATCCGTTTGGCTGCAATTAGATGCTTGTTGTCATGGGCCTAAATGCTCAAGAAGCAGGAGGGTCACTGGTTCATATGGAAGGAGCACAGGTATTGGAGATCTAGTTGATACCAGTAGAGAGCATGGTCATAGTGCAGTCTCCATGGAGACCATGGACTCCTACAGACTCACATGCAAAGGAGGACCAGGCCCATATGCAAGGAGGGCCAGGCACAGCCATGAAGAGGACCAAGCTCAAGGAGCATGCAGATGGTTACCACTCAGGGGCTTGAGAGACAAGAGTCAAAGGAACCATCACCAGTCAAAGGAGAAGGAGCAGTGTATAGGAAACCAGCAAGCAGGTCCTGAGGAGGAGGAGCAGTGTTGAAGGAGTCGACACCACTCAGGAGGCACAGGGGTGCCAAGCAAGCAGGATAGCTCAAGGAGGACAGGAGTGGTGCTAGAGGGGCCCCCTGTACAGTACTTGATGAAGAAGGTACTCTCTGGAGAGAGAGCAGGAGCAGCGTTGCTGGTGATGCTGTGAAGAGGTATATAACCATACTTTCTCATCATCAAAGGTCGAGTGGATCCTCATCCACTCTACACACACCATAACTAGTTATCACTTCAGCATAAGTATATATTAGTTCCAGTCAGCATAGTAGCAATCTATCAAGGTTGCTCCTCATTGTAGTGTATGTGTTGTATCACCACTACCTGACATCCAAAGGCAGCCCATAGCAGGTCAGCAGTCCAGATATAGATAGAACTGAAGGCAGTAGTCCACTGTGGTCTGGGGATCACTTCAAGCATTAGTCAGCACACTGGACACTCGTGTTGATGCCACCAAACTACCACCAATGCCACCAACCTTATCACCAAACACCATCAACCTCATCATCATCAACACTCACACCAGACCTTGGTGTCAACATAACCTACATATTGATATTGATCATGCCGAGCTACCCCTGAATGGAGTGTCCACAGAGGTCAGCCAAAACCTACGATAGTATATACAATGAATGCCACCTGCTGTCATCATGCAACTTGATAGTTGCCAAGCAACATAGCTCATTGAGACCGATACCAAGACAATAGCTGTCACACAGTTTGATAGTCACTGAGTATCTCGACAGACCGACCTGGGTTTCAGGCGCGAGACCCCTGACACTTGTCTGACAGGTTGGCAAGAAATCAAGCACACTGACCAACTGCAAAAGCTATAATGGGACATGTTCCTTGTGTGATCCAAAGTAGTGAGCCAACTAAAGAGGCATAGTATTGTGTTTCCTCTGCACTAGCTGTACTGTTTTGTCATGGTCCCATCACATTGATTCCTTCTGTAGCAGGTGATCAAACTGCCCAGGCATTGTTCATACCAAATTTCTCTGAGGTACCTTCTGTCAGGGGTCTCGCGCCTGAAACCCAGGTCGGTCTGTCGAGATACTCGGTGACTATCAAACTGTGCAACAGCTATTGTCTCGGTATCAGTGACTATCAAGTTGTGCAGTGACAGCAGGTGGCATTCGTTGTATACTATCGTAGGTTTCAGCTGACCTCTGTGGACACTCCATTCAGGGGTAGCTTGGCACGATCAATATCAATATGTAGGTTATGTTGACACCAAGGTCTGGTGTGAGTGTTGATGATGATGAGGTTGATGGTGTTTGGTGATAAGGTTGGTGAATGTCGATGATAATGAGGTTGGTGGGGTTGGTGATGAGGTTGGTGGCATCAACACGAGTGTCCAGTGTGTTGACTTGATGCTTGAAGTGATCCCCAGACTGCAGTGGACTACTGCCTTCGGTTCTATCTTGATCTGGACTGCTAACCTGCTATGGGCACCTTCGGACATCAGGTAGTGGTGATACAACACACACACTACGATGAGGAGCAACCTTGATAGATTGCTGCTATGCTGACTGAAACTAATATATACTTATGCTGAAGTGATAACTAGTTATGGTGAGTAGAGTGGATGAGGATCCACTCGACCTATGATGATGAGAAAGCATGGTTATATACCTCTTCACAGCATCGCCAGCGATGCTGCTCCTGCTCTCTCTCCAGAGAGTACCTTCTTCATTGAGTACTGCTCAGGGGCCTCTCCTGCTTGGCAACCCTGTGCCTCTTGAGCTGTGTCGACTCCTTCGACACTGCTCCTCCTCCTCATGACCTGGTGTTGACTCCTTCGACACTGCTCCTTCTCCTTTGATCAGTGACAGTTCCTTTGGCTCTTGTCTCTCGAGCCCCTGAGTGGTAACCATCTGCATGCTCCTTGAGCTTGGTCCTCTTTGTGGCTGTGCCTGCTCCTTGAGCTTGGTCCTCCTCATGGCTGTGCTTGGCCCTCCTTTGCATGTGAGTCCATAGGAGTCCATGGTCTCCATGGAGACTGCACTATGGCCATGCTCTCTACTGGTATCGACTAGATCTTCGATACCTGTGCTCCTTCCATATGAACCCGTGACCCTCCTGCTTCTTGAGCATCCAGGCCCATGACACTACCCCCCTCTTAAGAGCCGAGCTCCGTCGAGGCATGCTCTGGTCTGGTTCATGCTGACTCCTCCTCCTCCTCCTCCTCCTCAACAACATCGCCAACATCCTCCTTCCTCCTTCTCTCAACGTCATCCTCCTTCCTCTCTCTACTCCTCCTGTTCTCTCTTCCTCTCTCTACTCCTCCTGTTCTCTCCTCCTTTCTCTACTTTGTCTACTCACTCGTCCCCCCTCCGACACCTCATACTCCTGGATGAGGTCGGGACAGTTGAGGTTCTCTACTGGTTCCCATGAAGCAGCTTCCTCTGAGTACCCTCTCCACAACACCTTGTACTCTGTAGTCCCATTGTGTGAACGCTTGTTGATGAGTGCTTCGACTTTGAAGTCGAGGTCCTCATCTGGAAGTGATGGTATGGTGGGCTGTTCAGCACATTGAGGAAGAGAACTTGTTCTTGCTGGCTCAAGCATGGAGACATGGAACACATCATGCACCCTAAGGTTTGCTGGCAATGTGATTCGATAAGCTCAGCATCCTACCCGTTCCTGAACTGGGTAGGGTCCTGCAAACCGGGTATCTAACTTGGGTGTGGGTCTCTGTGTCTTCCAGTTTCGACGGTTGATATAGACCATATCACCCACCTTAAACTCGATGTCCTTGTGCTTCCTGTTATACTGGTCTACTGATCTATGTTGTGCCTCTCTGATCTGCTCCTGGAGGTACTTGTAATGCTCCTTTCCATCCATGAGGTACTCAAAGTGACCTGGATCATTGACTCCTAGTTGTTGAGGGATGTCAGGATGAGCTTTGGGGTTCCATCCATAGCATGCAAAGAATGGTGAGACACCAATGCTGTTGTGGACTGTGTTGTTGTATACAAAGGCTGCAGTGTCCAGTAGGTTGGCCCAGTCATCCTGCTCATAGTTGCAGTACATCCTTAGGTATTGCTCTATGACCTGATTGACCCTCTCTGTCTGACCATCGGTTTGAGGATGGTAAGCCATGCTAAGTGAGTGCTTCACACCCATTTGTTCTGCAAATGCCTTCCATGCTCCTGATATGAACTGCCTGCCTCGGTCCGAGACCATGTGATCTGGGTATCCGAAAAGTCTAACCATGTGTCCATATAGCAACACTGCAGTCTGTTTGGCCGTGACTGTCTTATGGGTTGGAGCTAGTATGGCAAACTTGGTCAACCTGTCGACAATGACTAAGATAGAGTCATAGGTCTTGGAGTCATACTTCTTTGATGGTGGTAGTCCTTCAATGAAGTCGAGGGATATGGAGCCCCAGGGCCTGTCTGGTGTTGCTAGTGGCTGTAGCAAACCATATGGACGGTGACGAGGAGCTTTGTACCTAGCACATACAGGACAACTTGCTACATAGTCTGCAATCCAAGCTGTCATGTTTGGCCACCAGTAATGTCGTTGAGCTGCCTTGATGGTAGCATCTCTTCCTATGTGTCCAGCAGTGATACCATCATGGCATTGGGTCATCACCATGAATCGCAGATGCTCTACAGAGAGGGACTGTCCATCTACCTCTTTGGCACTCCTTGAGTGTCAGTTGTTGGTCCTCCCTGGCATGGTTACTTTGGGGATAACCAACCTTCCTCCACTGTACCATAGGTCGTCCTTGAGTTCGAAGGGCTTCTTCCTATGTATCTCCTGTAGCTCTTGGTCTAAGGGCTGGAAGATCTTGACCAGGTCTTTGAGACCTTTTGATGCTATGGACTCCATTGAGAGCATGGGGGCCACTAGGGTCGAGTCATGGTCTGCTGTCTCCTTGAACACTCGAGGAGGCAGTAGTTGCCTCACATTGTGATCCTGCTCTTCACCAGCTGGTTGCATGTCTGTCCTTCTGGTGAGAGCATCAGGTTCACCACCTTTGTCTCCTGGTCGATACTGCAATATGAAGTCGAAGTCTGCTAGTAGTATGGCCCATCGAGCCTGTCGACCTGTGATGCGTCTCTGTGACTTGAAGTACTTGAGGGCTTCATGGTCAGTGAGGATGACCAGTTGGCTCGGTAGTCCAGCTAGCATGTGTCACCACTGAGTAAGGCAGGTGACCACAGCTAGGAGCTCCTTGTCATGGATTTCATAGTTCTTCTCAGCAGAAGACATCTTCCTAGAGTAGAAGGCCACTGGATGCCATCGTCCTTCATGCTCCTGCTTGAGTACTCCTGCTATAGCAAAGTCACTTGCATCAGTCTTCAACCTTGTTGGAAGGTGGTAGTCGAAGTGCTGAAGCACTCCTGCTGATGTGAATGCCTGGATGAGCTTGTGGAAGGCCTGTTGGGCCTCCTCTGGTAGCTCGAACTTCTTGAACCGTTCTATAGGCTTTACCAGTGATGTCAAGGGCTTGGCTATGCGAGCAAAGTGGGCTATGAACCTTCGATAGAAGTTGGCAAAACCCAGGAACCTTTGGATGTCATGGATTGACTCTGGCATTGGCCACTCCTTGACAGTGCGCACCTTTTCTGGGTCCATCTCTATGCCTGTTGGCTTGATGATGTACCCCAGGAACTCGACTGTCTTGGTGTGGAACTCACACTTCGACAGCTTAGCAAAGAGCCTGTTGCTCCTTAAGCAAGTGAGGACCTCGGTGACATGCTTCACATGTGCTTCTTCAGTGTCACTGAAGATCAGGAAGTCATCTAGGTATACTACCACATATATCCCAATGATGTCTCGGAAGATGTCATTGATGAATGACTGGAAGTGAGCTGGAGCATTGGCTAGGCCAAAGGGCATCACTAGGTACTCATAGAGTCCCAACTGAGTGCCAAAAGCTGTCTTCCATTCATCTCCTTTAGCAATCTGGATGAGGTTGTATGCTGCTCTAAGGTCTAGCTTGGTATAGATCCTTGCCTTCCTGAGTAAGAACAGCTGCTCCTCGATGAGGGGCAATGGTGCCCTGTTCTTGACAGTGATCTCGTTGAGACCTCTGCAGTCCACACAGAGTCTGAGACCTCCATCCTTCTTTGGTATGAAGAGCACTGGTGATCGTGCCAGGCTCTTTGATGGTCTTATGAACCCCTTCTCGAGGTTCTCATCCAAGTACCTCCTCAACTTGGACATCTCCTTGGGTCCCTTAAGGTATAGGGGCCCTTGAGGTGGCTTACCTCCTTCTATCAACTCGAGGTGGAGATCATGCTCAGTATGATGGGGCAGCTTGTCTGCTTCCACCTCATCAAACACATCTCGCAGGTGTTGGTATGGCTTTGGTATGTCTGCAGCCATCACCACCTTGTCTACCTCCACCTCCATCTCGACTCCTTTGTCTGTGCCTGTAGGTACAAAACCAAAGGCTGGGAGTGATGATGGTGGCTCCTCCAACAGCATGAACCCTATGGGTCCATCTTCCAGAGCTGCTCATAGTATGCGCTCTGCTGAGACAAACTTGTTACCATGAAGGGTTGGTCTCCTCATGGTTAGGTCCCCTGCTCTTGCTGCTTCAGGGGGTCTCCTTGGGGGTCAGTCCTGCTCCTGAGTCTTGAACTCCAGCTAGCCCATATCCCATTGTATGGTGGGTTTGAGCCTCCGTAGCTCAGTGAACCCCAGGATGAGGTCATAGTCAGCAGTGTTGGCCACTGAAGCTTCGACCACACCCAGATTGTGTGTACCAATAGATACCTGCATGCTCACAGAACTATTGATGGAGAGTTGGTGCCCAGTGACACCATGGATCGATCTTGTTTTTATGGGTTTTGTGGGTATTTGGTACTTACTAATGAAAGAATCTGAGACTATGGACAAACCAGCACCAGTATCAGCTAGTATCTGAGCAGGATGGTCTTGAACCATTCCAGAGAGCTCCAGTACTGCTTTGCCTCCACTGGTAGAGAAACATACTTGACAATCTTGATATATACAGAGTGATGGCGAGGAGGTTTGTAGAGCAATGCATGCCATCAGTGCATCACCCCACTGACGTTTCCCTCATCGTCGTCATCATCATGCCCCTCCTCATGATCAGGATCCATGGGTTGCTGGTATGAGCTGAGGTCCATGGCCTCGGGGTCACCTGTCTCAGTGCTGCCTGTGTGGCCATCTCCTGAGTCAGTGGCCTCCTCGAAGGGGTCTGCTGTGGTGACCATAACCTTTGGTCCCATGGGTCGAGAGCTAAGAGGGTCTACCCTCCTGCTGGGGCAGTCTCTGGCCCAATGGCCAATACCCTTGCATACATGACAGGTGTTGATACCTGATGGAGCAGGGCTTCCTTGCTTCAAGGTTTGGGTGGGTTGATGAGGAAGGGGTTGGTTTAGGTTTTGTGTAGTTGCTTGTGTAGTTGCTTGTGCTGGTGATTGAGCTGGATAAGGTTGAGTGGGTTGACAGATGGGGATCGAACTTTGATTTGACTGAGACCCAGTTCTTAGTGGAGGTGACATGGCATTTGGGAGTAAGTGTCTAGCCGAGGACTGCTGTAGTAGCATCCTCTGTCGATTGATCTCCTTGACCTCTCGATACCACTCCCATCTCTTCCCAGGTGGATTCCTCTTGAACTTCTCCTGTATGCTGCGAGTGAGACTTCCTCTGAAGAGATCAATCACTAGCTCATTGTCATCTAGGTTGACCTGTCCCTCCAAGTCTCTGAACCGCTCTACATGACGTGTGGCAGCACCAGGAGCATCACTTGTGAGTCTGAGAGCCAACAGCTTGTTGTATGCCTCCATCCTAGCATTGCATGGGTTGAACTGCTCTGACAGTCACTCTGTGAAGTAGTGCCAATCATTGAACAACCTTCCTTCTCTAGCTCTATCAATACAGAGCTTGGAGGTCCACCACTCTCTTGCTGTCCCTTCTAGTTGAGCACCCATGTGGTTGATCATCCTAGTCTGCTCATACACCTGGTTGAACTTAAACCATGCTTCGGCTTCTAGAATGAAGATCTCCATGTCTCGGGGATTGAACTTTGGAAAGGGGGTGGCAATGGGCTTTGACCGGTTAAGCTCTGCCATGATGCTGGTATCCTCCTCGTGGTCCAGGGGGTAAGGGTCTGTCCTGATCCTGCTGTAGGGGTCCACCTTAGTCTTGACATATCTTGGCCCTGTAGGTGAAGCATACTTCTCATAGTTGATGTCCTCCTGCTCATCCAGGTTGAATGAGACTGATCGTCTTGGTCATGGAGCTGGAGTAGGAGTATGTGGGTCTCCTATCATAGACTCATCTCCTCCTCCTGCTTGGTCTTCTGAGTGAGAGAGGTCCATTGTCTCCTCCCTGCTCAGTTGAGCTCGTTGTAATCGTTCCTCTTGATGACCCTGTCTGGTAAGCTCTAGCTGTGCTTCCAATAGAGTGAGTAGTCTATCAAGCTTATTGTTGAGGTCTGGGTCCATCATGGTGATCATGAGGAGCTGCTTGAATGATCCACTCTAATGTCAGGGGTCTCACGCCTGAAACCCAGGTCGGTCTGTCAAGATACTCGGTGACTATCAAACTGTGTGACAGCTATTGTCTCGGTATCAGTGACTATCAAGTTGTGCAGTGACAGCAGGTGGCATTCGTTGTATACTATCGTAGGTTTCAGCTGACCTCTGTGGACACTCCATTCAGGGGTAGCTTGGCACGATCAATATCAATACGTAGGTTATGTTGACACCAAGGTCTGGTGTGAGTGTTGATGATGATGAGGTTGATGGTGTTTGGTGATAAGGTTGGTGAATGTCGATGATAATGAGGTTGGTGGGGTTGGTGATGAGGTTGGTGGCATCAACACGAGTGTCCAGTGTGTTGACTTGATGCTTGAAGTGATCCCCGGACTGCAGTGGACTACTGCCTTCGGTTCTATCTTGATCTGGACTGCTAACCTGCTATGGGCACCTTCGGACATCAGGTAGTGGTGATACAACACACACACTACGATGAGGAGCAACCTTGATAGATTGCTGCTATGCTGACTGAAACTAATATATACTTATGCTGAAGTGATAACTAGTTATGGTGAGTAGAGTGGATGAGGATCCACTCGACCTATGATGATGAGAAAGCATGGTTATATACCTCTTCACAGCATTGCCAGCGATGCTGCTCCTGCTCTCTCTCCAGAGAGTACCTTCTTCATCGAGTACTGCTCAGGGGCCTCTCCTGCTTGGCGCCCCTGTGCCTCTTGAGCTGTGTCGACTCCTTTGACACTGCTCCTCCTCCTCATGACCTGGTGTCGACTCCTTTGATACTGCTCCTCCTCCTCATGACCTGGTGTCGACTCCCTCGACACTGCACCTCCTCCTCATGACCTGCTTGCCAGTGTCCTATGACTCTTGTCTCTCGAGCCCCTGAGTGGTAACCATCTGAGCTTGGTTCTCTTCGTGGCTGTGCCTGCTCCTTGAGCTTGGTCCTCCTTGTGGCTGTGCCTGGCCCTCCTCGCATGTGGCTCGGTTCTCCTTTGCATGTGAGTCCATAGGAGTCCATGGTCTCCATGGAGACTGCACTACGACCATGCTCTCTACTGGTATCGACTAGATCTTCGATACCTGTGCTCCTTCCATATGAACCAGTGACCCTCCTGCTTCTTGAGCATCCAGGCCCATGACACCTGCTTGCTTGAGTCCATAGAGAGCTTTCTTGAGGCAATAGCATTTACCATTATTCTTGTGTGGCTTGAACATTGGGGGAATTTGTATGTGAACAGTCTTATCTATTTTCCTGTTCAAGAACACAGTGCTCACATCAAGTTGAGTGACATGTAGCTTGTATCTGTGAGCAAGAGCAAGGAGGATGCACACAGTTTGGAGGCAGACAACTGGGCTAAAGGTTTGATTGTAGTCTAAGCCCAGTCATTGTGTGTATCCTTGAGCTACAAGTCTCACCTTGTATTGCATGGCACATCATTGAGTATCAAGGTTTAGTTTGTATACCCACCATATGCTGATGAGTTTACTGTCAGTGGGAAGGTTGACTAGCTCAAAGACATCCATCTTTTACATGCTGTCCATCTTGGCAATCATTGCTTCTTTCCATTTGGTCCAGTTGTCCCAATTCTGTGTCTCTGATAATGATGATGGTTCTAGTAGGATACCATTGGCACTAGGAGTTGTTGGCTGCTGGCAGTTAGGGCTATGCCATTCATCACTGTGGTTGCAAATGCCATTTGGTCATGGTAATGTCCAAGAGATGTCATTGCTGGCTTGACAGTGCATCTCATAGTGAAGGCCATGAAGCTGAGCAGGGCTAGTGGATCTGAGGACTTGATACTAGGTGGTTCAGGCAATGACAAAGTGTAGTTGCTGTAGAGACCAAGTTGGGGGGATTCAAGTTGAGAAGTGTTGTTGGAGACATATAGGTCTGTGCTGATGCCCCCCTTGGCTGACACGTCATCAAGCTGGTCATTGAGGTCAGCACAAATGGCATCCATATTGATGGTGATCTCTCTGGCTGCTTGAATCTCCAACATGGTGTGATCCCTCTCTGGGTAAGAGTCCCAATCATCATTATCATCAGCAATGGGGCTGGCCTCTCTTTGTTGGGAAAAAGGAGGCAAGGAAAGGGGGAGATCATCTTCATTGCCAGAATTGGGTGAAGTGTCACTGATGGGCAACCAGTGGTACAACTGCAGTAGTTGACTGTCATGGGAGAGGACAGGCGTGCGTGAGGGATGGGTGCTCGAGTTCCAAGAAGTGTATGTCCTTGACTATGACGATTTGATCAAGTGCTGGGAGCCAGACACAGTGTCCTTTAATGGTGCAGGTTGCATGAGAGTAGCCAAGGTATGTCCCATGGAGGGCTCATGGGTGTAGGTGCTTACTCACAATGGGGTTGTCACAGAGCAATGTGGTTCTCATGTTGCCACATAGGACAATGTAAGTGGTACATCCAAAGTGATGGATGTCTCAGAGGCTTGGGACCTCAGCATAAAAGATCTTGTATGGTGTCTTGCCACTGTCATGGGCCTGGGTGCGCAGAACGAGGAAAGACCGAAGTTCATATGAAGGTAGCGCAGGAATCGTGGAATCGGGTAGATTGGAGGAGCTGTGACAAAGTTCACCAAGATCGGTAGTAGAATCAGCTCTATGGCAGATCACAGCGAAATCGGCATGAGCATCATCAATATCACGAATCCCACCAGAATCTGCAGCAAGCAAGATCGTGTGGCAGATTCTGCAGAGATCGGTAGTAAAGATGTCCGTACAATGATTCACATGCGAGAGGGACCGAGCTCAGCGACACGTGGTCGGTTACCACTCAGGGGCCCACAGGACAGGAGTAGAAGAGAACCGTCGCTGGTCAAAGGAAGGAGATCTGTGTATAGGACACCGGTGAAATGGACATGAAGAGGAGGAGCAGTGTCGATGAAGTCGACACAGCTCAGGAAAGACAGGAGGGACAAGGCTTGAAATGGAGAAGGTGCCTCCTTGGAGATCCCTGTGCAGTACTCGACGAGGAGGGTACCCTCTGGAGAGAGGGAGCAGGAGCAGTGTCACTGGCAATGCTGTGAAGAGGTATATAGTCCTACCTCCTCATCACAAATGGTCGAGTGGATCCTCATCCACTCTACTCATCAAACAAACTAGTATTACTTCAAGCAACAAGTATCATTAGTTCACAGTCAGTGTAGTAGTAATCAACAGATTGCTCCTCATCGAAGCATGTGTGTTGTATCACCATTTCCTGACATCCAAAGGCGGTTCTAGCAAACCAGTGGTCCGGATATCGATAGAACCGAAGGCAGTCATCCACTGTGGTCTGGGGATCACTTCAAGCGTTAGTCGACACACTGGACACTCATGTTGATGTCATCTATCCATACTCACACCAGACCATTGGTGTCAACATCAAGTTCACTTAGAGTCATATCGTAGTTTGATCATGCCGAGCTACCTCTGGATGGAGTGTCCACAGTGGTCAGTCGAAATCTGTCACAACATCAATACAACTACAGATTCCAACGAAAAAAGCGGCAGAGATGGTTCTGTCGCATATTACACTAGGAATCATAATACCACTAGTGCTGTCGCATAACTCGACAGAATCGGTGATAGTACTGATACTACTACTGATCTCAGGTTTCAGGCACGCGACCGCTGACAGCCACCTTGTGTTGTGCCAGTAAGGTGATTGTGGTTGTAAGCCACCTGTGAGACTGTGTATGGCCACCATCTTTCTGCAGTGTTGGTGTCAAACAGCATGCAGCATATGATCCTATGTAAGGTTTGGATAGCACACTCTGCAAATGCATTGTCAGTGTGTTGTTGCATTGGGGAGGCAGTGATCTTGATGCCAGAGGACAAGCAGAAGTTTCAGAAGGATGTTGTCCAGAGTTCACCTTGGTTGACCTGGATCTCTTTGATGTCACATCTGCTTGCCACATTGGTGGATTGGCATTGAGGGAGTTGATGAGTCTTGGAGACCCAGTATGACACCTCTGTGGCTGCGCAAGCCTTGTTGTGCAGTCCCCAAACCCAGATCATCATGGAGAATGCATCATGAATGGCAAGAACATAAGAAGACTGGGGGTTCTTGTGCAGTGGTCCCATGACATCCATGGACACAAGTTTGAGTGGTTGCTCAACAATGAGGGGGTGTGGTGGAGTTCTGGCTGTCACCTTGCTGCTTATGCATGTGTGGTAAAAGGCCTTTATTATTATTCTTGCTGAAATCTGTTGTAGAAGCCTTCTATGACTTTTCTTGCTCAAATATGTTGTAACTGATAACTATTGCAGATTTCAACTGACCACTGGGGACACTCTGCTCAGAGGTAGCTCAGCACAATCAATTAACCAATAGAAACTTTGTGAAGACACAAAGGCCTGGTGTGAATATGCTTGCACTGACACAAGTGTCCAGTGTGCCAACTGAGTGACTGAATGATCCCTGGACCACAGTGGACAACTGCCTTTGGTTTCTGATGATCAAGAGAGCCAGACCACAGTATGAACTGCCTTTGGTGTCAATCATTATCCAGACTGCAGTTAATACTGCCTTTGGATGAAGTCAATGGGTGGTGATACAACACACATGCTACAATAGAAGCAATGCTATGCAATTGCAACTTGTTGATGGAATACTAAGTATACTTGTTGTAAAGCGATAGCTAGTAATGTATGGTGTAGAGCAGATGAGGATCCACTCAATGGCTATGACGAGGAGCGTGGTTATATAACCATTCTCGCAATGCCGCCTGCGACACTGCTCCTCCTCCTCGTCCTTCCTATCCTTTCTATTCATCCTGCAATGCTGCTCGTTGGCACCGTGTCTCTCGCTTCCTGTGGATGGACAGTCCTCGCATTGTTTCATCATTGAAAGGGGCCATTCCCACCTCATCTGAGCAACAGTTCACACCCCCTTTCATCTCTCCCATCTATCAGCCCTGGGTTCATTACCAAGCAGGTCCCCTGCTTCATTGGGGTGGTGGACCCAGATGTATTTGCCACCCATCCATGATATTGACATCCTCTTGCTGGTTTCTGTGAGATCTGTTGTACAATCACAATACTACTGATTCCAGCAGGCTTTGCTTTAAGCTCCCACTCATACCAATTTGAGCGAGATCTGTTGTAGAGCATCTCTACTACCAATCTCGATGGATTTGGCTTTAGAACTCTTGTTTGGCCTGATCTGGCAATTCCTGTGCCACTCCTCATATGCTTCCAGATCCTCCTGCGCATCCGGTCCTATGACAGAAAGCCAGTTTGGCATCTTCCAGTAGCTCAAACTTCTTAAAACACTCCATGGGTTTTACCAATGATGTGAGTGGTTTGGCAATGCATGTGAAGTGGGCTATGAACCTCCAATAGAAGTTTGCGAAGCACAAGATTCATTGGATGTCATGTATCAATTCTGGCATTGGCCACTCCTTAACTGTTTGTACCTTCTCTGGATCCATTTCTATCCCTGTGGGTTTTATGATATACCCTAAGATTTCAATGGTGTCTGTGTGGAACTCACACTTTGACAGCTTGGCAAACAATTGGTGCTTCTTCAGGTGTGTCAGGATCTCAATGACATGTCTGATGTGCTCTTCTTCTGTATTGCTGAAGATTAGGAAGTCATCCAGATATACTACCACATATACCCTGATGATGTCACAGAAGATGTGGTTAATAAACAACTGAAAATGAGCTGGCACATTGGCTAGTCCAAAAGGCATGACCAGGTACTCATATAGTCTGAGTTGAGTACTGAATGCTGTTTTCCATTCATCCCCACTGGCGATGAATATCAGGTTGTATGCTGCCTTGAGATCTAACTTTGAGTAGATCTTTGCCTTGTGGAGTAGGAACAGTTGTTCTTCAATAAGTGGTAAGGGAGCATGGTTCTTGATGGTGATCTTTTTGAGGCCCTGGTAGTCCACACAGAGTTGTAAACCTCCATCTTTCTTGGGTACAAAAAGTACTGGAGATCATGCCAGACTCTTCAATGGCTGTATAAACCCTTTGGCCAGGTTCTCATCAAGGTACTTGTGTAACTCAGCCATCTCCTTAGGTCCTTTGAGATATAGCAGGCCCTGAGGCAGTTTACTGCCTTTGGATAGTTCTAGTCACAAGTTGTGCTCCATGTGAGGTGCTAATTTATCTGCCTCTACTTCATTGAACACTTCCTGTAGATGTTGGTATGGCTTCAGTATGTCCTTGGCTGTTACCAGTTTGTCTGCTTCTACCTCCATCTCCACACCTCAATTGTTGTCTGTGGGCACAAAGCCAAATGATGGGAGAGATGAGGGTGGTATGTCCAACAGCATGAACCCAATAGGGCCATCCTTGAGAGCTGCTTGGATTAGGTGTTCTGCTGATATGAATTCATATCTGTGGAGTTTGATAGGCTTGTAGTCTTTATCAGGGGGGACCCTATTAGCTGATCGTGGTTTCTTCCTGCCACCAGAATGGAATTCCGTTCTCCGAGCCCGGAGCATTTGGGAGTGAAAATGCTTATACTTCAGTGTTGTATGAATCAGGTACACCAGCTAAGGGACTAGCTGGTGTAGTGGCTTTGCTGCTCACTATGTTTCGGTTTGGTTACCCGATTCCTGACCCATGACACTTCCCATGCACAAGTTCCGACCCTTCTGTTCGGACCTCTTGTTCTTGCGCCCTGAACTCAAGCTGACCAGTGTCCCATCAGATGGTTGGTCTCAGCCTTCTAAGTTCTGTGAAGCCCAATATGAGGTCATAATCAGCAGTATTGGCTACTGACACTTCAACCATTCCTAAGTTATGGTTACCAATAGCTACTTGCACTGTGGCAGAGCTGTTGATGGCAAGTTGGTGTCCCATGACACTGTGTACAGATTGTTTTTTTGTGGGTTTTGTGTTTAACTGATACTTATGGACAAACAAATCTGAAACAATAGACAGGCCAGCACTGGTGTTGGCAAGGATACAAGCTGGGCAGTCTTGGACCATCCCAATTAACTTGAGTACTGCTTTACCTTTGCTGGCTGAGAAACAAAGCAAACATTCTTGATATGTACAGATGGATGGCAATGAGGATTGTAGAGCAATACATGCCATCAGTGCATTGTCCCACTGGCATTTCCCTCATCGTTTTCCTCATGATCCTCTTCAGGGTCCTCAGCAAAAGACATATGGGCGAGGTCAAGGCCTTCTTGGTTGACTGAGTAAGGGTCATGTGGTTCCTCCTCAGTCAGGTTGTTGTCTTCATGGCTTGTCTCTTCTTTGGGGTTATCTTCCATGGTTACCATGACCTTTAGACCACTAGGTCTGGGAGTTGATGACACAGCTGGTTTCCTGCTTGGGCAATCTCTTGCCCAGTGTCCTGTGCCTTTGCACCAATGGCATGTGTTGCCCTCTTGAGGCATAGTGTCCCATGGCCTTAGGTTCTGTGTCAGATGAGGAGGCAAGGGCTGGTTGCCGAATCAATACAGAGCTCTAGAAGTTACCAGTCCAGGTGGTCAGACTTGTGGTGACAGAGATGGTGTTGGCCCTGTGACTGGATTTGACCAGGGTGTAAGTGCACCAGGGTGCCTTGAGGTGGACTGTTGCATCACCATCTGTTGGTGGTCAATGTCTTCAACCTGCTGGTACCATTCCCAAATGCTTGCAGGTGGGTTCCACTCAAACTGCTCCTGTAGACTGTGTGTGAGGCTTCCTCTAAATAGGTCAATGACCAAGTCCTTATCTTCCATATTAACTTGGCCTTCAAGGTCCCTAAATCATTTGACATGGCAGGTAGCCATACCTGGTACATCACTTGTGAGTTGTATATTGAGAAGCTTATTGTATTCTTCCACTCTGGGATTACAAGCATTATACTACTCAGTAAATCGCTGTTTGAAGTACTGCCAGTTGTGGAATAGTCTTCCCTGCTGTTCACAATCAACTCTTATCTTGGAAATCCACCATTCACAAGCATTGCCTTCCAGCTGAGCACTGGTATGATGAATCATGCTCTTGTGATCAAAGACTCAGTTAAACATGAACCAGGCTTTGGCTTCAATCAGAAAGATCTCCACATCCCTCAGATTGAACTTTGGGAAAGGAGTAGCAAGTGATTTAGGTGGAGTAAGGGAAGTTTCCCTTGTAGCCATTGTATCATCCCCTTCCACATCCTTGGGTGTCCCCATAGAGGTTTGGTTGTACCTAGGCCTGGTAGGGATTGCATACTTTTCGTAGTTGGAGTAGAGTTGTCCGCTCTGGTCCATGAACGACATGGACCTTTGTGGTCTTGGAGCTGGGGTTGGGGTGCTGGGTTCCTCAATCATTGATTCTTCAACTTGATTCTGGTATTGGGCCTCCAAGCTTTCCAGTCTTATGCGGTGGTATTTGAGGTGTTCTCGATTCCTCGTCTGAATCCTTTCTACCCTCTCCTCGGCTCTTTTCAAGATCTTCATCATCTCCTCGAGTTTTTCCTGTAGAGTAGGCTCCGTCATCTTGGTGTGGGGCACAGCTTGAATGATCCACTCTAAATGTAAGCAGTCACATGCCTGAAACCAGATTGGGTGCTGTCAGGGGTCTCGCGCCTGAAACCCAGGTCGGTCTGTCGAGATACTCGGTGACTATCAAACTGTGCGACAGCTATTGTCTCGAGATACTCGGTGACTATCAAGTTGTGCAGTGACAGCAGGTGGCGTTTGTTGTATATACTATCGTAGGTTTCGGCTGACCTCTGTGGACACTCCGTTCAGGGGTAGCTCGGCACGATCAATATCAATGTTATGATGACACCAAGGTCTGGTGTGGGTGTTGATGATGATGAGGTTGATGGTGTTGGTGATGAGATTGGTGATGTCGATGATAATGAGGTTGATGGTGTTGATGATAAGATTGGTGATGTCAATGATAATGAGGTTGATGGTGTTGGTGATAAGGTTGGTGGCGTCAACACGAGTGTCCAGTGTGTTGACTTGATGCTTTGAAGTGATCCCCGGACCGCAGTGGACTACTGCCTTCGGTTCTATCTATATCCGGACCGCTAACCTGCTATGGGCGCCTTCGGATGTCAGGTAGTGGTGATACAACACACACACTACGATGAGGAGCAACCTTGATAGATTGCTGCTATGCTGACTGAAACTAATGTATACTTATGCTGAAGTGATAACTAGTTATGGTGAGTAGAGTGGATGGGGATCCACTCGACCTATGATGATGAGAAAGCATGGTTATATACCTCTTCACAGCATCGCCAGCGATGCTGCTCCTGCTCTCTCTCCAGAGAGTACTTTCTTCATCGAGTACTGCTCAGGGGCCTCTCCTGCTTGGCACCCCTGTGCCTCTTGAGTGGTGTCGACTCCTTCGACACTGCTCCTCCTCCTCATGACCTGTGTCGACTCCTTCGACACTGCTCCTCCTCCTCATGACCTGTGTCGACTTCCTGTCTCTCGAGCCCCTGAGTGGTAACCATCTGAGCTTGGTCCTCCTCATGGCTGCGCCTGCTCTTTGAGCTTGGTCCTCCTCGTGGCTGTGCCTGGTCCTCCTCGCATATGGGCTCAGTGCTCCTTTGCATGTGAATCCATAGGAGTCCATGGTCTCCATGGAGACTGCACTACGACCATGCTCTCTACTGGTATCGACTAGATCTTCGATACCTGTGCTCCGTCCATATGAACCAGTGACCCTCCTGCTTCTTGAGCATCCAGGCCCATGACACTACCCCCCTCTTAAGAGCCGAGCTCCGTCGAGGCATGCTCTGGTCTGGTTCATGCTGACTCCTCCTCTTCCTTGACAACATCGCCCCCGTCATCCTTCCTCCTTCTCTCAACGTCATCCTCCTCTCTCTACTCCTCCTGTTCTCTCTTCCTCTCTCTACTCCTCCTGTTCTCTCCTCCTTTCTCTACTTTGTCTACTCACTCGTCCCCCCTCCGACACCTCATACTCCTGGATGAGGTCGGGACAGTTGAGGTTCTCTACTGGTTCCCATGAAGCAGCTTCTTCTGAGTACCCTCTCCACAACACCTTGTACTCTGTAGTCCCATTGTGTGAACGCTTGTCGATGAGTGCTTCGACTTCGAAGTCGAGGTCCTCATCTGGAAGTGGTGGCATGGTGGGCTGTTCAGCACATTGAGGAAGAGAACTTGTTCTTGCTGGCTCGAGCATGGAGACATGGAACACATCATGCACCCTAAGGTTTGCTGGCAATGTGATTCGGTAAGCTCGACTTCCTACCCGTTCCTGAACTGGGTAGGGTCCTGCAAACCGGGTGTCTAACTTGGGTGTGGGTCTCCTTGTCTTCCAGTTTTGTCGGTTGATATAGACCATATCACCCACCTTAAACTCGATGTCCTTGTGCTTCCTGTTATACTGGTTTACTGATCTACGTTGTGCCTCTCTGATCTGCTCCTGGAGGTACTTGCAACGCTCCTTTCCATCCATGAGGTACTCGAAGCGACCTGGATCATTGACTCCTAGTCGTTGAGGGATGTCAGGATGAGCTTTGGGGTTCCATCCATAGCATGCAAAGAATGGTGAGACACCAATGCTGTTGTGGACCGTGTTGTTGTATACAAAGGCCGCAGTGACCAGCAGGTTGGCCCAGTCATTCTGCTCATAGTTGCAGTACATCCTGAGATATTGCTCTATGACCTGATTGACTCTCTCTGTCTGACCATCAGTTTGAGGATGGTAGGCCGTGCTAAGTGAGTGCTTCACACCCATTTGCTCTGCAAATGCCTTCCATGCTCCTGATATGAACTGCCTGCCTCGGTCTGAGACCATGTGATCTGGATATCCGAAGAGTCTAACCATGTGTCCATATAGCAATACTGCAGTCTGTTTGGCTGTGACTGTCTTATGGGTTGGAGCTAGTATGGCAAACTTGGTTAACCTGTCGACGATGACTAGGATAGAGTCATAGGTCTTGGAGTCATACTTCTTTGATGGTGGTAGTCCTTCAATGAAGTCGAGGGATATGGAGCCCCAGGGCCTGTCTGGGGTTGCTAGTGGCTGTAGCAAACCATATGGACGATGACGAGGAGCTTTGTACCTAGCACATACAGGACAACTTGCTACATAGTCTGCAATCCAAGCTGTCATGTTTGGCCACCAGTAATGTCGTTGAGCTGCCTTGATGGTAGCATCTCTTCCTACGTGTCCAGCAGTGATACCATCATGGCATTGGGTCATCACCATGAATCGCAGATGCTCTACAGAGAGAGACTGTCCATCTACCTCTTTGGCACTCCTTGAGTGTCGGTTGTTGGTCCTCCCTGGCATGATCACTTTGGGGATAACCAACCTTCCTCCACTGTACCATAGGTCATCCCTGACCTCGAAGGGCTTCTTCCTATGTATCTCCTGTAGCTCTTGGTCTAAGGGCTGGAAGATCTTGACCAGGTCTTTGAGACCTTTTGATGCTATGGACTCCATCGAGATCATGGGGGCCACTAGGAGCGAGTCATGGTCTGCTGTCTCCTTGAACACTCGAGGGGGCAGTAGTTGCCTCACATTGTGATCCTGCTCTTCACCAGCTGGTTGCATGTCTGTCCTTCTGGTGAGAGCATCGGGTTCACCACCTTTGTCTCCTGGTCGATACTGCAATATGAAGTCGAAGTCCGCTAGTAGTATGGCCCATCGAGCCTGTCGACCTGTGATGCGTCTCTGTGACTTGAAGTACTTGAGGGCTTCATGGTCAGTGAGGATGACCAGTTGGTTCGGTAGTCCAGCTAGCATGTGTCGCCACTGAGTGAGGCAGGCGACCACAGCTAGGAGCTCCTTATCATGGATCTCATAGTTCTTCTCGGCAGAAGACATCTTCCTAGAGTAGAAGGCCACTGGATGCCATCGTCCTTCATGTTCCTGCTTGAGTACTCCTGCTATAGCAAAGTCACTTGCATCAGTCTCCAACCTTGTTGGAAGGTGGTAGTCGAAGTGCTGAAGCACTCCTGCTGATGTGAAGGCCTGGATGAGCTTGTGGAAGGCCTGTTGGGCCTCCTCTGGTAGCTCGAACTTCTTGAACCGTTCTATAGGCTTTACCAGTGCTGTCAAGGGCTTGGCTATGCGAGCAAAGTGGGCTATGAACCTTCGATAGAAGTTGGCAAAACCCAGGAACCTCTGGATGTCATGGATTGACTCCGGCATTGGCCATTCCTTGACAGTGCGCACCTTTTCTGGGTCCATCTCTATGCCCGTTGGCTTGATGATGTACCCCAGGAACTCGACTGTCTTGGTGTGGAACTCACACTTCGACAGCTTAGCAAAGAGCCTGTTGCTCCTTAAGCGAGTGAGGACCTCGGTGACATGCTTCACATGTACCTCTTCAGTGTCACTGAAGATCAGGAAGTCATCTAAGTATACCACTACATATACTCCAATGATGTCTCGGAAGATGTCATTGATGAATGACTGGAAGTGAGCTGGAGCATTGGCTAGGCCAAAGGGCATCACTAGGTACTCATAGAGTCCCAACTGAGTGCCAAAAGCTGTCTTCCATTCATCTCCTTTAGCAATCTGGATGAGGTTGTATGCTGCTCTAAGGTCTAGCTTGGTATAGATCCTTGCCTTCCTGAGTAAGAACAGCTGCTCCTCGATGAGGGGCAATGGTGCCCTGTTCTTGACAGTGATCTCGTTGAGACCTCTGTAGTCCACACAGAGTCTGAGACCTCCATCCTTCTTTGGTACGAAGAGCACTGGTGATCGTGCCGGGCTCTTCGATGGTCTTATGAACCCCTTCTCGAGGTTCTCATCCAAGTACCTCCTCAACTCGGACATCTCCTTGGGTCCCTTAAGGTATAGGGGCCCTTGAGGTGGCTTCCCTCCTTCTATCAACTCGAGGTGGAGATCATGCTCGGTATGATGGGGCAGCTTGTCTGCTTCCACCTCATCAAACACATCTCGCAGGTGTTGGTATGGCTTTGGTATGTCTGCAGCCGTCACCACCTTATCTACCTCCACCTCCATCTCGACTCCTTTGTCTGCGCCTGTAGGTACAAAACCAAAGGCTGGGAGTGATGATGGTGGCTCCTCTAACAGCATGAACCCTATGGGTCCATCTTCCAGAGCTGCTCGTAGTATGCGCTCTGCTGAGACAAACTCGTTACCATGAAGGGTTGGTCTCCTCATGGTTAGGTCCCCTGCTCTTGCTGCTTCAGGGGGTCTCCTTGGGGGTCGGTCCTGCTCCTGAGTCTTGAACTCCAGCTGGCCCGTATCCCATTGTATGGTGGGTTTGAGCCTCCGTAACTCAGTGAACCCCAGGATGAGGTCATAGTCTGCAGTGTCGGCCACTGAAGCTTCGACCACACCCAGATTGTGTGTACCAATAGATACCTGCATGCTCGCAGAACTATTGATGGAGAGTTGGTGCCCGGTGACACCATGGATCGATCTTGTTTTTATGGGTTTTGTGGGTATTTGGTACTTACTAATGAAAGAATCTGAGACTATGGACAAACCAGCACCGGTATCAGCTAGTATCCGAGCAGGATGGTCTTGAACCATTCCAGAGAGCTCCAGTACTGCTTTGCCTCCACTGGTAGAGAAACATACTTGACAATCTTGATATATACAGAGTGATGGCGAGGAGGTTTGTAGAGCAATGCATGCCATCAGTGCATCACCCCACTGACATTTCCCTCATCGTCATCATCATTGTGCTCCTCCTCGTGATTGGGGTCCAAGGGTTGCTGGTATGAGCTGAGGTCCATGGCCTCGGGGTCACCCGTCTCAGTGCTGCCTGTGTGGCCATCTCCTGAGTCGGTGGCCTCCTCGAAGGGGTCTGCTGTGGTGACCATAACCTTTGGTCCCATGGGTCGAGAGCTAAGAGGGTCTACCCTCCTGCTGGGGCAGTCTCTGGCCCAATGGCCAATACCTTTGCATACATGACAGGTGTTGATACCTGATGGAGCAGGGCTTCCTTGCTTCGAGGGTTGGGTGGGATGATGAGGAAGGGGTCGGTTTAGGTTTTGTATAGTTGCTTGTGTAGTTGCTTGTGATGGTGATCGAGCTGGATAAGGTTGAGTGGGTTGTCGGATGGGGATCGAACTTTGATTTGGCCGAGACCCAGTTCTTAGTGGAGGTGACATGGCATTTGGGAGTGAGTGTCTAGCCGAGGACTGCTGTAGTAGCATCCTCTGTCGATCGATCTCCTCAACCTCTCGATACCACTCCCATCTCTTCCCAGGTGGATTCCTCTCAAACTTCTCCTGTATGCTGCGAGTGAGACTTCCTCTGAAGAGATCAATCACTAGCTCGTTGTCATCTAGGTTGACCTGTCCCTCCAAGTCTCTGAACCGCTCTACATGACGTGTGGCGGCACCAGGAGCATCACTTGTGAGTCTGAGAGCCAACAGCTTGTTGTATGCCTCCATCCTAGCATTGCGTGGGTTGAACTGCTCTGACAGTCGCTCTGTGAAGTAGTGCCAATCATTGAACAACCTTCCTTCTCTAGCTCTATCAATGCGGAGCTTGGAGGTCCACCACTCTCTTGCTGTCCCTTCCAGTTGAGCACCCATGTGATTGATCATCCTAGACTGCTCATACACCTGGTTGAACTTAAACCATGCTTCGGCTTCTAGAATGAAGATCTCCATGTCTCGGGGATTGAACTTTGGAAAGGGGGTGGCAATGGGCTTTGACCGGTTAAGCTCTGCCATGATGCTGGTATCCTCCTCGTGGTCCAGGGGGTAAGGATCCGTCCTAGTCCTGCTGTAGGGGTCCAGCTTAGTCTTGACATATCTTGGCCCAGTAGGTGAAGCATACTTCTCGTAGTTGATGTCCTCCTGCTCATCCAGGTTGAATGAGACTGTTCGTCTTGGTCGTGGAGCCGGAGTAGGAGTATGTGGGTCTCCTATCATAGACTCATCTCCTCCTCCTGCTTGGTCTTCCGAGTGAGAGAGGTCCATTGTCTCCTCCCTACCCAGCTGAGCTCGTTGTAGTCGTTCCTCTCGATGACCCTGCCTAGTAAGCTCTAGCTGAGCTTCCAATAGAGTGAGTAGTCTATCGAGCTTATTGTTGAGGTCTGGGTCCGTCATGGTGATCGTGAGGAGCTGCTTGAACGATCCACTCTAATGTCAGGGGTCTCGCGCCTGAAACCCAGGTCGGTCTGTCGAGATACTCGGTGACTATCAAACTGTGCGACAGCTATTGTCTCGAGATACTCGGTGACTATCAAGTTGTGCAGTGACAGCAGGTGGCGTTTGTTGTATATACTATCGTAGGTTTCGGCTGACCTCTGTGGACACTCCGTTCAGGGGTAGCTCGGCACGATCAATATCAATGTTATGATGACACCAAGGTCTGGTGTGGGTGTTGATGATGATGAGGTTGATGGTGTTGGTGATGAGATTGGTGATGTCGATGATAATGAGGTTGATGGTGTTGATGATAAGATTGGTGATGTCAATGATAATGAGGTTGATGGTGTTGGTGATAAGGTTGGTGGCGTCAACACGAGTGTCCAGTGTGTTGACTTGATGCTTTGAAGTGATCCCCGGACCGCAGTGGACTACTGCCTTCGGTTCTATCTATATCCGGACCGCTAACCTGCTATGGGCGCCTTCGGATGTCAGGTAGTGGTGATACAACACACACACTACGATGAGGAGCAACCTTGATAGATTGCTGCTATGCTGACTGAAACTAATGTATACTTATGCTGAAGTGATAACTAGTTATGGTGAGTAGAGTGGATGGGGATCCACTCGACCTATGATGATGAGAAAGCATGGTTATATACCTCTTCACAGCATCGCCAGCGATGCTGCTCCTGCTCTCTCTCCAGAGAGTACTTTCTTCATCGAGTACTGCTCAGGGGCCTCTCCTGCTTGGCACCCCTGTGCCTCTTGAGTGGTGTCGACTCCTTCGACACTGCTCCTCCTCCTCATGACCTGTGTCGACTCCTTCGACACTGCTCCTCCTCCTCATGACCTGTGTCGACTTCCTGTCTCTCGAGCCCCTGAGTGGTAACCATCTGAGCTTGGTCCTCCTCATGGCTGCGCCTGCTCTTTGAGCTTGGTCCTCCTCGTGGCTGTGCCTGGTCCTCCTCGCATATGGGCTCAGTGCTCCTTTGCATGTGAATCCATAGGAGTCCATGGTCTCCATGGAGACTGCACTACGACCATGCTCTCTACTGGTATCGACTAGATCTTCGATACCTGTGCTCCGTCCATATGAACCAGTGACCCTCCTGCTTCTTGAGCATCCAGGCCCATGACAGGTGCTTCCAGTTGTTTTTGGTGAGATCAACTGAGTAAGCTCTATTTGGTATGTTTTGATTGAAAGTAACCAGATGCTTGAGTTCTGGTAGGTTTTGGCTGACTGCCTTGAACACTCTGTTCAGAGGCTATGCAGCACATCCATAACATGTTGGTTTGAGAATGGTATAAGATACAACTCTCTAATACAGCACAAGTGTTTGTGGTGCTGCTGCTTGATGCTCTTGTTGTCACCTGGACCACAATAAGGTTATTGCCTACAGATGACAGGAGGTACTGGACTGCAGGCATTAGACACTGCCTTCAATAATTGACTGGACTGCAGATGTTGAGCAACACTGCCTACAGTGATGGACTTCTGACAGTGATACAACACACATGATTGAGAGGTTATTGCAAAGCCCTGCTATTGCAATGAAGCTAATCATAACTATGAGCAAGTAGATGTAAAGTAGAGTAAAATAATGATCCACTTATATGCTATGGTGAAGTGATAGTATTTATGTGTTTGAAGGGTGTTGCCTGCAACGCCACTCCTGCTCCTCTTGAGGAGTGTTGATCTCCTTGACACTGCCCTTCCTCCTCATAGTTCCCATGCCAGTCCCCTTGGCCCAGCTCCCTCTCCTCTCAATCCATGACCATTCTCTTGGCCCCTATCTGGTGGCCCTCCCTGACTGTGTGAACACCCTTATTGTCCCACTCCTGTCCATGCAGCCTCCCTTGTGACTGGTTCCATGTGATCATGAGCACATCCCCCTGTGTGGTAACCTACCACATGCTCCTGAGCTTGGTCCTCTTCTTGGCTGAACTTGGACCCTCTCTTTGCACATGAAACCTTTCCTGTTGTCCTAACCTTACCCTTGACAATGGAGACCTTCTCTACCAAGCCTCCTGTTGCTTCCCCATAACCCATCGGCCTGTTCTGTAATGATGAGAGCTTCTTGCAGCATGTTTGGTGAAATCAACCAGAAGCACACAATGTGGTTGTTGTCAGTGAAATCAACTGGAAACCTGTGATCTGGTGGATTTCACATTTTGTGTGCACAAGGCTCCCCATAACTCATTTCGGATCTTCCTGCGCAGACCCTATGACATGTCCAAGCGTCGCTCATACTGAACTTTTCCAAGATTTCTTTGATGTACCTGCTTTGATCAATTGAGAGTGTATGTGCTTCATGATCATACTTGATGTTCATGCTGATGATATGCAAAAAAAAATTCCCTTGATCTGTTATACAGAAGACACTAGATAGTTGTTGTCTGACAGACCTAACATGAGACATTGTTGTGCCAATGACAAGTAGATCATCTATGTATACAGCCAGCATTACCATGGTGTCTTTGGTTCCTCATATGTAGACACATGGCTCAGTATGGCAGCATTTAAAATCAAACACCTGTAACTGTTTGTCAAGGGCAGCATGCTAGAGGTGGCCTGCCTGCTTGAGACTGTAAAGTGCTTTCTTGAGGTGGTAATACATTCTGTTGTTCTCCTGTGTCTTGAATGTAGGGGGGATCCATACATGTACAACCTTGTCTATTTTCCTGTTCAGGAATGCAGTGCTCACGTCGAGCTGAGCGACGTACAATCAAGATGGGCCAATGCAGCAAGATCTCGGACCTTGCTTGGTCCTGCTCAATGCCACACTTCAACTCGAAAGGTCTCAGGAAAGTTGTGAGAGACCAATATACCTGTCAGGGGTCTCGCACCTGAAACCTGATATCTGTAGTAGAACCACATCTATTACAGATCCCATCGAGATATGTAGTAAAGTCCTGTGTATTATTATTTTGATCAAGATCTGTCATAGAAGGCCTCTATGACTTTTCTTGCTCTAATATGTGATAGTTGGTTTGCTATTGCAGGTTTCAACTGACCACTGTGGACATTCCATCCAGAGGTAGCTTGGCATGATCAATAACTGATGTGAACTGGTACTGACACCAAGGTCTGGTGCAACTGAGATTGTTGGTGGTGCTGACATGAGTGTCCAGTGTGTCGACTGAGTGCTTGAGGTGATCCCCAGACCACAGTGGACAACTGCCTTTGGTTCTATGATTGAGAGAGCCAGACTGCAGTAAGAACTGCCTTTGGTGTCAATCAATGTCAATGAGTGGTGATACAACACACACACTATGTTAGATGCAATGCTCTGCAATTGCAACTGTTGACAGAATACTAACTATACTTTCTGTGAAGCTATAACTAGCGATGTAAGGTGTAGAGTGGATGAGAATCCACTCACTTGCTATGATGAGGACCATGGCTTTATATTTACTCCTGCAATGTCATCTGCAACACTGCTCCTACCCAGGGAGGTTTCTTTGACACTGCTCCTCCCCCTCACCCCTCTTATCCTGTCCATCTGCCTCACAATGCAGTCCATTGACATCACTCCTCTCAACTTATGTGGATGGCAGAACTTATGCTGCTTCATCATTGACAGGAGCCCTTCCCACTTCATCTGGGTGGCAACTCACCTCCCTGTCTCATCTTGCCCACCTTTGTATTCCAAGTTCATTGTTGGGTTGGCCCCCTGTTTCATCAGGGTGGCAGACCCACTGTCCATGATGTCTTGTCCTGCTGTGACTTGTGAGAATCAGTGTGATCTCACCAGCTCTGGCAAGATCTATCCTACAATCAAGATACTACCAATTTTGGTGGGATTTGTAGTAACCTCCCACTTGTGCAGATTTGGGTGAGATCTGTCATAGAACCACTTCTACTACAGATCTCGATGAACTCTGCCATAACCCTTATTTTGCCCAATCCTATGATTCCTGTGCTCCTCTCATATGACATCTGTTCTTCCTGCTTCTGCACATCCAACCCTATGACAATACGCACCTCCAAGAGCCCCTTGATACTGTATATATATCTCAAGCCAAGAGTTGGAGTCTGCAACACTCTTTCTCTCAGGTCAATTGAGTATTGTTTTTCTGTTGCCAAGGCAGCAGTACAGTACTTTGACTTTGCACTGTCTACAGTTGTAATGAGTTGTGGATCGAGGTGGCATGCGAAAGTTGGCTGTGATTGTTGCTGATGTGGGAAGGGTTGAGGATGTGCCAAGGTGCTAGCCAACACGGGAGGTGTAAAGTGTTGATTAAGACTTGTTGAAAGAGTGAGAGGTTCTTTGGTTGAAAATAGCAATGCAATATGATGATGTAAGATGACATGAGACGATAAAAGAGGGATCGGGCGAGGCCGATCTTAGCAGAGATCGGGTTCAACACAAGATCGGGTTCAACACAAGATCGGGTTCAACACAGTCCTGCTCGTTGTCAGGCATGGTCAGTAGGGAGGATAGACCGGCATTTGGCATGTACCAGAGATGTATGTATATCAGGCTGGGAGCGCTAGGCTCTTAGCATGCTTCTTAGTCAATTGAGTATGTATCTTTCTGTCTTAAAGCAGCAGTGACATTGTACGGAGACTCTTCCCGATTGCTGGTTATGGGTAGGAAAACTTGTTTATATTTCAACATGTTTGGGTGCCGAGTAGCCGTCCAAGATAAACTTCTTGACTTGTGGTGCGCGATCCTCGTCGAACTTGCACCTGACTCTCACCACTACCATCTTCAGTGGATGAGTAAGCCTAGAGGCCATTCTGACAGGCCATTTTGACTCTGACTTGACAAGGTTCATGGTACAAGATGGGCAAGCTGAGCTTAGCGATGGTGGCAGCCATGTCGCTGGCCAATGGTATCGGCAAGGACGGTGGGCTGCCTTGGAGGTTGAAGGGAGAGATGGCATACTTCCGAAGCGTTACAAGCTACGTTGCTGAGGATGGAAGCAGGCAAGGAACTCGGAATGCTGTCATTATGGGAAGGAAGACGTGGGCAAGCATCCCTGCAAAGTTTCGACCACTAGCAGGCCGCTTGAACATTGTCATTAGCCGTACACAGAGCTCTAGGGACCTGGGAGTGTGAGTACAATCCGCTTTGTTCGTTCAGCGGACGAGTGCTTCTACATGTATTGAACGAGTTTGACTAACCCTCCCTGCTGGTTGATGTCATGCCTCGCACACGCTTTTGTAGGGACCCGGAATGGGAGGATGTTCGAGTATTCCCATCAGTCCAAGAGGCTTTAACGCATCTCTCTGCACCTCGCGAAGAAGAAAGGATCAATAGGATCTTTGTGATTGGAGGTGCACAACTCTACACGGACCTTCTCAATCTCGACTCGAGCTTGGCTACAGTGGACAAGCTATTGGTGACACGAATCCTTGCACCTCGATACGACTGCGATGTATTCTTCCCCGAATTTCGAACCGAAGCTCAGTACGAAGCTGATGCCGAACATGCCCGCAAGATCCTGTTACAATCAAGCAAGACGAGTGACAAAAGCTCATCCGATGAGCGACCGTCGAAGCTACTCAGTCAACAAGAGTGGACACCAGCCTCGACGGATTCATTGCGAGAGTATCTCGGCGATTCGTTCCCTTCTGCACTGGCCCACTGGTCGGATAGGGTAAGGAGCGAAGGCGAGACGTGGTACGAGTACCAGTTGTGGGAAAAGAGGGAAAAGAGGGAAAAGAGGGAAAAGAGGCATTGATATGTGAGAATGGCATGCGAATCAAGTCAATTTGCAAGCAATGTTTTCTTCTTCTACTTCTACAACAGGGTTCCGCGAAGCGACAGTGATAGTGTGAGCAGGCCAGAAGCGAGGAAAGTGTGTGTGTGTGTGTGTGTGTGTGTTAAGATGCAAGGAGATCTGATGGGAGTGCAGCGTGCGTGCCTGGCCGAGATGGTTAAGCAATGATATGAGAAAGGGATGCGGATCATGTCATGCACTTCTCTAGGTCAATAGGCCAAGACATTCACTTGCACTCGGGCTTGCGACAAACGAAGAGCATCATTGGTGTAAAGAGCTTGGTGCGGCCACCATCGACAAGAGCGTCGGCGGCAGTGACGAGTGATGCACCAACCGAGTGAGTACCCTGGGGTACGAGGCGAAGGGTTTCGAGAACCTTGACGGCACCCTGTGTGGCAGCACGACCGATCTTGGTCATACGTGCAACGGTAAAGTAATCCCAAACCGTCTGGCAGTGCCTCAAGCTACCGGCAATGGGGTAGTACCAAGGGATAGGGTCGTCGCGGTCGGCAAGGTCCTCCTCGTGAAGGATCTCGAAGCCGACCGTGGTGAGGGCATTGCGGGCATTCTTGATGGAGCGCATTTCGGGAATGCCATCACCGACTTCAATGCCGTGTGCAATGCGCTTGTGCTCGGGGTTACTGCCATCCCAGGCGTCAGTCATGCACCACTCGTAGACACCAAAGATTCCTCCAGGCTTGAGAACCTTGTGGATCTGAGCGTAGATGCCCTCGAAGTTGGGAGCGTGGCAGGTAGCCTCGATGGCATAGACGGCATCGAAACTGTTTTCGCCGAACTGCTCGTCGAGCTTCATGAAGTCAGCCTTGACGAACTCGACCTGAGCGGAGAGGCCGGCTTTGACGGTGTACTTGCGGGCACGCTGAACCTGGTACTCATTGTTGTTGAGACCAACGATGTTGACGTCGGCGAAACGGGCAATCTCACGAGCAGGACCACCGACACCGCATCCGACATCGAGGACGCGCATCTTGGGCTTAAGACCCATCTGGTGAGCGAGGTAGTGCTCGTGACGAGCGATGGCCTGCATAAAAGCCTCACCAGGGTAGTAGCGGGCAAAGTGGAAGTTCTGACCCCAACCGTACTCGTAAAGGTCGGTGGCGCCGTCATAGTAGCCGTTCACAACCGATGTGTACTCGGAGAGACGGTTGGCCATGTCGGTAGCGGAGTCATCCTTGGAGTCCTTCTGCCAGAACTTGGTGTAGTTGGCAATGCCGTCGTTATTGCGGACGTCGGTAGCGGCAGGAGCCATGTCTAAAGGTAGAGCAGCAGGGGATGAGGGGATGAGGGGATGAGGGGATGAGGGGATGAGAGAAGAGATAAAGCAAGGCGTACACAGACACACATCGCAGACAGGCCAACTAAGCGACCTAACAGGCACGACCGATTTTATCACGTGACACAACTAGAGGCAAAGTCCAAAATCAGCTGAGCTTGGCACAGCCCGATTTGGGATGATTTGGGATGATTGAAATCGCGATCGATCAGAAATGATGACAGTGGATGACAAAGCAAGGGTGGTGTGTGTTAGCCAAGCTTGTCCGACAGTCCGAGAAGATCCTTGTTTCTTTCCAGAACAACAACAATGACTCCAACCACAACAACGACAACGACAACGACGACGGCGACAACGACAACGACGACTACATTAGAAAGGAGAGAGCTCTTTGGCGGTGCGATCACGGTGGAGCTACCAAAAGGCTTCATTGACGCAAGGTGTGTGTGCTCTGGCTTGACTCCTGTGTTCTCTTGCTCTGACATGCGATTGTGTCTTACTTGTGTTGCTTGCGACCTACAGCGACTTTCGACAGGTACCGGATCATCAAGAGGTGCTCGTAAGGGATGACTCGGATGTCAGTCTCATTGTAGAGGTTCTGCAGCTAGCAAGAGACGAGGGAGCAGACGAGACTCTTGACAAGGCGCTCAGGTGAATAGTCAGGATTGCTTGCTTCACACCTCGATGGAAGGGAGCAGCTGACATGCCTTGCACCACCCATCAATGTACTACAGATTCCACTTCTCATCATTAGCGCACGACAACGCCGCAAGCAGCTCCACAGTTGACGAGACACAAGCGCCACCACAAGATGCTCAACCGCCGGCAACACCTGCACCCGCTCTGCTCACAGGAACTCAGCTGGTCAGCAAGTTCGGCAAAGCGTGCCAGCCCGAAGAGGCAGTGACAATCAGAGTGGCACTTTGGAGACTTGCTTCAAAGAACATCGATCTCGTACTGAGCCTCAACGAGCCAAGCAACTCGCAGCAACCCACACCGACCTCTGAAGCACAAGCCACCTTCCAGCTCGCAGCCCAGTCGCTCCAGATTCGAGATTGGAGTCTGTTCGCCTAGAGCATACATGGATGAGAGCATACATGGATGAGAGCATACATGGATGAGAGCAATGCAAGTCAACTGAAGTACATCCACCCCTGCATGTCGAGACATTCGCTTTGAGAGCATCGACGCCTAATCTTGACCATGTGCTACTTGACAAAGATGTTGCTGTTGGCCTGTTGCTGTTTGTGCGAGTGTGAAAGCTATCTGAATCAGCCTTTGATTACGCACTGAGTCTTGTTGGTCCAGACAGACAGATAGACAGATAGACAGATAGATAGATAGATAGATAGATAGATAGACAGACAGAGAGAGAGCTGCGATCACATTCATTCCTACCTTTCCAACCAACACGCAAAGCCAACACTTGGACCCATCTAGGTGCACTCCCACCACCATCCACCCATCCACATCTCAACGCTCCTCATTCTATGCCAATCCTTACTCACTCTTGGCGCCTAGAGGAGCATGAGATTCGCATCGCCGTAATCCTGAATGCACTACGACCAGATACTGTGCGCAGCAACACCTCCGAATGGCTCGCTCGCATCGATGAGCCTCGCCAGCAATTGGCTCCCTGAAACTGCGCTACTTGCCAGAGATAGCTATCGACCATGTCGCAATCCACTCCCACCGCTCTTACAAAACGCAAGGTCATGGCCCGCATGGATGCTGGTCCATCCGAATCTCCTTCCAGCTCTGTGACACCCAATCCTCGTCCTCGCATAGTCAGAGCGCAACATGGCTGTTCATCGCCCTCTCTCTCGACGCCGACAGCGAGTCGCCCCATTCCCGGAACTGGTCGAGCCCGTGTCGACATGTCTGCCTTTGCAAGCCCTTGGCCAGCTGCATCCAGCCCAGCCATGTCCCCTTGCATCTCCGGCCGGCCTCTCTCCGCTTCGTCAGCCGCATCGGCTACCATCACCGCTAGATTATCGAGAGCTTCTCCATCCCTACGCTCGACACCAACATTCCACGCCAGATCAGGCTCCATCGTCGGGTCCAGCGCATCTTCTTACAAACTTACAGAAGCAAGAACAGATGGTCCAGTCGATCCAAATCTCGCCCCACTACGCTCACCAAAGATCAGAGGTGCCAAGGGCAGTGTCGATCTGACCGTCTCGATGGCCATAGCATCAGCGAATGCAAGCGTGTTTGGCAGCTTACAGCTCGCTGATTCAGTATCGCTTACATCACCGGCGCCTGTAGCAGGAGCGGATGAGTCTCGTTTTCAGAAGCCGGCAACTCCATCTTCAGCGGTACCTGCTCGCCATCTTTTATCTCCACAACGATCGCAGGAAACCTTCCAAGGTGGCGCTCTCCTTCCCAAGAGTAGATCGCCTGAGCCAGTTTTGCCAGCTCCGTCACTGCCAAATCATGCTTCTTCTGGTTGGCTGCAATTGAGTCCTTCGAAGCAGGTTCCGACGCATCACTCATCCCAACTGGTCCTGTTGGATAGGCAAGCATCCATGGCTGTCCGCGTCTCGACTTCAGTTGCTGAGGAGAGACATAGTCTTGCCTCGAACAGCTTTTCGTCCTACTCAGCAAATGTGCCATTGTCTTGTTCGTCAGAAAGTCCACCTTCTCCCAGCCATGTGGCAGAGGCTGAAGAGGCACGAGTTCATCGCAAACTTCTCGACCTAGAGATTACCAACAAAAGTCTTATGGCCATCAACTCGGCACTTGAAGTGTCCAAGTTGAAGCAAGCCAAAGAAATCCGTCAACTCAAAAGGCGTCTCAGAGATGGCAGAGGTCTTCTTCTTGTTCCAGCCACTCGAGATTGCACGGCCACTGCAGGTTTGAGTGACGATGAGAATTTTGAGACAGACAGCGACCAGGATGACGATGGTTTGGTAAGAGATCATGTAGAACTGCAAGATGCATATCAGCGTTGTAAGAACTTGGTGGATGATATGCTTCAACGTGCTCGCAATGCTATCTTGCACGTACATCTCCAATCCCCAAACACCACAGCCAAAGTCTTACATCCCCTCGAAGTCCAAGAGAGACAACGCCAGCTTCAACAAGACCACAATACAGAGCCTCCTACCACCCTTCCTACCGATCCCTTGGAAACATCAATATCCTTCGATCAATCTATCCCAGATACCAGCACCAAGTTCGGCATGAGATCCACCTCATCTTTGGAATTCGCTGATACTAGTGACGAACAAGCTTGCTCGTCACATGTACTCCCCAACCAGGCCGAGATGTTAGAATCTACATGCAGCCTTGACGAGTGTCGTTCAAGTCGACATCCCAACTCACCGAAGCCTGCCAACGTTGCATCTCATGCCGACCTATCGATCGACTGAATACCATGTTCGAAATGGCCTCGTGTCAGTGCTCGTGATTGGTTTTGCAATGATACCCATTTTCCCATCTCGTCCCCGTGCAAAGCTTGGTCTATTCCTTTCACTGTGCTTCTCCCATTGGTTTCTTGTTGCAAGTTTGCAAGTCCTTCATGAGGTCAAGGTGACATTCAGACAAGTGCAACTCATTGCAATCGCTTGAGATCAGCATACACACCTCATCGTCGCTGGACACCAATGTTAACACTCGTGAATTGCATCAATCCGTCATGGATGCAACAGCAAGCACCTCTTGCACCACAACATCCAGCAACCCGTAAATCAAATGCTTGTTGAGTCTCTTATTCTGTAAAGCTGCAAACACCCTTCTTGTCCCCTTCCTTGCATTTTCCCTTCCCACAAAGTTGGCAGCCAGCTCTGGTATTAAAGTGGCCAGCTTAGCATTAGCATTCTCTCGCAATGCATCTTTCTCTGCAGCCGTCCTTGGCGGCGTCGGCTCTTTAAGTACTCCGTTGGGCCAAAGACTTGCCTTGAATGCTGTTAGGTAAGAGGTGATAGATGGAGGCGAGAGAGCCATCGACAAGGTTTCCCGGATTTTCCGTTCGACTGTTGAGCCAAACAGTTGCTGTAGAAGAATCACGATGGCTTGACGTCGAAGCCAGTTGTTCTTTTCATGCAGCTCGAATAATTCGGTAAAGAGATCACAGATGGGTTCGGTCCAGTAGGTAGTGCCTGCTCCCGCAGCTTCGCGAAGTTCGGCGGGGGTAGCATCTTTGTCCATCGCTTGGGAGACCGTGTCGATGTCAGCGATGCCTTGCACTAGCCTTGCTCCGGATTTGGTCTGTATTTGCGTTGAGAGACGTTGGACGACGACGTCGAGCATCGAGGGTCCCATGCCGATCAGGTCGTCAAGCCCTTCGGCAACTCCAGTCACGCCTTTGAATAAGGTCTTGACCAAACCACCGCCGCGGAATGCGGCGGATGACTGCTTGCCTGGCGTAGCTGCACTCGAGCTGCCGAGCGACGGAGAGGTAACAGCGTCGTCAGAAGCACGCGAGATCAGGCTCGGTATAGCTGACGTGGGCGTCTGGGACAGGAAAAGACGGAGCTCCTCGCTTTGGCAGGCCATTTTGAGCTTGACAAGAGCTTGCAAGTACTTCTCCAACGCTGCCTTTCTCGCGTCAACAAAAGGGGCGTGGACCAGACCGACCAGCCTCTTACCCGGAAAATCGGACTCAAGCGCCCGTACCTCAGCGAAGCGTTCCTTCAACGCTTGATGCAAAGACCAGAACTCTGAATATCTTCTCCCGACAATCCAGCCTCGTGCTGTTGGGACGACAGCTTCCTTACCTCTCGCGTAGCCGCCGGGCTTGCTCTCCTCCTGCTCCAAAATGCCAACTTCGATGAGATAGACTGCGTACTCCTTGCCCTCTTGATCGACCGAGATCATTGTGCCCTGTATGGAGACCTTTGTGTGACCCGGTACGAGCTGAGTGGCGGCCATTTGCTGTTCGAGTTGACTGCGCTGCCAGCGAATCTCTCGCGCTTCTCTTTGCACTGCTTGTATGGATTGGGCAAGAAGGCGCATCTCGCCACTTCTGGCACCGGTGAGCTCGGCTTTCCTTGCAAGGGCATCCAAGATGTCGGCTTGTGCCTCGAGCTTCTCTAGTTGGGCATCCATCTTTTGAATCTCCTGCCGCAGATTGAAGCCAGGCAGAGCGGTAAATGCGCCATTCGATACGCTGTCCTCAGCGACAAGTCGGACGTTGGAAGCGCCTGGCGTGTTCGGCTGGCTGGGAGAGTTTGAGCCTGACGATTGGGGATGTACTTCTTGGTCGCTCACGCGTCGGATCTTGTTGCCAGAATTGGCAGCGAGGGAGGCGAGGCCATTCGGACGCTTTCGTGTCTTGTCCAGGTCGTCATCAATGATGCTCTGAAGCACGCTTTGTAGTTCGTCCATCTTCTCAACGTGGATAAAGTCAGAGCTGTTGTCGCCTTGGTGGTCTTGGTGGTCGGTTTGACCGTCGTTGTCATCCATCTCGTCGAACAGAGGATCCTCTCTGAAAAGAGGCGTCCTTCCATCGGGACCTGCGTGCTGTGTTCGTCCACCGATGAGAATGTCAAGATTGTCTGACTTGGCGCTCGCTTTTGATCTGCTGCCGTTGAGGGAATCGCCGAAGAGATCGGCGTGCTTTGGTTCTGATCCCCTAGGCTTGTCTGTGCCAAAGAGGTCTGCATGTTCGACATTTGGCTTCGCTGGGCGAGCAGGTGGACGCTGCGGGGCTTGGCGCACATCCGCGTCCTTGGATTGCACAAACGGTTGCATGTCTGCACCGAGCGATGCGACACTCGAGGCGAGACCTGCAGCAAGATGAGGATTTGGAAGCAGATCCTGTGCTGCCTTGAGGAAAAGCTCGCTCTGGCGGAAGCTTGGCCAATCTTGCTCCTCCATCTCGTCGTACACTTGTCTCTGAGCTCGTAACACATCTCGTCTGACGCGCGAGACCTGTAGTGCTGTGATAGGAGCATCATCGGAGGACTTGAGGAACTGCTTTGCGCTGTCAACGTACAATCTAGAAACCTTGATAGCAGGCGAGGAGTAGTAAACACTGTCGAACATGCGAAGGGCTTCCTTAAGAGTCTGGATGGCCGAAAGAGAAGGCGGTGGAGCCTTGGCAGCGGCGTTGAGCTGTTCACGTTCAGCAGCTGGGTCGGCGTCTAGGTCTTCGAGAGGGTTCTTAAAAGACTCGACGAGAAGCCAGAACTGTACCAAGATGGATCTCTTACGGCGGTCCATGAACTCCATCAAGAAGGAAAGGCTGGAGGGGTTGAGCAGGATATCGTGCAGCTTGACACGAGAAGCATTCGGATCTGCACCGGCGGAAGCTTTGGCCGAGAGGGCAGGAAGACGCTTGTCAGATCCAAGCTGGGCGATCTTGTGCTCAGCAGCAGCATAAGCGGACTCGAGACGATGCAGATATGACTGGAGCTTTGCTCGGGAAGAGTTGGAGGACACGTCTGACAAGCGTTCTAGGTTTGTTTTTGTCTTTCTGATTTGGACAGCAATGTCATTCTTGGTTCTGCGAACTTCAAGGAGCGAAGTAGCATGTCGGATGGAACGTAGAAATGCGTCGAAAGACTTTTGATCTGGCTTCTTGGTGGCATGTGTCCATGGAAGGAGGTTTTTGGCATCAATGTCTACGAAGGGCACGCTTGCTGCTTGGCGCGGCTTTGCGGTCGATAGCGATTCTTGCCTGTCGAGAGCATCACGCAGCCTGCTGACGAGGATCTGCTCGTGAATGACGGCACCAGCCTTTTGCTCGAGGAGATGGTTGCAGAAGTCAGGGTCGCTGATGGACTCGATGGTAGCAAAGAGGATTGTGCAACTGAGCAACTCGCGAACGATGATGGCAACCGAGGTGCTCTCGCTTTCAGGATAGGGCAAGAGAGCATGAAGGAGGCGAGAGCTGATGGATCGGAGGAAAGCTTGCTCAGCGGGCTTGGTATGGAGACTGCTCATATCTCCCACCGCTGGATGGAGACGACCATTCTCGAACTTTCTGGCTAGGAAGAGGTCCGTCTGATCGCTTCCGAAGCTGGTGAGCTGAGCGTGTTCGGAGGAGCCGCGAAAGTCGGCTTGAGCCCTTCGAAAGGATTCAAGATGGGCAGTGATCTTGGGAATCAGCCGACGGACCACAAGGTCGGCAAGATCGATCCGTGTGGCGTGGGAAACAAGCTTGTCGAGTGCAGCGCGAATCGTCTGCTCAACTGCCTGCACGAATTCGGGCGCAGCATCCTCACGGCATGGCTCGAGCGAGCCAGTAGCTAGAGGAGTATGCCATTTGCAGACAAAGTCTCGAAGGATCAGCTGCACCACTTGGTCTATCACTCGCGCCACGGGAGCAGAGTCGGAGCCTTTCCGAGCCGAGCCGGAGGTGCCGTGTGGTTCGCGAGCCCATTGCAACCGTGTCCGTTGTGCTGACCATGCTGCCTGGCTTAAGAATGCCAGGCGCGGCAGAGATCCAAGGCCGCCCGGGGAGAGACGCTGGCGCTGTGTCGACTTGACATGTGCGACGTGGCAGGCCAAGAGGTAGCCTGCAAACAGCAGCAACGTCCACACAATGCTCAGCAGCAGAGATGCCCAGAGCAAGCTCGACCAGTGCCATCGCAGCAAAGAGCCGTCAAGTAGCAATGGCGGCACCACCATGAAAAGCGCAGCCAAAGTCACCATCTTGTAGCGTCCCAGTCGAGTCCAAGGCTGTACTGCTCTCCTCCTCTCAATCCCTGCCATCCCCTCCTTCCTCTCGAGCTCTGATGACCGGTTCGGAAGGGCCGATGCTGCGTCGAATCGCCTTACTGCGGCGAGAAGAACATACTACTAGGGCTTATCGCTGGATCCGATCGATCGCGCCGTCAAGCTCAAGTTGGCTAGCGTGGTGAAGATGAGGACGAGAGGAAGCGAGACCTTCAGGGTCCAAACGGCCATTATAAAAATTAAAAATAAAAGCCATTTTGGCAAGCGCAGCCCCTGACAGTGCACCAGTGTTGTGTGTGTGTGTGGGGGGGGGGGGGGGGGGCGTGACGCGAGAAGCGGATGGGCGCGTATCGGCTTGATCTCAAAGAGCAATTGCCAGGGCGAAGAGCTGCCATGCGGCTATTCCGATACTAACTCTCAAATCTGAGGCTGCTTGCCATCTCGAAAGACAGCTGCCGCACAGCGCTGTAGCATTCCTCTCCTCTGATCCAGGCATCAAGAAAGAGCATCGTGGGCAGGGAAATGATATTGGGTCGGCTTCGCCGAGCGCCAATGGCGAATTCAGCCCCCCCGTTCCCACGCTTTTTCACTTTCCAGAGTCACATCACTCTCTCACATCACTCTCTCACACCTGCACTTGTCACCTCTTGTTCGGCAGCGGCCCGACCGAAAGCCTTGGTCGTGGCCTTCGGAACCTCTCACGCCACAGAAAGTGGTAAGCATTTGCTGAGCTACTGTGGGCGTGGTGGGGATCACATGCTCCGGGCATCCAACGCCTCTCCTGTTAGCCTCAAGCCAACTCAAGTTTATCCATGCCGCTTGATTTCGAGGTGCCAGCCACGGCAGAGTGCTTGCGAGATTGCCAACCTCGAGTACCTATAGCCTTCGGCTCGACTCCGAAACGAGGCACCAAAGCCTTTGCACCTCTCATAATACAGCCTGGGAACAAGCGCGGCGCGCACTACGAAAGTTCAGGAGGATCACAATTGTGGCCCTCAGAGGCGCCCTGAGAGGTGCCCTGAGAGGTGCCCTGTTGAGTAGCAGAACGACAGGCGTGGTAGCAGACAGGCGTGGTAGCAGACAGGAAGGAAGCAGTCAGCATAACTACTTGCTCGAACGGCGTTCGGCATCATCTTGTTGAAAGCATATAAGGAGCTGACCATTCGCCAAGTTGGAAGCAGCGTTCTCCCAGTCCGTTGACCAACTTCACTCATCATACACGCAACACACCATCTTAGTCTTTTCTTAGATTATCTTTAGATCGTATTCATCTCGCATCCAAGTACCACTCTCCTTAGAACTCTCCTTAGAACTCTCCACGCCATGGTTCACCTCACTTACCCCTTCAAGGCTCTTCTGACCTTTGTCGTTCTGGCTCTACCTGCCTGCGTCGAAGCTCAGCCTATCGTCGACTCCAAGTCTCTCATTCGACTCGAAGCACGCTCTCTCGTGCCTCACACCGACCATGCCGGCAGCTGGATGAGTAAGCTCAAGCCTCGCTTCTACGACATCATCCTCATCCCTGGTGGCAAGGGCAAAGACGACTTTTCCGACCTCCATTAACGGCATTAGCATCGAAAACAAGGCACACGGTCCTCCCCCTTTTGCTCACAAGAAGGGCGGCCCTGAGGAAGGTGCAAAGGGCTACGGTGGCAAACCCAAGGGCGACGAGAAGGGTGGCAAGGAAGAAGGAAAAGGCAAGCCCGACGGTGTAGAGGAAAGCGGCAAGCCTGGCGGAGACGAGAAGGGAAAGAAGGGTGGTGATGAGAAGAGTGGAAAGCCCACCGGTGTGGAGGAAGGAGGCAAGTCTGGTGGTGGTGACGAGAAAGGAGGCAAACCTGAGGGCAAAGAAGACAAGAAGGATGAAAAGGCCAAGGGTGGCTCAGGCTCTGGTTCCGAAAGCGGCGAGTCTCACGGTGAAGAATCCAAGGGCTCTTCCAGTGGACCTTCCGGCGGCGCTGGTACGGACTCTGGCAAGGAAAGCCAGGGTGGTTCGGATGGCCAAGGTGGTCCCGAGAGCTCCAGCGGTAGTCAGGGCCCCTCCTCTTGAGAGGTCGGCCTTGCTTTGCTGCTGATCAGAGAGAAGCTCGGGTTCTTACCCGACCGTCGGTTGTGTTGACAGAATAGCATGTCTGGCGCTGTTCGACATGCTATCCTGCTCACACACAAGCCAGCTCTGCCAGCCATCTAAGTCTTGCTGCTCGGTCTTTTCCTCATACTCACAATGCCTTTGTCTGTCCAAAATCTCGTATAGGCAATGTCACTCTGTTGCCCCTCTTGCTCTCACCTATCTGCACTGCCACCCTTGCGCCACAGATTAGCATTGGGCCTTTTCTTTCCAAGGCTCTGTTTTTTGATCTTGCAACTCGGGCGGTGGGAAATGACGCCTATCGTTCCTATCATGGCTGGACCCTTGGCAATTCCATCCAGCGCCAAGAATCGGCAACTCAAGAATCGGCAACTCAAGAATCGGCAACTCAAGGAGCAACAACTCAAACCGCACTCGGTGGACAAGGACCAGGCTGCTGCAACATCCCAACCAAAGACGGATTAGAGCAGCATCCAGCATACGACAGCTGGGAAGAGGTGCAAGTTGGCAGTGTTCAAGCGCCGAGGCAAGTGTCGAGCTACAACAAGACCAGCAGAGATGGATGCGTTGCTGATAGGCACCGAAGATCGAGTAGAGCAAGCCGCACTTCTTGGAGCAGTTTCATGACTCGACAAGAGGCGACTCGCAGTTTTGCTCCCAGCGCATCTTGGAGTCCTGTCAACCGAGTCGGTTGGAGAAAGATAGGCGCGCATGTATCGCCTGAACCACCTCGTCAATGTAGAGAGCATGGTATGTTTGCACACGAGTTCTGGATGCCAAGCCTTGGCGCTTCTCCCTTGTAGCCCAGCATCGCAAGCAAGCACAACGAGGACACACACACACACACACACACACACACACACACACACACACACACACACACACACACACACACACGCAATCCTTTCTTGCCTTTCTCCAATCTTTGAGCAACACTGCGAAGGAGGAGGAGTGATGGAACCAACCGTCGGCGTATGTATCGTTGCCAGGAAAAGGTAGCACACCCCGATCATCATTCGAGCCAGTCTCTTCCTCTTGGTCTTACTGCGGCGGCCATTCAGGCTGACCCAAATTACACCAGACGCCATACTCGACATCACCCTTGACACCCAAATCCTTCAGGGTCGCCTTATCTGTCCCCGCACCCGGTTTCACCCCACCCCCCTCCCTCAGCTCGGCTGCCTGCCCTCCTGGCCAGCTACGGCTATCCATCATCCTCCCGTAGCTCATCAACGCCGCTCTCACGTAGCACGCCGTCGCAGCGGGCGTCAGATATCTATCCGTTAGCGTCCTCTTGGCATTCTTTGCGATCTTTTCCCCGGTAGTAGCCATGCGGCTTAGAATGGCACCTTCTGCATCGATCTCCTCTCGAATAAGGTTCTGCATTGTCTGCGCAAGGTTTTCAAAGTAGGTCCCGGGGAGTTGGATGTGATTCTGATCTGGGGAAGAAGGAGAAGAGATCAAGGCCGGATGGAAATGTTGTTCCCACTCGAGCTCGTGCGTTATCACGGTGCTATGGCAGCCGAGGATGAACTTGCTTCTACCGGAATAAGCTACACCTTCCGAATGGATCAGGAATCTATGCCGGCAGTGTTCGGGGGCAGAAACGATCTTGTCTATTCCTGGGCCTTGTTCCCAGAAGCTTGTTCGTTTGACATCTGACCATTCTTCTGTCCCAGGGCCTGTGGCGACGGATAGGAGGCTATTTCTGGCTTGGATTGCGCTGTTGAGCAGAGCATCGCCACGCCAGAATGCTTTGTTGGCTTTGCTTCTCCAGGGGGTTTCTGCGTTGACTTGCTCTGCTGCCCTCCTGAATTCTGGGTACGAGGCGATTCCCGCTTCGGGCCAAGAGGCAAAGCTGAAATCTGGGAACAGATATTGGCCATCAGTCTCGTTGACCTTTTTATCCAACACCCAGCCAGCTCCTTGACTGCCGATGGGATCTGTGAATCCATCAAAGTCAGCAGTACTAATCACCAACTCTATCCCTTCCATCATCGACCTCTCCTCCTCGCCCGCCCCTTTGTAGGCATCAGTCAGCAACTGCAACACCGACCTTACCCTGCTCTGCCAGTCCTTGGCCTGTTGGCGAATAAATACCTGTCCGTGCTTGATAAGCACATGCACACACCCATGCCTACAACTGCTCGCAGCACTTTGTACATGATGATATCCAATGCCTCCCTTCTTCTTCCAAGCTATTTCATTAGCAGCAAGTTGCGGATAGAAGCGTGGGAATTCCATCCTACAAACCTCCTGCCTCATATGCAAATCCTCTCTCCGTCGCACATCCAGAGAGCCTTGGCCATCATTGGTGGAGGCCCAAGGGAGAGTGGATTTGTAGTTAGGCAGAACCGTGGCTAGGGGAATGATGGAAAATATCAGACAGAGCGAGACGAAGATGACTCCAAAGCCTGCCATTGGCGCCTGTGCTGGGCCTTGACGGTTTGTCGGTGGACGAAGAGACATGTTGGTTGCTGGCATGGGCCGTTCGATGGTGACGATGATGGTCAAGGTGCTGAAGAATGGATCGAGAGTAATTTTGGCGTTGGTAACCGCTGAAAAACGGCTGATTTCATTCAGCTCGAAGATCGCCGATGCAATCAATGTCATTGCGCCTGGCTTAAATCTCGGTTTTCACACCAACAGCCTCAGAGAGATACATCTCCCGTATATACGAAAAGACAATACGATGGCATCCTTGCCAATGCTAGGATTACGACTGGATGCCAAACACGACTGGATGCCAAATACGACGAGATGCTGAAATGCATCGTCTAGAAAGATAACTGCCTCTTGCCACCTCCCCCCGCCTGCGCTGCACCCGTACTTGCCTGCTCCACAGGCTCGGAAAACCTAAACCTGTCAAACAAGCCTTCAACTTTGCTCCCCTCCCCTGCACTCCCCTCTGCTGCACCTGCTGCTTCTTGCTCGCGCAAAAGCAGAGTGGGGCTTCGTTTGGGCATCTTACGCGGCTTAAACGCTCCACTGCGCGCTCCTGCTGGTGTGCTGATGCTTTCCCAGGAAGCAAGTTTAAGAAGAGAAGGCGAGAGGCCCGGTTTACCAGCTGTGCGAGTGGCCAACTCGGTGGCTCTCCTCGGCAGCGTTGTTCTCCCTCGCTCCACTCGCTCTACTCGCTTCTTCTGCTGGTGCTGATGTTGAGGAGTCGCTGCAGGATATCGGAATGCTTCCACTTTAGACCTACTGGCACTGGTATTAAGCATCGCTTTACTCTTGACCATCAAGGGCGTAACTGGTTCAACCACCATGTCATCCAACAACGGCGAGCTAGGCAGAGTAACCTCCTCTTCGTCTTCCTCCTCTTCTTCTCCCCCATTGCCTCTGTAAGCTGGAATCTTTCCACGACCACAAACGCTCGAAGCAGGGGAAGAAATAAAGCCGCTCTCCATCGCACTCTCTGGCGACGAAAGCACCGGCGCCGCCTCTTGCGATCTCATTCTTTTCCTCGACGGTGTCTGAGGTACAACCACGGCCGCACTCGTCCCACTCTCCCCAGAGGCACCTGTACTCTGCAGGGATTGCGTTGGAGCGACACTCGCCTCGCGTTGCTCTCGAATATCCGCTGTGCTGCTCGCAAGGCACAGCTGCTGAGTATCCATAACAATCCGCTGTGACTCGTTGAGCTCTATCTGCGGAGGACTACTAGACGGAACAAAGTCGTGCAGATCATGACACTCGTCTTGCCAATACCCCGAGTCGTTGGCTTTCGGTGGTGTCAGTTGGCCTCCCAGGTGGAGGTATGCATGGTCTTGCCTCACTTTCGGCGTCTTGCATACCGTAGTGGGGTGAGGGGTGGTGTTGGAACGAGTCAAGAGCTTGCTCTGTGTTGCCTTCACCTCTTTTACCGGCTGCCAGGGTGGCCGTGCGGAGGGCTGCCAAGGTCGATTGGTATCACGAGGAGCCAGCGCGATTCTCTCCTCCTTCTTTTCGCTCTTCTCTCTGCTCTTCGGAGCACCAAAGAAGATCTTCAAACTCTGCAAGCCAGTTTCTTTACTAACCACCTTTTTCTTGCCTCCTCCTCCAAACGATCCCGACGCTGTACTCACTGAGGACTTATCAAAGCTGCTTCCCGCCAGCCCAGATCCACCGCCCAAGCTTATGGGAGCAGTGGTACTCCTATGCAAGGTATTCAACCCACTCGAGCTGGCAGTGAGATTACTCGCACTCGAACACCTCATCCCCAACCTGGCAACTCTATCCAATATCCTCTCCCTTGTAATAGGATCAACGATGCCATCTGCAATCGCTCTCGCCATCTCATCCTCAATATGAGCGCCAATAAAGGGCAGCATATCATCATGCGTGCCACTGGGCAAGGGCGTAAGCGTGACCACCTTGCTACTGGACGGATCGAAAACCCTCTGATGAACAAAGGTCAATTCGGCCTTTCTAAACTCGCTCGGATAGGTCGGAGGAATGCTCATCTTGCCCTCCAGCCTAACTACCTGTAGCACCTTATCCACCGTCTTATGCCTTCTCAACAAGCGGTGTGCGTTTTTCAGGCCCATCCCCACTATACTGGGCAAATAGTCGCAGCCACTGAGGATGGCCATCTGTCTAAACTCGACCGCTGTCCAGCCTGACAAGGCTATCTGCCTATTTGTCTAAAACCTCTCTTGCTTGATTTCCACTGCGTTTCCAGCTTGGTCGAGCTTAAAGAGCACCGTGTTGCATCCAAAGACTAGCAGGTCCGAATCTTCCATTAGAACGGCATCGATGGCACCGCACTTCTCCAGATAGGCCAGTTGTGCATCTGCTTCGTAGGGGGCTACAAGATAGGGTATCGCTTGCTCTTTCAGCACTTTAATGAGTTGGTAGGCCATTTCAGGGGTGATATCTACGCACTTGGCATAGAGGTCTCGAGCTTGCTGAAGGTTTCCTTCTGCTTCGAGTTGCTGTGCACGGGCGAGGTTTTCAGAGCGTTTCGATTCTCAATCGTCTTCGGTATGGGTTTTTGCGGGGAGTTTGTCGCCGTCGAAAACGAGGTATGGTTTGATACCGAAGTGTTGTAGCATACCAATACGGGAGAGCGCGTAGGAGATGTATCGTGGATTGGGGTCGCCTAGGACTATCTCGCGTGCACAACCGTAGGCACCACGATGAAGCCAAACGTAGGTGTCGATGCCGAGTGTGCGACCGGAATAGGAGGAAATGTGGATGGGGAGAGAAGCATCTTTGAGTAGCGGCAGAAGGCCTTGGATGCCCATTGTGGGCAAACAACAGATCGCCTTTTGATCAGTTGGTCGAGGATGGAGAATGCTTCATCTTCTGTGTCGCTATCCTCCCAGTGTTGGTGGCAGGAATGAATGATCGAACCAATGCTCAACTCCGAGTCAGGCTTGGTGGAGCAAAGAGTGACGAGAGATTCGCGTCTCGCCTGCGCGACTCGCGAATCGCGACTTGGCTTGCTTGCCTGCTTCGTCATCATTCCCCGATTGATTGGCTAGATCGGGACCAAAAGGACGCCTGATCGAATCGTCAGAAGATTCCTTTGGTCGAGGTGGACATTCCCACCTACGGCCCAATTGCTAACTTGCACCTCATTCACCATCAACACTTGAACGCATCCACCACACTTGTCGCTCTAGAAAACGGCCGGACTCCCTAATCACAAGCTATTCACCGAGGATAGCTCTTCCCAGGGTCAAGGCGCACATCTTTGCTACATAGCGTCGAATTGTATCCAAGATGAAGCTCGTCAGGTAAGCCTGGCCTACCCGCTGTTGCCGTCTGCAAAGCTCCTGCTGATCCTCACCCCCCCTTTTATTTTGTGGCAATGCAGGTTTTTGATGAAGCTCAACAATGAATCAGTGACAATCGAGCTTAAGAACGGCACCGTCGTTCATGGAAGCGTCACCGGCGTAGACATCCAGATGAACACGCATCTTAAAACCGTTAAAATGACCCTTCGTGGACGACCGGCTGTAGCTCTGGATACGTTGAGCATCAGGGGCAATAATATCAGGTATTGGATATTACCGGATGCTTTGCCCTTGGATATGTTGTTGGTGGATGATGCGCCGAAGCCAAAGGGGAAGAGGAAGGAGCCGGTTGCGAGGGGAGCGAGGGGGGCGAGGGGAGGAGGGATGATGGATAGAGGTAGAGCAAGGGGTAGAGGCGGTGGCGGTGCGGGGATGAGGGCAGGTGGCGGGGGGAGGGGTAGGGGTCGTTAGAAGCAGCATCTCGCGCTTCAACCTGCAACATTAACTCCTCCTCACTCTTCAACAAGGCCTCAGCCCTAAGCGGAGCTTCCTCAGGGCATTCGATTGGATAGTCCAGCCTTGTCACTTGCCCACCTCTCAACAGTAGCGTCATGCTCTTAAGATACCTCCTTCCCGGCTCTTCCTTCGCTAAGTGTCATTGTGGCAGTGTCTCTATGGTGGTTGTGATGTGATGATTGCCGCTTGCAAAGGGGTTGATGGGGGGTAAGTTGGAGTCTGTGGTCTTGAGACTGCAACTCTATCTGGCCGAGTTAGAGCGCTTTTTTTTTTTTTTTTTTTTTTTTTTGAAGTGGCCCTAACTTTACCTGATCGCCGATTGAATCTGCTAAGCCCGATCCTCTACAGATCTGATTTACATTATTCCTAGATCGGACTAGATCGCAATTTCCAACAATATTTAGTTGCTCCTCAAGAATCATGTTTGCTTTTCTTCTTACCACCAACATCACAACCTCGTAAGTATTCGCATTCTCATCAACAGTGACGGGAACAAAAGCAGCAGCAGCAGCAGCAGCAGCAGCAGCGGATGGGGCAAAAGCGGATGACGAACATCATAACAAACCAATATATATATATATATAATCTGTCAATCCTCCGACATCTCCCCACATTCAAAGGGTCGACGATGGTGTGGATAAAGTTTTTTTTTTTTAAAGCTTGACGGACGCTATACACCCCTTGCCTGGAATCGCACTTTGATGGCTGCTGGAGATGGCTGCTGGAGATGGCTGCTGTCCATGGACCATCAGAACCTGATCAGATAACTACCATTACTCCTAGTCAAATACCTAACCCATTTGACACTCTGATAATTGCTTTTCTCGAAAACCTTCAGATACCTTACCAACAAGCCTGAACTTGTAAACATCAAAACCTGAAAATCCACCTCTATCGGCGGCCTACTCCAAGCCTTCCTGAGGGTGGTGCTGCTCAGCTCTGCATCTGCACCAAACCTTGCTTCCCCCCCGCCTTGGATTCTGGCTATCTTCCACACTATGTGATTCTCTGCTGGCACGTATTTTGCTTTTCCCATACTAACCTGACACTTGACCGTACTTGCATTCAACGGGGTTGGGATTCGCAGGACGACGTTGGTTGCGTTGAGCTTGCAATCAAAGTTGGCCTTTAGGTTGAGCGTGTATTCGACTTTGGATTTGGAGAGTTCTTCTACAATAGCATGCACTTTAAAGGGCAGGTTGATGTTGCTTGTCGAACGATAGCGCATCAGTTCGAATTCTCCGTCCGGCGGGATGAAGGAGATGGAACGGTCGCTGTCGTACTTTGACAACTTGACGCATTGGTGGAATTGACAATCGTCCAGTTCTACCGCATCTACTTTGCCTTTGTTCTTGTCGTTTTTTTCCAGCACTAGTTTGTCGTTTAGGCCGAAACGACATTCTGGCATACCGCTAAGATAGGCTCTCATCAGGATTGCTCCATCCACATCCGCGCGTAGAATGGTTCCTTTGTTGCTCATCAACAGGTTCACCGTCTCGACAACATCGACAAATGCTTCGTTCTTTCGATACTTTACATCTGCTCTTCTCCAACTTGTCGCACCCGTAGCTTGAATTGTGATTTTGCTGGAATCCTCTCGTACCGCTTGTTCCGACTTGACTCCTTCGGTAGTAATGTACATCTTGAGTGTCTCGATCTCTGAGTTTTGAGGATAACCAAAATCGAGGATCTCGTCAAGAAGTTCGTAGATGAGAACAAAGTTGTTTTTCACCGCCTCTTCGTCCAATTTCCCACCGAAATACGATCGTCCGATGCTGATCACCCGATAGCAAAATTCAAAGACGAGTGCGGCGTTGGCGTTGCACTTGGTGACGGCGACAATGTAGAGGTTTTCGTGACGAACGTGGAAGAAGGATGTGGAACCGAGAGTGATGATGGGAGAACGAACGTCTGCGTTCGACACCACTTGGATACGAAAGATGTCTGCGATCGATCGTCGGAGATCGTTGCGAAAGAGACGCGAGATGAGCACTTCTCCTTTTAGGTTGAAGATGAAGAAGGCGGAGATCATGGTTTCGAGGAATCCGTGGGGGGGGGGGCTCTACTTGTATGTGACGAGGTGAGGAAGGAGAGGCGCCAAAGTGCCCAGCGACCTTCCTTTCTTTTGCTAGCGAGGTGGCGTGGGTAAGCGCGTTTGATCTGCAGATTGCAAGTAAGCAACCAAAGGACCAAGTTGAAAGGGGACTTGGTTGAGATGATGGAACAAAGGGAGAGAAAGCGTGTGTGGGTCAATGTCACGCCTGGTCACTTTCTCGTGCGAATACATGCAATTCCGCACGAGAGAATTCGAATTCCTATCGTTGCTTTGTTCTTAAATTAGCTTCCCTCTTACTCCCTTACAACGTGCATATACAAACAATTGAAGATAACAATTAGTATACGGCGTTATCGGGGTCACGATCAGACTCCCTTTACCACAGCTGTATGTTCTATGTAATGCTTAGTTTTTCATAGTGTGAACCTAAATGACAAACACATATATATACTCCATTCACTGCTCTAGTCCTATCCAAGACAGGATGTGTCACTTCATTCATACTCCTGTGTTGCTATGATACTGAGTGCCACTGAGCTGTCGCCATGACAACAGTCATGTACCTCATTGTGCTTCTCACTTAAGTAAGCCTCCTGCACCTCGGTGTCTTGGCCGTGACACGTGCATCTTGCTTGAGATGCCGATGCATCTTCAACTCCCCCCTTCGGCGGGATCTCCAGCCCTATCATCCTAGCCAATCGTGAGGTGTTGAGACCCTGTAAAGGTTTTGTCAAGACATCTGCAATGTTGTTTGCTGTTCCGACATATTTGATTGCCACATCGCCCTCTTGCACGTGATCGCGGACGAAATGATACCGTGTGTCGATGTGCTTTAACTTCCAATGCTTGGCTGGATCTTTACTCACCTGTATGCACCCCTGGCTATCTGTGTATAGCACGGGCCGAACGTCCGTGATCTCCAAGTCCCAGAGCAAATATGAGAAGAACAATGTTTCTCGCACCGCTTCGGAAGCGGCGACAAACTCTGCTTCGACTGCTGACAATGCCACACACTTTTGAACATGAGATTTCCAACTCACTGGACATCCATACACATATGTTATCGACCCCGAGGTGCTCCTTCGTCCATTTGTGGGGTCGGATGCCCAGTTTGCGTCGGTATACGTCGTTACCGGTGTATCCGAGTGCTCGTTTGTCTCCCCTCCTAAGTGCAACTGATATTCGTTCGTTTGGTTCAGGTACTTTACCACATGAATGGCTGCCTTCCATGCACTGTTGATCGGGATCGACATATATCGTGACAATACGCCAACAGCAAAGGCAATATCTGGTCGGGCTGTGTTGGAGACCCATAATAGTTGGCTGACCAACTCTTGATACTTCTTTGCTCGCTGAGGTTCACATCTCTCGCCTCCGGCGACGTTCGCTACGCTCAGCATGGGTACCCAAGATTTCTCGTTTGCTCCTCCTAACCATTTGTTCACCATTTCTTTGATGTATGCCGTTAGGTCCAGAGATATCCTCCTCCGTCTTCTATCACATGTGATCTTGATACCCAGAAATTCTTTGATCCTTCCGTTGTCTTGCGTCTCCCATTTGTCCATGATCTCTCGCTTAGTGCAGTCTACTTCATCACGACTGGGTGATGTTATCAGCATGTCGTCCATGTATGCTGTGATGATCGTGATCTTGTCGCCTGTCCCTCTTGAGTATAGGCATGGTGTGCTTGGCATGCAATGAAATCCGATCGTCCGGAGATGTGAGTCTAACTCAATGTTCCATTCTCGGCCCGATTGTTTCAGACCATACAGTCCTTTCACTACCTTCAACGCTTTTCTGGGTGGTATTTTGATTCCTACTGGGGGCTTGAGATATACATCATGGTGTATAGTGGAGTTCAGGTACGCTTGCTTTACGTCAATAGAATCTATTTCCCAATCTCGTACTGCTGTGACAGCGATCACCCCTCGAATGGATTGGATGGGTGCTACTGGTGCGAAGACCTCGGTGTAGTCGATGCCCTCACATTGGGTGAAACCTCGTGCCATGAGCCGGGCTTTGAACTTTGTCGGCACGAGGTTTGCATCGGTTTTGATCTTGAGTACCCAATGTGTGTCGACAGTGTTTGCACCCTTTGGGAGGTCGGCTATCTCCCATGTGCCCATCGCCTCCAATCCATCCAGCTCCTTTTGCATGGCCTCCTCCCAGTGCTTTCTGTCTTCTCCACTCATTGCTTCATGTATGGTTGGGTCCAGGTTCTTTCTCTGTTCTGGTCACGTCGCTACAAGTCCAAAGAATTCGCTGTCAATCTGAGTTTCGGTGGTTGATCCTTGTTCCATCACCTCCGCTGTTCCTCCGCTTAACCTTTCTTCTGAATCTGTCTCCATATCCATGTATTCTTGTAGTGGCCCTTCATCTGTTTCGTCGAATATATTTTCTTTGTTGTATCCTAGATCTTCGAAATTCTCTTCTGTCATCATCACTGGAGGTGCCTTTGTGTCAACCGGTCGCCACTCTGTTCTGTCTGACCAGCACTTTGATTCCATGAATTTTGCTGAATTGCTCCAGAACATGTTCGGATTATAGTCCGGACTGTAGAAGAGCCAGCCCTTTCTCTCTAGACTGTATCCCAAGAAAATGGATGTGATGGCTCGCTGGTCCAGTTTCTTGTTGTCCCATTTGACTTTGGGTACGTTTACCCATGCCAGACAACCAAACACTCGTAGGAGCTTTAAAGCTCATTCCGGCAACTTGCCAAACATTGCTTGATAAGGGAATTCATTATCAACACTCGGAGTGAGGTTTATTTTGAACGCCGCAGCTCTGATCGTGTATGGCCAGAACTTCTTTGGTAGTCTCCTCTGCATTAGCAATGTTCTCATCTTCTCTCCAAGGGTCCTGTTCATTCTCTCTACCCATCCATTTTGTTTGCTGTTGTACCCTACAGTGGTTTGCCACTCTATGCCCTTTTCTAGCGACCATTCTAATGCATCATTGCTTTTCCATTCCGTTCCTTGATCAGATCGGATCGCTTTTAGCTTCCGATCCGTCTGTGTCTCCAGGAATGAAACAATCCTTTTGAGTTGCATAAACGCATGACTCTTTCGTGTCAATGGCTGTGCATACACATACTTGCTATGATCGTCGACCAGCACCAACGTGCATGTGTACTCTGTCACGTGGGACAAGTCTATTATTAGATTGATGTGGATAAGATTCAGGGGCCCTATGGCTCTTTCGCCGCTACCTTTCCCCATCCGAGCGCTTGTGCTCTTGGATCGTATGCACTGCTCACATGTCAGAGTGGTGTTTGGATCCAATTTCATGGTATGCTTATCTTTTAACTTGCTCGTGATCACCTTAGCTTTATCTCTTCCTGGGTGTCCAAGACGCTCATGCCATAGTTGTTGCTTTGAAACTTTCGGCTCATTCTTAATATGCTCGAACTCCTCATCAACACCTTCAAACAATGGTGCTGATGTGGCCATCGCGCTTTCTTGCCATGTGTCGCCTCGGAACTCCAAAAGTCCTCGCTCGCGATTCTTTGCAATCTTAAGTGTCATGCCGTTTGTTAGAAAAATTTGACCGCCGGTTGTGTCCAATATCACTCGTGCTCCTTCATCCGTTAATGAATTCGTTGACAGAAGGTTAACATTAAGATGCTTCACATACAATACATTTTGTAGGGAGATTTCCCTGTAATCTGTTGATATGCTTGCATCTCCTATAGCTGCCTCTTCCAAGACCTTGCTTCCGGCAGTAATTATCCGCTTTCGGCAAGTTCTCGGGTGGATGAGCATGCTGTAGTCATTCACCATATGATAACTCGCCCCCGAGTCCAAGATCCAATGAGCTGTTTCTTTTGTGTTCGAGGGGTCTTTCCATTTCAATGGGAGGGTGAGGGAGCACCACACTTCCTATTTAGGTTCAGCGAGGGGGGAGTCTTTGGGAATGGTGACCAAGGCGTCGCATTGACTAATACCATGTCCCGGTCGCTTGCAGATCCAGCATCGGATTCGGCATGGTCTGCCTGCGTTCCTCGAGCTCGCATGGCTGTTGTCAGCTTCGGCTTCGGTCTCTCCGGCCTGTTCATTTTGATCGTCGTTGCTGGCGGTTCTAGCGCTGGCTTGTCGGGGGTCGATCTTTTGTGCGGGGATGCTCTCGACAGCGGTCTGCCGGATACTTAGTGTGGTGGCAAGGGTGTTGAAATCGATTTGATGAATGGTGGCAACCGTCTCCTTGTACACCGGATGCCGGATCGTGCATTTCTGCAGAGCCGAGAACAATGCGAGTGAAACATCTTTGTATCGTTGAGCTGCGAGATGAGCGCAAGTCTGTGAGACATCTTGGTGGCTTCATTCGTGAGACCGTTTTCGATCTTTCTCCATACTTGGTTGAAAGTAAGGTACTCCTTGATTACATCTAGAACGAGGTAATTTACATTGTATTCCCCGGTAGTGTCAATTGTTCCATGCAGGGCGTTGATTAAAGCATCATCGAGGGAGCAGCTCCATTTCGGGTGCTTCTTGTCATACGTTCCCTCGAGATGTTTCATCGCATGGGGCACGGATTGGAGGAAAGATTTCACATGAGCGCTCCAGCTATAATAGTTTCGTGACGTGAGCTTTGGCATGGGTTCGAGGAGCTTTGCTAGGGTGCGAAAGTTATATCGCTTGTTGCCATCATCAAAGTCGGAGTCGGAATCGGTGTCTTCGTCGGCTTCATTGTTGATGGCCTCCAGCTCGTTCTCGTTTGTGGCATTATTGTCGACCCGAACCTGGGTGTTCTTGCCCTTTCTGCTTCCTTTGGTCCTCGTTTCGGTGTCTTCTACCATGGTTGTCGACGAGTTTCGGTTAGCTCGGTGATAGCTTCTTCAGACTCTTAATCAATTGAAGATAACAATTAGTATACAGCGTTATCGGGGTCACGATCAGACTCCCTTTACCACAGCCGTATGTTCTATGTAATGCTTAGTTTTTTGTAGTGTGAACCTAAATGACAAACACATATATATACTCCATTCACTGCTCTAGTCCTATCCGAGACAGGATGTGTCACTTCATTCATACTCCTGTGTTGCTATGATACTGAGTGCCACTGAGCTGTCACCATGACAACAGTCATGTACCTCATTGTGCTTCTCACTTAAGTAAGCCTCCTGCACCTCGGTGTCTCGGCCGTGACACGTGCATCTTGCTTGAGATGCCGACGCATCTTCAACTCAAACACACTACAGCGCAGCTCAGACCACGCTCAAATTTTCGTTCGTGTTGTTTCTTTCGATGTAACAATTGTACCAAGTTCCAAAATCTAGCTTCCACTGCAATCGACGCACAGGCGAACGGACACCAACACAGACTGGATGTTGCAAGATGCTTGGCTAGTATGACAGTCTGTATGCGTCAAGCGATCTGAGCAACAACACGCTTGTGTAGCGCCGTTCGCATAAAGCCAACGACAGCAGAGCATGCTTTGAAAGCCAACTGGCGTGCTCTTTCCAGATCTTGCAGATCTACTGCACCTTCTGACTGGGCGAGGATCTGCTCCGAAACCTGTGTCGGTGCTGCCTTTTTGTCTCTATCGTCCAGCGCTTGTGAGAAGGAGAAAGCAAACACATGTGTGCTGAGCGCATAGTCCAGTTCCACTGGGGTCGGGTCGAGAAGAACAACAGTGCTGTTGCAAGGGGGGGAAAAAAAAAGGTCGAGTGTCAGCGTCTTTCCTCCGATAAGACACCTTTTAGAGGCTTGTACTTACTCTCCAGTATAACGTGTACGAGACCTGCTCGGCTCATCCTCCGCCTCCCCATTCTCTTGCTTATACTGGCGCAAAAGACCCGCCAACTGTGCCTCTCCGATCTCGCTGAGATGGCTGTTCTGTCTCAACACCGTCCCCCGTGCTGCTGGAAGGATAGCACAGGCGCAAGCAGCCACACTCCCCCTTGCCGGAATGCCTGCATCTAACAACGCCAACGAAGCTGCATTGATCAGTGCCGCCAGTTCCGAGACACTTGGTGGCTTGTCCGGTCCCAACAACAACGGCTGTCTCGCAACAACTCTTTGGCTCGCCTGTACATCACTGTGCACTACCTGTGCAGAAGTTTGTGGTAAGGTCGGGCAAGATAAGGTCTGCAGAACGACCTGTATCAATGATCGTGGGTAGTGATGCAATAAGAGCACAGAGGAGAAAGCGGTGAAGAGTGAATCAGATACAGCCTGGCTTGCGATCCCTGCCACGCCGTGTTGAGGCTGAAAGATGACATCAAGCGTGGCTCGATCGGTGAGCTCGTCGCGAATGCGTACTTCCGTCGGACCGGAGACGGAAGCGACGACGTTGAGGGGGCCAAAGGAGAAGGATGCGCTTGCGTCGGCTCTTGCTAGTGTGCCTAGTTGGGCGGATAGAGGTCGAAGTGCGGTTGGCGACGTTCGTCTTGGAGCTGAGCAGCTGTGTTTGGTCAATATTGATGAGGACATTCTGTCTGCCACTTGACCTTGTGCTTGCAAGAATTGGTCGTTGGTCGAGGTGAATCAGTGAATGAATACCAAAACTTGCAAACGTCAAACAGCTCCGAAAAATTCGAGTCCGACTTCCGGCTTCCGGCTTCCGGCTTCCGGCTTCCAGCTTCCGAGTTTTTTTTTGGTGTGCTGCGATCTTCCGAAGTTGAGGAGCGGAAAAAAAAAAAAGCGCAACACTCAATCCTCTTCTTGCTCCTCCTCCTCTTCGACGACCACCAACATTGTGACTGCAACAACCTAGCAGTCATGAGTTCGACACCACCAACCCCGCCTTCCAGCTCAACAGCATCGACTACTCCGGCTGCTGCATCAACATCTTCTTCCACAACCGCAGCGTCCACATCAACAGCGACCGTCAACAATGCAGCCACAAAAGCCAAGCCTATCCCTCGCGAGATCCCTCCCGTCCTCCGTCCTCTGGAATACATGGGCATTCCCAAATCCGTCTTGGCCTGGAAACCACGCCTTCCATCTCGCAACTTGTCCATCTTCCTCGTCACCGTCGGAACCCTCTCTTACCTCTACTACGACGATCGTCGTCAATGCCGTCTCATCCGTCAAGACTATATTGACAAAGTCAAGCATCTCTCCAACGAGCCCATGAAGCCCGGTGAATGGCCACGCAAGATCACCGTCTATGCTACACGTTCCCCTGGTGATGACGACTACGACAAGGCGCTGCGGTACTTCAAGAAGTATGTCAAGCCTGTCCTTGTCGCAGCTGGTGTCGATTGGGAGGTCACCAACGGCACTCGTCACGGTGGACTCGCGAGGGAGCTGCAGAGTAAGATCCACGAGAGAAGGAGCAAGTTGTTGGGTCTGCAACCTTGGATGGATGAAGCTACGGCCATGTCGCAGACTCAGTTTTCCTTGACACCGCAGCAGGAGTTGCAGAGGGAGATCGATGGCGGCTTGGTGTTGGTCGGTAGACCAGCGTATAAGGAGTGGGCTTGGGCGTTGAAGCATGGTTGGTGTACTCCGTTGGAGGTGTTGAAGCGTGATAGGGATCACGAGCTTGCCCAGGTCCTTGCTGAGGATCATGTGTTTGATGAGTTACCTGCCGAGTCAACCTCCACCACCTCCACCACCACCACCACCACCTCCTCCTCCTCCTCCTCCTCCTCCTCCTCCTCCTCCTCCTCCTCCTCCTCCTCCTCCTCTTCTTCCAGCTCTTCTTCCACCGCAGCTGCTGCTTCAACACCGAGCGAATTTCTGGACGAGAAAGAACGGGCAATCGCAGCACTTGCCGAATCAGGCGGTGAAAAAGATGGAGCAGGTGCCCCCCTCCCCTCTCGCTACGGCCCCGGTGCAAAATTCGCCTCTTCCCCCTACCCCAACCTCGGTTCCGACGCTAAGGCATTCAACTCCATGCTCGGTCCCTCGCCTTCCTCCGCCGCCCAAGCCGAGAAAACCCGTTTACGCACAGAAGCCGAAGAGGCCGCCTCCCGTCTCGATCCCAACCTCCTCCAACCTCCTTCCCAGATCCCCGCGCAACCTCCCATCTGCTTTGTCGACTTCACCAACCTCGTCGGCTGGCGCAACATCCCTCTCCGAATGTACCAGTTCTTCCGTCAAAGAGACAAAGTCCGCCACGGTGCCGAACTAGGCCTAACGATTGTCTATGGCACTAAAGAAACCGCTCGAGACTTCCAACCCGGCCCTCCCGGCACTTTCTCCAACGAAATCCCCACCACGCCACCCCAAGGCGGCGATCTCGATTGGGGCCTTCAAGGCGAGGAGCGGTATCCACCCTACTTTCGTAAATGCGACCAAAACATCGCCGATTCTCGCGCTGCTTACTACAAAGCCCTTCCGAAACATCTCAAAGATGCCCGGGATCTAGCAAGGGGTTTCAGAGAACCGAGCAAGTTGGAGAAGAACGATCCGAGCAAGACCGAAGCAGAGTTGAGAGAGCAGAGGTTCAACAAGGAGAAGGAATGGAGGAATGCAGAGATGGGCTTTGAGATCATTAGGCCCGAGAAAGGGGTCGAGTGGGATGAAAGGTTTAGAGGTAGTCTCAGGGTGTTTGAGTTGAGTAGCGAGCTGAGGGAACAGATTGATCGTCAGCAAAGCTTGAGGATGGAAAGAGCCAAGGAGGAGGAGAAGAGGAGGGTGGAGGAGGAGGAGAAGAGGAGGGTGGAGGAGGAGAAGGGCTTGATGCAGGAACAGATCAAGAGACAGAACGAGTTGGAGAGTCAGCCACTGGAGGCGCTCGAAGGATGAATTCAAGCAACACAACATGTGCTATTGCTGCAATGCACACATCTATCTCATTCTGGTCGATTTGCAAGCTTGTATATGTGTGTGTATATGTGTGTGTATATGTGTGTGTATATATGTGTGTGTGTATATTGCGAGCTCTGAGGATGCTATGTCGTCTGTTAGGAGTTGATGTTGCTGTAGTAATGGTTTGGTGTTAAGTTTCGAAAATGTCGACAGATGAGACAAAAGAAAGCAAAAATCAAGTCTCGAAAAAGGCATGCTGGAATCGGGCTTGATTCTCGATTTTGTCTCGATTTTGTCCCGATTTTTGTCCCGATTTGGAGGTGGAGGAAGACGGAAAACCCAACACTTGGAATTCAAGGCACAGACGAGAGGGCTACTTGCTTCTTGTTGCTCAACAACCACCATCACTCTCCCTAGCTGCTCCATAACGCCTTTGCGACAAAGCCCGAGAGGCAGAGTCGCCTCATTAGGACCTCTCAGGCAGCCTTTTTGGTCTGGAACACTCTTTTCGCATCGTCGTCCACCTAGCAATGCCAACTTTGGTATAAGGATCGCCCTTCTCCCTTCCCGCACCCGTGCCTCAAGTCGACACTCGACTCTACACCGCCAATCAACTCCAACTACAGCCGAGTGAAGACCTCCCTGCTTACCGCACTCATCATTGCCATGTTCGAACGCTCCCTCTCAGCCCTCATCAAAGGTCTCCGTTCCCACCGCGGGAAAGATGAACCCAAATATGTCGCCCTCATCCTCGACGAAATCCGTCACGAAGTTCGTTCTGGCGATCTCCAAGTCAAAGCCGAAGCCATTCTGAAACTAACCTACCTCCAAATGCTCGGTTACCCCTTTTCCGGCGCCAACTTTCATGTGCTTGAAACCATGGCTTCTTCCAAATACCATCATAAACACGTCGGCTACCTAGCTGCTGCCCAATGCTTTTCTGCCGATACAGACCTTCTCATCCTCTCCACCAATATGATCAAAAAGGACCTCCAGTCCTCTTCACCCCTTGATGTAGCGGTTGCGTTGAATGGGCTATCGCACATCGCAACCCCGGATCTAGCAACTCACTTGGGTCCCGATGTGATAAAGTTACTAACGCATAGCAAAGCGATCGTAAGAAAGAAAGCATTATTAGTGCTCTATTCCTTGATCATCAAGAGTCCAGATCTGCTCGAGACTAGTTGGGAGAGGTTAAGGGAGAAACTGGAAGATGTGGATTTAGGAGTCGTTTCGGCAGCGGTGAATATTGTATGTGAGTTGGCCAGGAGGGATGCTAGGCCCTTCTTGCCGTTATCGCCGCAATTGTTTAGCTTGTTGACGACGAGTACGAATAATTGGATGCTCATCAAGATCATCAAGCTATTTGGATCTTTGACGCCCTTAGAACCGCGGTTGGTGAAGAAGTTGGTCCCGCGGATAACGTCGATTATTTCTACAACTCCAGCTATGTCGTTGTTGTACGAATGCATACATACCATCATCATTGGTGGGATGCTAGCTCAACCTGGAACTGGTGACGAACTTGCCTATGTTTGCGTCGAAAAGCTTGCTGGCTTTCTGACGGATACGGATCAGAATCTTAAATACATCGCCCTACTTGCGTTGGTTAAGATTCTACCGACGCATCCTGCCTTGGTTGCCGAGTACCAGGAGGTGATATTCGAGAGTATAGAGGATGAGGATTTGAGTATCAGGTTGAGGGCCTTGGACTTGGTTAGTGGAATGGCAGTCAGGAGGAATCTGGAGAGTATTGTTCAACAGTTGATGTCGCATTTGGAACCTCGCACCTCTTCTCAAGCCCTGGGTGGCGCAGCTGCCGCTCTGAAAGCAAGTCTATCTGCTGTTGGAGCGGGAGCGGATGCTGATCCTACATCAAGCTCTCTTGCTGCGATCACAAGTGCAAACAACGCAACTCTTTCCCCCTCTTACCGGCTCGAAATCGTCCAACGCATCCTAGCGTTGGGAAGCTACGACACATATGCAAACGTCAGCGATTTCAACTGGTACCTCGATACACTCTTACATCTCTCTACCCTCTCCAATTTACCCGATGCGAATAGGGTGGGGTCGAAGATCAGAGATCAATTAATCGATATCACTGCAAGAGTGAGGGCTATCAGACCACACGCAGCACGGAAGATGATATCCGTTCTTCGCGATGGTCGCCTTCTGCCCCCTTCTTCACCCTCTTCCTCGGCTGCTGCGTGGGAAGGGGAAGGGGAAGGGGGAGTGGGAGGGGAAGACATGAAAGAAGCCCGTAAAGTTCTTCACGCCTGCGCCTGGATCTTGGGGGAATACGCAATCGATCTCCCCTCTTCACCCTCTTCCATCCTCCCCCTTCTTCTGCAACCGCAGATCTTCGACGCGAGGATATGCGATCCAAGTACAGCAGCAGCTTGTGTCCACGGCGCAGTGAAAATGTACGCCTTCTGGGCCTCTTACCTCTCTTCACACTGGAGTGATGATGGTAAAAACCGGCCAGCAGAATTGGCTGAATTGCTCCAAACATCCAAAGAACTCGCTAGACAGTTGCAAGACATACCACCAAGAACTATGCATCCCGAGCTTGCCGAACGAGCTGTTGAGTACCAACAACTCTTCCTCCTCATCCAGAAAGATCTTGACTCCTACATCCACCCTGAAACAGCCAACCAGGCGGAGAAAATGCAACATGTTCCTCCCAGAAGTTTAGACCTTCTCTCGCCATTGTTTTTCAACCATGCCTTGGGTCCTTTGGGTGCTAATGCCCAGTCCAAGGTTCCTGAGCCGGTCCATGTTGATCTGCACTCCTCCATTGTTCCTACGGAGAGCTATGTTGTGTTGGACAGTATCCATTTCGGCTCTTTTCCAGATCTGGTTGATGAGCCATCTCAAATCTTGACCGCTTCCCCCCTGGCTTCAGCAGCAAAGACAAGCAGGAAGCAGAGAGAAGCAAGCTTGCCCAAACAGAGAGAAGATGCGTTTTACATTGTCGACTCTGCTGTACGACGGACAGGTAGGAAGGGAAATAAGGAGGAGGAGGTGCAAGTGCAAGAGCAAGTGCAAGAGCAAGATGTGGATAAGATCCCCATTGTTCGTTTGGACGAGCTTTTAATTGCAGACAAAAAGACCGAAGGCAGCAAAGTTCAAGTACCCGTATTAGAACAAGAAGAAATGCCAGAATGCATACTAGCAGTTAGGAGGAAGAAGAAAGTCAAAACCCCCGCCCTTCAACACGAACATGGAGATGCAGTGACGAAAGTAGTACGGGTGAAGAAGAAAGATGCTGGTAGTGGCAAGAAAAGTGTTTCTGGTGTTGTTATCGACTGATCGCCACTGATTGCAATGCAGAAGCTAGTGGAACTTGTAAAAGTATTGCCTGGCAGAGACTTGTCTACTAGCTCCTCGGCGGCGGTTGTAGATGTTGCAATCCTACGGCCAAGATTTCGGGGGGTGGTGAGCAAGTAAGATGAAAGCTACGAGGAAGAGGTGAAGGATTTGATCATGCCTGTTTTAATGCATTGAGGTCTGTTTTGACTTATGAATGTCTTGGATATGGAGTTGCAATGCAACATATATGTTGATTTGCAATCCAATGCTGAATCAAACAAGAACTGCACATCAATCCCCATCCCCCTCTCGATAGAGTAGCCAGAATGACAGCCACATCCAAAGCACAAACATCATTGTAGTTTCGTACAAACTCTGCATTCCTTCCACACTCAGCCCTACACCACCGTCTCCAAAGTAGCCCGACTACGACTAGCAGCATCCAACACCCTCTTGGCATCTCTCAGTACTCTCCCCGCTACTAAGGCTACTTGTTTATCTTTCTTCCATTTCTCCCCTAACTCAACCTCGCCACCTTTCTCCCCTCTCCTTTCTCCTTCCAACTCCTGAACCACGCCTTGGGCTTTGATGGTCGCCTCTTGGATCCAACCCAAGCTCTTCTCCCCTTTCTTTCCCTCTTTCTTCCAGCTTGACCAAGAAGGAAGTGAAGATTTCCCAGAATTGCGCGTTAGGCCGTAGATTGTCTCTGCTACGTGAAGGTTTAAGATCGATTCATGGTGGCTTAGCCATAGTTTGTGCAGTTCGGCGGAGGTGGAGGTGATGGTGGGCCGGCTAGTGGATGACGAAGGGGAGAAGGAGAGACGCGAGAGTTCGGCGTCTGTGAGTTTGAGAGCGGACATTTGAGTCTGGAGTGCTTCATGGAGCGAGGCGGATGTAGCCTGGAAAGCTGATTTGGAGAGGAGGGCTGTGATGAGTGCTCGGGTGAGTGCCGGGGTTGCACTTGCTTCTACTTCCGTTTGTGGTGTAGTCTGCATTGTATCAGTAGCAAGGGCGGGTGTGGGTGTGGGGGTTGGGTTGGATTTCCCGAACCATGCCCTCACACCACCTTTCTTTCCTTGCTCCTCTACCTTCACTCCAACACTGTCGCTGATGGAAGAGTTCTGTAGCTCAGGCGTACGAGCTCCAGCCAGAGCAGCAATCCCCACCGCTCTACCCAACCATCTTTCAGCTTCTTTTCTCTCTCCCAACGCCATATGTAGATCCGCCAATTTCGTCGCCAATCTGACCAACTTTTCCCCCTTCTCCCCTCTGTCCCCTTTCTCCCCACCACCTCCGCCTGTCAAGGTTGCTATATCATAAAGTTTCTCGTAACTCCCAATCGCACTCTCCAACGCCCCCCTACTCCCTTGTCTCTCTTTCACCGCCGCCAATCTGGCCTCTAATGCGACAGCTAATGGATCTATGCTCTTCAACTGCTCCTCTGCTGCTTCTTTACTAACCAACCCGGCCCGAATCGCACCTGTATCTGGAAGAGAGATACCCTTGTCGTTTGCGATTTTTACGGCGAGATTGAGATATTGCATAGCCAAAAGCATCCCATCGTCCACTTTCAACATCTTTGCAGCCGACATTGAGGTGATGGCGGTACGTCCTAAGCCTGAGTTCCCGGCTGCTCCACCTTGGAATAGTAGAGAAGGAGAGATTCCACCTCCCCAGTTTACACACATCCATGCTGATCTTACTGCATGGCGACCTTTGATTCCCAGGCGCGGGTCTGTGCCGGGGTGGGAGAGAGAGCCCGACCAAGATTCTTGGAGAGCGAGCTGTTTCCAGCCATACTCGTCAGAGGACGAGGAGTTTGAGGAGTTTGAGGAGGGAGAGGAAGCAGGCATAGCAAAATGTTCGACATATTGATGAGTAGCTTCGAACGATACCACTCCAATCGTACCCACTCCGAGAGCTGTGAAGGTGATGATCCGTGCGATTCGGGATAGGGTCAAGATGAACTGGGCGAGAGGCGTTCCGAATGATTGGAGTACTTGGTGTTGGTTTGGTGCCGTAGAATATGTTCGCTTTACTAGTGCTGGTGGTGATTGGTGGCTGAAGGTTGGTGCGGACGATGATAAGAGCGGGCGTGGAGAAGGTCGTAGTGTTGTCATTGACCGCCTTGCTGCAGCGGATGAGAGAAGTGCTCTGTGCATACTAGCCAACGCTGGCATCCTCGTTGCCGCCGTGCTATGTAGTAGTGACTTCATGGTGATCGATGTCAAGCGAATCGTAAGATGGTGCCGACAGCGAGGATGATAGTCAAGAAGCAAACCTCGGTCGAACAGTGGAGGAAGAGAAGAGTTTCACTTGTTTAGCCGATTTCAGAATCGGGATCGGGTCGATTTTGATGCCCGATTGCTCACGATCTGCCCCTTCACTCCCATCATAAGCCTTTAAGACAGACTCTCGAATCATGCTCTAATGTGTGTAAGGCACTCTATCATCTACACTGTATGACTGTGAGTATAAGACTGTGAATGTAAAACTAAGCATCTTTACCAAGCGCCCCCTTGTTCTTGGCCAACCCCTCCCTCCTCTTCTCCCTAGCCTCAATAGCAATGCCGGCAAACACGACAACAACCCCCAGCCACTGCGCCCTACTCAACTCATGCTTATACACGACCACACTGAGTAACATAGTAAACAACTTTCTCGTAACCGTAATCGAGACCAGCGTCAAGCTTCCGAACCTTTGCAACGTCTCAAAGATCGACACTTGCCCCACTGCGCCAGCTAGTGCGTATGCGATGATATCTCGCCATACTTCCGGGTGCTTCTCTGTGAACTCTAAAGCTCTTACCAACTGAGTCGGTTGCCCTGGAGTCGAGAGAAAAGGGAGGGGGATGGAGAGGGTAAAGGACATAAGGAGGAAAGAAATCATGTTCATAACCAGCATCATCTGTCCTGCGCCGACCGTTTTCCTGCCGAACTTTGAAAATACTTGATCTTGAGTGCTGTTGGTTGCTCCATCCAACACAAGGTTGAGGAAGCAGAGGAGGAGGCCGAGGAGCGAGCTTGATTCTGGGCCTTTCGACTTCTTGCCGGGTCTAGGGGGAGCGAAAGCCATAAAGAGGTAGATACCGAGGGTTACCAGTACAACGACGGCATATTTGTAAGGGGCGAACTTGCGTCGGTAGAGAAGAACGTTGATGATGAGGACCGGGACGAGTTTGCACGATTTGGCGATCGTGAGGGTTGGGTAAGAGATGTAGCGAAGGGAGAGAAAGCCGAGTTGAGAGGCGGTGGATTGAAGGGCTGCGATTAGAACGTAGCGTTTGAGGAGGGGTGAGATCCATCCTGAGCCAGCAGGAGCGCCAGTGTCGTTGGAGGCTGGAGTGAAGCCGTTCTTCTCTGCCTTGGCAGTCGTTTGCTGGGGGATTGCGTTGGGTGTGAGGGTATGCAAACCTAAAATCTGAGCAACCGGCTTGCTGCTCCCCCTATTCCGCAGCAACAGATAGACGCATGCTACGATGCAAGAGAAGAGCGCTTGGATCGTATTCAAGAATAGCGGAGAGCGGAAGTACTCTGGCTGCGGGTTAGGGTGGAGAAAGCTGGCTGGTGTTGTATATGGCGTTTTGGTCACTGCAAAGTAGCAATAGACGATGGTCAGTACACCTCGAATTCGGATGGTGGAAAGTGGGGTGCGGAAGGACTTACATCGTTCTTGCAAAAGACCCCATATTAAGAAGGTGGTATAGATCGAGCCTGCACAGAGGCCCAATTGAACGAGCGTCATGATGGCTAGCCGCGGGTATTGATGATGGTGTTGGGAGAGAGAGTGAGAACAACACTTGAGTGCGGCGAAATTAAGCCCGCGTTTTTGGCCACGTCGACCGGTGCAAGATCTCGCGGATCGGGTCCCGATTTGCTATCGTTTCCCACGTTCAAAACATTTCATCTGACTGCATCGGGGAGGACTTGTTTCCAGCCGATCACTCGGTCTTGCCTTGGCGTTTCGCGCGCCGCGTAACACTAGCGACGATGGACTTTATGGGATCAGCAAGCGCCCTAGGCAAGCCATTTCTCGCTATATATATCGCCACGAGTATAAACAGCACATCGGCTATCAAGAGCAGCCATGGCTTCCATCCTGCCTTTTCCGTTGTGCTGCTATCTGGTGTGGAAGGAGAAGCGGAGTTCAGACCGGCAACTTTGGGATGACCTGGTGGTGGAGTGCCTTTGAATCCTAATGGGCATTGAGACATTGTTGCTTGAGATCGAGGAAGGCGAGGATATGGCGGTATTGCTTGTAGTAGTGACGATGATGGTGGTCAAGTGATCGAGATAGGAGGATAGATGAGTTGGAGCAAGAAGGAGGAAAGCAAGAGGATCGATCGAGTGTGGAGGAGCGATTTGAGGAATAAAGTGGAAACATGTGACTTCTAGTCCGATCTAACATTCTCGGTTATGTATCATGCCGGTTAACCGATAGCCGACATAGTTGACGTATAAGTTACACAAGAACGCTGGAAGATATATATATACTAACCCTTATCTTGTACTTCGATACTTGTGATCAACGTTGTTTGACGCATCTACTTTAACAATCCACTAGAACAAAAGCAGTCCATTCCTAGCTCCATCCTTTTCTCTTTCATCATCGACCACCACCCTCGACACTAGGGACCACCTTCCCTCATTACCCCCTTCCTCCTTCCTCCTTCCTCCTTCCTCCTTCCTCCTTCCTCCTACCGAACACCAGCTTTCCGGCTGGTAGGACCTTGTACAAGATGACGACCCTATACACAGATTCGATATGTGTCTTTTGCGGCTCCTCACCCGGCACTAAAGGCGAATATATGGCTGCAGCAGCCTCTGTAGGACGAGCCATCGCAAAACACAACTATCGTCTCGTCTACGGAGGTGGTTCTCGTGGTTGCATGAGCGGTGTTTCGCAAGCCGTCTTTGAAGCGGGTGGACACGTTCTCGGTGTTATCCCGCAAGTGATGGCAACCACTGTACCCTCTGGACACCCTGGTCAGAAAGCCGCTTCCACCATCCTTGTTTCGAAAGAGGGCGTTGGACCTACAGTGCTCAACCCGGACGCTGGATCTGGTCAAGTCGAGACAGTGGTCGTTCAGTCGATGCACGAGAGAAAACAACGTATGGCTGCCGAAAGCAATCTTGGCTTCATCGGTCTGCCCGGTGGATATGGTACTTTTGAAGAAGTGATGGAGATGGTTACCTGGACTCAGTTGGGTATTCACAGGAAGCCGATGGTGCTGTTGAATGTAAATGCGTTTTATACGCCGATCAAGCAGCAGATTGAGTTGGCGGTGCAGGAGGGATTCATTTCGGCCGCAGGCAAGGAGTTGGTTAGTTTTGTTGATTGCGATGCCAACAATCTTGCCGGTTGTGGTGATGCTGTTCTGGCTGAAGCTGCTCGTTTGAGCAAGGTGGTCTCTGCGAGCGCTGCGGGTTATTGGGATTGGAACAAACCTCAGGGTGCCATCAGCACTGCTCAAGGTGGGATCATTGATAATGCCGCTTCCAAGTCTATTCAACTTGCTCAAGGCCAACATCTTGCAGTTGAGGTTTCCGATCTCACGTTCACCTTCAACCCAGCTATCCCGCCTTCGCTGCAACACTGCAACTTGCACCTCAAGCCTGGCTCGAGATGCTTGCTCATCGGTGCCAACGGTGCAGGCAAGTCTACTTTGCTCAGGTTACTGGCAGGCAAGAAGTTGTGCGATTCAAAGCTGCGTGTTTTCGGCAAGGATGTCTTCCGTGACTCACCCAGCGGAGTTACCTACTTGGGTACCGAATGGGCCATGAACCCGGTCGTCAGATCCGACATTCTCGTATCCACCTTCTTGGATTCGGTTGGTGGATACAGGCACAAAGCGAGGAGGGATCGATTGTTGGATATCCTGGATGTCGATCTCACTTGGCACATGCATGCCATTTCCGATGGCGAAAGGAGACGTGTTCAGTTGTGTATGGGATTGATGGAGCCTTGGCATCTCCTCTTGCTTGATGAAGTTACAGTGGATCTTGATGTTCAAGTTCGAGCCGACCTTTTAGATTTCCTCCAGCACGAGACGGTGGAGAGAGGAGCGACGATCATCTACGCAACACACATTTTCGATGGCTTGCAGAACTTCCCCACCCACCTAGCTCATATCAGGCTGGGTACGACTACGACCACTTTGCCGATCGATTGGCCTGCGACGAACCCAGCCGATATCGCAGCTCTGCCTCCAACGACCAAGGCGGATAAGGGTAGAGACCTCAGCCCGTTGCTCGAGGTGAGCTTGGCTTGGTTGAGAGAGGATAAAGTGCTTAGAGCCGAGGAAGAGGCCAAGAGAGGGAGCAAGAGAGGTGCCAATAGGGATCAGGTGGAAACGGATAGTGAAAAGTTCTTTAGTAAGTATGATTATAGCCAGACTGTTCCGCGCTAAACACTATCAACATCATACCTCAGCTCAACGCTGTTAAAATAGAGTAGCTTGCTACCATACCCACACAACCCACATAAAAGTTGGAAGAATAAACTTGTAGACCTCATCCGATCCTCAGAACAAAGCAATAGAAAAACAAACTGTTCAACCAGCCAAAATCATAACTCCCACACAGATTGCAAGACGGTCACAAGGTACTTTGTGGTTGTCATCGATCGCCGTCGTGCGTTCCGGCGGAGGTGGGGAGAAAGGATCTCTTCCCGTTCACATGCACTTTATTTTGGGGTGAGCTATGTTCTTGGCTTACGTCGGGCTTGCGTTTGCTAAAGACTGGATGAGTTTCGTAGGCTTTGTTGAGATGATATAAAGAGTGGTCTTGTGTGGCGCAGGGTTCAGCTTCTTCGTAGTAATTTCCCCCCGCTGGTTCGGAGAAGGGTAAGCGATGAGGACGGCATTGCTGATCAAGACAGCAGCCTTGGTGGTAGCGGGAGGGGTGAGGGCTGCGCCAATGCTGAACGGGGCGGCGGTAGGGGAAGTGGTGTCGCACGCACCAGTCTTTCAATCCGAGATTGTGGAAGAAGCAGCGTCTCACCCCCACCTTGCACAGTACCCGGAAGGGTGGTCGAGCGCGTCGTCAGATGTAAGCATTCCCTTGTCTCTTCCCACTTCGATCACTCCTATCCCCATTCCATCCGGCTTCGCAAGCTGACAAGCTACATCTCGTTCTTCTTCATGACTTGCAGGAGCATCATTCGCACATCGATTGGAATAGTGCACAACACCCCTCCGAACCAGACGGGTCACCGCCACACCCCTTCCCATCCATGCAAGAAGGCGCTTTTGAGCATTGGGCAACTCTCTCCCCCCGCGTTACACCACCTCAACATACCCCTTCGCCAACGTCGATGCTGCACACACACTCGATTGCCCTCCCGACAAGAGAGAGGGTAAGGGAGGAAGACGATCCTCTTCGCCTCACCTCCACCCATTCCTTCCGAAATCGACCTTCATTTGCTTCGACTGAAGCGTCCACCTCGTTCAACGAGATTGGAGAAACCAGTATCTCCAGTGATAACAACACACCAAAAGCAAAGGGAAGAAAGCGGAACTTGGAAAAGCTTAAACAAGTGCTGAGGAGGTTCTCGCTGGGTAGTGGTAGCCGAAGAAGTTTGAGTGAAATCACATGACTGCTTAGTAATGTTCTAACATTTCCGCAAACCTCGCTCAGCGTCGCCACCTGTCAACTCCCACCAATGCTCGTCGCCACCCACCAACGAACCCTATCTCACTCAACAACAGCACGCAGCCACACCTGAGCGAAGGAGGTCCCACAAAATGAGGTCCCGCAGACTGCATGCCAAGAAGTTATAAGCCTCGCCCACAGACGAAGGGCCTAACTCCGGGTAAGCAGCAGAAGTTGTCGTGCAAACATGCTGGATCTGAGTCAGCCTCAGTCCTGCAGCCCTTGTTGACGTGACATGGTATTAAGTGGGCGCTGACATTCTTCATACGTCAAGAGACTTGCATCTTGCCTGATGCTGTATAAAGGGGCGCTTCAAAGCAAAACTCAGCTGCAAGTTGCTTCACCCTTCCACACCGGCCACAAGGCTTCCATTTTATCCTGCTCCTCGTGATCATCGTTGAATATGACTCGCCCTCTGCAGTGCCTTACTTCCCTGGTGGTGTTGGCCTTAGTGCTCAGCCAGTCAGGCCATTGTGCTGTAGTCAAGCAGTTGTCAACCCCAGGATCCAAGACTTCCCTCTACGGCCGAAGCTGGGAAAGTCTTTTGCGAGGCTTTTGTTACATCACGCCACTGGACATTAATGAAGTCGAATATGAAAAGCGTTGTGGCGAGAAGTCAGATAGCAAATGGCCATGCTTCAAAGGTTTGGGAAAGTACACTTTCGCGGATGTCAAATTCGAACCTTGGCTTGAACCTCTGGATATGTCGAAAGAGATCTTGTTGATGGACGATGAAGCAACCGGTAAGCTACCAGACCAGGAATGCGAACTCTTGGCTGGCCCTCTGCTAACCTGTTCAATTCTTTCTTCAGCTTTCACTTTGAGAAACGCCTCAGATGCTTTTACAATGTGGTTCGTGTTTGATGGTGTCAGACTAAGGTACTATGACTATGACGACAAGACCGGATGCTACAAGATTGAGCTGAAAAGTAAAGGTTACAGGAGTATCTTCGTTTCAGACGGAAACGGAAAGGATCGAGACCTTGACACCCAGAAGCATTTGGAAACGGGCACGCAACTGTGCTCCAAATGGATCACAGTCGGTATTCGTATGTAACGGGCATACCGGTTTGTTGGGACGGGTGACCCAACAATGCACCAAACCACTGGATAAGTAGATGTTCGAGGAGGAAAAAGGAGGTTTCTGTTGTGCTTCGTCCGCTGCTGTAGACATATAAGAAGCGGCACTTAATTAGCAGTCCTCATAGAAACAACCATCCATCTGTACTGACGTTCGTCGTCGTCACACGTAATCAAGCCCGCGTCCTACCACGAAAAGCTTATCATATTCCAACAGATATTAAAGACGGGAGCCGTTATTGCTCCTTGCAAGAGAGTGACAATCGGGACATCTGAATGCGTCCAGCCCTCTTCCTTTGGCCGTTGGGCGTTGAAGCGTTTTGGTGAAAAGCGAAATCGCTTGCGAAGCTTGAAGCGCACTTGCGAGCTTGTCACTAGTGAGACTCAGCCATGGCCGCTGCTACTGCGGGACCTCAATTTGTGGGACCTCATTCGCTCTGTGCGGTCTCCTGACGAAAGGAGAAATCATTGTCCTGTGGTGGAGAAAGTAGAAGCCGGCTCGATCGACTTGTGGCTTTGTCTCGAATGAGATTGTAGAGGGGCTAGCTCTACCTGTTGCCAAGGTTGTGATCCCACCAGTGGATAGTTGCTCATCTTTCGAGCCGTTGTTGCTCGGTGGGTGCCTCAATTAGAGCAGCCTGGGACAAATCAAGTGGGTAAGCAGCAGAAGTTGTCGTGCAAACACGCTGAATCTGTGGCAACCTCTTGTTGACGTGGCATAGTGTTAAGTGGGCGCTGACATTCTTCAAATGTCAAGAGACTTGCATCTTGGCTGAAGCTGTATAAAGGGGATCTTCAAAGCAAAACTCAGCTGCAAGATGCTTTACCCATCCACACCGACCACAAGGCTTCCATTTTATCCCGCTCCTCGTGATCATCGTTGAATATGACTCGCCCTCTGCAGTGCCTTATTTCCCTGGTGGTGTTGGCCTTAGTGCTCTGCCAGTCAGGCCATTATGCTGTAGCCGAGCAGTCGTCAGCACCAGGAAGCAAGACTCCCCTCTACGACGAAAAGGAAATATCTTTCGGCCACCTTTGTAATGTCACACCACTTTTCGTTAACAGAGCCGAATATGATATTCGTTGTGGCACGGATTCCCATTCCAAAGGGCCATGCTTCAAAACTTTAGAAGGCGCCTCTCTGCAGTATAACACGATCGAACCTTGGCTTGAACCTCTGGATATGTCGAAAGAGATCATATTGAAGGACAACACAGCAACCGGTAAGCTATCAGACGAGAACTGCAAACTCTTCGCCCGTCCTCTGCTAACCTAATCATTTCTTCCTTCAGCTTTCACACTTAGGGACCCCTGGGCGGCGTTTGTAATCAAATTCACCGATGCCAATGTCAGTCTAAGGTACTATGACTATGACGTCAAGACCGGATGCTACAAGATTCACCTGCAAGGTGCAGAAAACTTTCGTATCTACGTTACTGACGGACTGGCAACCGAATTCCACATCGACACCCTACACTATCAGCACACGGGCAAGCAACTGTGCTCCAAGTGGATCTCAATCGGTATTAGACACAGGGATGGTGATTTTTTTTGGCATGACAGTGACTATCGCGGCATCTGAATGCGTCCAGCTCTTTTCCTTTGGCTGTTCGACGCTGCAAGTACTCATTCAGTCGATCTGTCGCTCTGCTTCGTGAGGTGGCAATCGATTATATAGCTTGACACAAATCCCATCTGTTCTGTACATTTGATGATCATTGAATCAGACAGGCACGTAATAGCGAACCACTTGAGCAGTACTTGCGGGCGCTAGCTTGAGCTTTGTTCTGATTGCAAGAAATGCAAAATGAAATCGTACAACGACCAGATTGATGTGGTTGCGGTTGCAAACTTGCAGCCAAACTTTGCAACGGCAAATGCTTCGTCAAAGACAAGATTCCGATGAAACGTCTGTGTGTATCTCGAACAGTATTGAGCATTTACCACACCACACATGGACATGCGAATCGATGGTTTACGTGATTTCAGATGCGATTCTGCTCTAGATGTCGACAGGTTTCGAATGCAACTGAGACCAAATCCCCCTAGCACCTTCGCTTCTACTTTCCACTGGTCTTCTCTTCAAAGCCTTTATTTTTGCACCACTTGACTCTACAACGTGCCTTAACTTCTGTTCTACCTGGTTCGCGTCTAGGTTTGCGAGGTTAATATCCTTCCTCCTCTCTCCTCCCGCCTTTGACGCGTCCTTGAGGGTGGATCCGTAGAAGCCAGTGACGAGGGGATGTTTTTCACTGCCAGCTTCGCTGACGACGAATTCGATGGAAGGATATCTGGAAGACAAGGCAGAAAAGCGGGGAGAAAGCAAAAAAGCTCGAAGACCAGAGGAGGATGCGTTGTACTGCGAATAGCGTAAGACGAGTTTTCGTACAGGGAGGTGAAAAGATCCTGGTGCACCAGCGGCTGGAGAAGAGGGGGTGGTGGAAAGCGAGCCTCGGAGCAGTTGGGTTATTCGTTTCAGGTGGGACATTTTGTGTCGTGATGCCAAGTGCGGAAGGGAAGACGAGCAAGGTGTCGAATGATGGTGGAAGGCAAAGATGCGAATGAGAAGAAATGGTGTTTTCAGAAAACAGAACCGCCTCGGTTGAAGGGTTCCGAGTTCCGAGTTCCGAGTTCCGAAAAATCTCACGTAACCCTGAAATGGGAATTTTATCGCACGACAAAAACCTCCAGCACTCGACTCACACCAGGCTCAAATCTCACTGCCTGGGTGATAGCATGATACAGGTCGAGAACTTGGTTTACACATCTCATCGAAACGAAAGACAAAAAGGATCGAAGCAACAAAGGAAAGCAAAGAGTGTGTGATGTGCTGTGTGTCTGGCTGGAGCACAAAGAAGGGAAGGAAAAGAGTGTTTACAAAGTGAGGCTTGGAATGAATCGATGCCTCGAGGTCGCGGGTCGCATCGGGAATGGGTATCGACGGGTCAGAAAGAAAAGCAAGCTTGAGTGGCGCTTTAAAGCAACTGCATATAGTTACTAGGCACGATCCCCGTCTCACCATTACTCTTTCTCGCCTGCCACCATTTTCCCGAGTTATCAACGATATCCAGTACCTCTCCTTTACTGAAACCAATCTCGGTGGGGTCGTCTGCATTGGCTTGGTACGCGTAGAGTGCACGAGCTTTGTAACCGTAATCTGGCAACGTGCCAGCTTGGGTGGGGCTAGCAGGTGCACCATGACTTGCAACGCTGGGTGCTGTACCATCCTGCGAGACACCTCCAGCTGCACCGGTTTCGTTAGCGGCGGCGTTACGAGAAGGAATGGAAGTAGAAGACAACTTGGGAGCGCCCAAACCGGTGGCGTTGGAGGTGGTGATGTCAGCAGCGGAGGGAGAGTTGCCGTATGCAGGTTGATAAGCTCCACCTGAAGCGGTGCCTTGGAAACCACCAGAGTAGACTGAGCCATTGCCTGGGCCGTATCCGCCTCCACCGATGGCTCCTCCTCCTGCATTGCGCATCGATTGACCTCCACCACCACCGATAGCTCCAGCGATGTACTTGCCGGCAGACCTACCGACAGCGCCTGAAGCAGGAGGTGTGACACCTTCGTTTGTCATGTTTAGGATGGGGTACAATGCAGAGTCCTCCTCGGTTGTGAGGAAGAGGAGCCAAATGACGTTGGTGATGGTGATAAGGAACCATCCGGCTGCGACGGCTTCTTCGGAAGAATTGTCCGAGTAGATACCCGAGTTGATACCGATGACGGAAAACACGAGAGCGACGGCGGTGAAAGTGACGAGTTGAAGCCGAGAGGTGGAGAGGGAATCCGTCATTACACCAAGATACTTGGCAACGATGAGGAAGAGTTGAAGGAAGATGGCGAACCAAAGAACACCTTGACGACCCGCCGACCCGGCTTCGGCGGCACATTGACCGATGAAAGCGACGATCCAACCGACAGTGCTGAGCAGAAAGAGGACTGTGAGGATTTTATGGGCGAAGATCATCCTACCGTTGCAAATCCAAGAGGTGGGGGGGGGGGAAACAGGAGAGATGAGATGAGATACAAGACAAGGTTAGGAGTCAGCGTCATCAGATCAAATGTGTGAGAAAGCAAGGCTGCGAAACTCACCCAATGTCAAATCCTCCTCCACCACCACCGCGTTTGCCTGGCATCTTGGATCGAGTGCGGTTTGGAGAGGTCTGCCCAGGTTAGATGCGTGATGGGAGGGACGATGATAAGCCTGCCGGCTATTGCAACTCGAGGGCGAGGGAAGGCGAGGGAAGGCGAGGCGGAGGATGATGAGGCGGAGGATGGTGATGAAGGATGGTGATGAAGGATGATGGTAAAAGTAAAGGTGGATATGGATGGCGATGACGATGACGGCAACTTGTCTCAAGCCAAGCGAATCGGGCTAAGCAATGGCCATGTCTCGGTGGCAAAAGAGAGAGAGAACTCAGCCGAGATTATTTAGGCCTTGAGAACACGCCGAATTCACGAGCGTTTTTCTTAGCCCACATCGAAAGCCTCGGTCGGATGCCTACAATAACCAACCAACCCCTCTGGTCTCCACCATTCCATCCGACGCCCCCAATCCCACGACACAAGCTCGAATAACTACACACAGTTGAATGCAACGAACAAGGTCATCTTCTTTCACCAGTGATGCAGATGAACACCGATCGACCAAACCATGCCTCTCCCTATCCGACTCGGATCGGAGTGCTTTTTTTCCCCTTTTTTCCCCCTTTTTTTCCCTTTCTTTTTCTTTTCTTTTTCGTTTCTTTTTCTTTTCTTTTTCTTTTCTTTTTCTTTTCTATTTTGGGGGCTGCCTTGACTTTTGGATAGCGTTGGCTGTGCACAGCCCAGCAAGGATACTCTGGTGGCGATCATGTGAAGATCAAGGTGACGGTGACAAAAGAGAATCTTGATTGATAAACATGTGTTGATGTACAAAGAGTCGTAGATGTAGCATTGCTCTCTTTTCGCTATCAAGAGAGCATTCCGCAGGCTCAGTTATAGGCAGAACAACTTGTTGTTCTTCCGCTTACTAACTTCTTCCAATCTCGCCTCCAACGCCTTCCTTGCCCTCTCTTTGGCCTGTCTCTCCTCTTCTATCTTACTCTCGTATCCTTGCTTCTCCAGCATAACGCTGTTTCTGACATTCTCCACTTCGGATTGTGCCGAATTCAACTGAGCGCGCATGGCGTTGGCCTCTGCTGCGTACCTTTCTCTTTCCCTCGTCACTTCCGCTAGCTGAACACGGCTTTTGCGCAGGTTACGCTCGCTGTCGTTCAGTGCAGCTTCCAGCGTAGCAACCAAATCGATGTTGGCTTGCAGATCCGCTTCGCAGTGGTTGAGCTGTTTAGCTAGGTTCTTGATTTCTTCCGCTTGTTCCGAGAGGAGACGCGTGAGTTTGACGTCCGGCCCGAGACTGATGCCATTCCCCATCATGTGTCCTGCTGGCGAGTGCACCGAAGTTAGAGAGGAGGAACGAGTCATCATTCCCGTTCCCGCGTTGCCCGGAGACTCGGGACGTGCTACTGCCGACGGTGTCGAGGTGCGGACTCCAGCTGATGTGCGAATCATGCTACCCGACGCACTACGGTCTCCAGCTCCGGCAGGTGTCGGAGGCGGAGGCATATTTGGCGGAGGAGTGGGAGGAGGTGCTTTCACCGCGCCCAAACTAGGGCGGTGACTTCTGAAATCCAACAAGCTAGCTTCATAGTCCGAAACACGTCGGCCGTTGATAGGCGAGCGAGCTCCATTCGCCAACGACGCAGCTGCAGAGGCCGCATCGTGTTCGCTCTGACTCTGCTGTCCAAAGCTGCTGCTACCATGAGAACGAACAGATCGAGTCTCCGAAGTCGCCAATCGGAGTTGTAGATCCTTGACCGAATGTTCGTGCCGTGTGCACTCGTCTCGAGCAGCTTGCAGTTCCGCCTTGAGCTTGCTCATATCCCCGCGAGTCTTGGAGAGCATGGATTTGTGAGATTCCAACTCGCGCTTCAAGATCGCATCCACTGGACTCGATGCAGCTGCACTACGCACAGCACTGTCATTCGATACGATCGACGCATCTTGCTGTTGCGCTTCAGCTTCCTGTCGGATCGTCTCGATCTCGATCAACAGGTGATCACGCTCTTCCTGCGTCTCGGTCAATGCAGCTTCCAGCGTGACCAAGGCATCGCTCGTGTCGTTCAACTCGGCACGCAGCGTTTCCACCTCGTGCGGATCGATGTCGACTTTGCTGAGTAGATCCTGATGCTTTGCCTGCAGCTCTTCGTACGCTTGTCGAGTCTCGTCCCGATCCCCACTGACGATTTGAAGATCTAGCATGGCTCGGTCCAGCTTGGCTGCATGCTCCCACTTGACTTTCTCGAGCATGCTAGCGTGTTCTGCCTTGAGCGCAGTGAGTTGCTCCTCTGCCTCCGTGGCCGAGCCAGAACGTTGCAGGTGCATCTTTTCAAGTTCAGCAGCATATCTGGCAGCCGCAGCCTCTTCAGCTTCACGTACAGCAATCGAGAGAGCAGAGAGATGCTGGGCCTCCAACTTCATCTTGAGCTCCTCCGATGATTTGGCCTGGCTGTCTCGCATAGCGTCGAGTTGCGATGCATGCTCTGCCCTGACTGCTTCCAGCATCTGCTTTGACTCAACATCCTGGCTGGCCAGCTTGGCTGTATCTTCGGCGACGATGCTCTCGTGCTGAGCGGCTTGTGCTGCGAGTGCCTTGGACAGGCTAGCGTCGGATTCTTCCTTGAGCTTGGCCAATTGACGTGCATGCTCTTCCCGTGCATCCGAAAGAGCTTTGCTGTGATCAGCGACAGCGGCGTCGTCGTCTTCATCTGCACCGAACCCACCAGGAATAGATCTGGACGTGACAATGGCAGCGGCAGAGGGAGCCTGAACCTTGCTAAGAGCCTCAGCATGTTGCTGAACGAGCTGCTCGAGACTCTTCTCGTGCTCCTGCTTGAGGCTCTCAACAGCCGAGGCATGCTCAGTCTTGAGCTGCTCGAGTTGAGTCTGGGCTGCAACGTTGGCGTCCTCCTGCTCAGCCACTGTTGCGGCATTGAGCTCGTCAGCAAGGCTGCGACGGCTCGATTGGGATCGAGTCACCTCCGCTCCATGAGTTGCTGCTGCGCCATTGGTCTTGGCATCAGCGAGTTGAGCACGCAGCTCCTCAATCTCTTGCGACATGTTGGCCATCTGATCCCTTGACAAAGCTTCGAGCGTCTCGTTCTGTTTGCGGAGCGTGTTGAGCTCTGCTGACATCGACTCGACAATTTCACGATGTTGGGTCTCTTTACGGGCCATGGATCGCATCAGGTCGTCGAGCATCTGCGTTCCGGTAGCGTTCCAGTCGGTTGCTGCTCCAGCTGTAGCGTTCTCCGCCATCAGGCGTCGAATCGCGTCGAGATCCTTTTCTGTCGCTGCCTCGACGCCGTTCACTCCAGCGCTCGCAGGAACGAGCAGCTTTGGATCGGTCTCGCTCTCCCGCGCCGTGACAGTATCCGTCGAGGTCCCATGCTCACTGCCTGCAACAAGCGTAGACTGCCTTCGACTCCTCAGTGACGTCTCCATCGCCCTTAACTCCTCATCGCTCTCCCTGAGCGCCTCTTGCAACCGCATCGTCTCCTTCTCGAGCGAAGCGACTTTGCGTTCATAGTTGACCGCCGAATCGGGCTCGAAGGCCTTGAGCGTGGGCGAAGGCGGTACAGAGCCAGTCAGCGACAATGGCCTGGGTCCCCTCAAGGTCTGCGTGAGCTGCGAAGGCAAGGCCGATGCAAAGTCCAGCGATGAAGACTGCGAGATGGAACGCGTGCGACCGTGAGCAAGCGGAGAGATCGCGTTGGACCTCGTCCCGTCGCTCTTGTTGTAGCCTAAAAAAGAACCGGATGATCGGCGAGTAAGACGGTTGGAAGATGGGCTAGGCGTCGGACGGTTGGTGGTGTCGATGAGAAGACTGCCGGGTCGGCCACGGTTGGTGATGCTGCGCTGATGATTGCCGCCACGTTGTGGGGTTCCGGGAGGTCGGTTCTCGTCTCCTTGTGAGTCGAGGACTTCGAGCTGCTCATCGTCGGCATCGTCCTTGTCAAGCTTGAAAGAGGAGTCGGACTCGAGATGCGAGGGTACGCCAGCATTGAGCTTGATCTCTGTGAGTTGCGTGTTGAGGTCGTTGATTTCGGAGAGAGACTCTTTGTACTTCTGCTTGGTCAACTCTAGCTCGGCACGAATGCTCGACTCGGAGTCGCGTACTGCACGCATCTCTTCTTGCAGGCTGGTCAGTCGTTCCTCGAGCTGCTTGGTCGCTGCGTCAGCCTCGACCCCAGCAGCAGCAGAGGTTGTAGCCGTATTGTGCGCAACCGCCCTGTCAGCAGCAGCGTGCTTGCCATCATGGTCGCCGCCATTAGCCTTGGCAGCAGCAGTAGCCACTTGAAGCTGCTTGATCTTCTCGGCGAGACTGTGCTTTTCCTGCTGATGTCCATCACTGAGCTGAGCGAGCTTCTGGTGCTGTGCAGTGAGGCCGTCGAAGCGCGAAGCGAGATCGTCGTGCTTAGCAGTAGCAGCAGCCAGACGACTCTCCAGGCTCTGCACCTCGACATTCCTTGCCTCGAGCTCAGCGGCAATCGCTTGCGTCTCTTTGCCGCTGTCGAGCAGCTGGAACCTTGAGAGCAAGTTGCGATAGTCTTGATCGCGTTTGTCGATGTCCGCCTCCATCTGTGCCACTTTGCTGGTGAGACTGGTGGCCGACTCTTCCGATGAGGCCAGCTTGGCCTCGAGATCGCGGATGTACTGCTCTGACGAGGTCTCAACCTGTTTGAGTCGTGCAAGCTCCTTTTGCAGTTCGGCCAAGACAGCCGAGTCGGTATCGCGGCGGGTGCCTACTGCTTCAAGACGTTGCTCCAACTGGCGAGCGTACACCTCGGCAGAAGACTGGCGCTCTTGTAATTTGGTGAGACGAGACTGAAGCTCTGCAAGGGTTGCCTCCTTCTCGTCGAGTTGCCTGCCGATGATCTCGAGCTGGCTGCTCTGCTGTTCGATCTGTGCTTGGCGTTCGTTGGCGAGGTCCTCGACATAGGCGAGTGCAGCTTTGGTCAAGTTGAGCTGACCCTCGAGGGCATCGATGGATTTCTCGTATTCGACAATGATGGGCTCAGCAGCACGGAAGAAGTCTTGCTCGCTGCCGTCGGACTTGCTTGGGTCGAGCTGAGTGCGGAGTTGGGTGACTTGGGCAGTGAGCTGGCTGTGTTTTTGACTGAGGGAAGCGTACTTGTCCTGCCATGCGAGGATCTCGCGTTGTGTGGTGCGGGTAGCATCCTTGTTGCGCGGGTCGTCGAGGTCGATAGCACCCTTGCCGAGGCCCTTGATCAGGCTGAGCTCCTTGCGCAATCGCTGAACAAGTGTCTGAAGGTAATCGACATCGTCCCAGCCGACTTCGACCTGGTTGAGTTGGGCCTTGTTCTTGATATTGCGTGCACGGTTGGCGTACTGGAGTGTGTTGACGGTCTCGCTGACGTTGTATTCGGTAGGCGAAACGCAAGCGATCATGAGGGTATGCGCGTTACCGCCGAGACTGTCTTGCAATAATCGGGTGAGCTTGCTGTCACGATAGGGGATGTGGGTGGCACGCTTAGCTTTGGCAGGATCGCCGAGGGCAGAAATGACGTTGCCAAGTGCATGCAATCCAGAGTTGATCGAGATACCTTCCTTGACACGATCGCCCTGTGCTGCTGTGCGCTTTAGACGCTCTGAACCTGCCAGATCGACAAAGTGGAACTTGCTGGTGACAGTGTGCCATTCGCCATCGAGAGAGGCACTGTTGCGGGAGAGCGAGTCGTCGGCCATATCACCTGCGACGCTTGCAGGGCGGAGAGCGATGGATGAGCTGCGTCCACCGAGGGCTGGAATGCCGCTGGGCGTCCTGCGACCGAAGCAAGGCGATGCAACACGACCAGCCATGGGAATGCCGGAAGCACGTGACAAGCTTGAAAGAGTTCTGCCAGCCGGCGTTGATCTGCCGCCAAAGCTAGAAGGAGGGGCAGCGTTGGGTGGTGGGCCTGAGCCGACCCACTTGTTCTGGGTGAGAGTGATGGAAAAGATAGCGTGGGATCGAGAAGACTGAGCATTCATATCGGTTTCGTTGGTTCTACGGACGGAGCTACCTTGCAAGAGGTAGTTCATGACCTCAGCGACATTGGCAACCTTGAGCTCACGGAGGCCGCTCCAGATGATCTGACCGTTTTTGCCTTCTCGGATCTGTACGTGTGGTGTGGACTCGCCATCTGCGGCATGAGCGAGCAAGTCGATGAGGTCTTCGTTGTAGATCTCGATAAAGCTGACTTTGGCGCTATACTGGGTGCCGGAAGCCTTGTTCTGAGGCATAGAGGAGAAGATGCGGGCAACAGCGCGTGGGATGATACCCATCTGAGGATCAGTAGAACGGCCAGCGACGAGACCCTCGTAGTCGACTTGGTCAGCGGCCGAGGTGCCCATGGTATATGACTTTCCACTCGAGGTCTGACCGTATGCGAGGATAGTGACATTGTAGCCCTGCATGAAGCGGTCGATGAGGGGTTCGGCGACAGTGAAGATCTCGGATTGACCATGTGCGGGAGAAAAGACACGATCGAAGGTGAAGGCCTGACGCTTTTCGCGGGTTGCGAAAGCAGAGGACGCGGCGCCTGGACCTGCTGGCGGTGCGGATCCAGGCTCGACAGTGACGCTGCTAGGGGAAGAGGCGGTGAGAATGCTCTTTTGCCATCTTGGCGGGATGCTGCTCTGATCTGCGGATGTGACGGGACGAATGCGGACGGCGACTTGGACTGAGGTCGTATTTGAAACGGCGCTTGCCTCTCTTGTTGTTGACATGTTGACGGAAAGAAAGAAGAAGAAGAAGAAGAAGAAGAAGAAGAAGAAGAAGAAGAAGAAGAAGAAGAAGAAGAAGAAGAAGAAGAAGAAAAAAAAAAAAAAAAGAAAAAAAAAAAAAAAAAGACAGGAGAGATAATATGGTGATGGTGATGGTGTGTCTAGTTGACAGTGTGGTGCGGCGGAAGCAGTTGGACTCAGTCGAAAGGGAAGAGGGAGGAGTTCTTCGAGGGAAGCTTGCGTGGCAGTGACTGCGGCTGAGTCGGACTGGACCGTGATGAAGCGATAACGTGCTCAATAGTAAATCGTCCCGGACGAAAAGAAGATGAAAGGCAACGCAAGGCTTGAAAAGCAAGAGAAAGAGCCGGCTGCGACGCACCGTTGCGCAGTATAATTGTCGTGGAAGAGGAAGCGGAGAAGCGGAAGCCAGCCAAGGGAGCAATGTGGAAGGATGAGACGAGCGACCGAAGAAAGTACCCAGGGGAAAGGAACCAAGGGGTCGTCGTAGAAGGGATGGTGGGGGTATCCAGGCAAGTATCGAGCAAACAAGGGCTCTCTTGTCTGCGCTGTCAGACTAAGTTGACTTGCGTGCGTGTTACCTGTTCCCTGTTCCGTGTTCCGTATTCCGTATTCCGTGTTCCGTGTTCCGTGTTCCGTGTTGCGCGTTTTGTGTTGCTTGTTAGATTTGGAGTTGCAATCATCTGTCAATTTAATGGCAGCTCTCGTGGCCGCGAGGACCGTGCGCGCGAGCTCCTCTTCAGAAAGAAAGCGCCAAGTTGAGCGCGCACTGGACACCATACTCTTGCCACCATCTGCCTACCAGCTCGTCTCGAGTATTCTGCAGCTCGCTCTGCAGGTAGTCGTCACCGAGGATGACATGGACAGCCATCAACCCGCATCCGCGGGTCGCTGACCTTGATCTCTCCATCTTGGATTATTGCACCTATGCATTTGTCGACATCAAAGTCAACCTCCGACCTGATGGAATTGCGATTGTCACTCTCGACCGAGCCGCGCAGTACAACACCTTCACTGGACCCATGTGCTTCTCGATGGTGTTCGCTTTCGAACTCTTTGATGCTGATGACCGAGTGAAAGTAGTCATCATCACTGGATCGGGCAAAGTGTTTTGTGCGGGCGCAGACCTAGCTCAGGGATTTGGAGCATTCGCAGACCATGCACAAGGTCATCGTGATGGAGGAGGGCAGGTTGCACTGGCCATCTTGCGATGCAGAAAGCCAAGCATAGCTGCGATTAACGGAAACGCAATCGGTATCGGTGTCACCATGACTCTCAGCTGTGATTTCCGCCTGGTCGCACAAGAGGCCAAAGTGGCCATTCCCTTTGTGCAAAGAGGGATTGCTATGGAGGCCTGTTGCTCGTATCTGCTTCCGCGCTTGGTTGGCGTGTCGAAAGCGATGGACATGGTTCTTTGTGGTGATGTCCGTTCGCCGAAAGATGAAAGCTATATGGCGCTCTGGACTCGCTCCCCCCTGCCGCAAGATGAGGTTTTGTCAGAGTCGCTCAAGTTGGCCGAGAAGTTGGCCAAGAACAGTTCCGTTTCGATGGCTTTGTGCAAAGCACAGATGTGGAGGCAGGTGCATTCACCAGAAGATGCGCATCTCTTGGAAAGCCAAGGGATCTGGGAAACGGCTCGGTTGGATGGTGGAGAGGGAGCCAACAGTTTCTTGGAAAAGAGGCAGGCTCGGTTTCAAGGCAAGATGAAGGATTTGGACAAGTTTGCTTTTTGGCCTTGGTGGAGACAAGCTGATGTCAACCTATACGGTCGTGGGCCTGAGGCTCTACGTGCTGCCAAGGAGAAGAGTAAGCTATAGGCGCATGGACATCTGTAAAGCAGTGCTCAGATACAATACAATACAGTAGAGTACAGATGGGCTTGGAGATGATAAATAAAATACACAAGGATGGGATCAGCTGCTGCTCAGTTTGAGGCCTCGAACCTAGCCTTGCTGGCTGCGAAGAGTAACTCCTGCTGTCTTTGCAACTCTTCTTGGCCCAAGCCGCTTTGTTCCATTCGTGTTGTTTTTCTCTCCCTATCCTTCTGGGCTGCCTTGTGTTCGAGGAGTACACTTTTCGCCTCTTGGACAAAGCCAGGGAAACCCAAATCGTCCAACGCTTTCAACACATGTTCTGGCGCTATCGTCTTTTTGCCATCCTTTTCGCAGACTTCGTTCGACTCTGAGGAAACAAGGTGGATGAATTCGACACAACATTCGATCAGCAGATCTCGAGTTTCTTTTGAACACGAGATTTCTTTGCGCAGCAGTTCGGAGATGAGTTTTTGAACGGTTGCTTTGGGCAACGAAAGTTCGTCGTCGGCTGTGCCGGGTGTGATTCGCTCGTCGTCGGACATGCTGGTGCAATATATGTGACGTGTGTGTTGGACGAGGATGTGTTGCTTGAGGACGAGTTAAGATGAATATTGGGGGTGAGAGAGTGTTAGATCCTGCTTTGTCACCTGAAAAGAGAGAAAGAAAAAAATCCAAAAGGGAGAGGCTGAAAATTGGGGGGAAATTTGAGCAAAGAGGCCAAGAGGGGCATTCGCTTTTATTCCGTCAAAACTCTGCTGCTGGAAAGCTTTGATTGGACGCCGCTTACACGGGCCAAATGCAGTTAATCCTAAGGTGAGCAAGGAGCACACAAAAGCGCAAAAAGAGAAAGAATTTCCATCAACCACCGGATCTCTCTGCTTTTCATCACCAAGCAATCGCACGCATCCACGCTCAACCTCGCTCACTCTCGCTCACTCTCTCGCTCACTCTCTCGCTCACTCTCGCCATCGCTTTGGCCGCTTGAATCGCTTGCATCAGCAGCAGTCGTGCGATCATAGAGATAGCAAGACATCTTGGCAGCCGGCTTAACATGTGCGGCAAGGCTGTGATCTCGTTGCTGATTAAAAAAGGGATATCGGGATTCAGAGATATCGGGAAGAGAGGGGGGGGGGAAATATCGGGGCCATCGGGCTTAATAAGGATTAGATAATCTTTCTCTGTTAGAGCTTTGCGGAAGTCTTGTCTTGGCGTCGGTGCATGGACCAGGGTTATGTTTACCTTCTTGGCCGTCACCACCTTTCTCATAGCATCGCGACAAGATGACCTCTCTCACCTACAAAGAAGCTCTCAACGAACTCGACGATCGTCGCATCAAATCCATCAAACCTCTCATTCCTCCTTCGATCCTCATCGAAGAATACCCTCTCTCTCTTGACGCAGCTCAAACCGTCGCTTCAGGTCGCAAGTCAGCCGAAGAGATCGTCAAACAGCAAGATGATCGTCTCCTCGTAGTTGTTGGTCCTTGTTCCATTCACGATGTTCGTTCTGGTCTCGAGTATGCACGTAAGCTCGCTGCTTATGCCGAGTCGGCAAAGCAGGATTTGCACATTGTGATGCGAGTCTACTTTGAAAAGCCACGAACGACTGTCGGTTGGAAAGGCTTGATCAATGATCCCAATCTGAATGGAAGCTTCCAGATCAATAAGGGCTTGAGGTTGGCCAGAGGTTTCTTGTTGGAGGTCAATCTTTTGGGTTTGCCTGCCGCAACAGAGTTTTTGGATACCATTTCTCCACAGTACACTGCTGATTTGATCAGCTGGGGTGCCATCGGTGCCAGAACTACCGAGTCGCAGGTCCACAGAGAGTTGAGCTCGGGCTTATCCATGCCGATTGGCTTCAAGAACGGTACCGATGGTTCCATATCCATTGCCGTGGATGCGATTAAAGCCGCTTCCAGCGAACACGTTTTCCTCTCTGTTACCAAACAAGGCATTTCGGCTATCGTCGAAACCAACGGTAACGACGCTTGCCATCTCATTCTACGAGGAGCCAACACTGGTCCCAACTACTCTCCGGAGCACGTCGCTTCCGTATCTTGCAAACTCACCTCCGCTGGTCTCCCAGCCCGTATCATGATCGATTGCTCCCACGGCAACTCAGAAAAGAAACACGAGAACCAAATCAAAGTCATCGACTCCATCTCCTCTCAACTCGCAAAAGGCGATCAGTACGGATGCAACATCTTTGGCGTCATGATCGAATCCAACCTCGTCCAAGGTAAACAATCAATCCCCCCTCAAGGTCCTACCGCCTTGAAATACGGTCAGAGCATTACAGATGCTTGTGTCGACTGGGATACTACTGTCCAGGCCTTGGAAAAACTGAGACAAGGTGTTAGGAAGAGAAGGCAGAGTCCCCAAGCGAGCAAAGTGTTCCAGGCTAGATTGAGCAGATGTTCGAGTAGTCAAGGTGTAAACGATCATTTCTTACAACAGCAGGATGGTGGCAAGGCGTTCAATGATGATGCGCTTGCTACGCTGGGTAACAAGTAGATCATTCTCATCTGCTCAAAAGTATACTCTTTTCCTTTCTCGGCATTGCAATCACACACGCATTTGCACATCGCTTCTTGACTGCATTCCCATCCATCCATCACTCTTGAGGCTAGGCAGCACTTGTACGACAAACACCGCACCTATCCGTTCTTCTAAACAATTCCCTTCCGCACACTTCATGCATAATATGTCCACAGTTTAAAATCACCGCTCTCTGTCCTTCTCTGAACTGCGCAATGCAGATCGGACACTTGTCCACTCGTACACCTACGCAGCTGAGTTTCTGTTTGACTTTCCCCTCCTTTGTGACACGACGCGAATCGCATTCGATCATGCCGACGGAGAGGGACGAGAGTTGCGAGGCAGATAAAGACGTCCGTTTCGCTGGTCCGAGGAAGTCTGAGATTGCACACAGTCGGTCGTAGCTGCGTCCGCCAGAGGAGGGATGATCGAGTGAGGCGACCAGTAGGTCAAAGTCTGTTAAGCCTAAGGAGCCATCTCGATGAGCAGTGGGGCGGGTGTTGGTGCTGCTCCATGGTTCGCCTTCGGCTGCCGGCGGAGAAGCAGCAGTGGTGATGGTGGTGGGAGAAGTGGTGTCTTCGACAGCGGCTGCAGGGGGAGCGTTGGTGGTGGAGGTGCTGGATGTTGATACGATTGCACTGGTTCCTTCAACGGTAGGTGAAGATGACACGGCTTGACTCAAAGATATGCCCGCTGTTGACACCGGCACACGCCGACCATTTTGCCCTGTGCCACCAGAACCAGAGACAGATCTCGCAGTGGGTATACTAGGCAGCATCCTCCTCACTCCTGACCCACTCGCCCCTGATACTGATCCTGATCCACTACCAACCTCTTCCCAAACCCGATCTCTAGGCCGCGTCGGCAATGGAGGAGGAGCCATCGCTCTTTCCCCACCGTCACTTCCGCCGCCTCCATTCCTCGCTTCGTCGCCACTAATCCCCAACCCACGCACAAAGTTCGGTAATGCCGGCAGTGGTCTCGCTCCCGGCTGTGCGCGCACCGCACCACTATTCGATCTCGGCAAATCACCTTCCTCCGCTCCATTGTTCCTTCTCGCTACCTGAGCATCAAAGCTACTTGAATTCGAATATCTCCCATCCCGTCGTGCAAACGCAGCAGCCTGAGCAGCAGCAATGCTCGCTCCGAGCCCGTTCCTGCTCCCACTGGCAAAAATCTGTTCTGGTGTGATGAGCGGGGATTTCGGTGGTCGCATAGGCGGTGTGGTTTCAGAAAGATCGTGCTCGCGTCGAGTGAGGCTATCCATTGCTTGTGTGCGTGGTGAACGGGGTAGCGGTCCGCCTTGTACAGCAGACGGTGCAGTGGTAGGCGGTGCAAGGAGAGAAGCTCGAGCATTGCTTGAGACCTGAGATGAAGGCCGATGCAGAGACTCGGACGTCCATCCGGAAGCTGCTTCTTCGATCTGTCGCGCCAAGGCTTCTATCGATGAAGACGAGGGTACATGAGAGTCATCGCTGTTCTCAGATCGACGGAAAGGATTGGTGTAGGTTCGCCTGGACGGTAGGGTGGGTGGTGGAGGCGGCGGTCTTCGCTGTATGCCACTGACTCCTATACTCCCGTCAGCGCTTCCGCTACTTTGGGTACGCGAGAAACGTCGAAATACAGTCGGCTCAGCCTGGCCCATCCCTTCGCCCTCACCTGCATTCGAAGTATTGCTCTGGTTGGACTCTGACGCTGGCATCCTTCCGAACTCTGGCGCTGTCTGCTTCGTGGTGGATCCCGGGGTTTGTGACTCGTGACTTGGCGCCTCGAACCGAGAAATCATAGCAGAAACCCTGCTCCCAGGCGCCCGTGCACCAAGGCGTTGCGGCTCCAACGGCGCAGGTAGCCTTTCCCTCTCCTCCGAGGGGATGTAGCTCAACCAAGAAGGTGCTACACCTGGACCTGCAGATGCTGAAGGCGGGAAGTGTCGAGTAGCATCCGTGATGGCTGGTAGACGACCACGTGGCAACGGAGCAGCAGATGAGCGCGGGTTCACAAAGGATACTGGTCTAGTAGTCGATGCTGCCCTTGACAGTGCGGATGGAGGAGAGGGCAGTGGGCCACGGCATGGCACTTCTGGACAATTGCGAATGATTGCTCCTGAGCGAGAGAGGCGGTTTGTTGGAGGAGGTGGACGCTCGTTCGTGACCGAAGCAGTGTTGTTGCCGACTTGAGAAGCGGATGAGGCAACATCGGTGGGCTGCTGAAGACGGCCGCCGAGCTCAGCACGAGACATGGCGCTGGGTGGAAGCATGGACGTAGGTCGACCGGTCTTGGCAAGAAGCCGTTCAAGAGCGGCGAGATAGTTTTGCCTCTGTGAGGTAGCATTAAGCTGTGCGATTTGTGCTAGAGCTTCATCATGTGCTTTTTGCTCTGGTGGCATGGATGACGACGACGATGACGCTCTGGCCACGTCGGAGCTCGCGGATGGAGCAGCAGCAGCTTTGCTTTCGGCACTTGACTTTCGGCGCAGAGTCGATGCTCTGGAAGAGGCCATCGAAACGTTGTCGTCACGTCGTGACGGAGCATCCTGAGAGGTCGACAGCTCTGCCTTGACAGCGTCAGAAGTGCGTCGCACGGTGTTCGCCGCTGGGGCTTCTGTCTCTCTCTCACTACGACTCGACAAGCGACGATGGCCGCTGAGCGGGCGTCGGCCTTCCAAGGCATCCGACGGCAGAGCCTGTGTCGCAGCCGCAGCAGCAGCATGAGCCGATAAGCTTGCCGGCATTTGGCTCGAGGGTCCATCAATAAGCGACTGACCGAACAGACCTTTGAGGCGGTTGCCGACGTCAGTTCGTCCGTAGCCCAACGGCTGCAAGAGCGGGTCAAGCGAAGCTCTTCTCCCGCTCATTGAGGGAGGGACCATACTGGCGAGGAGAGGCGGACCTGTTTTTGTGAGCGAGACCGCATGGTGGCGGTGAGTCACGTCATTGCCGTTGCCGAGCGGAGCGGACGTTGGAAGACTCGCGGTCAATCGAGCGAAAGAAGCTGTGATGTCGTCTGCATCGGAGAGATCACGGCTGCTAGATGTGTCTTCCTCAAAGTCTCCTGCGCGTGTGTCAGGTTGCTGTTGTGCGGTCGGTGCTGGATCCCTCTCGGGCAGCTTCCCCTTTGCTTTCAAGCTTAAGCTTCGAGTAGGAGCATCTGAACCCGAGCTCTGAGCTTCGACGATACGAGTGCTTCCGCTCTTCGGCCGAGGCACCGGTGCCAAGCTCCGTCTCGATACGGAGGATTGAGTAACATCGTCGTCCAGGATGCTCAGGTTCGGCGCTGAAGAGGTGTTCTGAGCATGGACCGGCTTGTGAAAGTTGACGAAAGGGTCATTCGCTGGACTTTGTCCTCCTCCAAAAGTATCGCGAGCCGATGCTCCGCGGAAAGCTCGGTGCTGCTCATCATCTTCATCGCTCGACGAGTAGTGATCTAGTAGTTCATCCGTATCTGTCGAGTCTGACGAGGAGTCGGAGAAAGCAGCACCGCCGCGTGAGCGTCCAAGGACCAACGGAGGAGGTGCTTTGGGCAAAGCTTGGTCCATCAAAGCGAGATTAACTGGATCCGGCACCTTGCGAGCTGCGTTGACTTGTCTGCGATGCGTTGGTGATGCATGAGTGAAGGACCCTGGCATCACATCTTGATCGTTGTCATCTCCGTCACTGTCGGAGAATGGTGGCTCACGCAAAGCTTCAAGTCTTGCCGCTGCTTCTTCCTCCCTCTTGCGCAATGCATCGAATGCAGCGGCTTCAGAAAGCCACTGCTCGATGGAGGAATCAGATTCGGCGCCGTCATCTTCGTCGTTTAGAGCTGCCGAAGCGTCGCCGACTGCGTCGTCTTGCCTGACAGGGCCTGCAGCTTCGCCGCGGCCCATATATGGAGCAACTACCTCGCCTTCGCTTGACCATGTGTCATGAACGGCAGGCGGAGGAGCCGAAATGACATATAGCGTATCTTCAGGTCGGTGGCTGAGGGGAAGATGCGAATCGCTGTCATGTCCTCGAACGGCTTGTCCTCCATGCAGACGACGACCAATCAGGCCGCTAAGCGATGCGCGATTGCTGCTTGCTGAAGCAGCTTGGACATCTGTGGGTCGTGGGTCCGAGTTAGTCTTTCGATGGCCTGAGATGCGACGGGGAGCTGCTGACGAGGATGACTGCTGAGCGGACACGGGGCGTCTAGGTGCGGGCGCATTGCTGGACATGGGCGGCAAGCCGAGACGAGGCTCGTTTGCAAGCATTCTTCTTCCGCTCGTGTCGGTCTCGACGGGGGCTGCGCTGATGCAAGGTTGTTCGGGTTGAGCTGGAGCAGCTGATGGGATCTGGAATTGGCTAGCTTGTGATTCGGGTTGACTTGTTGTGTTTGGAGAGGGCAGAGCTGCGCTGGTGACAGGCTCTAGGGATGGCGTCTCAGCGGATGGTGCTTCCGTGCTGTCCAGAGGTCGAGCTGGCTGTTCTGTAGTGACTTGAACATTGCCTGCTTGCTCAGCAGTATCTTGTTCAGTCAAAGCTCCGTCATCTGTCGGAGGTGCTGCAGTCTGCTGACTCGCTACGATAGGTGCTGACAGCGGCTGATCAGCTTCCACTGCTGCAATAGCCTCTGCTTGGGTCTCGACTTGAGCATCTACCGTCGCAGGCGCTACCACATGTGCGCTTTGCTCGTCATCAGTTGCTTCCTCTTCTGCGCTCTCGTATTGCTCTTCCATCTCCCTTGCTCTCAGCGCAGCAGCCCGTTCTCTTGCCACTCTACGCTGCTGCTCTCTGAGCATCCTCACCTCAAAGCTGAGTCCGTTCTGGATGTCTGCCTCCCATGCCCGCCTCTCCTCCGTCAACTCGACACTTTCGTCCCCGCTGGTAGCAGAGGCCGAGCCAGTCGAGGCGCGACTCGATGGTCGACTGACAGTGGTTTCTTCTTGCGACTCTCTGGGCGGAGAGTCATGTTCATCATCGCTCACGAAGGGTGGTGGTGGACTGGTTGGAATGCGAGCATGTGGCTGTGAACCAATCAACTGAGCGTCGTTTGCTGCTTCAGCGTGAGTTGGGGCAAGTGGAGGTGTTGGAGGTCGAGGTGCACCTTCTGGGAAGGGTGGAGGAAGGTCGTCCGTGTCTGCTTCTGTGATGTCGTTCCAGACGTTTTGGCGATGTAGAGATGTGATCCGGCTGGCTCTGGAAGCAGGTCTGCTCGATTCTTGTCTTGCTGCCGCAGACTGTCTTGTTCGCCTCTGCCGTGTGGTGGTCGTGGAAGGTGGTGTCTGCAGATGCGAGGTGGAGGCCAAGGTTGGAGTCTGGTTGCCGCTGTAAGCTCTTCGCATGGCCGTGTGCTGCGCTGGTGATGGAAGAAGCAAGCCGGTGCCCACTGGAGCGTCATCGAGCGTGGTGTGATAGCGACGACTCGAGTCCAACAAGTTGGATGACGAAGCTGCAGCGTTGCGGCCAACACTTGATGTGAGGGCATTCTGAGTAGCTCCTGCTAGCGCTGCAGCTGCTGCTTGTGCGTTCTGTGCCTTCTTCTGTCGGAGCTTGTGCTTCTTCTCCTTGGCTGCCTGCCTCCTTAAGAGATTGTCTGGAGCTGTAAGTGTAACCCTGCCAAAGTGAGATTCGAGATTTGTAAGATAGGGCGCATCAGAGGCATCCACTGCCCTGTTGTTGGCCATGTTGATCGCAGTAGCAGATGTGGCTGCGGATGTCGAAGCGGCATGAACATCAGTCGACCTAGGGAGCAAGGAGCCGGAGGAATGAGCATGTCCTGCGAGGCTGTACATGCGCGAACGGTTGGCGCCGTTGGCTTGCGTCCGATCAGCTCTTGGTTGCGTCGGTGGTGGCATGTTGGGGGTAGATCATGCCGAGTGAGCAGCTGGACCAACAGGTTCCAATTTACGGATGACGGTGCTGTGCTTTGATTCGCTCCCGTCGAGCACTTTGCTGGTTAGCGGGTCATGATAGAGGCTATCGGATGATGGTTAGAGATGATGGAGTAGAGATGATGGAGTAGAGAGAGAGAGAGAGAGAGAGAGAGAGAGAAAGAGAGAGCAGAGATGTCTGAGCGAATGTGCTGCCAAAGTCGGGTGGAGGCCGAAATTACTGGTTCGAGCGTGGGAAAGTAAGACACTCGATGAAATCACACCAACCAAGCGGCAATGCCGAGATATGACTGTCTCTATCTTGGCTTCGGCTTCTCCGATGGTTCGAGCTAGATGGAGGAGGAGGATGCTGTTTTCGGATGTGATCCGAACGTGCCCTCTCCTTGCCCTTTTGCCCTTTTGCCCTTTTGCCTCGTTCACATCGGGCGTTTGCCTTTTCAGCCATTCGGCTCTTCCGAGAGGCGCTGACAACCCAAGGATCGGCCTTTCCGACGACCATTGGCAATGCCGTGTTCAGACAATCGCAATCACGCACGCCAGGCCTTAGACAGTTCCGCTAGCAAGGAGAGGCCTTTCGTTGGTATCGCAATGAGAGAGAGAGAGAGAGAGAGATCAGTAGAGTAGAGTAGAGTAGAATTACAAGATACCGTTCTGCGGCTCTTTGCCTGGCTGTGACAATGTCATCTCGCCTTGACAGTCGCCGGTTTGGCAGCTGTCTTCTCGGCCGTAGTCGCCTCTGTCGTCTTCTTGCCACCAGTCGCAGTCCCCGCAGAAGCAGCTTTAGCAGCTTTAGCAGCACGCTCTTTGGCCAACTCGAATGACTCAACATATGTACTTGGGAACCAACCGATACGACCATCTCTCGTCCTTCCTCTCCACCAAGCGCTCTCGGCGCCAGTCTGAGGATCATGCTTGCTCAGCACCGCGACAATATCGTTTGGCTGCAAGCTCAACTCCAATGGATCAGCCGCAGGGTAAGCATAGAGTGCACGAACAAACGTCAACTTGCTCGGATCGATCGCTTGGTCATTCTCATTGGCCGAGATCATGCCACCTCCATGCTGTCCTGGCAACATACCCGCTTGGCCTGGATTGCGATTTTGCTGCTCGAGACGTTGGCGTTGAGCTTCTTGTTGGGCGGTGATGAATCGAACAAGCTTGCCCATGAGGTAGGGAAGACCGATGACGGCCATAAAAAAGACAATCAGAGGTCGCTTACTGGGTCGAGCTGCTTTGCCGGCTTGACCGCTGGGAGCGTGCGCTGCGAACCCTTTGAACTCGTGGGCATCCAGCTCGACAGGCGGTGCTTTGCCAACGAGACGCAGACCGAGGTTCTTGAGGTATCGTGCGAGGGCAAAGATGCTGAGCACTTGTCCGAGGTATGTGCGAAGGTGTGCGAATTGGTCGGCGACACCAACCATGGCGAAGAAGCTGCTGTGTGTCGCCATGAAGGTGCTTTCCAGCATCTGAGCGAAGCCACCGAAAGCACCGACTATGCTGCTGATCAGTTCGAATGTGGCTTGTGTTCCTGCTTCCATTCGTTGTGTCAGCGATACATCGCCAGGTTGTCCTGGCATACCAGGCATGCCTCCCATCCCCATGCCCATACCCATGCCCATACCCATTCCCATTCCGTAGCCTCCTCCGTAACCACCACCACCGTATCCGCCGTAGCTTCCGTAACCACCGTATCCACCGTATCCCATGCCGCCCATCGTTCCCATCCCTCCGTAGCGCGAGTAAGGTGAGCCATACGATGTGCCGTATGTTGAGCCCATGCCGCCGTATGTGGATCCAAGTCCGCCCACAGTGCTGCGATATGGAGAGTTGTATGCAGATGTGCCGTATGCATCCGAGCCGGCGGTACTACTCAGTGTCGACGGGCGATCAGGCAAAGCTGGTGCAGATGAAGTGGTCGTAAGCGCCGTCGACGACGTTGTGGATGGCGTTGTGGATGGCATGCTGCTGGAAGAGAGGGCAGCGCCTGCGCGTTCCCAAGGTTTCGGTGGTGATGGCATCGATAGAAAGCCGTGTTGCTATATGTCAAGACTGTAGGTCAAAAAGCCCAAGTTGGCGCTGATCGTGTCGAGTATATGTTCCTATGAGGCGATCGTGTAAATGATGTATTGATGAAGAGGTTACGAAGGTGAGGATGGACGTGATGGATCAAGGAGAAAGGTGTTGCTCAATACGAAAGTGTGGGGATGATTAGCCAAGCAGGCAAAGCAGGCAAAGCAGGCAATTGAAGATTTACAGGTAAAACGCGACTGTTTAGGAGCTACTAGCAAGCTCAACTTTTCAGGCGTATAACAGTTGTTATGTTTTAATTGATAGGTGCTACAATGTGAACATATATATACTTGATTGCTATCTTCAGCCCATACTAGATCATAATGAACTATTCTTCATATCACCCCTGTGTTGTCGCCTCCTGAGCATTGCCATCTCCTGAGTGTTATTGTTGAAGTACTTATATGTCCCACATGCATATCAATGCATGTTGACATGCAGCTCTGACTCACCAGTGTCTTGCTTGTGCTCTGCGAACCACATGGTTCAGTTTAGGATGCTGATGCATCTTCAACTCCCCCCCTTGATGGCATCATCAATCCTATTTGGCGTGCAATCCGAGATGTGGCCAAGCCCTTTAGCAGCTTTGTGAGGATGTCTGCAACGTTGTCTGTTGTCCTGACGAAATCGATTTTGACTTCTCCTTCCTGAACATGGTCTCTGATGAAGTGGTACCTTGTGTCAATGTGCTTCAACTTCCAGTGCTTGGTGGGGTCTTTGCTTACCTGGATACATCCTTGACTGTCTGTCCACAATGTCGGTGGATGGGCCTCAACTCCCAGGTCCCTGAGAAGGTATGAGAAGAAAAGAGCCTCTCTCATTGCCTCCAAAGCAGCTACGAATTCAGCCTCGACTGCTGACAATGCCACGCACTTTTGAACATGTGATCTCCAGCTAACCGGGCACCCATACATGTATGTTACTCCCCCTGATGTGCTTCTTCATCCGTTCGTTGGGTCTGATGCCCAATTTGCATCAGTATATGTAACGATTTGCTGTCCCGAGTGTTTGTTTGCTTCATCTCCAAAGAGTAACTTATATTCGCTGGTTTGATTGAGGTACTTCACCAAATGTAATGCTGCCTTCCATGCATTGCTCATTGGGCTCGACATGTATCTTGCTAGTGTTCCTACAGTGAATGATATGTCAGGCCATGCTGTGTTAGATACCCATAAAAGCTGTCCAACTAATTCTTGGTACTGTTTTGCTGCCAATGAGTCGCACTTGTCGCCACCCGTAATACCTGTCAGGCTCTGCATCAGTACCCATGACTTCAGATCAGTTGTTTGTAGCCACTTTCTCACCATAGCCTTAATGTAAGCCATTAGATCAAGTGTCATCCTTCTCCATATTCTGTCTCGATCTATCCTTACACCTAAGAACTCCTTCACAGGTCCTTTATCTTCCATTCCCCATTTTGCCATTATCTCATCCTTAGTGCAGCTTACCTCTGTGCAACTGGGTGATGTTATAAGCATGTCATCTACATAGGCTGTGATGATTGTCATGCTATCACCTGTTCCTCTTGAGTATAGGCATGGAGCACTCGGCATGCAATAGAAACCTATCTTTCATAGGTGTGAGTCTAGCTCCATATTCCATTCTCTACCCAATTGCTTTAATCCATATAGGCCTTTCATTAGCTTTAGGGCCTTTCCAGGGGGTACCTTCATTCCAAGCAGTGGCTTTAAGAAGATACTATGATGTAACGTCGAGTTCAGGTACACCTGTTTAACATCGACACAATCTACTTCCCAGTCTCATACGGTTGCCATGGCTAGAACTCCTTGAATTGACTGGATGGGTGCTACAGGGGCGAAAACTTCTGTGTAATCAATACCCTCTCTTTGAGTGAAGCCCTGTGCCACTAACCTTGCTTTGAACTTGGTTGGGATTAGGTTGGCATCCATCTTTATCTTTAGTACCCAATGCGTGTCAACAGTGTTCATACCCTTCGGGAGATCGGCGACTTCCCACATGCCCATGGCCTTAAGCCCGTCCAGCTCCTTATGCATTGCTTCTTCCCAATGTTTCTTGTCCTCTCCGGATAGCACCTCACTAATGGTTGGGTCCAGGTTCTTTCTTTCATTGTCATTGGTCGCCATAAATCCATAAAGTTTATTATCATTCCATCTGTTGGCAATGGTATTGTGTTCAATCACTTCCTTGGCAACTTCATCTGAGGTCTGTCCTCCATCTGTTTCATCAACATTATCCATGTCCATATATTCCTGCAATGCTTCCTCTTCCCTCTTGTCAAAAAGGTTCTTGTCTGTGTACCTCAGATTGCCAAAGTCTTCCTTGTTTGTTAACGCTGGTGGTGGCTGTGTAATCACTGGTCACCACTCCATCCTATCGGACCAGCATTTGGTCTCCATGAACTTTGCTGAATTGCTCCAGAAAATATTTGGTCTATAATCTGGGCTGTAGAAGAGCCAGCCTCTTCTCTCCAAACTATATCCTAGGAATATGGATGCTACAGCCCATTGGTCAAGCTTCTTATTGTCTCTTTTAGCTTTAGGAATATTTACCCATGATAAACATCTGAACACACATAGAAGCTTCATAAGCCGTTCTGGCGATCTCCCAAACATAGCCTGATATGGGACCTCGCCATCTATACTCAGGGTGAGATTCATCTTGAATGCTGCGGCCCATATTGCATACGGCCAGAACCTCTTTGGCAATTGTCTCTGCATGAGTAGGGCCCACATCTTCTCACTTATGCTCCTGTTCATCCTTTCTACATGTCCATTCTGTCTGCTATCATATCCTACTGTCATTTGCCACTCTATGCCTTTATCATGTGCCCATTCATGGGCATCATTACTCCTCCATTCAGTACCTTGATCCAACTGTATTGCTTTTAAACTCTTTCCTGCCTGTGTCTCTAGATACACAATTATTGATTTTAGCTCCTTAAAAGCATGGCTCTTTTGTAATAGAGGTCGTATGTACACATACTTGCTGTGGTCATCAATCAAGACCATAGTGCACATGTACTCTGTTGCATGCGATGAATCGACCATCAAGTCGATATGAATGAGGTCAAGCAGAGAGACAGACCTTTCTCCACCACCCTGACCCATTCGAGCTGCCGTGCTTTTAGCTTGGAAGCAATGCTCACATGTCAAAGTGGCATTTGGACTTAGGTTTGCTGGGTGGTCACCTTTTAGATGGTTGATGATGGCTCTTGTTTTGTCTCAGCCTGGATGGCCTAGACGCTCATGCCATAATTGTTGTTCAGATATCTTGACTTTGTTCTCAATATGCTCGAAATCTTCATCAACACCTTCAAATAATGATGCTGATGTGATCATTGTGTTTTCCTGCCATGTGTCGCCTTGGAACTCCAAAAGTCCTCACTCATGATTCTTGGTCATCTTGAGTAACATGCCATTTGCTAGGTATATTTGCCCTCCGGTTGAATCTAGTATCACTCGTGCTCCTTCATCTGTCAGAGAATTTGTTGACAATAGGTTAACATTGAGATGCTGAACATACAATACATTTTGGAGAGGAACATCTCCGGTGTTTGTTGATATGCTAGCATCTCCTATAGCAGTCACTTCCAGAACCTCGCTTCCAGTGGTGAGTATGTGCTTTCGGCAGGTCCTCGGACCAATGAGCATGCTATAGTCATTTACCATGTGATAGCTGGCACCTGAGTCTAAGATCCAATGAGAAGTCTCTTTTGAATCTAAAGTGCTCAGCCAACTATGTGTGAGGGAGCACCAGATCTCCTATTTGAGCCTGGCAAGGGGAGAATTTTCTGGTATAGTCACTGATGCATCGCATTGACTGATCCCATGTCCAGGTCTTTTGCAGACCCAACATCGAAGCCTTCGGGGTCTGGCAGCGACCTTGGCGCTGGTGCTGTTGGCATCCTTTTCATCCTTCTCATCATCTCTGGGTGTCTCATTCTGGTTGTCGCTGCCGGTGACTCTGGCACTAGCTTGGCGGGGATCAACCCTCAAAGCAAGGTTGTTCTCGATCACCAATTGCCAGATGGATAGGGCGGTGGCGAGGGCACTGAAACTAAGCTGGCTTATGGTAGCAACAGTTTCTTTGTACATTGGGTGTCAGATGGTGCACTTTTGTAGATTTGAAAACAGGGTGTCATCAGCAAATGGCTTTCCCAGTAAGCTGCTCTCCATTTGGATGGTTCTTATTTCTTGGATGAGCTTTCATACATCTGAGTTGTACATCCTGAGTTCTCCTAGCTGAGTGATCAATGCAATACGACAAGATATGGCAGTGGCCTCATTGGTGAGTCCATTTTCAATCTTCTTCCATACATTATGGAACATATGATGTTCCCTGATGATGTCAAGAATCAAGTAATTTATGTTAAACTCTCCAGTGGTATCAATGGTACTGTGTAGTGCATTCGTTAAGGCATCATCGAACGTGTGGTTCCACTTGGGATGTTTCTTGTCATATGCTCCATTGAGATGCTTCATAGCATGGGGGACACATCATAGGAAAGACTTGATATGGGCACTCCAACTATAGTAGTTGTGTGATGTGAGTTTTGGAACTGGCTCAAGTAGCTTCACTAGGGTACGAAAGTTGTATTGCTTGCCATCATTGTCGTCATGGTTCGAGTCAGAGTCAGTTTCTTCATTGGCATTGTCGTCGATCGCCTCGGTGTCTGACTCATTGGTGGCCTCGTTATCAGCGACACACAGTTGTGTTGCCTTGCCCTTTCTTCCTCCTTTGACCTTGCTTGCTACAGCTTGAGCTTCGGTTTCTTGTACCATGTTATTGATGGTCCTGGCTAGCTCAGTCGGTAGAGCTTCAGACTCTTAATCAATTGAAGATTTACAGGTAAAACGTGACTGTTTAGGAGCTACTAGCAAGCTCAACTTTTCAGGCATATAACAGTTGTTATGTTTTAATTGATAGGTGCTACAATGTGAACATATATATACTTGATTGCTATCTTCAGCCCATACTAGATCATAATGAACTATTCTTCATATCACCCCTGTGTTGTCGCCTCCTGAGCGTTGCCATCTCCTGAGTGTTATTGTTGAAGTACTTATATGTCCCACATGCATATCAATGCATGTTGACATGCAGCTCTGACTCACCGGTGTCTCGCTTGTGCTCCGCGAACCACATGGTTCAGTTTAGGATGCCGACGCATCTTCAACTCAGGCAAAGCAGGCAAAGCAGGCAAAGCAGGCAAGCAGGAATTGGCCGGCTGAGCTCAATGAGCGACCGAGCTGAGACTCGTTTCACGCCTCGAAATGCTCAGCTCTGCTCTTGGCACCGGTAAAAGGCAGTCGAAGGAGGCCGCCTTTTTCCAAGCCGATGATGATGATGATGATGATTTTGTCGGTGAATGTTACATTTTAGGTGCGGATTCTGTCGGCCGGATTGAGACTTGCGGTGGAGAATGCAAGGCAGGAGCCGCACGCAATGTCCAACTTGGACCCTCTTTGACCAACACATATCCGCATGTAGCCGCGTTACCATCACCTCGGCACGTCGAATACCTTGACATCCACAGTAGACCACGCTACAGGAGCGCGACCTCTGCTACAGCATCCTCCGACAGCAAAACGGCACTCGACCCATCGATCAGGCGAGGAAGGAGCATGAGCTCTTGCAGTTGAAAGCATCTACAGCAAGGTGCTTCGAGCTTGGAACAGACCAGCGTAATACGAGCAAGTCGGTCAGTGCCACTGTTTTAGCCACCAAGGGCACCTATCCCATCGCCACATTCCCTTCTCAGTCGACCGCAGCACGTGGTAATTCGCACGATCTCTTCTGGCTTCAATCTCTCGGCTCGCGTGGAAGGAGCTGCTGAAGACCAGCTTTGGGGATAAAGAAGCCGGCCGACTGCCTCATCGCAGCCCTACATCTCGCCTCTCACCACAATGTCGTCCCTGAACAGCACCAGCATGCTCTCCGAGAGACAAAAAGACGAGCTGCACAAATCCATCCTTGACTATTTCAAAAGCAACAATCTTCACGAATCCTACGCCACACTCCTCCGTGAATCGGGCCAGGAAGGCTTTGTTCCTGACCCAAAAGCCAAATATGCCGGTCTACTCGAAAAGAAATGGACCTCTGTCATCCGACTGCAAAAAAAAATCATCGAGATGGAATCCCGCCTAAGCTCACTGCAAGAAGAGCTTGCCTCGGCGCCGTCGGCCAAACGATCTGCATCCCTGAACGACTGGGTACCGCGTGGATCAGCAAGGCATACAATGACAGGTCATCGCTTACCCGTCACCAAAGTTGCGTTCCACCCTATCTTCAGCCAGGTCGCGACTGCTAGTGAGGATACGACGATCAAACTTTGGGACTGGGAGACGGGGGACTTTGAAAGGACGCTCAAGGGGCATACCAAGGCGGTACAGGATGTTGATTTTGATAGCAAAGGGAATTGGGTCCTTAGCTGTTCCAGCGATCTTAGTATCAAAGTGTGGGATGCGAATAACGATTATAGGAACACAAAGACCTTGCATGGTCACGATCATAGTGTTTCAAGTGTAAAGTTTTTGCCCGGCGATGATATGATAGTTTCCGCTAGTAGAGATAGGACCATTAGGATCTGGCAGTTTTCTACTGGCTTTTGTACCAGGACCATACATGGGCATGCCGAGTGGGTTCGTTCTGTGATACCTTCCGATGATGGAAGGTGGTTAGTCAGTTGTTCGACCGACCAAACAGCCAGGATATGGGAATTGTCAACCGCAGAGACAAAGGTGCAACTTCGCGGTCATCAACACGTCGTTGAAACGGCCATCTTTGCCCCACCTTCTGCCTATCCCGCGATTCGAGAATTGACGGGATTGGTCACACCGAAAGACAGCTCAGCAACAGCACCAGGCCAATTTGTCGCTACAGGATCCAGAGATAAGGCTATAAGGATATGGGATAATGCCGGCCAATGTCTCAAAACCCTCATCGCTCATGACAATTGGGTCAGGGGTTTAGCCTTCTCCCCGAATGGGAAGAACCTGTTGAGTGTATCAGACGATAAAACGGTGAGGGTATGGGATTTGAAAACAGGTCGATGTACAAAAACCATCGATGCACATGCACATTTCATCACCAGTGTCGCTTGGGGTAAGGCCAAGATCGAAGCTCAGATACCACCTGCTCAGGATGGCGCCAGTGCCGTTATTGGTGCAGGAGCAGGGGGAAGCAATGGACAACTCAAGGCAGGCGAGTCAAGGACGGTCAATGTTGTTGCAACGACGAGTGTTGACTTGACGGTGAAAATATGGGCGCCATAAGCGCAAGCAAGCAAGAAGTATTCGAGTTTTTGTTGGTTGGTTTCTTTTTTTCGTTTTTTTTTTTTTTTTTTTTTTTTTTTGTTTCCCCCTAGACAGTAACACAATGATCTGTTTTGATACCCTCGTTATCGTACCTTTGCCACACTCTGTTGTGAATCATACGCTCTTTTTCGAATGACAGGCTCTTTTTTTTTCCAACTGAACTTACACCCTTTTGCGTGTGGTTGGCTGCAAAGAGATGGAATTACGCCATCACCGAGATCGGCTGAGGCTTTTTATGCGATGACAAAGAACATCTCGGCTTAAGCAGCGTTCTTGCCGCGGACATAGGTGTTAACGACCTCAGTGAAATATTTGCCGTGAGCCTTGGCGATTTTAAGGTCGAGCTCAGGAGGTTGGCGGCTACCATCACCGCCTGCAATCGTGCCGGGACCGTAAGCGCTAGCACCGTGGATCTCGGTCAAGTTGGACTGATCGGGAGAACTTCGGTATCCGTGAGGGACGTAATTGATGCCGTGGTGGACAAAGAAGGGGATGGTAGTGAGGTGTGTAGTCTCATTGCCGCCGTGCTGGGAAGCGGTGGAGGTGAAGGTAGAGGCGAATTTGCCAATCAGAGCACCGGAAGCCCAAAGGCCACCAGTCTTGTCAAAGAATGCAGAGACCTGTGCCGGGGCGCGGCCGTAACGGGTGGGAAAGCCGAAGATGAAGCCGTCGTATTCAACGAGCTTTTCGGGAGTAATTACGGGGTAGTTCTTGATAGGTTCCTTGTTGGCGTGCATCTTGGCAAGGACTTGTTCGGAAAGAGTCTCCTCAATTTGGTAGACATCGACGGTAGCAGCACCGGCTTCTTTCGCTCCAGCTTCGATCTGCGTCGCTAGCTGTGCAACGTGGCCGTAGAGGGCTGGAGAGCCGTGAAGATCGAGAGAGAGAGCGGAAGAGGATCATGTCAGTACAATCTTTCGAAGAAAAGTGATTTTTTGGGGGGGGGGTGAAAAACTTACAGAAAACGATCACAGCGATCTTGGACATCTTGACAGGAGCAGCAGGAGCAGCAGGTGCAGCAGGTGCAGGTGCAGGAGCAGTTGCAGGAGCAGGAGTGCCAGTGTTGGTGTTGGAGGAAGCGGAAGAGGATTTGGACTTGGTGCTAAGGCTGCTTAGCTTCTTGATCAAGCTTGACATGGCAAGAAGGGAGCCTATATACCTCTGTTTGGCTGTAGCATGGATCGCGTCGGTCAACTGTCAGAGAGGGGGACGGGGACATCTTATAGCTTTTTTGCGCACGTTCCATCTCTATCTCTCTTTCCGCCAAACAGGCCACTCTGCAACAAGCGAGGCGAGCAAGACTCGGGCGTAAGAAAATCTCAAAATCCGAAGCTTCCAGCCAAGAAGAACAACACTTTATCTTTCGGCTCCAGGCACTAGACCAGTATCGGATTTAAGGAGATAAGAAATAAGAATCATTTTCCAAATCATTTTCCAAATCATTTTCCAAATCATTTTTCAATTCATTTTTCAAAACATTTTTCTGTCGCTTTCGCCCAGGTCAACACGATGCACGTGATTCTGGTGGGTGGAAAACGCGATGGCGAATTCGACTGATTCGACTTTGATCAGGATCAACTCGACTTTGCTGCTCATGCTCTTCAAGACGGCTTCTTCAGGTCCTTCTGTCCGCCCCTGATCACTCGATAGCTCACTCCATCGCTCACACACGCGCAACGAGAGGATCCAGATTGCAAAGCTCGAGTCGCAATCCATCGATTACACAAGTGTGCCGGATGGCTTCATGACTGTAATGTCTGTGTCTACATATACTTTGCAGTACAGCTTCTGTTTGAAAGAGAGAGAGAGGTGATCAGGCCTCAACGTCCTGCTGACCGCTGTATTCGGGCAAGACCTTGCAAGCCCCCTGCCAGTCCAAGCTACCGTCGCAAAGCTGTCGGATCACTTCGATCACCTGGTCGATAGGACCGATCCTCTGTGCAGTCGAGTCACGCTCTCGCAACGTCATGGTGCCCTTGCTCAAACTGGCAAAGTCAAGCGTGCAAGCAAAGGGTGTTCCCAGTTCGTCGTTTCGTGCGTATCGTCGACCAATCGAAGCGTTCGAGTCGTCGGCCCTACAAGCAAGACCAGCGGATCGCAACTTTCGGCTCACCTGCTTGACCAAGGGAGCCAACTTTTCGTTCGAGCTGATGGGCACGATCAGCGCTTTGATAGGTGCAACGAGTGGTGGCAAGCTAAGCACACCACGGTCCTCGTCCTCTGCACGAGTCCAGAAACTGTGTTCCAACAACGAGTAAAAGATACGGCCAATGCCGAACGATGGCTCGATGACGTTCGGAGTAAACTCGCGGACCGTCTCGCGAATCGTCTTCATCTCGACCGTAACAACGTCGGTGGTCAATTCGAAAGTCTGACCAGTGCAGATGGTGAGAGAAGCAGCACCCTTCTTGAGCTGCGACTCAAGTTCAGCGAGCTTGTTCTGGTCCATCTCGAGAATAGCCTCTTCGACCATCTTGGCATCCTTCTTGAACTTGGGTCCGATGTTCTTCTTGACAATTGTGGCGACCAGCTTGTCATATACCTTGGCTTCCTTGTGTGCCTTTTGCACCACCAGCTCCTTCTTTGTACGTTTGCTGTGAACAGTCAAGTCGTAGGCACTGCGGTCCGCACACCCGACACACTCGATCCAACCGTACGAAGTCTGGATCTCGGCATCCCAACAGTCACTGGCGTAGTGAGCCATCTCGTTGCTCATGTGCTGACGAAACCGCAATCGGCTAGGGTCGATACCGATCTTGACGAGGAAGAGGTAGATACGCCCGATAAAGTATCCCAGCGTCTGATTGTCGATGATGCCGGCAGAAACGGCCTCGCCGATAGTCTTGGCAGTGATCTCGGTCTTGCCCGACTCCTGAACATCCTTGGCGAGGAGGGGAACCTTGATCTCCTTGACCTCGTCGAAACGCTCGTGGTTCTTGTCCTCTGGGTCGACAAAGTGCTCGATCTCGGCCATCGTGAACTCTCGCACACGCAAGAGACCGGCACGAGGGCTGATCTCGTTACGGAACGACTTGCCGATCTGAGCGCTGGCGAAAGGAACACGGCCATTGTTGAACTCAAGAAGACGCTGAAAGTTGACAAAGTGACCTTGAGCTGTCTCGGGTCGAAGGTAACCTTTGACCTGACCAGTGGGACCGATGCAAGACTCAAACATGAGGTTAAACTCAATAGGTTCCGAAACCTCGTTGCCGGACTCGGGCGATCGAATGTCGTACTTGCGAATGAGCTCGCCGAGCTGTTTGCCGTCAAAGTTGTCGATCTGGGCCAAGGTGGAGGTGTATTCTTCGACAAGAGCATCGTCGAGCTTGACGGCGGTCGACTTGACCTTTTTCTTTTTGCTCTTCTTGTCATCTCCGCCGACGGCTTCGGCGGGGACAGCGAGAGTCTCACCAGCCTCCTTGGCACGAGCCTGCTTGTCACCTTGCAAACGAGCCTCGAGCACACCTTCAACAAGGTGGTCGGCGCGGAAAATCTCGCCGTTCTTGGTGTCCTTACACATCCAGTCGGCAAACTTGTCGACGTGGCCTGAAGTCTTGAGAACGTCGGCAAGGGTCATGATGGTGGTGTCGAGCTCGAGCATCTCCTCCTCGATGATGAAATGGTTTCGCCATTGGTTGATGATGTTTGCCTGGAGTGCAGCACCAGTGGGGCCGTAGTCGTAGAGACCACCAACACCACCGTAGATCTCAAAGGCCTGGATGTAGAAGAATCGCTTTGTCATGAGACCTTCGAGCTGACTACGCGAGAAAGGGTGGGCATCGCGCTTAACATCTGGGCGGTTTGAGACGGCCGACGGAGCCGGAGCGTCGGGAGAGACGCCGGGAGCAACGTTGGACATGGTGCGCAAGGCTAAGCTAGTAGCTGTGATGGGTTTCAGGAGGAATTGGGTTCGAGGTAGAGTAGATCGTAGTAGTACTGCCGAGACCTTCCTTGGGAGTGATGGCAGAATTGAGCGAGAGGCAACGAGCATAAACTGCCGCTACGCCTATGACGATGGGGATGAATGCGAGGTTCTGAGAGCAGCAAGTTGGGGGGGGGGGTCGAACCTTTAGGCTGTCTCCAACGTCTATATCGTGTAGGAGGTGAAGTGGATAGTCGGATGGTGGAGACGAGTCTGATAGAACAACCGCTGAGACGACTCTTGTGACCAGTCTCACTGGCCGGCGCAAGCGTTCAAGGTGAGAATTTTGAGACCTCAAGAGGCTCTTGCTGCCGAAGGAAGCGATCCGATATGATGATACGTGCTGACATAAACATAATCGGGATCTGAAGGAGCAGACCCGTACAGAGATCGGGTCCAACACAGTCCCGCTCGTTGTCAAGCTGGATGATGAAGTAGGATACTCGCACATTCGGCATGTACCTCATAGATGTATATATATCAAGCTGAGAACACTAGGTTCTCACCATGTTGATCTAGTCAATCGAGTATATATCTTTCTGCCCTAAAACAGTAGTGACATCGTACTCGGACTCTCCCCGATCGCCAGTTATCGGGACCAAACTTCTTCACACTTTCTTACTTGCTCCTTCTTGCGCCTTGCTTTCCAGGAAGAAATGCAAAATTGGTTTGAGTGTTAGAAGCTGTCTTTTCTTTCGGTGACTCGATGTTACATCTCGTTCTTTATCGCAAGTGTGTTACATGGGACTAATCTCACACGCTCCGGGGAAAAAAATCAAAAATCAAAAATCAAACATCAAAAATCGAGGGTCCAAGCTGGGCTGTGCGCGGCGAAAGAGCAGAGAGCATGGGCCTTTTTTGTGCTTCATCTCATGCACAGCGAATGGGCCATCCACATCACGGCAGAAAATTCGAAATTCGAAATTCGAAATTCGAAATAATTCAGAAAAATTCAGACTAGAAAACAATAGAAATGAAATCCCGAAAATGAGCGAACTGTGCTCTGAATTGGACCCCTGTTTCCCTCATCCTGCTCGCGGCAAAGCAGGATAAAACAGTTAAAGTTTTCGTGTGATTGATGATGATGGTAAGAGAGAGAGAGCGAGAGAGCGAGGAGAGAGAAGGAGTCTATATATATACAAAAGAAGAGCGGCAGAGAGCCGCATTGACTGCAGAACATAACAAAGCATTTGTCTTGAGTAGGTTGTGACACATGTGGTCTGTGCTCAGATGCTCAGGCCTTTTACTCGGCCATAAGCACTACCTTCACTGTCTCTATGCTTTGTGTAGCTTTTATATACTTTAACTCCCCCCCTCAACAGCATATGTACCCCATTCATTATGCTGTTGTTTCAAGGTATATCCTCCATTCTTTAACATCATCACATAGCTCGGGGACTCCATTTTGTATGCCACTGCTGGTATTTGCAGGTGTAGCCCAGACCTCGCTTGCTGTATTGCCTGTCTCCCGATTGGCTTGGTGAGTACATCTGCCAAATTCCTTGTTGTGTCCACATACTTGATTTGCACCCTCCCCTCTTGAACATTGTTATGGATGAAGTGATACTTGGTGTCAATGTGCTTAAGCTTCCAGTGCTGTGCTGGGTCTTTACTAACCTGTATGCATCTGGTGTTGTCTGAGTAGACCATTGGGGTGCCTGTGGCAATGCCAATCGAGCACAGCAGCTGCTTGAGGAAGAGCACCTCATGTGTTGCTTCCATGGCTGCAATGAACTCTGCCTCAATGGCAGACAGTGATATGCATTTTTGTGTTGCTGACTTCCAGGCTACCAGGTTCCCATACACTAATGCCACTGACCCTGATGTACTCCTTCTCTGAATGGTGGCATCACTTGCCCAGTTTGCATCACTATGCACAATCAGTGGCTCTTGCAACATATTTCCCCTATAAACTAATCCAACATCCTTTGTGCCTTCGAGGTAGCATAAGACCTGTTGTGCTGCCTGATAATGCTCTTGGGATGGTTCATGCATGTGTCTAGCGAGGACACTCATGGTGAGGCTAAGGTTGGGCTGGGTGCTGTTGGCAACCCAGAGCAGCTTGCCAATGATCACTGGATACTCCTTCTGTTGTGCTGCACTTGCAACAAGGGTTCCTGTCAGGGGTCTCGCGCCTGAAACCCAGGTTGGTCTGTCGAGATACTCAGTGACTATCAAACTGTGCAACAGCTATTGTCTCGGTATCGGTGACTATCAAGTTGTGCAGTGACAGCAGGTGGTGTTTGTTGTATATACTATCGTAGGTTTTGGCTGACCTCTGTGGACACTCCGTTCAGGGGTAGCTCGGCATGATCAATATCAATGTTATGATGACACCAAGGTCTGGTGTGAGTGTTGATGATGATGAGGTTGATGGTGTTGGTGATGAGATTGGTGATGTCGATGATAATGAGGTTGATGGTGTTGGTGATAAGGTTGGTGGCATCAACACGAGTGTCCAGTGTGTTGACTTGATGCTTGAAGTGATCCCCAGACCACAGTGGACTACTGCCTTCGGTTCTATCTATATCCAGACCGCTAACCTGCTATGGGCGCCTACAGACGTCAGGTAGTGGTGATACAACACACACACTACGATGAGGAGCAACCTTGATAGATTGCTGCTATGCTGACTGTAACTAATGAGTACTTGTGTTTCTAAAGTATTGACTAGTTGTATGGTGAGTAGAGTGGATGAGGATCCACTCGACCTATGATGATGAGAAAGCATGGTTATATACCTCTTCACAGCATCACCAGTGATGCTGCTCCTGCTCTCTCTCCAGAGAGTACCTTCTTCATCGAGTACTGCTCAGGGGCCTCTCCTGCTTGGCACCCCTGTGCCTCTTGAGCTGTGTCGACTCCTTCGACACTGCTCCTCCTCCTCATGACCTGATGTCAACTCCTTCGACACTGCTCCTCCTCCTCATGACCTGGTGTCGACTCCTTCGACACTGCTCCTCCTCCTTTGATCAGTGACAGTTCCTTTGGCTCTTGTCTCTCGAGCCCCTGAGTGGTAACCATCTGCATGCTCCTTGAGCTTGGTCCTCTTTGTGGCTGTGCCTGCTCCTTGAGCTTGGTCCTCCTCGTGGCTGTGCTTGGCCCTCCTTTGCATGTGAGTCCGTAGGAGTCCATGGTCTCCATGGAGACTGCACTACGACCATGCTCTCTACTGGTCTCGACTAGATCTTCGATACCTGTGCTCCTTCCATATGAACCCGTGACCCCCCTGCTTCTTGAGCATCCAGGCCCATGACACCCTCCTCCTCGACCTCCGTGGTCACCACGGGCCAGACTGCCTCCTGTTGGCAATCACTCCATCCTTTGTCCTCATGGAATGTTGCTGAGTTGCTCCATTGAATTGATGCAGGCTGGTCTGGGTTGCAAAACTTCCATGCTTTGTGCTTGTCATTGTATCCAATCATGATGGCTGGCTTTGCTCTAGTCCCATACTTGCCCTGCTGATCCTTCCATTGAACATGGACCCATGCCAGGCACCTGAAAACTCGCAGCTGTTGGGCCAGCTTGTGTGCAGTGGTTCCATAAAAGGCCTCGTGGGGAATGGTTTTGGTGGCTGATGGGGTGAGGTTCATCATGTGTGCTGCTGCTGTGATTGCATATGGCCACAACTCTCTGGGGCAAGCTCAACCAATGAGCATTGAGCGCATCTTTTCTTGGACCGATCTGATCACTCTCTCTGCCCGTCCATTCTGGACACTGATCCCTGGGACACTCTTTTGCCACTTGAAACCCTCTTGAGTTTGCCAGTCTTCAGCTCCTAAGCTGCACCACTCTCCTCCATTGTCACTGTGGAGTGTTTTGAGTTTCCTGTCTGTTGCTCATTCCATCCTGGTGATCCACCTTCTCAGCGCCGGGAGTGCAGCACTCTTAGTGCAGAGTGGTTCCATGTAGATCAGGGAGGAGAAGTCATCCACAGCAACTAGTGCATAGTGGTAGTTGGCATGGCCCTTAAGATCTGTCATCAAGTCTACATGTACTAACTCTAGTGGTGCCTCTGCTCTCTTCCACTCCAATTGGCTCATCCATGCTCGGGTCTGTTTTCCTTGACTGCATGCGTTGCAGTGCTTTGATTCATGCTCCATTCTCTCATCAGTGCCGAGGTAGTGTGCCTGGATTTGCCTTGTCTTATCTCGTCCTGGGTGTCTGAACCTCTCATGCCAGAGGTAGCTATCTTTGTCTTCCTTCGAGTTGTTGTCTCGGTTTCCTGTGTTCTGGTTGTCCTCTGGGATGTCATTGATTGTCTCTTCCAGCTCCAAAGCCAGTGCTTGTCCTTGCATGTTGAAGCGGCCTTGTCTCCTGTTCTTCTTGAATTGCACTTGGGTACCGTCATTCTGCTTTATGGTAGTCCCAAACTCATCAAAGATTATGTCATGGGCCTGGATGCTCAAGAAGCAGGAGGGTCACTGGTTCATATGGAAGGAGCACAGGTATCGAAGACCTAGTTGATACCAGTAGAGAGCATGGTCGTAGTGCAGTCTCCATGGAGACCATGGACTCCTATGGACTCACATGCAAAGGAGAACCAAGCCACATGCAAGGAGGGCCAGGCACAGCCACAAGGAGGACCAAGCTCAAGGAGCAGGCACAGCCATGAAGAGGACCAAGCTCAGATGGTTACTACTCAGGGGCTCGAGAGACAAGAGTCATAGGACACTGGCAAGCAGGTCCTGAGGAAGAGGAGCAGTGTCGAAGGAGTCGACACCAGGTCATGAGGAGGAGGAGCAGTGTCGAAGGAGTCGACACCACTCAAGAGGCACAGGGGTGCCAAGCAGGAGAGGCCCCTGAACAGTACTCGATGAAGAAGGTACTCTCTGGAGAGAGAGCAGGAGCAGCATCGCTGGCGATGCTGTGAAGAGGTATATAACCATGCTTTCTCATCATCAAAGGTCGAGTGGATCCTCATCCACTCTACTCACCATAACTAGTTATCACTTCAGCATAAGTATATATTAGTTTCAGTCAGCATAGCAGCAATCTATCAAGGTTGCTCCTCATTGTAGTGTGTGTGTTGTATCACCACTACCTGATGTCCGAAGGCACCCCTAGCAGGTTAGCAGTCCAGATATAGATAGAACCGAAGGCAGTAGTCCACTGCGGTCCAGGGATCACTTCAAGCATCAAGTCAACACACTGGACACTCATGTTGATGCCACCAACCTTACCACCAACACCATCAACCTCATTATCATCAACACCCACCAACCTTATCACCAATGTCATCAACCTCATCATCATCAACACTCACACCAGACCTTGGTGTCATCATAGCATTGATATTGAACGTGCCAAGCTACCCCTGAATGGAGTGTCCACAGAGGTCAGCCGAAACCTACAATAGTATATACAACGAATGCCACCTGCTGTCACTGCGCAACTTGATAGTCACCGATACCAAGACAATAGCTGTCGCACAGTTTGATAGTCACCGAGTATCTCGACAGACCGACCTGGGTTTCAGGCGCGAGACCCCTGACAGATTACTCATGCACCATTCTCGATCAAGCCTTGTACGGACAATAAATTAGAATTGAGCTTCGGCACATAGAGCACATCCAATAGCTGGATGGTAGCCTCACCAACCTGAAGGGAGGCATCTCCTATGGCTTTTACCTGAAGCTTTTCATCCCCTGCCATACTGCTCTGACTGTCCTTGCTTGTCGAGGTGAGCAGCATTCTCTCATCATTTACCATATGATGAGTTGCACCTGAATCAACAATCCAGGTGTTGTATGCTGATTGCTCCCCCCTGTCGATTGCTAGGAAGGTGCACCCGAGTTCCTAGTGACTCACTTCCTGTGCCACACGAGCAGCAGGTTCGCTCATGTTTGGTGTGGGGTGGTTGTTGGTGTTTGTGCAATTATGAGCAATATGATTGGGTCCCCCACATGCGTAGCATCTTGGAGGAGCTGAGGGATTACATGGATCGCACCTGCCTCTGGGCCCCTGCTCCACCTGACCAGTACCCCTGCTCCACCTGACCAGTACCCCCTTGCTCCATGCTTGTAGCAACCCTGGCTGCTCCTCTGATATGACCTGAAATCTCACCATCCTGCTGTTTCTTGGCAAGTGTGTGGTAGGCTTCATCATACTTACAGTCTGGTTTGGCCGTCTTGAGCACATCAATGGAATTAGTGTAGAACCAATCTTGTGCCGTGCAATGGTAGAGCATGGATTTCTTTAGGTCCTCATCAAGGCGCTTCCCAAAACATGCAGCATCGTTCCAAATGGAGTCAAGTTCCTTGCCTAGCCTGACTACATCGTGATTGTACAGACACATGGTGTGGATGTGGTCCTGCAGGCCCGCTCGCTTCACCATGTCATTCAATGTTAGTGCCTTCCTAAGCTTAGTGTAAAGCATACTTCCAAGTTGGGCCTCCTCATCTGCACCCCTGATGGTGTATGTGTTGATGCAGCTTTCTGGGCTGTGATCACAGCAAGCATGGATAAGACCTACCAGCACCTTGTCCAGGTCCTCATCATATCCCTCACTTCCAGGTGCTATTTTGCCATATAAGATTTCCTTTGCATTATGCACCTGTTGCAGACAGTCGATAAAGGTGGGCTCCCAGGTGTGCCAGTTGTTGTCACTAAGTTTCTTAATGTGTGCAATGGCACTCAAGACATCCTTGGGAATCTTCTCTGCCTCCCCTCTTGGAGCTTGATTGCTAATGCTGACAAGACCCATTGCCCGTACAATTGCCTCCTCTGCTGTCAGCACCGGGTTTGCCAACTGTAGTATCCTGACCACCTGTGTAAGCCAACCCTCCTCCTGACCATTGCCTGCAGTTGCAGCTGCTTGATCATCATCTCTCTCCTCCCTTCCTGTCTGTCCTGCTCATGTCGATGGTGGCATTGTACTTATCATCAGACTATTGATGTTGAATGTCGTGGGTTCAAGCCCCATGTTGGGAGCCAGTTAAAGTTTTCGTGTGATTGATGATGATGGTAAGAGAGAGAGAGCGAGAGAGCGAGGAGAGAGAAGGAGTCTATATATATACAAAAGAAGAGCAGCAGAGAGCTGCATTGACTGCAGAACATAACAAAGCATTTGTCTTGAGTAGGTTGTGACACATGTGGTCCATGCTCAGATGCTCAGGCCTTTTACTCGGCCGTAAGCACTACCTTCACTGTCTCTACGCTTTGTGTAGCTTTTATATACTTTAACTAAAACTGCTGACCAACCTTGATTTTTTTTTTTTTTTTTCTTTTTCTTTTTCTTTTCTTTTTCTGTTTTTTCTTTTTTCTTTTTCTTTTTCTTTTTTGTACCTGGCCCGTGCGTGCTAGATGGCCCGGGCTCACTTTCATCGAAAAAGAAAAAGAAAAAGAAAGTCCAGAATGTGAACTTTCTCAGCAGCAGCAAAGCGGCTTACCAACGCTGTTTTCTACCAAAAAAAAGAAAAAACCGCCTCTTCAATATCGAAAAAATCAAGGCTCGAGCTGAGTCAAAAGGTGCTGTCCTGGTGCTGCTTTCTGGATACAGTTGTTGAGCTCCCGCCACTGTTGGACCTTAGCATTTGGACGAGATCGGCTTTTCTCTTGACCAAGACACCATCATCTCATCACCTCTGATGCTCGTCAATCGAGTCGCTGTCACGGAATCCAGCCTTGGAACGCGTAGCTTTCACTTCCGCCTGTGAACGGAGCTATCTGCACAAAGGAACCGGTCTGCATTGCCGACTGAACCCTCCCCCCTTCGCAATCGACCTCTAGCATTCAATTCTCCTGGCTGCCAGCCATCAGGTACATTCTTGTCCATTCCATATCGACGCATTCAGCATGTTCAGAGTCTGATCGGTTAACGAAGCATCCGCCTGGACGTCGTTGTTTTGTTCTTGATTATCCCGCCTGGACGTCGTTGTTTCGTTCTTGATTATCCCACTGCGGCACCCTCTCTTATTCGAAGCAAGCCTTTGCAAGATTCTCATCTAGAACCGCTTTCTCTTGCACACCTAGCAGCAGCGACCACATCTGCAAGCATCATCATCGATAACTTTCACTTTCGAAGCTACCGCGCCCATATCGGAGATGAGCAGAGCACCGCCACTAATGCCTAGCTCTTCGAGCTCTCACTCCTACTCATCACCCAAGCTGGGTCCCGCTGCCATCTACAGCACCCACTCTCCCACTGGATCGCCTCGACCCCTCTTTGCTCAGCAGCTTCCTGGCACCCTATCGCCATATCGAGATGCTTCAGCTCGCTATGCTCATATTGGCAGCCCGAGGATCAGCTCGTTGAGCCGTGAGGCTACCGCCGCTCTCACAGGCAGCAACTATCCCACATCCTTGTCTCGACCCACCTCACCAACGCCAGGCTCACCTTCGCACTCGCCGAGCAGCGACAGCGGCGAATCTAGCGGCTCTTCTTCTCGAGGTTCTTCTTCTCGAGGCTCGCGTGGCCTTGCCTATCATGATGGTCACGACAATAGTCAGCCTCTTCTAACTCGGAGCGACTCGTCCAGTCGCATAGCTGGTCCTTCGCGTCATGCCGATCCTAACGATCCTGACGATCCTGACGATCCTGACGACCACGGCGGTTCCACGTCAGCTGGCGGTCCAGGCGGCGTCAAGACTGATTCCCCAAGTGGTCTCAAGCGTGTTCACCAGTTGCAACCAATAGATACCAAAAGTGAGTATATGCCTCCCCCCTTCCCCTTGCTGTTCTGGTTGAGCGGCCATGCATCCTTGTTTCTCTCCGACTCTTTCCGACTGCAACCAGCAAGCTTTCGATCATCAGCACAGGCGTCATTCCGACTCAGCTTTCCGTGATGCTCACCGACCAGGCCAAAGACAAGGAAGCTGCCCTGCTCTTTCCTCGCTCGCTTCCATGCTTGCTTACTGTGTGCGAGCTGCGAAGAAAGAGAGGTGGTTGAGAGGTGGTTGAGAGGTGGCGTTGGCCTTCGGGCAACTTTGGCTTGGCTCTAGCTTTTGGCCTGGCTCTCTTCTAGCTTTGTTTGGCCTTGGCTCTGGCCCATTTCTGGCCCATTTCGGGCCCATTTCTGGCATTTTTCTGGCATTTTTCTGGCATTTTTGGTGCGGGTGCGTTTTGGCGGGTGCGGTTGTGTGGGCTCCTAATCCAACTTGGGCTCAGGCTTGGAGCGGGCGCAATTTCCTGGTAATTTCGCCTTGGCCAGCTGGAATCACACAGTAGCGACAAGTGGCGCCGCTTTCCTCTGCTCTCCTGCCTATCCTTTCCCGCTGTTTTCCCTCTGAACAGTGGGCAGATTGACCGCGCTTGGCTTTTTGCTTGGCTTTTTGCTTGGCTTGGCTTGGCTTTCTCTTTCTCTCTCTCTCTCTCTCTCTCAGTTCCTCCACCCACACAACCAACTTGCCTCTCTCCCTCTCTCTCCCTCTCTCTCTCTCTCTCTCTCTCTCTCTCTTGCCCTTTCTCGCACCGACCAACCGGCTCTGTTGTTCTAAACGCCTCTACGCCGACAACAAGGATCATCATGGCCGCTTCACCCGAACTGATCAGCTTCACCAATAGCTTGCTCAATACTGACAATATGCTATCGCCTCTTCACCACTCCTTTGCCGCCGCAGACGCTGCTACACGAAGAACCTCTGCCGGCGAACCATTGAGCGCTAGCTCGCCGCGTATTGCTGAGGCCTACGTCAACAGCCCCAAGCGCGACCCACTTCGCGATGGATACCGAGCTACTCCACCATCCTCTGCATGGAGACACTCCAACTCATACACTGGGCGCGACGCATCTCCATGGTATACCGACCCTCGTTCTTCGCCCTTTGCATCGTCAGCAGCCCGCGACTATGCCACTCTGGAACTCGAGTCCAGTCTAGGCGCTCCATCACATCCTCCTGGCGATCCTTCTCTTCATTACGGCGATACCAGCAATGCTGACAGCGTCGTTGCTCTCCTCCACGCTGCCGCCGCCGCCAACGAGGCTAGCAAGTCCACCGACCGTTCCAACGAGAACCGTTTCCCATCCCCAAGCGCCTTCTATCAGCAGGGCATGCCTACCTACGGCATCCCACCATACTCGGCCGCTTACCGATCCAACTCGTCTGCGCTCGCATTCACCAACTCACCCAATCTCGGCTTTGCCCGCCCTTACCGAGGCCTCGATGCCTCTTTGGACGGCGCATCACCCTATGCTTCGGCTACTGCAACCATCCAGCCTTCGGCCACTGACCAAGACAACAAAGTGCAAGTCAAGTCCGAGCCCGACACACAACAGTCTCTGGCACCGCCACCACCCACCAACAAGGCACCTGGTCGAGGCCGCAAGAAGAGCAACCTCAAGCAAGGGGCCCAAAAGCAAAGAGTAGCCCAAGAGCAAGCCGCCAACCTGCCTACCGCCAACCTGCCTACCGCCAACCTGCCTACCACCAACCTGCCTACCACCAACCGTCCAAGTGCTCTCGACAGCGTTGTCTCGGCCGCGCTAGCAGCTTCCGAAGCTCCGACAAGCTATGCCGATCCAGCCTTTTCGCAGTACGGATACCCCGACTACAATGCCACTGGCATGCCTGCCAACGCCTTCTCGAGCAACCCTCTCGTTTCGCTAGCTGCTCAGGTTGCTGGTGCTATGGCTCCTACTCCTGCAGCCGCGCCTCAAGCAGCCACCTCAGCTGAACCACTTGAAAAAGTCGCACCTGCTCCTTCAACTTCACCGAGAAGCGCTGCTGCTGCTGCTGCTGCTGCTGCCGCCGTCTCTGCAACCTCACCAACTTCGCCAGGTGGCACCAAGGGCAAGACTGAAAGCGATGCAGGTGGACCCAAGTTGCACGAATGCGAGACCTGTGGCAAGTCGTTCAGTCGAAGATCCGACTTGGCACGCCACAGACGCATCCACACCGGTGAACGACCTTACCCATGCGACTATCCCGGCTGTGGCAAGAGCTTCATTCAGCGATCAGCTCTCACAGTTCACTCGCGTGTCCACTCCGGCGAGCGACCCCACAAGTGCGAGTTCGAAGGATGTGACAAAAGCTTCTCGGACAGCAGTTCACTCGCTCGTCACCGCCGTACTCACACTGGCCGACGTCCGTACGTCTGCGACTTGCCCAAGTGCGGCAAGATGTTCACTCGACGCACTACACTCAACCGTCACTCGCGATGCCACCAGCCTGGTTACGTCAAGCCCAAGAGCCGCGGAAAGGGTCGTGGCAAGGGCAAAAAGTCGGCCAACAAGGATGATCCTTGTGCAGCCAACCATGACGATGATGACGACGGCGACGACGACGATGATGATGATGATGATGATGATGATGAAGAAGATGACAGCGAGGAGGAGGATGAGGACGAAGATGAGGACTCTCAAGCCGAGTCTCGATCTGCTTCTTCCGAGCCCGCTCAATCTCTCACTCCTCCCGAAACTTCGGCTCAGGTTGCCAAGGGAGCCAAGCGTGCTGGCCCCAATGGCGGTCGCGGACGCAAGAACTCCTCGGCAAAGAAGGCCAACACTGGCAGCAACAGCAACGCTGCCGGTGTCGTCAACCGCATGAACCGTTCTGCTAGCGACGCTGAGGCTGCCATGACGTTGGCTCAGGCTGCTCTTCAGGCTCAGTTCAACCCTTACTACACTGAGCAGGTGAATGGTGGAGGTGTCTCTGCTGCCGATGCACAGCAAGGTGCAGCCGCCGCAGCGGGCATGTCCTGGCCAGGCTCATCCGGCTTTGGTGCTTACCCTATCTCAGCCCAGGACGGCACAGCTGCTTTGCTTGCTGCTAGCAACCACGCCAGTTTCTCGCCAGGTATGGGCAGCAACGACTCGAACGAGGCTATGGAAGCCGCTGCTGCTGTACTTGGTGGATTCGCCAACTCGCCTAATGCCGCCAGCAACGGTCAGGATAACACACACTCGACCAGCTCGCTTTCCGAAGCACAATTGTTGCTCGATGCTGCAATGAGCCCCGTGCCTGGACATGCTACCATCCCAGGTACCAGTGAAGATGCTGCTGCCAAGGGTGCTATTGCCAAGGGTGCTGCTGCCAAAGGTGCTGCTGCCAAGGGTGTTATTGCCGCTGCATCAGGGGCCGCTACTCGTGGTCGAGGTAGAGGTCGTCCTCGTGGCTCGGGTACTCGAGGTGGTCGCAAAGCTGGTGGTGATCGTCGCACCAGCAACCTTGCTAACGAGACCAATGCCGATGCTGCTTCTTAGGAGCAGAGTTGCTTCTACCGAGGCCTCGTGCTAATCGCCACCTGAACTCGATTTGGCCTCTTATGATTCGATCATGCCGGAGCGCAAATATCTCTTTCTCCCCACTCGAGTAGTCGTTCACTTTAACTCCACACTCGCTCGCTCCTCTGCTTCTCTAGTTTGTCTCGAAACTTTGCTCGAGATGATGTACTTGTATCCCCATTTTACCCATCCTCTCCTTCCACTTGCATGGTTGGCTGTTGTTTCTTTCTGTTTGTCAGGCCTCATACTTCTGACGGTGCTGACTTGTAACTCATACATCCCATTGCCACCCTCCTATGCGTGCACAGTGTCTCAAGTGAGACCGAGGATCTGGTCTCGAAGCCAATCAAAAGCCATAGCGATCTTCCCGATATTACCACCGGAAAATTATCGGGCTTTCGCCAGTGAGATCTCCAACCCGATTTGAGTTTGCAACGCGAACGCGAGCTCTAGCAAAGACGACGCTTGCTCGCTTTTCGCATTTGCTTTCTCTCTTCCACCATCCCTCTTCCACCATCCCTCTTTCACCATCCCTCTTCCACCATCCCTCTTCCACCATCCCTCTTTCGCCTCATATCTTGACTCGATGTCAACTGCAACCCAATACGAGACCCTCCTCACCGAGGAAATAGCATACCAAAAAGCCTCGAATCCAATCTCAGACCTACCATCATGCACAAACTTGTTCGATAAATGGGCTCAATGTTTTGCCCTCGGACCCCAACTCCAAGCGGTTTATAGGTATGGTGGCCTTCAAGATTGCAAAGGCAAGTTGGATGATTTCAAGTATTGTTTGACTCAGAAGGGGATGGGTAGAGAGGAGAAATATGAAAGTTGGATCAGGAGGAGGGCGGAGAAGGTGATGGATATGAGACTGGGCAAGGGCAGTAGTGAATTGGTTTGGGAGCTGAGGAGGTAAGTTCTTCACTCAACCTTTGCGATTTGGTGCATTGAGGTGCTGACTCGCTTTGCTTCGCTGTCGCTTGATGCGCTCGCTAGGGACCCAAATGAACCTGTCCAAACAAAATCTCAAGTCGCAAGTACAATCATCTAATCTCCTCACAACACCGTCCAATTCGCTCTTGTCATCCTCGCCTTTCCTCAAGAAAAGTGTGCAGCTTTTGGGCACCTCCCGAGACGGTGCGCCCGACTGCACACCTTCAGCAAAAGTGAGCAACAAAACTTACATCCCTTCGACAGTTTCAGCAACATCAGAATCTCTCGCTCCCAACAGGGGCTAGGGTGGAGGAATGTAATTGACATGCTGTCCTACTACGTTGGGAATCATGAAACCCCCTTTTGCGCATTTGCATACGTCTTCGATTTGATTGATTGTTTTTTTTTGATTTTTTTTAAAAAGCTCACCGTCTCTTCTCCCTTTTCTTCTTCCGTGGGAACAGGTTTGAGTCGAGACGGCCATCCAAACTTACTCTCATCATCTCCATTGCCGATGACAGAAGCCAGAAATTGGGCTGTTTTACAGTCCAATAGCACAAGAACGAAAGAAAGGAGAAAGAGGAAGAGGGAGGGGGGGAGGGGGAGCGAACATCTGCAGCATTCAACCTATATTCGATCTAGCGCCCGCCTTCTACCACCGCAACCGTATTCAGATTCCTTGACTTGTTACAAAGCCCCCTTCCGTCTTGTGGCGGTAGCGCGGGCTGGTTTCTTGTCGGTTTCAGAAAGCGGGATAGGGGGAGAAAAGGTAGCCTATTAAAGGGCTTTAAAGTGGTGATGGACGATCCTAACCCTAAGTTGTTTCATGTAGAACAGACTACCTTTTCCGCCTCGAGCCCGATTTCGGGGTTGGAGGCGGGAGGGTGGTAGCCCATCCGCATAAGCTGCTCTTTTTGGAGCGTAGCTTATGGGTTTGTGCGGACTCTACACAATCGCATACCCTTTCTGAAGGGGCAATGCGATGGACATTTGATTGATGCTATATGGTTGTAGCTACAGAACGGGGAGCTTTGTTATGGATGTTTCTTTGCCCACCAGAAAACGGGGAAAACAGAAAGCCGAATGCCCAGATAGCCACCCACCTCCTCCCTCCTCCCTCCTCACCCCTTCTCCTGTCCTCCTCTGTTCGCGTGCGGTTCTTGAGGCGCCACCACAACCCAATCCTTACCCTTGGTCTTCTCCCCACCTCTTCTCAGCAACAAGCCAACGCTAGAGGGATGGAGCAAACACAGCTCTGCGGAGTCCAAATCCCCTTGCCTAACTTTCAGAAGGGAGGCAGGGGATTGAAGTGTATAGAGCTTTGTGCTCGATTCTTCCATCCCTCATTAGCGTTGATGAAAGCTGCAGCGAGGATGATACGGGGGGGGGGGAGGGGATGAATAGGGGGATGGGAGGACGGTGGAATATGAGAGATATGAGAGTAGATAATTTTTCTTGCTTTTAGGATACGAGGTGCGGATACTCGCTGAAAGGTCGATCGAGGGATTGTTTGGAGAACTTGACCTTGGCGTACCGTTTTAGCAGGAATGAGTTGCGCACTTCGGACTTTGTTTTGCAATGCATGTATTCCTTCTCAGACCTGTTGTTCGATTCTGGATTGTGAAGATGCTACAAATACAACATGGTACTGTAGGGTACTGTAGGGTACTGTAGGGTACTGTAGGGTACTGTAGGGTACAGCAAGAAAGAGCTTAATGGTGCTCATCATCGCCAGGAATAGCATCGAGCGAGTCCAACTGGTGCAAAGCCTCGGTAATAATCTCGACTGCCTTTTGCAGATCCTCTTCACTGATGACAAGAGGGGGAGCTAGTCTGATGATGTTAACATGAGTTGGTTTTGCCAGTAGACCTTTGTGCTTCAGTAGCAAGCACAATTGCCAAGCGCCTCTGCCCTTCGTAGACTTGTGTTGATCAATGACAATAGCGTTTAGCAAACCTCGACCTCGAACACTGGCCAAGAGAGGGTGTTGGATTTGCGAGAGTTGCTGACGGAACTTGGCTCCTAGTTCTTGGGCTCGTTCGGACAAGTTTTCGTTGACCAGAACGTCGATTGCTGCACTAGCAACTGCACAGCCTAGTGGGTTGCCTCCGTAAGTGGAACCATGTTCTCCTGGCTTAATGCATAGCATCACCTCCTTGTCTGCAAGGACGGCCGATACGGGGTATACTCCTCCCGACAGAGCTTTGCCAAGCGTGACAATGTCAGGTCGAACATGATCGTGTTGATGGCACAACATCTTTCCTGTCCTTGCCAAACCCGTTTGGATCTCATCGCAAATGAACAAGACATTGTGTTTCTTGCACAACTCTTCCACTCGCTTCAAGTATCCATTATGGGGAACAACAATTCCAGCTTCACCCTGAATCGGTTCCACAAGGAAGGCGGCTACCTCTTCACCATACTTGTCCAGCACCTTTTCGAGGTCATCGGCGTTGTTATAACGAATCTGAAGATCCTCTACTCCAGGTCCTACTCGGTCAAGGAAAGGACCGAATCCATCCCTCGATTCAGGATCGGTAGACATGGAAATCACACCCAACGTCCTTCCATGGAAGTTTCCCTCAACAGACAGAAGCCGCGCTTTGCCTTGCGGGATTCCTTTCTTCATGTAACCCCATTTGCGGGCGAGTTTGAGCGCGGTTTCGACAGCTTCCGCACCCGTGTTCATGGGGAGAACCATTTCGTAGCCGAACGTCTTGGTGACCTTTTCAGCAAAAGGTGCAAATGCAGAGTTGTAGAATGCTCGAGAGCTCAACGTTAGCTTCTGAGCTTGAGCCACGAGTGCGCCGACAATGGCAGGGTGACAGTGTCCTTGGTTCACGGCCGAGTAAGCCGAGAGGAAATCGAGGTATTGCTTTCCCTCAGGGTCCCAAACGTGCGCACCGGAGGCTCGGTCGAAGACGACGGGAAGCGGATGGTAGTTGTGTGCTCCATACTCGGCTTCCTTTTGGATAACCTCCGAGGTGCTAAGGGTGGTGGTGGAGGTGGAGGCGGTGGAGATCGTAGCGTTGACGGCGGTCTTGATGGTGGTGGGGATGGAGGGGATCGCTGCTGCGATTGGGGCGGTGGCTGTTGGTGCCATGCTTAAGAGATGGCTGATGCTATGTGATGCGGGATGAGGACAAAGAAAAGGTGCGATGAGGGGTGAGCTTATATCTCTTGGTTGCTGAGCAGAACAAGGAAAGAACAGCGCCACCTCGATCTGAGTGGATAAAGCGCTCATCTCTCACACAGATATCCTTTCTCCACAATCACGCCGAGGCGGGTGAGCGGATATCATACCGGCAACTTCATCAAGCGCACTTCCCAACTCAACCGCGCAACCATTGCGCCAGACCCTCTAGCGGAAGCTCTGGCGCAAGGTTCAAAGACGTCTCCGGCTACTTGTTCGGAATCCATTCTCACGCAACATAGCCAGAATCTAACATCGCATCCACCGCTCCCCGATTTCAGATCCTTACGTGGCAACGATCGATCTACGATCTGCTCCGTCTGGATTTTTGGCGAAATTTCGACTTTTTTGCCTCGACATTCTTTTCACTTTCTTCTCAGCGAGCTCAACATCTTCTCAACCACATCAGCTAGCTATCCAGTAACCACCTCTCTACCTGAGGCATCCATATCGCCAGCATGCCAGCTCAGCAACACAAGCCGAGCACGGCGACAAAGCGCAAAGCCAACGCTACACCCGTTTCCACACCACCACAAAAGAAAAAGCCCACCCCTTCCACCACACGCAACAACGACGACGACTTTATCATGACTCTCGACTCTGATGATGAGGTGGAAGATCTTGATGCTCTCGTCAACCCCGCCTCTGCCGACGTTGAAGCATCCGAATCCGAACCCAGACCCGAGCCAGAACAAACCGCCGAGGACAATTCCAAACTCACCAAAAACCAGCGCAAACGAAAGGAAAAAGCCCATCTAGCAGGAAAGGACAAGATCGTCGAATCCGTCTCTTTGCACAAAAACAAGAATGCAGCTGGAGCGGATGGAAAGGATGGTATGGCGCTGGATAAGAATTTTGAGTTTGATATCTTTGGTGATGGGTCAGGTGCAGAGTATGCCCGTGGCATGGCCGAGGGAGAGAAGGCGGGCTGGGATATGAGTGTAAAGGGTACAAGAATGCATAACAAGTTGAATGTCGACGATATCATTGAGAAGAGGAGGAAGACGAGGCCGGAGTTGGTGTTGCCTTTGGATGATCAAGACGATGAGGAGGAGCATCACAGTGAGGCAGAGTCGGATGGCTTGGATGATGATATCAAATTTGCCGAGTATGGCGATAGTGAAGACGAAGAAGAGGAGGATGGGTTTGGTGGTGGCGATGCTAAGATTACTGCTGGTGATGATGAGGATGAGCAAGAGGCAGCTGGCGTCGATGCTCAAGAGGATCCACTCAGCAGTGAGAATGGCCAATCTGAATCCGAAGGTGAGGACCAAGAGCAAGCCAACGCGGAGGATGTCCAAGAATCAAACTCCAGCCAAGATGATTCCGACGAAGAAACAGAGCAAGAGAAAGCAAAGAAAGCCGCTTTCTTCGCCGAAGAACCGACGACAACCATCTCCAAGTCCAAATCCTCGGCCACCACCGACGCCGATTCCTCATTCACATCCTTCCAGCTCTCTCGACCGCTCCTTCGCGCCCTCACAACGCTCTCATTCCACAAACCCACGCCTATCCAATCTCGTACCATCCCCATCGCTCTCGCCGGCAAAGACATTGTCGCAGGCGCAGTGACAGGTTCAGGTAAAACGGCCGCCTTCATGATCCCTACCATCGAACGGCTCACTTGGCGTGCCAAATCGCGTACCCCACTCCAAGCTAAATCCCGAGTCCTTATCCTTGCTCCCACCCGAGAGCTCGCCATCCAATGCTACTCTGTCGGCAAAAACATTGCCAAGTTCACCGACATTCGATTCTGTCTCTGCGTCGGTGGTCTTTCCGTAAAATCGCAGGAGGCCGAGTTGAAGTTGAGACCCGAAGTGGTGATTGCCACTCCAGGAAGGTTGATTGATCATGTTAGAAACTCGGCTAGCTTCACACTGGATGATATCGAGATTCTGGTAATGGACGAGGCGGATAGGATGTTGCAAGATGGATTTGCCGATGAATTGAACGAGATTGTGAAATCTTGTCCAAAGGGCGCCAGACAGACGATGCTCTTCTCTGCTACAATGACAGATGATGTTGAGCAGTTGGTAAGGTTGTCCTTGAAGAGACCCGTGAGGTTGTTTGTCGATCCGAAGAGGACTACAGCCAAGAAGCTCGTTCAGGAGTTTGTTAGGGTTAGAGGTACTGCTTCTGCTGGTGTTGCTGGTACCGTTGCAGACGAAGCTCCCTCAACCTCAAACGCTGAAACCTCAAGCGCTGAAACCTCAAGCGGTGGGGGAAGGAAGAGTGAAGACGCCCAACGACCAGCTCTACTCCTCGCACTTTGCACGCGCACCTTCACTAGTCAAGTGATCATTTTCGTCCGATCCAAGAAACTCGCTCATCAGCTCAAGATCGTTTTCGGTCTCCTCGGTCTCTCTGCTGGCGAACTTCACGGTGATTTGTCGCAAGAACAGCGCATCGATGCTCTAACAGCTTTCCGTGATGGTAAAGTGGATTTCCTCATTGCCACCGACCTTGCTTCGCGTGGTCTGGACATCAAAGGAGTCCAAACGGTGATCAACTATGATATGCCAGGACAATTCGAAGCCTACCTCCACCGAGTAGGTCGTACTGCTCGTGCAGGACGCAATGGTCGAGCAGTAACGCTTGTTGGAGAAGCCGATCGACGAATGCTCAAACTAGCTATCAAGAAGAGTACTGCCGAACAGATCAAGCATCGTATCATCCCCGCTCCCGTTGCTTGTAAAATGCTGGCTACCCTCGAAGAGCTCAAGCCTCAAGTGGATGCAGTGTTGCACGAGGAGAAAGAAGAACGAGCACTCCGCATAGCAGAAATGCAATTGAAGAAGGGAGAAAACATGATTCGACACGCAGATGAAATCTTTTCTCGTCCCAAGAGGACTTGGTTCCAGACTAGTGCGGATAAGACTCAGGCTGCTGAGGTTAGTAAAGCTAGCTACGAAGCAACTATGACTTCGGACAAGAATAGAAACAAGGAGCGCAGCGATCAATACGCCGGGCTCAGCAGGAAGAAGAGAAGAAGCAAAATGATGAAACAAGAGATCGAGAACGAGAGAAAGCAAGCCAAGCTTAGTGCTGGTGCAAAGACGGCTGTAGGCGCAAATTTGAATGCCGCTGTAAGGGCCGCCAAGAAGATGCAAAGGCCGACCAAGTTGGGTATGGCTCCCGTGAAGGTGGCGAATAAGAGTAAGGCAAACAAAGGAAGAACTGGTGGAGGGGGAACAGTAGGCGGTGCTGCGGGTGGAAACAAGATAAGAAGTTCGTTTAGTAAAGATGGCGCTTATAAGAAGCGTTGATGCTCTCGTAGACTTGTTCTCAAGGCACTGCGTCGTTTGTTTGTCTTTGGTCCTAACATTCACTGCAAGTCAAAGGGTTGTGCCTGTTGACTCCTTCTCATTCTCACTTCTGACCAATGCACATACACCAACCAACTCGCTTTGATCAGACTCTTTACGACGACAAACAACGCAAAGCGTGCTCGTTGCTTGATCTATGACTTTCACATCGCAAATCCTCTTGAGTCCAACAAAAGATTCAGTCGGCACCACCATAAACAGCCAAGAGCGCATCTCCAACACCGGATGGCGTCAGCACACCAACATCACTGAACAGAAACGTCACCAAATCCGGTGTTGTATAATCGATCTATACTCGACCATCGCAAACAAACGCAAATTGGTCAGCACTCTCTCTTCTCTCTCTTCTTCACAGGGTTAAGGATAGTAGCAACTTACAGCGGGATTAAGCAACTCTTGTTGCCTACTCATCACCTTTTCTTCACTCGAAGCCAACTTTGGCGTTTGCTCCACCTCAGCTTCCTTCACTGTAGCTTGTTGTGAATCTAAATCTGGAAACGCAAGTAGATTTCGGCCCTTGTTGGGTGGAAGATCGTACTGATTCAGAGGAAACATGCGTAAAAACTTAAAGCTTTCTGCCAAGGCAAAGAAAGGTTTGTTACACGCTTTAGCAATGATAGCCATACCGTAAGTTCCAACGGCGTTTAAGAAGCCTCCTGATTCGACTACACCTTCTGCTCCGGTTAGGACTAGGTCTACTTTCGGCATGGTGTATGCTACTGCTGAGTCTAGGATGAGGGTGCAGGGGATTCCGTATCCGATGAGTTGGCGGTATGTTTTGAGACCGAGACCGTGTGGACGAGATTCTGTGACATAGACTGAGATTCGTTTGCGTTGGTTGAGTGCGGCGAACTTAAGCGCTTGCATCACTACCCTCGAATAGGAGTGAGTCAGGAGGACAGAGTCATCTTTGATAAACGGCAGGACTAACTCGCAGATCTTTTCTCGACAAGAGGGAACGGTATGAGTAGCAAATTGGTGCGCCAGAGAAGCAAGGGATGCTTTGTGCGCTTCAAAGTCGTCCCCTGTATCCCAACTTTTGGTTACGACGAATCGAGTAAACAAATCGAGACCAGCGGTAGCGGGGACAGGATTTTCGAGAGAGGATTTAAGACGTTGTGATGCTGAACGAATGTTCTCCATAAGCTCGGAAGTGGTTGCTGCTTTAGACCTGGAGACTAGTTCGGATAGGGCGAAGATGGCTGCAATGGGAAATGGAAGTTCAGAATCGGAGGAGAGGAGGGAATGGTAGCAGGAGATGATGTCGAATTCCTCTCGGGCAAGAGGCGTGAGAGTGCTAGAGCTGCCACCGGAGGGTGCAAGTAGGCATGGCACCGCGGAGGTTGATGCGATTGGAGCCATGGCGAAGAAGTGTTGAATGCAAAGACAGGGCTTTGTCGACCGAAGAGCGCTGTGAATGTCGAGCAAGATGGTGTTGCAGTGTCAATCTTCAACAAGGAGAGAAGAGTGAGGTGACACCTTGACGAAGAGCAAAAAAAAAAACAGCTCAGCTGCTTGCTCCGAGAGCCGAGATTTTTCCGACTTAGCTAAGCTAGCTTGTCAGAAAGTCGCGCTCTAACACGCCCGAGAAAAGGTTAAACTCTCACGCCTGCACGCCTGGGTAACTCTCTCGTGCGAATACTAGCCGCACGAGAATGCTCGATCGATATCATCGTCCCTCTCTATAGCCTGTGCATGTAACACTCACACCTTCAAGTCCATCGATCTTTTACAAAAAGCAATGCAATTAAACGCTTCCACAAAGTTGATAAGAATGAGTGCTAGGATAACAAGACAAGTGTGTCACGTGTATAGGCGATATGCAAAGAATGGACTGGACATGATAGGGGAACAAGATAGGACAAGCGAGTTCAAAAGCGATATACAAGACAAGGCGTTGCAATTAAAGAATCCACCAAAATATTTGTGCAGAAAAGATTCAAGACGACGAGAGAGGAAAGGCGAGATCACAAACCTCGCATACGAGCAACCTTGAGGGTTCTAAGCAGGGTATAAAAGAGAGTGCACTTGCAGTCGCAAGATGGGATGTGACCAGAGCGGGAGCGGGCTGTGTTGAGAACCAACGAGGCGATCATGATGAAGAAGCGACTTGGTGCTGAGTCGCAGACCTGAGAAAGTAAGGACCGAATCGTTCGTTGCTGGTTGCATGCTCCTGCGAAAAGTCGGTGGCGCTCATAGGTCGCTGCTGCTGCTGCTGTTGTTGATGCTGCTCCAAGCTCTGCCTCGGCTGCATGTTCTCGTAAAATTGAGACCCAACGCTCGAAACGGGCCCACCGGCAGAAGCACCATTGTTCCACAGGTTGGGGTCAATGTTGCTGGCATCCTTAGTATCAACGACACAACCGTTGGCCATCATAGAGAACTGCTGAGATGCAGCCATTTCACCACCGTGGAAGCCCGTCGCGGATGGGTGAGCATCTGAGCCGTAAGGACCACAGGACATGGTAGCTACAGAGAGATGGTTGAACTGAGCACGACCAGAGACGGACGATTCAAAGGTCCTAGTGTCGCGAAAGTCGGGGGTGCAAGGGAAATGCGACATTTCGGAAGCAGGTGTGAGTGTGTTGGGCGTAGGGCACATTCGGCTGCTGTGGCTCGTAGGGCCGTGAAAGCCGTGCGAGCTGCTCGAGAGGTAGCCGGACATGGCGCTGGCTCTTCGCTGCATGTCAAAGCCATCGTAGCTGGCGCTAGATGAAGGGCAGGAAGACATGGCAGGGGCGCTGTAAGGTGTGCTGGGATACTCGTGCATCTGGAAGCCCTCATAGGCAGGAGGGGCAGACATGGGGTCTTGTTCGACTTTGAGACCTGCAAAGTAGTGGTTCTCCAGGCCTTGCGGGAAGGTGGAGCGACTGTGAGGCGGCAAAGCGTATCGGCCGATGGAGAGCGAGTTGCTCAGGATGGTAGCGGACCCGCCATGGCCAATGTACGTCCCCTCTGCGTCAGCGTGGTTGCGGCGCGTGTGTTTGGTCAGCGTGGTCTTGCGACAGAAGGATTTGCCGCATCCCTGTTGTAGCGATGCCATGATGATGAGTTGTGTCAAAACAAGAAGTCAGACTTGTGCTCTTCTCCGTCTGTAGCCGAGCTATAGCAGTTGTAACACTTACTGACACAAGACACTTGTATGGACGTCGGCCAGTGTGAATCCTCCTGTGACGTGCGAGCGAGCTCGAGTCAGAGCTGTAAAGACCAAGAGACGAGGGCCAGGCGTTCGGATTGTCAAACACAACCTTCTGGCACAGTGAGAAAAAGCATGCCTGAAAGAAGCACTTACAATGCTTTGCTGCAGGATTCGCAGACGTGAGGGCGCTCGCCAGTATGAACACGGATGTGGACCGTCAACGCCGAACGTTGGATGAAAGTCTTGCCGCATTCGCGAAAGTGGCAGATGAAAGGGCGTTCCTGGCTGTGGATGCGAGCGTGTCTACAAAGAGCGAAAGGACAAAGGGAAAGCCGAGAGACAAAGGGGAGAGAGGAACAAGACATTTTGCAAGAGTCAGTCTTACGTTCAACAGCGCCCAAGTACAGAGCCATTGCTTCTTCAAGACAAGGATGCTTTCGTGATCACTTCCACCAGAGCTGCGAGCAGAGGAGGACCGAAGCTGATCTCAGCCAGACTTGGGGATCCCTGACGACAAGGGCCAAATTCCCACGTGGCCCTGTTCGACAGTGTCCATTTTCGTGCTCCGCCAAGCCGAATTGGCGGGCGCAATCGTGTGGAGATGCTTTGTATGTTGCCGACAATTTCTCCCTCCTAACAACTAACAGGTAGCAACACCCATGTGCCAGCACCGCCAAACTTACCTAGCCAAGTCTGAGCGCCTGTTGTGCATGAGTAGCAGGTCGGTTCAAAGAGAGCAGCAGCAGAGGGTTGTGTTGGTGTATCGATCGTGTCGAGGTCAAGAATATGGAAGAGCGTCAGAAGTAGGTCCAATGGGTCAAGGCAGATGATCATGTGTGGCATACATACCTTGAGAAGGCTTTGGGGCAACCGGGATGCTTGCAGTCGAACGGTCGACACTCCTTGCGTTGGTCTTCGTGAACAAGCTCTGCAGGATGACGATCATCATGTGCTGGTCAGTAGAGCTGCCTTTATCTCTAAGAAATCTATCATCCACTGGTGCTCACCAAGGATATCCATGTTGATCGTGACCGACGAGCGTCGATGGCAAGGTGTGCGCAAGGCTCCGATTTGTTCTTGTTGGACTGTGCGGAACAATGTCAAGTTAAGGCGCTAAGATAGAAGTGATAGGCAAGAAAGCAGCTCGTAGTTGTTTGCTGGCAGGATGATGCTGGGCTTAAGAATGAACGGGGTTAAGGTGGATAGGTTATCTGATGAAGAAGGAGACAGAGACGAAGGGGGACAGAGACGAAGGGGGACAGAGACGAAGGGGGACAGAGACGAGGGTGACAGAGGCGAGGAGGACCGAGAACGATAGTCGCTTTGTCCCTTATGTAGGTTCGAGGAAGGGCAGGGAGCAACAAGCCAAAGGTACGGCGAGCAGCTAGAATGGAGCAGATGGGTCAGGCAGCGAGAGAGAGAGGGACGGACAGAAGTGAAGCGGTACCATGGGGTTAGCCTTGCGACATCGGAAGGGAGACCGTAGGATGAGGCAGCAGCCAGAGTGAGAGGTCTACTCCTGGCCTGAAAGGGGCTCTACGCTACAACAGAGGGGCAAAATTCGATTTGACTAAACGGCTAACTCGTCAAAGGCTAATGACACAGTCAAGGCAATCCATCAAAGGGAAGGCACAGAAAAAGCAGAGCGTGGCGAGCAGCTGATGGAGACCAAGGCTCTAGTTCCATTTGGCGCATCAGACACCTGTCAGAAGGCTACTCGACAGCAACATCTGCAGGCTGTGCAGCTGAGCGCCAGGAAAAGCTGAAAGCCTGAAAGCCTCCGAGCAAGTAGCGGAATCAGCGGCAGCAGCAACAGCAGCAGCAACAGCAGCAGCAGCAGAAGCAGAAGCAGAAGCACTTTGTCGTTGTGGTGTGCTTTTCCGTAATAGCCGAAGTCTGGACTGCCAACATGGCGGTATCAAACTTGGGCAACGCACCAAATACAGCCCCTCCAACCCATTTTCTTGTAAGCGCTGTGTAAACAATTCTGGATGGGTTTTAGTCGGACTGATGATCCATCTCTCTATCTCTGTCCCTCTCTGTCTCTCTCTGTCTCTCTCCTTCCTTCTGACATTCGATGGTTGAGCTTGATGAGACCGGAGACTGACTTGGCCGCCTTCCGAGCAAGAGCCTGGCCGTGATACGGTGGCAATGATGGGACTCTATTACATTGCAGCATGTTGCCCTTGTCATGTGTCGCCCCTTCTCTGTAAGGCATGAACCACACCGGACTCGTGAAACAGGCACCACTTGAAACACACAGCTGGAGAGCAACACACAGCTGCAGGAACGCACAACCAGCTCAAGAGCAACGCACAGCTTGAGCAACGCACAACTGCAGCATCAAGAGCAACGCACACACAGCTCGATCAACACACAGCTTGAGAGCAACGTACAGCTTGAGAGCAACGCACAGCTTGAGAGCAACGCACAGCTCGAGAGCAACGCAGGAGATGAGAGAAAATGAAGCCGACTGATAGCTCCAACGTAATCAAGCTCGAAAGGGCTGCCAAAGTGTGGCAACATTGCGACAGAGTGGTTGCTTTCGAAAGCTTGGGCAAGACTCGACCTTCGATGTCGCTTCTGAAATGCAAGGTGGGCGAAGCAGATGCTCACGTCCCTCCATCTTTCGAAGCAAACACTTGAAGAACGATCAACCGGTCATTCGAACGATCCAGAAGGCAGTCAGACGCCAACATCTCATTTGCTACCTCTGAGCTTCTTGCTCTCTTCAACTGCTCTCTCTCTCTCTCTCTCTCTCTCTACAGGCTGATTCGAGCGATTCGTCAGTCTAGGGGCTTAGGAGTTTTGCTGGGCTGGGAACAATGGGACGACCTCCCCGAAGGAACCTCCCCCGAGAAAGCAAAACAAATGGTCCTTTTTTCTTTTTTTTTCTTTTTTGGCAAAAAAAGGGACGATTTTGCAAGCCTCCCGAGAAAGCGCAAACGAAAGAAAAGGAAAGGGAAATCAGGAGCTGAGATCGAGAAAGTGTCAAAACCCTCATCCAAGGAGATATCGGCCTTGTCGATGTGTGCAACTATACTCCGACGAGCATCTATTACATCACAGTTCGAGCTCCAATGCTAGCCGAGTCGGACGTGAAACCGCTCTGACACTGCCGAAGAACCCAGCTGCCATGCCATCCTCTTGTGTAACGGCAGAAGTGCAAGGAGCCGGAGCCGAAAGTACTGAAAGTAGCACGGCAAGGCCTCGAAACAATATCATTTCTCTAGCTGCGCTCGGGTTGCCTCGAAGTGCATTGATTGCATATCGCTTCCGGTAGACAAGCCCGGCGCCCGGGAGCAGGACGGCAAAGGAGGAGCTCGAGTGTCGAGGCTTAGGAGTACGTTCGGCAACGCAAACTGCCTTGCCCTGGGTGTGTTACAGGAACAGACTCGTCCGCTTCTCGTCGCTGCACCCTGTCCCAAGGTTGACAGAAACGCACAAGTTTACGACGACCAAAAATTGACCCACAGAGTACCCCGCTGCTTGGAAATGTACTGCATTCGCCACTGTCGGTGCCAAGAGGCCAGGTGCTGTCTGAAGCGCGTCGACATGCATCGACCTCCATAACGCTAACCAACGAGGTTGTGTGGGATCAAGTGTCGAGGCGCAAATTAGTGTCGTCAGCCCCGAATCCTCGGGCTTCATTTCGCTTTGATAAACAAGTACGGAGCGGACTGCAAAGTATGGCCCTCGAGCCGTTCGAGCCAATACAAGCTTGCTGCCGTCGGACAAAGTGAAGCTTGGCGCAAGTACGGGGTCTGAAACCTGCATCAGGCTATAGAAGAAGCGCACTTTCTGCGTATATCCGTCGATCCATGTTCCGAGCGATAGTCAATATAGTCCAGTGACGCTGTGCATACTGTACAAGCACAAACGGTCAAGCCTCTCCACATGCACTCGGCCAGTGCGAGTGTGCAGCGCATGATCGCTAAAGTCCAAGAAAGCTCTCCGGTACCAAAGCAGATGCACGTCGTGTACAAGCACAGCAGCGATCATAGTCGCCAAGTGGCAGATTGAGCTTCAACGACGCCTAGATCTGATTGTGGATAGGGGCTAAGCTCGATGGCGCCAAATTTTAGCCGACTCTGGCCTGACGGGAATCGTTGGCCTAGGCTGAAGGGTGCAACTGCGTTCAGTCTGTCGCTGGTGAAGCAGAGTAGTTGACCCTTAGTGTTAGGCGGTATGATTATGGCCGATCTCAGATCGCTTCATACCTGTGGCGTGCCAATCATTTCGCAGAGATCCGACCATATATTTGGAGCTCGAGCGTAAACAGCCGCAGAACGAGCTGAACAAGAAATCAGCACCATTCAATCAGACACCAATCTGTCTGATGTAGGCATGGAGACCTCCGCCAAAGAACTCAAGCATCTTTATCACTCTGCTCTGGCACCCTGCAGCGGCTCATCGGAGTGCCGTGAAACCGTCTTCTAGCTTGCACGTCGTCGCCTCTTCCTCTGTACCATGCTAGGTGTCTGGCTTCTCGAGCTACAAGAGAGCGGAGAGAACAGCCCACATGCGTTTCCCCGGGGTCGTTGATTGTGTACAGCTTTGTTCACTTTTCATGCAACAACAGTTTTCTGGTTGTTTCTCCAGGTTTTTTCGGGAAAAAAAAGAAAAAAAAGAAAAAAAAGAAAACGAGATTTGTTTGCCTTTATTTATATTTTTGGGGTGGCGGTAGCCGAGGTGTCTTTTGTTTGACATCTGTGATTAGGTTTCTGACAGGTTCGCTCCCCAGCTCGGCCTTGGCGTTGGCATGCGCGATTGTGGAATGGCGTGAAAACATGCTGCAGACGAGTTTGTCAAGCACTTCATGAGCAGCAGTGCACTGGATGTTGTTCTACAGCAGTGACGTGCTGTGTGCAGCTACTGAGGAAGCAAGGGTGCCATTGATCGGCTGCAACCAAATCGACCTACGGCACTGCAACGACTTGAGCACGTCTTGCATCTTGCTGTTCCATCACCGGCGGTGGAAGCTCCGCACGAGGCAGCCAAGACAGTAGACCGGGCGCTCAGTTCGCCAACCATCGCCACCGTCACAGAATCTAGCTACTTTCGCTGTAGAGGTGGGAGGTGGGATTGATGTGGGTGTTCCACAGTGATTCCCGCTGCCGCGGCCAAGCTTTGGTGGCGTTCGAGTACAGTACTGTGCTCTGGACAGTGCAGTAGACGCTAAGTCTGAACAACGGCAACAAGGGCACATTCTTTGTGAGAGTCCCCGCTCATCCAGCTACCCGTGCGTCAAGATAGATCTCTCTCTATGCTATAGCAAAAGTAGAGAAGCCTGAATACGCTACTGTGCCATCCACCAACCGATCGTAGACGTGCTACACCCAACCAGGGCCGCAGAACAACAGTTGAAGAGCGTCGTTCTAAGTCAATCAAATCGTGCGTCAAAGTCGATGATCACAGGTGTTGATTGTGATGGAGAGTGCATGCTAAATACAGGATGATCAAGCTGCTTATATATGCCTTGAAACCTTCTGTCTATGTATGTAGTGATTGGTGTGGAAAGACTAACAGCATGAGCAAACTATGAGGAGACTACACCGGTTATTTACCTACCGGCGTCTTAATGTCTGAGTGTTGGTCCAGATAACGCGCTGAGGCCGAATGAGCGAGGTTGGTGATTGGATGTGGTATCTCGGCGGTCAGAGATTGCATGCTCCGAGCGACAGCATACTCCGAGTGGTTGTATGCTTCTTGGCCGAGACACTACATGCTTCAACTACAACGATCGTTTCCTGAGACAGCAGTGTTGCTCCATCATGTGCTGGATCTATCTTAGCGAGATTAGGCTAACCCCTAAGTGGTGACCGAGAGCGTGGTTCAATTGGGAGCTTGAGCCATCCTTGCGGCTGGAGTAGCCTAATTTGAACGCATCGGCTGGCGAAGCGAGTGCCGTTTGCGAAGCTCGCTTGGTCTTCGGCTCAGGCGACCCAAAGAAAGACAATGGTGCACATACACATGCATGGACAATGAAGAAAGGCCCTTGACATTAGAGAAAAGCACGTGTGCTGAGGTATGATGAAAGTGGCTGGTGACAGCAAGTGTATGGCTGATGCGCTTCCAGAGCACGCCAAGTGCAGGGGTGCCCTGGTCGCAGAGCTTTGGCGGTAGACATGCGCTTTAGAAACCGTAGGTCTGAAAGTATCAAGCAGCCGTCGGTCGACATTGATGAGTGAAAGTCTCAGGCCAGGTTTGACAGAGAGTGGAGCGGATATATTGGCTGTTTAAGAGGGTGGCGACGAGCTGATAAGGTGTTGTTGTTGAGTGCCAATCGTGTATGCAGCCAAGGGAATCGATGATGTTTCCGTGTCAGACAACTTGCAAAGTGGGGTGGTCAATGAGGAGATTGACAAGAGGCTGGAAGAGGGGAGCGCCTCGGGCAAAGTCGTCAGCTTCAGCCCATGCGACGGCCTCATGCGCACTCATTGCATAGCCACTGGCGTCGTTGTTCTGAAGAGCCGAAGATGATGGACGTCTTGTGCGGTTTAAGAGTGAAGCTGACATGGTAGGCGCACGTATTGAGACAGAGGGATCCGCGTCGTCGGCATCTTGGAGTGCTTGGGCGAGGCTTTCGGCTTCGAGCAGCTTGTCTATCGAGACAGGAAGCGAACGACCTTCGGAAGCAGCGGCGTGTTGGAGAAGCTGAAGCTGATGTTGACGGTCGGCTGCTTCTCGAAGATATTTCATGGGAATCCAGAACCATCCCAAGCACTTGTTCGGCTGCATGATACGAGGTTGCGCAAAAGGCTGACAAGGATCCGACCTGAGGCTAGCCTTCATGAAGATGGTGACGTAGTGCTTGCCCTCGCCTTTCTCTCCATGATCCTTCATGCGCACCGAGTTCTGCGCTGTAAGGAACTGCAGCGGGGTAGGCGGGATGGTGTTGGTAGACAAGAGTGTCGAGGAGTTTGCGACAGGGGATGGAGTAGATGCGGTGGAGGAGAGGATGGGTTGTGAGGGAGATTGCGGTTGCAAGTGTGTTTGTGTTGGTAATGGCGATGGCGATAAGAGCTGCGACTGAGCGAGGGTGTGAGGCGGTTCGAGGATCAAGCCTGTCTCTTGATACACTTGTCGAGCTGCGCAATCTTGAAATGACTCGTGAAGTTCGAGATGGCCTCCAGGAAGAGCAAGTGTGCCTGCTCCATGACATCCCGTACGCTTGCCGACGAGAACGTGACCTTTCTCGTTGATCACAAAGACGGCGACGCCAACACGAGGAATCACAGTGGCATCCGATATTGGCCAAGCCGAGGCCAGTGGTGGATGTGATTGCATTTGATAGGGTTCGCCGTTGAGGCTCGAATCGAAGGGGCAAGCCGACTAGGATGAACGATCAAGGTAAAGTTTTGTGAGCTTGTATATGCTACGCTTTGGCAGCAAAAGGAGCGGTGGCGATGATGGAGAGCAAAGTGGCTAGAAACGGTTTTATTCCTTTTTCAAGGGTTTGCTGAGGATGACGATCCAGCAGATCTAATCGGGGATCGGATAGACCCAAGCTAATCGAAGATAGGATCGTTCTAATTCAATCGGGAATCGGACAGAGCCGATCGCAGAGAAAGATTGAGTTGAGGAATCTGATTTTCTGCGTAGATAATGATTGGTAGGAGAGAGAGAGAGAGCGAGAGAGCTTGGAGTCTATATATACAAAAGAAGAACGGCGGAGAGCCGCATTGACTGCGGAGCATAACAAAGCATTTGCCTTGAGTAGGTTGTGACACATGTGGTCCGTGCTAAGATGTTCAGGCCTTTCACTCGGCCATAAGCATTACCCTCGCTGTCTCTAGGCTTTGTGTAGCTTTATCTACTTCAACTCCCTCAACTGCCTCCCTCAGTGGCAAGGCAGGAGACTGCCGAGCCACTGCATCATGCTGGGCTTTTAGTCCCAGTCCCTGTCGCGCGCACTGTAGTATAGTCTTTCCCACCGGTTTGGTAAAGAGGTCTGCCAAGTTATCTGCAGTGTTAATGTACTTGATCTTGACCTTTCCATCTTGCACGTTATCTCTGATGAAGTGGTATTTGGTGTCAATGTGCTTTAACTTCCAGTGTTGCGCAGGGTCCTTGCTAACCTGGATGGTACCAGTGTTGTCTGAAAAGATTGTAGGGATACCAACATCGATTCCAACAGCCTTGAAGAGGTGTTTGAAGAACAGGACCTCTCGTGCGGCTTCTGTCGCAGCTACAAATTCTGCTTCCACCGCCGATAAGGCGGTGCAGCGCTGTAGTGCTGATTTCCATGCTACCAGGTTGCCACATACGAACACTGCTGAACCAGATGAGCTTTTGCGTTGTGCTGTAGCGTCGCTTGCCCAGTTTGCATCGCTGTGCGCCGTCAGAAAGTCTTGTTGCTTGTTGCTGCCATATTGTAAGCGGATATCTCGTGTGTAGTCCAAATATTGGAGTACTTTCTGTGCAGCATTGTAGTGCTCCCTTGACGGTTGTGTCATATAGCGTGCAAGGACGCCAACGGCTTGGCTGATGTCTGGACATGTTCCATTAGACAACCACAGGAGTTTGCCAACGATCTGTGGGTACTCCTTTCGTTCTGCTATGCTTGCTGCCGTTTCTGGGACTGGAATGTCTTGGAGTGGTACGCTAGACTTCCTTCTGCACTTGTCCAAATGTTCATCCAGAAGCTGCTTAACATAACTAGTTTGCTCGAGGTCCATGGTTTTCGCTTCTCGATCCCTGGTGATTTTGATCCCGAGGAAGTGGGAGACATTGCCACCATCCTCCATCCGCCATCTTTGGCCTATTTCCTCCTTGATACACCTTACTGTTTCTAGGGTTGGAGCTATAATTAGCGTGTCGTCAACATAGATGACCACTATTGCAAAGTTATCTCCTTCTCCTCTAGTGTAGATGCATGGTGCGCAGTCGAGCCTGTGGAAGTTTGAGCATCGCAGGAACTTATCAAACTCCATGTTCCATTCCCGTCCCGACTGTTTAAGGCCATACAGTCCCTTGATGACTCGGTAGGCTTTCCCTTTCGGCACTTTGGCACCTTCTGGTGGTTTCATGTAGATCACATGGTTGAGTGTGGAGTTGAGGTAAGCCATTGTGATGTCAAGCTGATGGACTTCCCAGTTGCGCTCCACTGCCAAAGATAACAGGGCTCTTATTGCGCTGAGCGGTGCCACAGGTGCAAAGGTTTCTTCGAAGTCGATACCCTCCCGCTGTGTGAAGCCCCGTGCGACGAGTCTCGCTTTGTGCCAGACTGGTATGCCATCGGCATCCAATTTGAGCCGAAGGACTATTTTGGAGTCGACAAGTCTAGTGTTTGGTGGAACGTCCACAATCTCCCATGTTCCCATTGCCTCAAGTCTGTCCAGCTCCTTGCGTATGGCTTCCTGCCATTGTTGTGCATCATTGCTGGCGAGTGCTTCCTTTAAGGTCGGCATGAGGTTCAGGGTGGCTGTGTGTGCTTCTCCAATTATCTCTTCAACATCGAGCTCCAACCTGTTGTCATCTATAGGGTCGGCGGGCAGTGCAGTGTGTATTTTGGGAAGTGGGTCCTCCATGTCGAGTACTTCCACCTCCAATTCGGGCTTGTTGCTATCTGTCTCGGGTCTAGTATCTTCTGCTTCAAGGCTCTCGAAGCCGAACTGCAGTGGGCTCTGCACACTGGGGCGATCATGCCAACCTTTGGCTTCATGGAATGTGGCTGAGTTGCTCCACCGTATAGATGGGGTGTGGCCAGGGGTAAAGAATTTCCAGCCCTTGTGCTCGTCATCGTAGCCGACCATGATTCCTGGGATTGCTCTTACGCCGTGCTTTCCTGTATGATCCTTCTTGGGGAGGTGGACCCAAGCAAGGCAGCCAAAGACACGCAGCTGCTTGGCCAAGCCATGTGCAGACTTGTGGTGGAAGTCCTCATATGGGATCCTATTTGCTTCGGTAGAGGGTGTCAAGTTCAGTGTGTGCCCTGCAGCCATGATGGCATAGGGCCACAGCTCCTTTGGTACTGATCTCTGGACAAGCATTGCATGCATCTTTTCTTGAAGGGATCTGATCATGCGCTCTGCTCTCCCATTCTGGGCACTGACGTAAGGTGTGGTTTTCTGCCACTTGAACCCTGCTTCTCGTTTCCATTCTTCTGCTCCAAAGCTGGACCACTCTGTTCCGTTGTCGCTGCAGATGCACTTTAGCGTGTGGTCCGTTGCTATCTCTGCTGCCTTGATCCATGCCTTTAGGGCGGGGAATGCTTCGGTCTTGCTGAGGAGTGGTTTCACATATACATAGGATGACGAGTCATCTACAACTACCAGTGCATGGTGGTAGTTGGGATGGCCTTTCAGGTCCGTCATCAAGTCAATGTGTACCAGCTCCAAGGGTGCCTGGGCTCGCTCTGTTTTGCTACTTGTCATTCTTGCGCGTGTTTGCTTTGCTTGGCTGCAACAGTTGCAATCCCTTGCGTCATGTCCAAGCTGTGTTTCTTTTCCTAAGTAGTGGGCCTGGATTTGCTTGGTTTTGTTCCTGCCAGGATGACCGAATCGTTCGTGCCATAGCTTGCTCGTCGTGTGGCTTGCGGGTTTTGCTGGTGTTGTGGTAGCATCAATGCCCTCTAGGGGATCATTGAGCTGTGCTGCTAGGGAGTCACCGTAAACCTCCCATCTCTTCTTGCGCCGGTTGGTCTTGCTCTTGACCATGCTCCCATCATGCTGGAGGATAGTAGCTCCAGACTCTTCAAATATCACACGTGCACCATTTTCAGTCAGCGCTGGGATGGACAATAGGTTCTTGCTAAGGTTTGGAACGTGAAGTACATCAGTGAGTGGTATCTTAACGTCTCTTACTCGCAAAGTTGCGTCGCCTATTGCCTGTACTCGCAACCATTCATGTCCAGCAGTATCTATGGATCCTTGCTTCGGCGTCGGAGCAATGAGCTTACCCTCATCATGTACCATGTGATGTGTAGCTCCAGAGTCGAGAATCCACGTACTGTCTTGTTTGCGGTTGCCAGTGTTGCTTATGAAAAAGGTGCACCCAAGTCCCTATCCCTGCTGAGTAGGAGTTTGCTCCTGACTGTTGGTGCAGTTGATGGCAATGTGCCCGGGTTGCCTACACTTATAGCACTTGGCCGGTTCATTAGGGTTTGCGGGGTCGCGCCTGCCCCTATTGTAGCCCTCTTGGTTAAGAACCTGCCTATGCTCGCCAGCTTGGCCTGTTGAACTTCTATTGCTCGCGGCTCTGGCCGTGGCTCGGATACGACCTGAGAGCTCGGCTTCTTGGTGCTTCTTAGCTAGTGCATGATAGGCATACTCATAGCTGCAACCAGGTTGAGCAGCTTTGAGGGAGTCTACTGTCTGGGTGTAGAGCCAGTCGTCTTTGACGCAGTGGTACAGGGTAGACTTCTTGAGCTTTTCGTCCATGCGGCTACCGAGCCTGGCTGTGTCATTCCAGATTTGACCGAGCTCCTTACCAAGGTTGGCAATGTTGTGCTGGGCTAGCTTGACTTCGTGTACCCGGTCGTGAATGGCGGAGAGCTTAACTTCGTCGTTTATTGTGAGGGCGGCTTTGAGCTTCTTGTAGAGTGTAGAGCCGAGCTGCTCCTCCTCACCTTGCTCCCGCACAGCGTAGGTGTTGATACGGCTGGTGGGTCCGTGGTCACAGGAGGACAAGATGAGACCCAGCAAGTGGCTGTCTAGTTCCTCATCATAATCGGTATGGCCACTGGGAATCTCCTCAGTGAGGATCTGCTTGGCGTTCTTGATTGGGCGGATGCAGTCCATGAACATCGGCTCCCAGATGGCCCAGTTGTTCTCGTTGAGCTTGACGATTTGCGAGATGATGCTGAGCACCGACTTGGGGATCTTCTCTGCTTGGTTGGTGTTGGGTTGGAGGTTTATTAGCGAGAAGGCATGCTCCAAGACTTGGTCTTCGTCCCAGTTGGTGTGAGTTTCCCTGATCATCTGCATGGTGCGTTTGAGTAGTGCTACACTATCTACTCTTGGTGGCATCCTGGTGGCGAGGCGCTAGAAGCTGCTGAGCTTCAGACTCTTAATCAGTTGAGGAATCTGATTTTCTGCGTAGATAATGATTGGTAGGAGAGAGAGAGAGAGCGAGAGAGCTTGGAGTCTATATATACAAAAGAAGAATGGCGGAGAGCTGCATTGACTGTGGAGCATAACAAAGCATTTGCCTTGAGTAGGTTGTGACACATGTGGTCTGTGCTAAGATGTTCAGGCCTTTCACTTGGCCGTAAGCATTACCCTCGCTGTCTCTAGGCTTTGTGTAGCTTTATCTACTTCAACTCCCTCAACTGATTGGATGCTATTCAACTCGACTAATTAATTTTTTTTTCTTTTTCTTTTTCTTTTTCTTTTTCTTTTTCTTTTTATCAGAGTGTTGAAAGGACGAATAGCGTGGCGTTGTTGAGGCGTGGCGCTTTTGGTGTTAGAGTCGATTATGCTAACATTCTTTTCGCAATTCACGGTCTCCAAATCTCTCCTCTCACATTCCTGATCTCAAGTCGCGTTGCTGGCAGAGGCAGTTGCCAGAGTGCACGAAGCGAGCGCGTGTTGCTGTGCCTCTTCTCTCTCTTATCATGCAGGTTGTGGATCAGACAAGCGCTTGGGAAAACGATATTGACGATATCTGCCATACCTCCTTTCAGACTTTTGATGTGAGCAGCGACAAGGGAGAGGAGGAGGATGAGAGGAGGAGGAGGAGGATGATGATGATGATGTGTGCAGAGGTAAGTTGGCGCGTCTTTTTTCTCTCTCTCTCTCTCTCTCTCCTATTGTGCTTTTACTGCTTTGCTTCGCTCCCATCCATATCAGAGCCGCTCCAGTCGGCTCATCCGAAGCAGCAACACAGCCCCCAAAAGCGAATCGGCGTCTCCTCTCATTTATACGGACATTGTCGATTTGCAACTTGAACCTCGACTTGAACTTTCGGCCTAGCCGATAGTCTATCGGAAGCACCGAACTTGCTGCCTCACCTCCACCACAAGGCTCAGTCGATATTCCCACGGTCATGTCGGGCATTCCGCCTCATCTGCCCATCTTGCCCGCTGGCTTTGGCACTGATTCATCTTATCCACCAATACCAGGGAGCACTCGAATCACAGCATCGCAGCCCAAACCATCGCGCCCGCCTGCCATGTCACCAGCACCAATCCTAACAGGCTCACATCGTCCAGTCGCTCCCCCTTTGCCACCACTACCACCAGGAGCGTTGCAAAAGGAGCACCACCACCAATGGCGACGACATCAATCTGCTTCCTACTCGTCTTCTCCTAGCTTCAGACCAGGTTACTTGGTCCATGCTCCAACACCAACACCACCACCTCCTCCACCACCTCCACCTCAGCCTCCGTCCTCTCGCCCTCACTTTGTTGGCGGCTTCACATCTCCACCACCACAGCATGCCCAGCACCGGACAGGAACTCCCGTCGCAGCAGCAGCAGCAGCAGCAACGCGACCTCCCCAGGCCATGCCAACCCCAAACTATGGGCGCTTCTCTGCTCACGCACCACCACAATCACCTCCAAGCTCAACGAGCCACTCTCAGAGCCTCGCCAGCAACATGCAAAACCCGTCCGTTCAAAATGACGCTTACCCTTCGTCTGCACGGAGGGCGAGTGCAAATGACGCCTACGCAGCTGGTCCAAGCTCCTTATCGCGTCCGCCTCAACCTCCTGCTGCAGGTGCAGCCTCCTCTTCTAACTCGAATCGCCCTCCGAGCCTGTCTGCCCCTCTTCCCGACATGGGTTCATTGGCAGCCTTGCGAGATCGAGCACGAGACGACAAGCAGCGCATAAATTGGGCCAAACAGATGCTCAAATTTGTCGAGCGCAACTATTCCGATGGCAGCAAGATCAGCGAACCCTACTTGGTCAGATGGACCGATGAAGCCATCTCCATCATCACTCGCAATGCATCTTCGCAGAACCCTGAGCCCGAAGCCCTCTACCTTCGAGGTGACTTGCAAGCTTCTGGCGCTTTCCCCGCCTACATTGCCAAGAGTCTTAAGGAGGCATTCAACGACTTTGAACTCTCTGCTCGCATGGGTTGGGCTCCAAGCTGGTTCCGAATCGGACGTGACTATGAGGTGCTGGCAGATCTGTCCCGTGCCGTTCACGCCTACGATCGAGGTGTACAGGCAGGAAACGTGGGCAGCATCTACCGAATGGCAATGGCCAACTTGCTCGGCCAGCTGGATCTGCCTGTCAATCGCGCCAGAGCGATCGCCATGCTACGTGATGCGGCAGACAAAGCCGACCTCGACACACCGCAGCCACCCTACATCTATGGCATGCTGCTCGCTCGTGAGTTCTCTCATGTCGACATTCCGCCTCACCTGCTCAAGCCTTCCAACGTACAAGACTCGACCGAGGACGAGGCGCGTCGACGTATTCAGCGTGCTGCCTATCTCAACTTTGCACCGGCTCAGTACAAGTGCGGTTGGCTATACGAGTATGCCCAGCTTGGATGTGCTTTCGATCCACTGCTCAGTGTTCAGTACTACAGTCTGGCATCGCAGGGCGGCGAGATCGAAGCCGATATGGCTTTGTCCAAATGGTTCTTATGTGGTGCAGAGCAGTACTTTGAGAAGAACGAGACTCTTGCATACACGTTTGCCGACAAGGCAGCACGCAAGGGGCTTCCATCGGCCGAGTTCGCATTGGCCTACTATCACGAAGTAGGTGTCGGAACGGAAAGAAACGTTGACGTTGCAAGGAAATGGTATAGGAAGGCAGCTGCAAAGGACAACGCCGATGCGAAAGAAAGATTGCAGGCACTGCAGGGTCCGCAAGCACACGGAATGTCGCGTCAACAACACGAAGCAGTCATGGATGATAAGTTGGTCCGCAAACGTACGCAAGCCAAGATGCTTTCGGACCGAGCCGGACGTAGTCCTATGCATGAGCATGATCAGTACTTTGGAGTGGGCGATGGCGGTGGAGGACGTAGACAGAGCGGAGCGGTGCTGGCCAGCTCCGCTGCTGCTGCTGCCAGTGCCGGTCCGAGCAACACCAACGGTCGCTTAGGTGGCGGCGGCGGCGGCAACCTGGAGCTGTCGAGAAAGAAAACAATGAAAATGGTGGAAGAGACAGCAGCAGGTCGACAAAGACCCAATTATGGCGGATTCGACTCTCGACCAGCCCAGCAACAGCAACAACCTCCACCACCACCAATGCCACCGATCACTCAATATCAGCCTCCCCAGGTCAGACCGATCGGTGCTACTCCTCAGCCTATTGCTATCTTCCAGCCCAGTTCTACTCCGGGTCCTGCAGGTCGGATCACCTCAGGCACACACCATTCTCAAACGCCCGGGCGACATGGCGCTGGATACACCCTTCAGGACAGTAAGCCTCCCCCATCTGTTTCAAACTCCACATCATCATACTCAACACCGCATCATACCGCAGCTTCGTCCTACGCCAATGCCTCATCGAACCCGTCCACCACAGCGTCCAGCAATGGCGGCTCGGACGATTCAGCAGGAGGAGGAGGAGGGGTTGGAGGTGGTAAGAAACCTTACAACACCTTCGCCGAGATGGGCTTTGCATCTCAGAAGCAGAAGAAGGAGGAATGTGTCATTGCCTAGTCCCCCCTCTTGCCTTTCTTCGTGCAACATTCTTGTATTCCAGCATCACATTTCCCCGGATCTCAGTCATAGAAGAGATAGCCGATCTCACATGCTTGACCACATCCGTTCGTCTGTCTATGCGAGATTGCATTGCAAACTGAATCACTTTCTTCTTCCCACCAGCCCTCTGTTTCAGCTCCTCAACAGTTCTCTGCAACATGTCAGGGCTTCGCTGAGTCGAGCCGAGAGGGGCACGCCTTCATGACTGATCACGTGATGCATAATTTCTTCTCATTTCTTCTCGACGTCGCATCTTCCGACATCAACCATCTCGGTTGCCGACAAGTAGCGACTCAGCAGTTCGGCGGATCCGAAGGCGGAGCAGCCAACCATGGACGGCACAGCCGAAAGCAGTCGGTCGCCGTGCCGAAGCAGTTCAGCCTGGCGGCAAGGATCCGATGCTTCAATGTCGAGCCGTTGCCACTCTCGCTCACCTACACCACCACCACCACCACCTCTGCAGCGCTCACTTATACCCTCTCGAACCGAATCCCACACACTTTCCCACAGCTCCGGCCCAGACATGAGAGTCGACAAAACAGCACTGCGCATCAACCATCTCACCTCCAACGTTGGCGAATCACACCTACGTCATATCTTTGGCTGGTATGGCGACGTGGTTCGCGTCCACCTCACCCAAAGCCGACCAAATGGTGGACAAGGGAGAGATGCATCCGCACACGTCCTGATGGGTTCGGTAGAACATGCCGCCAAAGCAGCGCTCTACATGGGAGGAGGACAGATCGATGGCGCGATCATAACCATCAAGACTTGTGAGGCACCCGACCTTTTACCGCCTCAGGAAACCAGGGCAAGAGTCGGAGGGAGAAATGGAAGAGATGGACAGCATCCAAGAGATGGGTTCGAAGACAGGAGAAATAGTGGGAGAGCGGCGCTTCCTCCGCCGCGAGAAAGGGAATGGCCTTCAAAGGGATTGCATCCAGATCATCAGCGCATGTTTGGCGGTGGTAGAAGCAGGAGCAGGTACCATGATGGTCACAGTCGAGATTCTGGAGGTGCCAGTAAGATGCGTCCTTGGGGTCAACGCGCTCAAGGGTCTACATCGAGGAGGAGGGATATTGGGGACCGTCCAAGGGAAAGATCTGTATCGAGATCCAAATCACCGCCATCTCAAGGCAGAAGGCGTTCTTCGACCACAACGCGGGCTTCACCAACTTACTGAGCTGTAATCCTTGTCACATATCCACACTCTGTCTCATGCATCCGCTTTTGCACACTTGTCACTCTGCACATCTGTACTTCTTCTCAACACACACACACACACACAATCAAGAGACAATAAAGCAGATTCTGAGCAAAAGAGTGAATCATCATCATTCCAGGTCTGGATTGCGTTTATGCGCGAGGGGCAAGCTCAACGCTTCTTCCTCGAACCTCCGCTCTTCCCGCTCCTACTAGAAGTCTTCGCAGGAGGAGGTCCATCAGCATCGCCCTCTCTGTCTCTATCTTCGGGGGCGGACCTCTTCCTACTACCTCTCCCTCCTGCACCACTGCTCACACCAGCTGCTGGACCTGTTGGAATAGCAGGCTCGTCGACATCTCTACCCGCTCTTCTTTCGGATCTAGCTTGACTCCTCGCCTCTCTTTCCCTCTCCTTTTCTCTTTCTTTCTCCTTCTCGCGCTCTCGATCACGATCTGAACGGTGAGAATCACGATGGTGTTCCCTCGAGCTACCACTTTTGCGCTTGTGACCCGAAGTGGAGGATTGGGATGCGGTCTCGTCGTCCCAGTCTTCCCCACCTCCTCCACCGCGTTTTGAAGATCGCGAGCAACTGCTCTTGTCACGACGTGATGAATATCCACCCTCGTCGTTATCCCGACCATTGGTGCTTGTGTGATCCTGCGTACTTTCTCTTTTACTGCGACCACCGCGTCGACTCTTGTCTTCTGCGCGAGGCGGACTGTCCCACCCGTTTGATTCACGGGTTTCGCGTGGAGTTGAATCCCATTCGTCTGCTGCATCTGCACCTCCACCACCTGTGGCGCCGTAGTCGAGCGAGTCGGCTGCACCAGTGCCTGTGTCTCGATCATTGTATCGCTTGCCCGGATTCTTGGGTCCAGATGGAACATTGGGTGGCAGGGTCGGCGAGACAGCTCGAGGACGAGAAGAGCTGATGGAAGCAGCGGCGGCGGCGGCACGACCGCGGATCGAAGTGCCTTTGATTACTGCAGATGGTCCAAGAGGTGCTGTCTTTGGCGGTGGACCTGATGATTGGCGAGCAGCACGTCCAGTAGTCGACTTCTTGTTAGCAGCGCAAGTTGGCTCGGCTGTTTGACTGTTGTTGTCGTTGGTGGCAACAGGGATACCAGCAGCAGCGACTTGAGAAAGATCGACACCAGAAGCGCCAAAGAAAGCCGACATGTCTGCTTCAGACATTGGCCTCATTGACATGTTGCCGCTGTCAGCGGGGCCTGTCGGTGGTTCAAGACCGGTCGGTATGTCTTCCTCTTTGACTTTTGGTGTGCTGTCATCGTGTTGTGAGGCTTGACCTGTGGGTGCATCCCAGTCGTGTTCCGTGTCTTGTTGATCTCCTGTCTGGTCATACCCTTGCGACTGAGGGTATGATGAGTTGGAACCATCTTGTTGTCCTTGTCCTTGTCCTTGTCCTTGACCTTGACCTTGACCTTGGCCTTGACCTTGACCTTGACCTTGACCTTGGCCTTGAGGGAAGGGAGAGTTGCCGAATCGCTGTTGCTGTTGTTGCTGATTGCTGGGGCCGTTGGGTGGCTGTTGACCACCAAACATGCCTGACATCATCATGGGCGGCATACCAGGAGGCATGGGTGACATTCCAGGCATGCCGGACATGCTCGCCATCATAGCCATCATCTGCTCGGGTGGCATGGGTGGCATAGCCATCGGACCGGGTGGCGCGCCTGTGTTCTGCCCCATCTGGCCCATCATAGCCTGCATAGCTTGTGGTGGTGGCATGATTGAGATCATCTGCTGCATCATGTCATTAGCGCCGTTGTTACCATTGCTCGCGCCGCCAAAGAAGGTGCTCTCGGATTGTTTGCGTGCATCAGTCATGCGTTCCTTCTTACCTCGCCATAGACTCCATGTTTCCTCGTTGAAGCCGTAATTGAAGTAGTCGGTGAGATCGGCACCGTAGCGTCGCCAAGGCTTCTCCGGAAGAGCTTCCAGATCAATGTCAAAGATGTCTTGCGCTTCAGCCTCTTCTTCTTCGACGGTATCTTCTGCTTTGGGGTATGCGCGGTCTTCTGGGCCGGGAGAGAGATTGAGGCGAGGTGCAGTGGAGGGGACGCCAGGAGGTCCACCTTCAGGACCGAGGCCATCGAGCGCGGTCTGGGGCTTGGCGGGAGATGCACGGGGAGGGGTCGGAAGGAGGGAGGAGAGGCCGGCTGGTTGAGAGGCAGCGCCAGCAGCGGTCGTTGAAGCTGGACTGGTGTTGGCTAGAAGCTGGGATCGAGAGAGGGGCGTGTACTCGGATGTGAGGGTCGACTGCGGGCGTTGAGGTGTGCTCTGGTTGGGAAGAGGACGTGCACCTGATCTCTGGAAGCCAGACCGTTGTGCTTGTTGCTGCGCTTCTGTGTTTGCGTCGATAATGAATTCGATGTCTGAGTCGCTGTCCTCGTCTTCGTCCTCGTCCTCGTCCTCGTCCTCGTCATCGTGATCCTCAGCTTGACCTTGGTTCCCGTTGTTGGCTGCGACGTCGGTTGACGCTTGCTTTCCATGAGAACCAGCAGACGTAGCTCCAGGAGCTGTTGCGCTGTTGGCAATATCATCAGGCTTTAAAGAGGTAGGAGCGGCTGGCTCGTCGCCGTACAAGAAAGCGTCGTCGTCGTCCTCCATTCTGCGAGTGGGTGCCGTAGCGAGTAGCTCTGGCTCCGAACGAGTGTTGTATGGATCGGTGAAAGAGTGTACAAGGTAGAGACGGCTGAGTGGGAGGTTGGGCAAGCTGGGCAAGCTGGATTGAGTTGTGAAGAAGGAATGGCGATGTTGTGGTCTGAGCGTCGACGGTCGACTTGATTTGATCTGCGAGCGAGAATTGCTTTCCCTTCCATTTTTGCCTTGGTCACGTGGATCAACAATATCGGGAGAAACTCCCCACTGGGCTGCGAAATCGGCGATCGATAGACACTAGGATAGCCGTGGATCGGATCTCGTGCGAGTTATTGGCTGTCGTGGATCGGAATCCTCGAAATCTAACATGTCAGGCGCTGGAAAAGAACTGCCGACCTATCTTGAACAAACCTGACGCAAAATCGACGCATCGCCTTGACCATGAAATTCACGACCTCGAAAGGGCGTTTGGCCAGTGTAAGAAGTTGATTCCTCTTACGCTCTCTCGAGGCGCAAGGAAATGAAGATAACAATTAATATACGGCGTTATCGGGGTCACGATCAGACTCCCTTTACCACAGCCGTATGTTCTATGTAATGCTTAGTTTTCATGATGTGAGACTGAATGACAAACACATATATATACTCCATTCACTGCTCTGGTCCTATTCGAGGCAGGATGTGTCTCTTCATTTGTACTCCTGTGTTGCTATGATACCGGGTGCCACTGTGCTGTCACCATGACAACAATTACGTACCTCATTGTACTTCTCGCTTACGTGAGCCTCCCGTGTCTCAATGTCTCGGCCGTAACATGTGCATCTTACTTGAGATGCCGACGCATCTTCAACTAAGGTACCAGCTGAGAGGAGAGGGCAAGTTGCAAAAATCTAACATTGTTTTGACAGCACGGGAGCAGAGGTGAGAGGCCGGTTAATAATCATTCCCTTGAATCGAACCTTCTCACAGTGCTCCAGTGCCGTGCCAACTGAGCCTTGCGCGCCGAATCAGTTTGCTTTCCTTCTCAGGCGCAACAGCAGAGTCGATCGCCTTATCCTGAAATTGGCCACCGGCGCATCCTTCCCTCTCCACCACCATCCATCATCATTCTATCACGACCATAGTCTGATGTTACATCATACACAGTAACTTGCTCGCCACACCATCCCGCCGCTCTTCCGGCTTTCCATCTATATAGCCTCCGATATCGCTAGGCTCTCATACATCCACACTTGATCAGCTCCATTCAGCTACCATCATCTCGACCAAACCCAAGTTCATCTACCTCTTTGACATCATCATCATCGTCACCGCCAACATCCACAACATCATCGGCACTGCTCTGCGACCCTTTGACATTGGCGTTTCCAGTTCTTCACACGACCTTTGCCCAAATCATCGAGAATCTTGCATGTCTGATTGGCTTTGATGCTGCTCAACACCGAATCGCCTCCATACACAGTCAACCTTCCCAAACAGCCTCTATCCTCAGGCTTGTTTCACCCCTCTCGACTATTCGTCAGAGCGCAACTTCCGGTGGTTTTTCACTCCGAACCTCGTCTCCTTGCCTATCCAACCTCCCCTCTTTGCAGCATCTGATCAAAGTCAGTTGCGAGCTGGTTGATAGCTAGGCCTCGACTCTTTGGCGCCTGTCGCGCTTCGCGACCACCATTCCTTAGCTCCAACAACTCCCCTTTCCCTCCTCGGCAGCCGACATCGCCCTGCCATCTTCTCTTCACTACTTTCTTTCCTCCCTTGACCACTCTCTCTTCGTAGCCGTCAACACCTCTCTACTTCTCCTTTGCCAAGATCATCTGAGCCAAAGACAGCCAGTTTTTTTTTTTTTTATACATCTAGCTCGTCCTTCCGTTTGTTTTAAGAGCATCAGCCAGCCAGCCAGCTCTTCTCTTCAGCGCATTATTTCTTTCGGCGTCCGATTCGTTACGCCAGTGCTCTCTTCTGATCGTCATCAAGGTCTTTTTTTTTTTTTTTTTCCTTTCTGCTTCGTCTCGCGACCGATACCTATCGACCCGTATACCAGCCTCTCTCTCACACACACGCAGACGGGCTCTGTTTCTCGAACCTCCCCCCCCCCCCCCCCCCCTTTTTTTTTCTCCTTATCATTGCCACCTTCGTTCTTCGTAGGCAGCAACTCAACTCCCGATCATGGCCGGCACCTTCGACTTTGAAGCCTTCATCTCCTTACCCTCTCAGGGAGAGGTTGTCCAGTCTATCGTTCCGAACGGTGCCAATCCAAACGCCATTACCACCACCACCGATAGCCTCGGCAATCCAATCATCACCAATGCCAACGACAACTCGTTACTTGGCCCTGCTAATGACATGATCTCTTCCTTCCCTGACCAAGGCATGAGCAGCGGTCTCGAAAGCAGCAGCCATCAGTACAATGGAGGCATCGACATGATGAGCAGCTCCACCCTCATGAGCCAGTCCAACTCCATGATGTACTCTGGCAGCAACTATGGCGACTCGTTCGGCAATCACAACATCAAGTCTTGGGATATGGGCAACAATGCTGGCGCTGCAAATGTTGCTTCTTCCTTCGACTTCGGCGGCGTCGGTGCATCGGACCCTACAGCCAACGTCGACGGCGGTGCATCCACAGCTCAGCTTCAGAACGGTCCAATGGCCGCGCCCGCTTCCTTAACTTCGGACCCCATCACCGCTCCGCCAAGCGGCGCGGCCGAGAATGGCAACAAACGCGCTCGCGACATCACCGCCTCATATCGCGACCAGATCGCTGCTCATCATTCACACCTCATGAACATCAGCACTGCGCTTGGTCCCAATGGTTCCGGTAGTCGCAGCACCTCTTCCATCCCTCGCGTGTCAACCTTTAAGCACAATCCCATGAACCGTTGCATCACTACTTCCAATGCAGCCAAGTTGAACCTTAGCCTACAGGAACGTCGACGACTCTCACGACAGGCAGCCAAGCACGGCCCCAACACCGCCCAGTCTCAGCAAAACGCAACAGCCCAAGGTGCCAATGCCTTTGCTCCCCTTGCCGGCCGAGGTGCCAAGCGTGGTCTTAACGGCGTCAGTGGTCAGATCAGCAGCACTCCCCAACAGTCCCTGCCTCTACCATCCCGCAGCGTCTCGTTCATGAACGATTCGTCAGGCTCGTCTGTATCCTCGTCCAGCACGTCACCTCAAAAGATGCTTGATAGCCGCTCGTCGAGCTTCATGCAGTCCACTTCCAGCAACAATGTCGCTAGTCCCGGTGCAACCGGTAATGGTCTCGGTGCACCTTCATCAGTGTATCAGGGTAGCTTCAGCACCACATCGGGCGAGGCGGTTCCCACCTCGAACAAGTACTCGACCTCAGGCATCGATGTGCTTGGCATTTTGTCCCGCGCCATCACGCGTCCCAACCCCAGCATCGCGCTTGGTCCTGTGGATCTGTCTTGCTCCTTTGCCATCTCTGATGCTCGTCATCCCGACCAGCCTCTTATCTATGCCAGTGAGACCTTCTGTCACTTGACCGGTTACACTTTGCACGAGATCCTTGGCAAGAACTGTCGCTTCTTGCAGACACCCGGCGTGCCCTTGGAGGCCGGCGCCGAGCGTCTGCACACCGACAATCGCGCCGTCGAGCATCTCAAGCGACACAACAGTGGCTTCCGTGAATGCCAGGCCAGTCTCATCAACTACCGCAAGGATGGCAGCCCGTTCATCAACTTGGTCACCGTCGTGCCTGTTTCCTGGTCCGACCCTACGCAGGTCGACTTCCTCGTTGGTTTTCAAGTCGACCTGGTTGAGCAACCTGGCGCCATCCTCGAGCGCAAGGAGGACGGCTCGTACCTCGTCAACTATCGTTCCATCAATGATCCTCCCCCTTCGGCCATCCTTGGCGCTGACGAGCCGGTCAAGGACGCTGACGCCGAGGCTTCGAAGCAAGCTGCTATCGCCGCCGACATCCTTGATCTGATCCATGGCGTTGGTCCTTGCGATTCTAAACAGTGGTCGCGAGTTTTGCTCGAGAACTCACACGATCTCATCTATGTGCTCTCGCTTAAAGGGACCTTCCTCTACGTCTCGCCATCGATTGAGCGTATTCTTGGCTTTACCGCCGAGGAGGTCATCGGCAAGTCTATTTCAGAGTTCTGCCATCCTAGCGACGTTGTCCCTGTCTTCAGAGAGTTGAAAGATTCGACGAGCAATGCTAGTATCGCGGCTGCTGCATCGCGCAACATCCGCACTGAAGGTGTTGCCAACCCGCTCACCAAGGGCGGTGGTGGCCAAGCTGGTCCTCGTGTCAACTTGAACATGCGTATGCGTCACAAGCATGATGGTCATCGCTGGATCGAGAGCACCGGTAAGCTGCATCTCGAGCAGGGCAAGGGCCGCAAGGTGGTCATCTCGAGCGGTCGACCCCGTCCAGTCTACAACCTGGCATGGGAGCACGTCCGCCGTGGTGCCGAATCGGCACAGCCCTCGTTCTGGTCTAAGCTGTCGATCGATGGTGTCTTCCTCTGCACCACCGGTCCCGTAGCTGATGTGCTCAACTGCGATGGTAGGGACATCTTTGGTCGTCATGTGCTTGAAGTGACCAACTACGAAGCTGCGCCTTCCCTTTTGCAGGCGCTCCGTAGCAGTCAGGCCATGACCGTCTCACATTTGATGGGTGATGGTGTCAACAATTCGGTCCCCGTCTTCACATCCTTCTACCCTTCGTCTGCAGCCGCTGGTCCTGCACTGCCTACCGTGTTCGTGCACGTCCAGCGTGCATCGGCCGAGAGCTCCTGGATGATCCCCAATGTGGCTTATCCCAAGGGCGGTCCTCAGCCTGCCTTTGACTCTACAGGGACCAGCGTCGACTCGCTGACGTCGGTATTTGCGGAACTATCAACATACCGCAGCAGCTCGTGGGTATTCGAGATGCACCAGCTCAAGAATGTCAACCGCCGTCTCAAGGACGAGATCCGAGCACTGCGTCGCCAGTCAAGAGATCACTTTGCTCTGGGCCAGCAAGGCATGTCGGCCAACGGCGTCAAGCTTTCTACACCGCAGAGCCCCACTATGGCTGGTGGTCGACGACACAGCGGTCACATGGATGCCTCGCCGTTTGGCGTTGGAATGGGTCAAGGGGCAGTAGTTGCTCGCATTCAAGCACCCAGTCCTATCCGACGACGACCCGATCACGGCCACGGTCACCGCCAGCACTTGCGTCCTACAGCGGCTTTGCAGTACCTGCATACGGGCAGCAGCACCGATCGTGGCAGCAGCAGTTGCTCGGGATCCGAGATCTCGCCCTTCGGCAAACGTGCTCCCAACGAGCGTCGTTCTGGCTCGGGCAATGCTTCGGACGAGACAGGTGCTACCACCACATCGGGCGACACTTCGGAGAAGGATGGCGCCTCCAACAACGGCAATAGTACAGGCAGTGGCAGCTCAAGTCGTCGCAGCTCAGCCGAAGCCTGCTGAGCCTCTCATTCTCCCTTGACAGGTGGACATTCTCTTTCTCTCCCTCGTCTTGCTTCATTCCGTTTGTGGTCTTTATTGTATATACACATGTTCTGCTCTGTATTTTGTTTCTCGCAAGGCCTGGCGCCCCTCTCAGAATGATTGGGGCACATTGTTTTATCTGAAAAAGCTACAGCTAAGGGTAGATCTGCAGATCTTTTAATCGTAGTGCTCTAGTTCAAAACTTGTCATTGGTGTGATCAGAGTCTGACGGTTCCGAGGGGGAAGCCTCGCTGGCAAGTCTCGAGCATGTGAGGATAGCGTGCGCGAAATGACATTGTTTCATCATCCCGTCTGGACTCAACCGTGCGAAAAACACAACAAAAAACTAAGGCAAAAAAGGACAACTAAGTAGATTGCAGGCAAAGACCTGTGAGGTCCTCGAAGCTCGACGATGAGGCTCCTGGCCCACCAACAGCTGCAGTGTCGCCTGCACAGCAGTCAGCAGTCACAGCAGAGGGGCCAGGGCCCCACCAAGGTCAAGTTTAGAGGACCGGGTCCTGCCAAGAGGGACCAGGAGGGATGAGGGGTCCCTGACAGGATGAGTAGAGGGCTGCCGCAACCATGGTGCACCTCTTGGATGCTGATCAGGCAACATATCAACAATAGCAGTCCGAGTTCCAGCACCCAAGAAGCTTAATGGTATCTGTGTCAATGCCCTGCGACGCAGCCCAAGTGGCTGCCCCTCGATGGAAAGAGTGCCCTGCATAATGAGACATGTCCAGTCTGAGTCGAGAGAGAGCTGAGTGGAGGTGCTGGAGGAAAGCAGAGCAGGAGAGCAGCTTGTACCCATCATGCAACCCAAAGAGGGGGGCATCCAGCCAGTGGACAGAGGGGCAGAGGAGGCAGAGGGCGGCATATGGGCACTCCACCCCACCAATGTGGGGGACCATGAGTGGGGTTCCAAGTCAGAAGGGATTGGTCTTCGATGCTGGGAGGAGAAGGATGGCATAGTCATCCTGCCATGTGACCAACCCAACCAGCAGAGTGGCTGGCAAAGCCTGGCTCCAAGTGACCTCCCCACACCATAGGAAACAGGAGAAGGAGATGGCAAAAGCTGCAGCAATGACCTGGTGGTCCCAGGCACCAAGGGGGAGGGTCTGGAGTTGCCCCAGGATGGCCTGGAGGAGTGGGAGAGTGATGGGCAGCTTGGGAGCTGCTGGCCAGAGGCCATGGGTGCATTTGATGCCACAAACTGCATGCTCCAGGCAGCTGTGGCAGAACCCATCGAGGGTGAAGCCGAGATCCACATGCCAGGAATGGAGAGCATCGAGCTTGTGCTGGACACTGTGGAAGGAGCAGGACTGGGCCAGGTCACAGACCCACTCAGTGAGGAGCAAGTCAGAGGCTGGGAATGGTGGGGTGCTGGGTCCGAAATGGTGATTGATGAAGGCTCGATAGCGGCCAGGGACACCGGTGCTATGGCTGCAGCTGAAAGCAGCATGGCCCTGCCATATGTACATAGTGGCAAGGGGGGAACAGCCAGTGGCAGCGACAAAGGCTGTTGGGGCTCTGCAGAGGTGGGAGGGAAGAGGAGCCGATGTGCCACTGGGAAGTGTGTCTGTATGGCAAGGAAACGTTGGTGAGAAAGGAGGTCAGCCAGGTGGTTGTCCTCCGAGGCAATGCAGACTGGCTGCAGGGTGATGTGCCACCGAAAGCAAATCCCAAAGATCTCGTGGAGCAGGGTCTGGGTTAATGGGTCGCAGGAACGGCCATTGCGGAGACTGAATTTGACATTGGTGTTGTCCACATGGAGGACTACCAGGTGTGGACCAGACCAGAGAGGAAGGAAAGTGTGGAGTGCCTCCAGAACAGCAAGTGCTTCCAGAAAACAGATATCCTTCGACCAGTGGTGATGGGGGACCTCCCAGGAGAAGGCCGCTTCAGGGGCATGCATAGGCCTGAGGTGGGCTCCAAAGCCTCACTTGGATGCATCAGTCCAGACATGCTTAACAAAGAGTGGTGAGGGCTGTAGGAGGGAGTGACCCAGCCAGGCCCAAAGGGTGGACCTCCACCACCTGAGCTCGAGTGCTGCTGGCTGGGAGACATGCCAGAGGGACAGGGGGCAATGATGGGCAGTCTTGATGGCATCATATAGCTGGCGCAGGAATGCCTTACCATGGGGAACAACTTGGGAGACAAACTGGAGAAGACCGGTGATGTGTTGCCAGTTGAGGAGGCAAGCAGAGCACCAGTGTGGGAGATTGCCAATGGCCTCCAAGATGCATATGCACTGTTCGGAGGTGATGCTGACACTCTGCTGGACAGAGTCAATCTGGATGCCAAGGATTTCCAGCTTGGTGGTGTCCCAGAAGGTTTTCTGTGGGGCCAATTGGAGACCTAAAGCTGAGCAAGCCAGAGCAAGCACATGCAGCAGTTGGCCAGGGTCTGCAGAGGCTGGGACTGCCCCAAAGAAGTCATCCAGGTAATGGTTGACAGGGTGGCCCATAGCCAACTGCATGATCCAGTGCAGGGCCTCAGCAAAGAGGTTGAAGATCCAGGGGGAGCTGCGGCCCCCAAAGGTGAGGCCAGTCTCCATAAAGAAACGACCATCAAAGGAGAAGCTGAGCAGACGAGCATCAGCAAGGGTGGTGACGACATGCTGGAAAGCATCAGTCAGGTGTCATGGGCCTGGATGCTCAAGAAGCAGGAGGGTCACGGGTTCAACAGGTATTGAAGATCTAGTCGAGATCAGTAGAGAGCATGGTCGTAGTGCAGTCTCCATGGAGACCATGGACTCCTACAGACCCACATGCAAAGGAGGGCCAAGCACAGCCATGAGGAGGACCAAGCTCAAGGAGCAGGCACAGCCATGAAGAGGACCAAGCTCAAGGAGCATGCAGATGGTTACCACTCAGGGGCTCAAGAGACAAGAGCCAAAGGAACTGTCACTGATCAGGAGGAGGAGGAGCAGTGTCAAAGGAGTCAACACCAGGTCATGAGGAGGAGGAGCAGTGTCGAAGGAGTCGACACCACTCAAGAGGTACAGGGGTGCCAAGCAGGAGAGGCCCCTGAGCAGTACTCAATGAAGAGGGTACTCTCTGGAGAGAGAGCAGGAGCAGCATCGCTGGCGATGCTGTGAAGAGGTATATAACCATACTTTCTCATCATCATAGGTTGAGTGGATCCTCATCCACTCTACTCACCATATAACTAGTTATCACTTCAGCATAAGTATACATTAGTTTCAGTCAGCATAGCAGCAATCTATCAAGGTTGCTCCTCATTGTAGTGTGTGTGTTGTATCACCACTACCTGATGTCCGAAGGCGCCCATAGCAGGTTAGTGGTCCAGATCAAGATAGAACCAAAGGCAGTAGTCCACTGCGGTCCAGGGATCACTTCAAGCATCAAGTCAACACACTGGACACTCGTGTTGATGCCACCAACCTTATCACCAACACCATCAACCTCATTATCATCGACATCACCAATCTCATCACCAATGTCATCAACCTCATCATCATCAACACTCACACCAGACCTTGGTGTCATCATAACATCGATATTGATCGTGCCGAGCTACCCCTGAACGGAGTGTCCACAGAGGTCAGCCGAAACCTACGATAGTATATACAACGAACGCCACCTGCTGTCACTGCACAACTTGATAGTCACCGATACCAAGACAATAGCTGTCGCACAGTTTGATAGTCACCGAGTATCTCGACAGACCGACCTGGGTTTCAGGCGCGAGACCCCTGACATTAGAGTGGATCGTTCAAGCAGCTCCTCACGATCACCATGACGGACCCAGACCTCAACAATAAGCTCGATAGACTACTCACTCTATTGGAAGCACAGCTAGAGCTTACCAGACAGGGTCATCGAGAGGAACGATTACAACGAGCTCAACTGAGCAGGGAGGAGACAATGGACCTCTCTCACTCAGAAGACCAAGCAGGAGGAGGAGATGAGTCTATGATAGGAGACCCACATACTCCTACTCCGGCTCCACGACCCAGATGATCAGTCTCATTCAACCTAGATGAGCAGGAGGACATCAACTATGAGAAGTATGCTTCACCTACTGGGCCAAGATATGTCAAGTCTAAGGTGGACCCCTACAGAAGGACTAGGACGGACCCTTACCCCCTGGACCATGAGGAGGACACCAGCATCATGGCAGAGCTTAACCGGTCAAAGCCCATCGCCACCCCCTTCCCAAAGTTCAATCCCCAAGACATGGAGATCTTCATTCTAGAAGCCAAAGCATGGTTTAAGTTCAACCAGGTGTATGAGCAGACTAGGATGATCAATCACATGGGTGCTCAACTGGAAGGGACAGCAAGAGAGTGGTGGACCTCCAAGCTCCGTATTGATAGAGCTAGAGAAGGAAGGTTGTTCAATGATTGGCACTACTTCACAGAGCAACTGTCAGAACAGTTCAACCCACACAATGCTAGGATGGAGGCATACAACAAGCTGTTGGCTCTCAGACTCACAAGTGATGCTCCTGGTGCCGCCACACATCATGTAGAGCGGTGTCATGGGCCTGGATGCTCAAGAAGCAGGAGGGTCACGGGTTCATATGGAAGGAGCACAGGTATCGAAGATCTAGTCGAGATCAGTAGAGAGCATGGTCGTAGTGCAGTCTCCATGGAGACCATGGACTCCTATGGACTCACATGCAAAGGAGGGCCAAGCACAGCCACGAGGAGGACCAAGCTCAAGGAGCAGGCACAGCCACGAGGAGGACCAAGCTCAAGGAGCAGGCACAGCCACGAGGAGGACCAAGCTCAAGGAGCAGGCACAGCCACGAAGAGGACCAAGCTCAAGGAGCATGCAGATGGTTACCACTCAGGGGCTCGAGAGACAAGAGCCAAAGGAACTGTCACTGATCAAAGGAGGAGGAGCAGTGTCAAAGGAGTCGACACCAGGTCATGAGGAGGAGGAGCAGTGTCGAAGGAGTTGACATCAGGTCATGAGGAGGAGGAGCAGTGTCGAAGGAATCGACACAGCTCAAGAGGCACAGGGGTGCCAAGCAGGAGAGGCCCCTGAGCAGTACTCGATGAAGAAGGTACTCTCTGGAGAGAGAGAGCAGGAGCAGCATCGCTGGCGATGCTGAGTAGAGGTATATAACCATGCTTTCTCATCATCATAGGTCGAGTGGATCCTCATCCACTCTACTCACCATACAACTAGTCAATACTTTAGAAACACAAGTACTCATTAGTTACAGTCAGCATAGCAGCAATCTATCAAGGTTGCTCCTCATCGTAGTGTGTGTGTTGTATCACCACTACCTGACGTCCGAAGGCGCCCATAGCAGGTTAGCGGTCCGGATATAGATAGAACCGAAGGCAGTAGTCCACTGCGGTCTGGGGATCACTTCAAGCATCAAGTCAACACACTGGACACTCGTGTTGATGCCACCAACCTTATCACCAACACCATCAACCTCATTATCATCGACATCACCAACCTTATCACCAACACCATCAACCTCATTATCATCGACGCCACCAACCTTATCACCAACACCATCAACCTCATTATCATCGACATCACCAATCTCATCACCAACACCATCAACCTCATCATCATCAACACTCACACCAGACCTTGGTGTCATCATAACATTGATATTGATCGTGCCGAGCTACCCCTGAACGGAGTGTCCACAGAGGTCAGCCGAAACCTACGATAGTATATACAATGAACACCACCTGTTGTCACTGCACAACTTGATAGTCACCGATACCGAGACAATAGCTGTCGCACAGTTTGATAGTCACCGAGTATCTCGACAGACCGACCTTGATTTCAGGCGCGAGACCCCTGACAAGCGGTTCAGAGACTTGGAGGGACAGGTCAACCTAGATGACAATGAGCTAGTGATTGATCTCTTCAGAGGAAGTCTCACTCGCAGCATACAGGAGAAGTTCGAGAGGAATCCACCTGGGAAGAGATGGGAGTGGTACCGAGAGGTTGAGGAGATCGATCGACAGAGGATGCTACTACAGCAGTCCTCGGCTAGACACTCACTCCCAAATGCCACGTCACCTCCACTAAGAACTGGGTCTCGGCCAAATCAAAGTTCGATCCCCATCCGACAACCCACTCAACCTTATCCAGCTCGATCACCATCACAAGCAACTACACAAGCAACTATACAAAACCTAAACCGACCCCTTCCTCATCATCCCACCCAACCCTCGAAGCAAGGAAGCCCTGCTCCATCAGGTATCAACACCTGTCATGTATGCAAGGGTATTGTCAGGGGTCTCGCGCCTGAAACCCAGGTCGGTCTGTCGAGATACTCGGTGACTATCAAACTGTGCGACAGCTATTGTCTCGAGATACTCGGTGACTATCAAGTTGTGCAGTGACAGCAGGTGGCGTTTGTTGTATATACTATCGTAGGTTTCGGCTGACCTCTGTGGACACTCCGTTCAGGGGTAGCTCGGCACGATCAATATCAATGTTATGATGACACCAAGGTCTGGTGTGAGTGTTGATGATGATGAGGTTGATGGTGTTGGTGATGAGATTGGTGATGTCGATGATAATGAGATTGGTGGTGTTGGTGATAAGATTGGTGGCGTCAACACGAGTGTCCAGTGTGTTGACTTGATGCTTGAAGTGATCCCCGGACCGCAGTGGACTACTGCCTTCAGTTCTATCTATATCCAGACTGCTGACCTGCTATGGGTCGCCTTCGGACATCAGGTAGTGGTGATACAACACATGCACTACAATGAGGAGCAACCTTGATAGATTGCTGCTATGCTGACTGAAACTAATGTATACTTATGCTGAAGTGATAACTAGTTATGGTGAGTAGAGTGGATGGGGATCCACTCGACCTATGATGATGAGAAAGCATGGTTATATACCTCTTCACAGTATCGCCAGCGATGCTGCTCCTGCTCTCTCTCTCCAGAGAGTACTTTCTTCATCGAGTACTGCTCAGGGGCCTCTCCTGCTTGGCACCCCTGTTCCTCTTGAGTGGTGTCGACTCCTTCGACACTGCTCCTCCTCCTCATGACCTGTGTCGACTCCTTCGACACTGCTCCTCCTCCTCTTGACCTGTGTCGACTTCCTGTCTCTCGAGCCCCTGAGTGGTAACCATCTGCATGCTCCTTGAGCTTGGTCCTCTTCGTGGCTGTGCCTGCTCCTTGAGCTTGGTCCTCCTCGCATGTGGCTCGGTTCTCCTTTGCATGTGAATCCATAGGAGTCCGTGGTCTCCATGGAGACTGCACTACGACCATGCTCTCTACTGGTATCGACTAGGTCTTCGATACCTGTGCTCCTTCCATATGAACCCATGACCCTCCTGCTTCTTGAGCATCCAGGCCCATGACAAGCAGTACTCGATGAAGAAGGTACTCTCTGGAGAGAGAGCAGGAGCAGCATCGCTGGCAATGCTGTGAAGAGGTATATAACCATGCTTTCTCATCATCATAGGTCGAGTGGATCCCCATCCACTCTACTCACCATAACTAGTTATCACTTCAGCATAAGTATACATTAGTTTCAGTCAGCATAGCAGCAATCTATCAAGGTTGCTCCTCATCGTAGTGTGTGTGTTGTATCACCACTACCTGACGTCCGAAGGCGCCCATAGCAGGTTAGCGGTCCGGATATAGATAGAACCGAAGGCAGTAGTCCACTGCGGTCCGGGGATCACTTCAAGCATCAAGTCAACACACTGGACACTCGTGTTGACGCCACCAACCTTATCACCAACACCATCAACCTCATTATCATCGACGCCACCAACCTTATCACCAACACCATCAACCTCATTATCATCGACATCACCAATCTCATCACCAACACCATCAACCTCATCATCATAAACACTCACACCAGACCTTGGTGTCATCATAACATTGATATTGATCGTGCCGAGCTACCCCTGAACGGAGTGTCCACAGAGGTCAGCCGAAACCTACGATAGTATATACAACAAACGCCACCTGCTGTCACTGCACAACTTGATAGTCACCGAGTATCTCGAGACAATAGCTGTCGCACAGTTTGATAGTCACCGAGTATCTCGACAGACCGACCTGGGTTTCAGGCGCGAGACCCCTGACATTAGAGTGGATCGTTCAAGCAGCTCCTCACGATCACCATGACGGACCCAGACCTCAACAATAAGCTCGATAGACTACTCACTCTATTGGAAGCTCAGCTAGAGCTTACTAGGCAGGGTCATCGAGAGGAACGACTACAACGAGCTCAGCTGGGTAGGGAGGAGACAATGGACCTCTCTCACTCGGAAGACCAAGCAGGAGGAGGAGATGAGTCTATGATAGGAGACCCACATACTCCTACTCCGGCTCCACGACCAAGACGATCAGTCTCATTCAACCTGGATGAGCAGGAGGACATCAACTACGAGAAGTACGCTTCACCTACTGGGCCAAGATATGTCAAGACTAAGCTGGACCCCTACAGCAGGACTAGGACGGATCCTTACCCCCTGGACCACGAGGAGGATACCAGCATCATGGCAGAGCTTAACCGGTCAAAGCCCATTGCCACCCCCTTTCCAAAGTTCAATCCCCGAGACATGGAGATCTTCATTCTAGAAGCCGAAGCATGGTTTAAGTTCAACCAGGTGTATGAGCAGTCTAGGATGATCAATCACATGGGTGCTCAACTGGAAGGGACAGCAAGAGAGTGGTGGACCTTTATGCTCCGCATTGATAGAGCTAGAGAAGGAAGGTTGTTCAATGATTGGCACTACTTCACAGAGCGACTGTCAGAGCAGTTCAACCCACGCAATGCTAGGATGGAGGCATACAACAAGCTGTTGGCTCTCAGACTCACAAGTGATGCTCCTGGTGCCGCCACACGTCATGTAGAGCGGTTCAGAGACTTGGAGGGACAGGTCAACCTAGATGATAACGAGCTAGTGATTGATCTCTTCAGAGGAAGTCTCACTCGCAGCATACAGGAGAAGTTTGAGAGGAATCCACCTGGGAAGAGATGGGAGTGGTATCGAGAGGTTGAGGAGATCGATCGACAGAGGATGCTACTACAGCAGTCCTCGGCTAGACACTCACTCCCAAATGCCACGTCACCTCCACTAAGAACTGGGTCTCGGCCAAATCAAAGTTCGATCCCCATCCGACAACCCACTCAACCTTATCCAGCTCGATCACCATCACAAGCAACTACACAAGCAACTATACAAAACCTAAACCGACCCCTTCCTCATCATCCCACCCAACCCTCGAAGCAAGGAAGCCCTGCTCCATCAGGTATCAACACCTGTCATGTATGCAAGGGTATCGGCCATTGGGCCAGAGACTGCCCCAGCAGGAGGGTAAACCCTCTTAGCTCTCGACCCATGGGACCAAAGGTTATGGTCACCACAGCAGACCCCTTCGAGGAGGCCACCGACTCAGGAGATGGCCACACAGGCAGCACTGAGACAGGTGACCCCGAGGCCATGGACCTCAGCTCATACCAGCAACCCATGGACCCCGATCACGAGGAGGAGCACGATGATGATGACGACGAGGGAAACGTCAGTGGGGTGATGCACTGATGGCATGCATTGCTCTACAAACCTCCTCGCCATCACTCTGTATATATCAAGGTTGTCAAGTATGTTTCTCTACCAGTGGAGGCAAAGCAGTACTGGAGCTCTCTGGAATGGTTCAAGACCATCCTGCTCGGATACTAGCTGATACTGGTGCTGGTTTGTCCATAGTCTCAGATTCTTTCATTAGTAAGTACCAAATACCCACAAAACCCATAAAAACAAGATCGATCCATGGTGTCACCGGGCACCAACTCTCCATCAATAGTTCTGCGAGCATGCAGGTATCTATTGGTACACACAATCTGGGTGTGGTCGAAGCTTCAGTGGCCGACACTGCAGACTATGACCTCATCCTGGGGTTCACTGAGCTATGGCGGCTCAAACCCACCATACAATGGGATATGGGCCAGCTGGAGTTCAAGACTCAGGAGCAGGACCGACCCCCAAGGAGACCCCCTGAGGCAGCAAGAGCAGGGGACCTAACCATGAGGAGACCAACCCTTCATGGTAATGAGTTTGTCTCAGCAGAGCGCATACTATGAGCAGCTCTGGAAGATGGACCCATAGGGTTCATGTTGTTGGAGGAGCCACCATCATCACTCCTGGCTCTTGGTTTTGTACCTACAGGCGCAGACAAAGGAGTCGAGATGGAGGTGGAGGTAGACAAGGTGGTGACGGCTGCAGACATACCAAAGCCATACCAACACCTGCGAGATGTGTTTGATGAGGTGGAAGCAGACAAGCTGCCCCATCATACTGAGCATGATCTCCACCTCGAGTTGATAGAAGGAGGTAAGCCACCTCAAGGGCCCCTATACCTTAAGGGACCCAAGGAGATGTCCGAGTTGAGGAGATATTTGGATGAGAACCTCGAGAAGGGGTTCATAAGACCATCGAAGAGCCCGGCACGATCACCAGTGCTCTTCGTACCAAAGAAGGATGGAGGTCTCAGACTCTGTGTGGACTACAGAGGTCTCAACGAGATCACTGTCAAGAACAGGGCACCATTGCCCCTCATTGAGGAGCAGCTGTTCTTACTCAGGAAGGCAAGGATCTATACCAAGCTAGACCTTAGAGCAGCATACAACCTCATCCGGATTGCCAAAGGAGATGAATGGAAGACAGCTTTTGGCACTCAGTTGGGACTCTATGAGTACTTAGTGATGCCCTTTGGCCTAGCCAATGCTCCAGCTCACTTCCAGTCGTTCATCAATGACATCTTCCAAGACATCATTGGAGTATATGTAGTGGTATACTTAGATGACTTCCTGATCTTCAGTGACACTGAGGAGGTACATGTGAAGCATGTCACCGAGGTCCTCACTCACTTAAGGAGCAACAGGCTCTTTGCTAAGCTGTCGAAGTGTGAGTTCCACACCAAGACAGTCGAGTTCCTGGGGTACATCATCAAGCCAATGGGCATAGAGATGGACCCAGAAAAGGTGCGCACTGTCAAGGAGTGGCCAATGCCAGAGTCAATCCATGACATCCAGAGGTTTCTGGGTTTTGCCAACTTCTATTGAAGGTTCATAGCCCACTTTGCTCGCATAGCCAAGCCCTTGACAGCACTGGTAAAGCCTATAGAACGGTTCAAGAAGTTCGAGCTACCAGAGGAGGCCCAACAGGCCTTCCACAAGCTCATCCAGGCCTTCACATCAGCAGGAGTGCTTCAGCACTTCGACTACCACCTTCCAACAAGGTTGGAGACTGATGCAAGTGACTTTGCTATAGCAGGAGTACTCAAGCAGGAGCATGAAGGACGATGGCATCCAGTGGCTTTCTACTCTAGGAAGATGTCTTCTGCTGAGAAGAACTATGAAATCCATGACAAGGAGCTCCTAGCTGTGGTCGCCTGCCTTACTCAGTGGCGACACATGCTAGCTGGACTACCGAGTCAACTGGTCATCCTCACTGACCATGAAGCCCTCAAGTACTTCAAGTCACAGAGACGCATCACAGGTCGACAGGCTCGATGGGCCATACTACTAGCAGACTTCGACTTCATATTGCAGTATCGACCAGGAGACAAAGGTGGTGAACCTGATGCTCTCACCAGAAGGACTGACATGCAACCAGCTGGTGAAGAGCAGGATCACAATGTGAGGCAACTACTGCCTCCTCGAGTGTTCAAGGAGACAGCAGACCATGACTCGACCCTAGTGGCCCCTATGCTCTCGATGGAGTCCATAGCATCAAAAGGTCTCAAAGACCTGGTCAAGATCTTCCAGCCCTTAGACCAAGAGCTACAGGAGATACATAGGAAGAAGCCCTTCGAACTCAAGGACGACCTATGGTACAGTGGAGGAAGGTTGGTTATCCCCAAAGTGATCATGCCAGGGAGGACCAACAACCGACACTCAAGGAGTGCCAAAGAGGTAGATGGACAGTCTCTCTCTGTAGAGCATCTGCGATTCATGGTGATGACCCAATGCCATGATGGTATTACTGCTGGACATGTAGGAAGAGATGCTACCATCAAGGCAGCTCAATGACATTACTGGTGGCCAAACATGACAGCTTGGATTGCAGACTATGTAGCAAGTTGTCCTGTATGTGCTAGGTACAAAGCTCCTCGTCATCGTCCATATGGTTTGCTACAGCCACTAGCAACACCAGACAGGCCCTGGGGCTCCATATCCCTCGACTTCATCGAAGGACTACCACCATCGAAGAAGTATGACTCCAAGACCTATGACTCTATCTTAGTCATTGTCGACAGGCTAACCAAGTTTGCCATACTAGCTCCAACCCATAAGACAGTCACGGCCAAACAGACTGCAGTATTGCTATATGGACACATGGTTAGACTCTTTGGATATCCAGATCACATGGTATCAGACCGAGGCAGGCAGTTCATATCAGGAGCATGGAAGGCATTTGCAGAGCAAATGGGTGTGAAGCACTCACTTAGCACAGCTTACCATCCTCAAACTGATGGTCAGACAGAGAGGGTCAATCAGGTCATAGAGCAATACCTCAGGATGTACTGCAACTATGAGCAGGATGACTGGGTCAACCTGCTGGACACTGCAGCCTTTGTGTACAACAACACGGTCCACAACAGCATTGGTGTCTCACCATTCTTTGCATGCTATGGATGGAACCCCAAAGCTCATCCTGACATCCCTCAACGACTAGGAGTCAATGATCCAGGTCACTTCGAGTACCTCATGGATGGAAAGGAGCGTTGCAAGTACCTCCAGGAGCAGATCAGAGAGGCACAACGTAGATCAGTGGACCAGTATAACAGGAAGCACAAGGACATCGAGTTTAAGGTGGGTGATATGGTCTATATCAACCATCGAAACTGGAAGACACGGAGACCCACACCCAAGTTAGATACCCGGTTTGCAGGACCCTACCCAGTTCAGGAATGGGTAGGACACCGAGCTTATCGAATCACATTGCCAGCAAACCTTAGGGTGCATGACATGTTCCATGTCGCCATGCTCGAGCCAGCAAGAACAAGTTCTCTTCCTCAACGTGCTGAACAGCCCACCATACCATCACTTCCAGATGAGGACCTCGACTTCAAAGTCGAAGCACTCATTGACAAGCATTCACACAATGGTACTACAGAGTACAAGGTGTTGTGGAGAGGGTACTCAGAAGAAGCTGCTTCATGGGAACCAGTAGAGAACCTCAACTGTCCCGACCTCATCCAGGAGTATGAGGTGTCGGAGGGGGGACGAGTGAGTAGACAAAGTTAGGAGTAGAGAGAGGAAGAGGAAGCAGTAGGAGTAGAGAGAGAAGGAGGAAGGATGATGTTGGCGATGTTGTCGAGGAGGAGGAGGAGGAGGAGGAGGAGTCAGCATGAACCAGACCAGAGCATGCCTCGACGGAGCTCGGCTCTTAAGAGGGGGGTAGTGTCATGGGCCTGGATGCTCAAGAAGCAGGAGGGTCACGGGTTCAACAGGTATTGAAGATCTAGTCGAGATCAGTAGAGAGCATGGTCGTAGTGCAGTCTCCATGGAGACCATGGACTCCTACGGACCCACATGCAAAGGAGGGCCAAGCACAGCCATGAGGAGGACCAAGCTCAAGGAGCAGGCACAGCCACGAAGAGGACCAAGCTCAAGGAGCATGCAGATGGTTACCACTCAGGGGCTCGAGAGACAAGAGCCAAAGGAACTGTCACTGATCAGGAGGAGGAGGAGCAGTGTCAAAGGAGTCAACACCAGGTCATGAGGAGGAGGAGCAGTGTCGAAGGAGTCGACACCACTCAAGAGGTACAGGGGTGCCAAGCAGGAGAGGCCCCTGAGCAGTACTCAATGAAGAGGGTACTCTCTGGAGAGAGAGCAGGAGCAGCATCGCTGGCGATGCTGTGAAGAGGTATATAACCATACTTTCTCATCATCATAGGTTGAGTGGATCCTCATCCACTCTACTCACCATATAACTAGTTATCACTTCAGCATAAGTATACATTAGTTTCAGTCAGCATAGCAGCAATCTATCAAGGTTGCTCCTCATTGTAGTGTGTGTGTTGTATCACCACTACCTGATGTCCGAAGGCGCCCATAGCAGGTTAGTGGTCCAGATCAAGATAGAACCAAAGGCAGTAGTCCACTGCGGTCCAGGGATCACTTCAAGCATCAAGTCAACACACTGGACACTCGTGTTGATGCCACCAACCTTATCACCAACACCATCAACCTCATTACCATCAACACTCACCAACCTTATCACCGACATCATCAACCTCATCATCATCATCAACACTCACACCAGACCATGGTGTCATCATAACCTACGCATTGATACCGATCATGCCGAGCTACCCCTGAACGGAGTGTCCACAGAGGTCAGCCGAAACCTACGATAGTATATACAACGAACGCCACCTGCTGTCACTGCACAACTTGATAGTCACTGATACCAAGACAATAGCTGTCGCACAGTTTGATAGTCACCGAGTATCTCGACAGACCGACCTGGGTTTCAGGCACGAGACCCCTGACATCAGGTTGCTTTTCCAGAGGCGACAACCCAGGTGCTCCTGCACAAAGTCTAGTACCTTGGCCAATGAGGCATACCGGATTGTGGTGAAGTGAGGTGTGATCCCCTCATTGACTGATGGTAGTTGCTGTGGACAGGGAAGGTGAGGGTGAGAGAGATGGTGAATGGTATGCAGCTTGGAGGAGTGTGGTTTGGGAACTGTGCCAACTGGTGAGCAGACCAGGTTGAACTGCTGAGGATCAACCTTGAGGAGCCGGCCCTCCTGGACCTGGGCGGAAATCTTGGACCAGAGGTGTGACTTGCTCCTGTCATCCATTGGGAGATTCTTGATGTGATGGTGGCGACCGCGGTGGCGGAGAGGGCCGGAGTAACCAAGGTGGACGCTGTCAGGGGTCTCGCGCCTGAAACCCAGGTTGGTCTGTCGAGATACTCGGTGACTATCAAACTGTGTGACAGCTATTGTCTCGGTATCAGTCTCAACAAGCTAGTCGTTCAGCGACTATCAAGTTGCACAATGACAGCAGGTGGCATTCGTGGTATATACTATTGTAGGTTTTGGCTGACCTCTGTGGACACTCTGTTCAGGGGTAGCTCGGCATGATCGGTATCAATGCATAGGTTATGATGACACCATGGTCTGGTGTGAGTGTTGATGATGATGATGAGGTTGATGATGTCGGTGATAAGGTTGGTGAGTGTTGATGGTAATGAGGTTGGTGGTGTTGGTGATAAGATTGGTGGCGTCAACACGAGTGTCCAGTGTGTTGACTTGATGCTTGAAGTGATCCCCGGACCGCAGTGGACTACTGCCTTCAGTTCTATCTATATCCAGACTGCTGACCTGCTATGGGTCGCCTTCGGACATCAGGTAGTGGTGATACAACACATGCACTACAATGAGGAGCAACCTTGATAGATTGCTGCTATGCTGACTGAAACTAATATATACTTATGCTGAAGTGATAACTAGTTATGATGGTGTGTAGAGTGGATGAGGATCCACTCAACCTTTGATGATGAGAAAGCATGGTTATATACCTCTTCACAGCATCACCAGTGACGCTGCTCCTGCTCTCTCTCCAGAGAGTACCTTCTTCATCGAGTACTGTTCAGGGGGCCTCTCCTGCTTGCTTGGCACCCCTGTGCCTCTTGAGCTGTGTCAACTCCTTCGACACTGCTCCTCCTCCTTGCTATCCTGCTTGTTTGGCACCCTTGTGCCTCCTGAGTGGTGTCGACTCCTTCAACACTGCTCCTCCTCCTCAGGACCTGGTGTCGACTCCTTTGACACTGCTCCTCCTCCTCAGGACCTGCTTGCCAGTTCCCTATACACTGCTCCTTCTCCTTTGACTGGTGACAGTTCCTTTGACTCTTGTCTCTCGAGCCCCTGAGTGGTAACCATCTGCATGCTCCTTGAGCTTGGTCCTCTTCGTGGCTGTGCCTGGCCCTCCTTGCATATGGGCTCTGTGCTCCTTTGCATGTGAGTCCATAGAAGTCCATGGTCTCCATGGAGACTGCACTATGATCATGCTCTCTACTGGTATCGACTAGATCTCCGATACCTGTGCTCCTTCCATATGAACCAGTGACCCTCCTGCTTCTTGAGCATCCAGGCCCATGACAAACACCACCCACAGTCTGCTGAAGGTCAAGAAGTTGGGCACCGCTTTGACGAACTGGCGGTTGGAGGTGGAGGTGGTGGGAGCCTTGACAATGGAGAAACCTTCGATGAGGACTGGGGTGGGGTCCTCCAGGGCCGTGCTGCTGGGCCATGATGGGTTTGCAAGTTTTGGGAGCTCGTAAATGCTGATGCTGTCCTGGAGGACCTTGTCAACTAGGTTGGCAGGCAGCCAGGGATAGGCGATTGCAGGCTGGTACTCACTGATGAAGGCTGGTAGGGCAGGATGGGGGGTGGCTGGTGGTGGTGCCAGTGGAGCAGTGAATTGGGCAGAGGCAGTGTAGGTGGGGTTAGAAGGGCGAGGGGTGGTGACTGGTGGAGACAGTGGGAGAGGGCTGGCAATCAAATGGATGGCAGCAATAATCTTGTCCTGAAGGAACTGATGAAGCTCTCCAATACCAGCCGAAAAATCTGAATGGGTCACAAAGTTGTGATCAGAGGCTGCTGAGAGTGCAGGTGCAGCTGAGGATGAGGGGTCTGGGATGGGTGGCAGTGGTTGGGGAGTGATGAGGGGAGAGGCAGGGGTTGGGAGTGTTGGTTTGACAGGTGTCATAGCAGGAGCCTGGGGTGTGAGGTCCCGAATGGTGGCCGGGAAGGCAGTGGGTGGGCAGGGAGCTGGGTACAGGGAGGGTACCTGGGAAGGTGCTCGAGAAGGTGTACATGTCGACTGGGGCAACCTGGTGTGGCAGTCAAGACAGGAAGCAGTAACCTGGCCTGGGAAGCGCTGGTGGATGAAAGAAGAGAGCAGCTTGTCACATTTGCAGGAGCAGCAGGGTCATCCTGCATTGGCCATCATTGTGCCAGATGGCAACTCGTTCGACATGGTGCCAAGGTACTGTGGCGAGAGACCGAAAGAACAAGGAGAAAGAACAAACCAGGCAGCTAGTAGTGTGCCTGGCTTGGAGATGTGAAGATGATGGTAGTGAGGAGAGGAGTGGAGAGTGGAGAGGTGTGGTGAAGAGCACCTCCACTATGCTCCTTGCAGGTGATCAACAAAAATTTTCGCTTTGTTTGAGTCCAGTCCAGACGCGCACGCCTTCATGACTGATCACGTGATGCAATGGTATCCAAGAGAGGTGATGTCTTGTCGTTGGCATTCCACATTCCATATCTGTCTCGTCTGACTCATCTTCCAACGAAAGGTGTTCTAACTTAACTATCTTTCCTGCCTCGTTTCAGATGTCAGAAAACGCTATCCACCCTAAGCTGTACTGTAGGGTATTAGGTCATGCTGGTCTGGGAAGCATTCTGGGATACCGGTCGTGCATCGGCAACCAAGGTTCCAGAGTCGCTCGCCTGTTACAAGCTGATTGAGATCTCGATGCGGAAGAGCAGTCGCATCAGAACAAGCTTTCTTGCTACCCGAAGATTGCGAGGTTTAGCTCCCTGAATCATGACATGACCGAGAGCATCTTTGTATAGGAGATAGAAATGCTGATAAGCTGAAGGTCTGCTTTCCTGTTGGGGGGCGACAAGGAATGCGAAATGACGGAAAACAAGTCTCACTGTTCGGCATAGAAGGGTGATACTACAACCATAAGCATGGCACCAATGAATGATTCATGTCGTTGTGCGCGCGAGAAGACAGAAACATCTTTCTATCTGGCTCGGCTGTTTTGCCTGCATTCCTTACGACGACAAAGGCTATGGTGGGGGTTGAGGGTCCTTTGCGATGCTTGGCCGGGCCAAGTCAGCTGTCAGAGTGTGCCTTCGGTCTCTCGGCTTTTAAAGTCATGGTCGTTTGTCAAGAGCAACACTCCTGTCTAGACGTCACTACTCTTTTCTTTTCTCGCCGCTCTTGGCCGCTTTCCTGTCTGTCGTCGAAGCTTGCAAGGCGGTCAAGGACCCTCCCTGCTTACCATCTCTCTCTCTCTCTCTCTCCGCCGCCTGGCTTGAGCTCGAAGCAAGACTATTTTGTATTCTCGTTATGCGTTCCTCTCGTATCCAACACCCACATGGCCGCTTCCTCGCTTCTTCTTTTGCTTGCTTCTATTCTTCGAGTGCTGGGGCATCCCTTTGTCTGACCGAGTCGCCGACTGACCATGGCACTTGAATCCTGCGCTGTGAGATTGTGCCCACGCCATGCAGACCGTGGGAAAGGTCTGGTTGACGTCGTTTCCGTTCCTTCTTCCCCACCTGTGGACCGGTTCGTTGATGCTTGTCGTGTGTGGATGTGTGTGTGTGTGTGTCTGTGTGTGCCAGTGGACGTGCTGACTCCTGAGTCGCTTCGAACATCGTGACCAGGCGGCCCAACGTAACTTGACGCTCTATCGACATCAGCCTGTGTCGCTCCGCCTTGACTGGTTTGGCGAACGGAAGAATGAGTGTACTGCACCACCTCGTGTCTCATCCTTGCCTTCCACCTTCTCGCCTCTCTTCTGGAAGTGTTGCCAGCTTTGGCCCTATTCTGGACACGCATACAGTCAACAGCTAGACAGAGCCCATCACAGCTCACATTCCTTACAACTCGTCATCGCCGCAATTTCGCCCGTTCTCCAACTCGCCCCTACCATCGCACGACCTGCCTAGCAGGACCGAGGTCCAGGTCCAGGTCCAGGTCCAGGTCGAGATCATGCTACCCTTGGGCTCTGACATCATTCCCTTGAGACTCGCCTTTTTGGACCAAAAGCATTACTTGTCTCATACCCTGTTCCGGCTCACTGCCTGGCACCATGACTGCTTCGAGCTAGCAGTCGAGAGGCAAATGAGCATTCCCGAGCTTGCGTCATTCCCGAGCTTGCGTCATTCCCGAGCTTGCGTCATTCCCTCGCTCGACCCATCCTTCTTGTTTCTCTCTTGTCGGCAAGGAACTCGGTGTTTGGCGGAGCTGTGAGGGTGACCGCATCATCGCAGCCTTTTCTCCTTGTCCATTCTCACTTCTGCCCGGTCAGGATGCACAGCCAAATGCCGTCAGGGCAGACCACCGGTCTTCCTATGTTCCGGCGATGATGACGACCCCAAGGGCCCTTCGCTGCCTTTGGTCAATGGACTCGCCAAGGCTTACAGAGGGTCAGGAAAGCATGCTCCAGAAACCGTATAAACAATGAGTTGAGATCCCATCCCTTGCCATTTCTCTCCATCAAACCATCACTTGTTTTTCTTCCTCATCCATACTAACACAGGACCGAAGATCAAGCCCGCTCATACCAATAGGCACACTGTCCGTCCAAGCCCCAATACACCACAAACGCTTCACAACAATGAACTCTGTTAAGAAGGTTCTTTCGCGTCGATCCCATTCGGGTGACGACTCGTCTGATGAGGGCCATCATTCTTCGTCGACCGCCCCCACCTCCAACCCTGGCTCTCCGCAGACTCGCAACAAGGAGTACGGCTCGGTTGGTGCCGCTACTGCTGGTCACCACGACCACCGCACCACTGATGACAAGATCACGGACAAGATCGAGCACGGTCTTGGCCGATCTGCCAACGTTCACGCCAAGGACGGTAGCATCCCTCACAAGCACGGCCACGACGGCACTCTCGACAAGCACCTAGACGTGAGCAAGGGTAAGGTCGACCAGGATGTTGAGCACCTTGCCCCTGTCACGCACCGCACTCACCAGCGCCATGAGGTTGAGGAGGTTCTTCGTGAGAAGGAGCACGAGCGCCACGTTCACCACATCCAGCACCACACTCAGCCCGTTCTCGATTCGGAACACTCTGCTGAGCAGATTCACAGGCAGATTCATCCGGTGACCAAGGTGCATGAGACTCACGCCTCGACGGATAAGGACGCCACTCTGCTCACCTCGGTTGCTGGTAAGCACAGGGACGAGTATGCTGAGGCACCCGTCCATCGCCAGGTCGTCGACAAGGGTGAGCGTGTCAAGGAGCACATCCACCATCACATCCACAACGTCGTCCAGCCCATCATTGAGAAGGACACGCACGAGTACCACCGTGTTCAGACGACCATCCCCACCCACGTCGTCACTCACGAAGCACCCATCGTCCACGAGTCGACCCACCACCAGCCGGTCTCGAAGGACGAGTTCCTCGGTGGCGGTGGAAACCTCAGCAACTCGCTCGGCTCTGTTCACGACAGCAAGCTGCTCAACATGGGCAAGTGCGACCGTAAGGTTGACGGTATCGCCGAGAAGCTCGAACGTGAGCTTGGCATCAAGCAGACCGTTCCACCTGTTGTTTCCACCGAAAAGGCACCCACCGCCTCCACCACTGGTAGCCACAACAACGGCATCCCTGGTAACAAGACAAGCTCGACTCGCACTGCTGTTTAAATAGCTAGTCGAGTGTATATTCTCGAATCGGTTATGATGATACCACCCAATCGCATCGCATTCTTTGTTCTACTTAGGTCCGTATTCGCACACAGATATTCCCTGTCTTCTATCTTTCTTGTCGCACTGAAATCAAGTTGCTTGCTCGCTTTCATTTACGTGTGACTTGTCTGATTTCATTTGCTCTTGTGGGTGAGAGGCGGTGGGTATATGCGCGGATTGATGTTAGAGGAGGTATTATGGCTTCTCGGTAGTGTGCTCATCATTGTCATCATTGTGAGATGCTAGCAAATCTTGCAGGAAAGTGTCGAGCGGGAGAACTCCTTGCCTATCTCTGTTCATGCGAGGCCGAGGAGGCAAGTTCGAGTGAATGTCAGCTCTTGATCAATCTGCACCTGCTCAAACAGGAGCTGCATTGGTCAACTTACGTCAATGCCCCACGCAATACGAAAGTGAACTTCCCTCCACTCTTCAGTGGTGGCGGAGTGTGTTCGTAAGCCAACTGCAGCTTGCATCTTGAGCAGTTGAATGGATACTGTTTCTCTACGGTGCCATCTGGCCTCTTGATCAACTTGGCCTCTCCCTGTGATGCGCTGACCTTGAAGGCTCGCGCTTTTCGAACCTTTTGTGGAGCACCAGTGATCGAGTAGGGTGGTGAATCGAGGCAGCGAAGCACGCGAGAGTTGTCGAGCGGTCGAAGCGGCAGGGATGCGAGAGTTCGATCGCAGACGAGAGCGAACTCTCCGCAGAGACAGTAGTATACGTTGAGGTTGTTGAAGCGATCTGATCGGCCTGGTTGTGAGTGTGAGGGGCTTGGCTGTTGCGATGGACGTCGAAAGGGCAAAGTTAGCATCACAGCATAGGCAGTTGATCTGAAAGGATCCTACCTACCCTTGTGTTTGTGTTCGGCATCGTGTGCGAGTTGAGGTGATGAGATCGTCGTACTAGGGGCCAAGGTGTTTGCAAGTAAGTATGGTAAGGATTCAGTTGCACGAGCAAGTTCATTGATTCCTTACGAGTCTCGTGCGAGAAATGTTAAAGTGGAGGCCAGGGGAGAGGGGGAAGCACGTGATCTGAGTCCATACCAGCGCGTATCGAGAAGAGGGAAAAAAAAAAAACACATTTCGACGGGACTCTGACGCGTTGGCGCGTAGAAAGAGCAACACTCTGGGCAGTCGCTCAAGACTAGAACCCTGCTCGGCGTCATGCTCACTTTGTTCATCCCTCCATCCCTCCATCCACCTGCTTTCTACACGCACATCCACAGCTTCGACATGCCGCCACGCAGGGCAGCTTCTTCCAAGGCACGCGATTCCATGGCATCCAACGCCTCGTCAAGATCGTCGCTCTTGGCATCTCCATCAGTACAAGTAAAGTCATCGCGCGCTTCTCGCTCGTCGGCAAAAACGACCCCAGCATCATCCTCAAGGTCGCAAAGGCGCATTCAGGAATCGGAAGACGAGGAGGAAGAGGAAGAGGAAGAGGAAGAGAAAGAGGAAGAGGAAGAGGAAGCGGACAATGATGACGAAGAACAGGACGAGGATGAGGATGAGGATCGGCCTGATACACCGCTCAAGCCTGCGTCAAGGTCTAGAGCAGCCAAGCCCGCCGCATCCCGCACATCTGTAGCACGATCCAGAACGTCTGCCTCTTCTGCTAGAGTCACGCCGCCGCCTATCAAGACGTCGAGGTCGCGCGCAAAACAGGTGGTAGAGAGCGAAGAAGAAGAGGATGAAGATATGGTCGACGAATCGCTCAGTGTCGCTCGTGACGACGAGGAGGAGGAGGAGGACGACGACGTTTTCCAATCACCCACAGCGCGTCGTGCCAAGGCGATTCCAGCCGGAAAGGCAGCATCCAAAGCTTCATCCAAACCAAAGGCTGCCCCTGTCAAACTCGAGCCAATGGATGAGGACGACAAAGACTTCGAGTCGGATGCTTCTGAAACATCGTTCAAAGAAGCTCGTTCTGCTACACCGGAGCCTATCGACGAAGCTTCATCCCAAGCTGCTGCACCACAAACTCTTTCCTCCAACTTGCTCAAGCAGATTGCAACACCCGCCAAACCTGCTCCTCCTCCTGCAACTCCCAAACGTCTCGTTATTCACAAGATGGTTTTGAACGACTTTAAATCCTACGCCGGTCGTCAAGAGATCGGTCCCTTCCATAAAAACTTCTCCAGTGTCGTCGGCCCCAATGGAAGTGGTAAGAGTAACGTCATTGACTCACTCCTTTTCGTCTTTGGTTGGAGAGCCACCAAAATGCGTCAGGGAAAGCTCAGTGAGCTCATTCACAACTCGGCTGGCATGGAGAATCTCCCTCACTGCAGTGTCGAGGTCTGGTTCCGTGAGATTATCGATCTTCCCGCAGACGCATTCAAGGTGGTCCCCGGCAGCAAGCTCGTCGTTTCGCGTACTGCTCACCGTAACAACACCTCCCAATACTCAATCAACGATCGCAAGTCTACATTCACAGAGGTCACTACCCTTCTCAAGGCAAAGGGCATCGATCTCGACCACAAACGTTTCCTCATATTGCAAGGTGAAGTCGAGTCTATTGCTCAGATGCCTCCTCGTGCCAAGAACGAGCACGAAGAGGGTCTCCTTGAGTATCTCGAAGATATTATCGGCACCAGCTGTTTCAAGACCCCTATCGAAGAGCAGGCTAAGCTTGTCGACCAGGCCAACGAGCGCAGAGCTGAGAAGCTTGGTCGTCTCAAGATTGTGCAAAAGGAGAAAGATGCTCTGGAGGCAAAGAAACGTCAAGCAGAGGAATATCTCCGCTATCAGAACGAGCTCACTCAGCGACAGTCCATGTGGTGGCAGATCCAGGCTCTCGAATGCAGGGACAACATCAAGGTTGCCACAGATGCCATCGAGAAGCTCAATGCTATCTTTGCCCAAGAAGTCGAGAAGCTTTCCGGCTCCAAGGCTGAGATCGAGGAGCTCGAGGCCGAGTACAAGGCACTGGCAAAAGACTTTGACACTCTTGCTCGTAGCACCGAAAAGGTGGTCAAGGAGCTTGCCAAATATGAAAAGGAGGATGTCCAGCTTCAGGAGAAGCGCAAGCATCTCGAGACCAAGAACAAGAAGCTCACAAAGACACTCGCCGACGATCGTCATGCTGCTTCCGAGGCCAAATCCACTGCCTCCGACTCGGCTCACAGGATCGAAAAGGAGGAAGCCGAACTCCGCAAGCTTGAGTCCTCGCTCGAGCGTGAAGAGGCTGAGCTCGAAAGAATCCGAGACTCGCTCAAGGGCAAGACCGAGAAGTTCAGCCGCGCCATCGAGCTGAAGCAACGCGAGCTCCAGCCTTGGACCGCCAAGATCAGTGACAAGGTTGCCGCCAAGAACGTCGCTCAAGAGGAGCGCGCTCTGCTTGCCAGTCGAGGCGCTCAAGTCGAGACTAGCATCGCAGAGGCCAAGGAGGCACTCCGCAACCTTGAGCTCGACAACGAATCCAAGCACCAAGAGGTCGAGAGCCTCAATCAGGAGCGACGCGACCTCGAGAAGAAGATCGCTTCCTGTCAGAAGCAGCTTGACGAGATCAAGCAGCAGGAATCGCTACTTCGCAGCAAAGTCAGCTCCGCACGCTCCAGAGCTGATGAGGCGCGGGCGACGGTCAGTGCTAGCAGATCACGCGGCGACGTCCTTTCCGGTCTCACACGTCAAGCAGAACTCGGTATGATCAAGGGCTTCCACGGCCGACTCGGTAACCTCGGTGTGATTGATGACAAGTACGACGTCGCTATCAGCACCGCATGCCCGGGTCTCAACAACATCGTTGTCGACACTGTCGAGTGTGCTCAGGCATGTATCGATCATCTGCGAAAGAACAATCTTGGACGAGCTAACTTCCTTGCGCTCGACAGACTCGGCATCACTGCAGCTGCCCTTGCGCCTATCGACACTCCCGAGAATGTACCCCGACTTTTCGACCTGGTCAGGCCACGTGAAGCTCGTTTCGCTGCCGCCTTCTACCACCAGCTACGCGACACGCTCGTGGCCAAGGATCTTCCTCACGCCAACCGCATTGCCTATGGAGCCAAACGCTGGCGTGTCGTCACACTCGACGGTCAGCTGATCGACAAGAGTGGTACCATGTCTGGTGGTGGTAACAAAGTCTCCCGAGGTGCTATGAGCTCCAAGTTTGCTGCTGACGAGGTCTCTCCCGAGCAGCTGCAGCGAATGGAGCGAGATCGTGATGCGCTCGAGGAGTCTTTGCGCGGTCATGTTGCTTCGATCAAGACTGTCGAGTCATTGCTCGATGGTCACCGTGTGCGTGCTCCACAGATCGAGGTGGCACTTGACAAGATTCGCATGGACCTCGAGAGCGGTGAACAGCGCGTCACTGAAGCCAAGAGGCGCCTTGTCGAGCTCAAGGCCCAGAGCAAGCCGGATGCTGGCGATGCTTCCCGTATTGCTGAGCTTGACGCTCAGATCGCCTCGCTCGACAAGGAAATCGCCAAGCTCACGGAGAAGAGTCAAGCTATCGAGGGCGACATCGAAGGCTTCCAGGAGCGCATTCTTGAAGCCGGTGGTGTCGAGCTCCGAACGCAGAACAGCAAGGTCGACAGTATCAAGGAGAAGATCGAGCTTTCCTCTGAGCTCACCACCAAAGCTGAGGTGGCCAAGTCGAAGGCCGAGAAGGATATGCTCAAGCTGCAAAAATCGATCGAAAAGAACGAAGGCCTACTTGAAGAGCTTGACGCCGAAATCGAAGCACTCCGCGATGAAATCGCCAGCAAGAAGGGAGCCGCCGATAGCATCCGCTCCAAGGCCGAGGAAGCCCAGCATCTTATGGACACCAAGGCTGAGGAGCGCGACGAGATCAAGTCGCAGCTCGACGAGCGCTCTGAGTCGGTCAACTCGTTCCGTGCATTCGAGATGGAGTTCAAGCAAAAGATGGAGAAAAACGAACGCTTGAAGAACGAGAATGAGAAGAGCTTCAACGCTTTACAGGAGAGGCTCTCCGCCCTCAGCCTTCATTACATCGACCCTGAAGACTCTGATGATGAGCAGGATGCGGAGGCCGAAGATGGTGAAAAAAATAATGGCGAGGCAACTGCCAGCCGCTCTAAAACGGCGAAGAAGCGGGCAGCAGCCAAAGGCGGCAATCAAGATGCCATTGACGAGGGGGACCAAGAGGCCGAAGGCGAAGAGGAGCTGTCTCTCGAGCTGCAGCAGTACTCGGACGACGAGTTGCGCGCTATGGACAAGAAGTGGATTCAAGGAACGATGGCAGTCTTTGAAGAAAAGGTGGCGAATGGCTCGGCCAACATGTCGGTGCTCGCAGAGTACCGCAAGCGGGAAGCCGAATTCCTCTCACGTGCCAAAGACCTCGAGGCAACGACACAAGAACGCGATGCAGCCAAGCAGAGGTACGACGACTTGCGCAAGCAGCGTCTGGAGAACTTCATGGCGGGCTTCAGTGTCATCTCATCCAAACTCAAGGAGATGTACCAGACCATCACACTCGGAGGCAACGCCGAGCTCGAGCTGGTCGACTCGCTCGATCCTTTTGCCGAAGGAATCTTGTTCTCCGTCATGCCCCCTAAGAAGTCGTGGAAGAACATCTCGAACCTTTCCGGTGGTGAGAAGACGCTGTCGTCCCTAGCACTTGTGTTTGCGCTCCACGCCTACAAGCCAACGCCGATCTACGTGATGGACGAGATCGACGCCGCATTGGACTTCCGTAACGTCTCGATTGTCGCCAACTTGATTCGAGAGCGGACTAAGGGCGGTCAATTCATCATCATCTCGTTGCGAAACAACATGTTCGAGCTGTCGTCGCGTCTCATCGGTGTCTACAAGACGGCCAACTGCACAAAGTCGCTCACAATCGACAACGCTGAGTTGCTTGCTCCCGCTCCTGCTCCCACTCCTGCTCCCGCTCTTGCTCCCGCTCCCAAGTCGCGAGCGAGTGTGGCAACAACGCTGGCGCCCAGCTCTCCAGTAGCGACACCAATGCATCACTCGCAAGCACACTTGGTTGCAACTACTCCTCGGCCGGGCGGTCGCAAGCTGATAGCACCAAAGACACCGTCTGCTGCATCAGCCAAGCCAGGTTCACAACTGAGCCTGCATGCTCTGATGACACCTGCTGTTGGCAAAACACCTGGCTCGGTGCTGCAGCGTTCGAGAATGCACAATTCGTTTGCGTCCACTAACTTGGCCAAAGGTGTCGTCAAGGGACCGGCGCTGGGCCTCAACAACAAGAGGAGCGTTTCTCAGACGTTGACGAATGCTGCTCCCGCAACGAGACAATAAGCAGAAACACAACCATAGTCACAGTCGCACGGGTTTGAATTGTACGATGAAGAAGAGGCAATCTTGTTCAAGTTAAGATAGTGTATCAATACAGAATCAGTCATGTTTCTTTGCTCTGCAGACCTGTTGCTGTTGTCAGTGAATGAATGCGACTTGTTCTGTGAGCACAAAGATGGCTCAGATCTTGGGTCGCTTGATGCTTCCACCGAGAGCGTTGAGCCTTCTCTCAACTTGTTCTTCCTCAGCCTTCCACAAGTTAGCCCATGCCTCTCCTCCTTGTCTGCTGCTACCAAATCTAGGCGGAAGTTGAGGGCGAATGATCCTACCCTCCCTATACATCTCAGCTGGAATGATAGCATCTTGCCATCTCCTCACCTCGGGCTCCTTGCCCTCCTCCTCGCCGCTGGATGATAAAGAGGCAAGGATGCGATTATACCTAGCCGTAAGAGGCTCTACTTTTCTCGTCGTGGCCCACACCACACTATCTGCTGCTGTCGCAGGTGATTTACTGAGAAGCCAAAGAACAGGCCACACTAGAAGGAGCAAGCACCAGCGGAGAAGGATTTTGATGTAGAAGATGAGCATGGAGATCGGGTTGGCGGTGCGAGCAGGGATCGGACGGGATGCTAGTTCGCTTTCTAGGATGCTTGCTGTCTTTGATGGCTTTCCCTTTTCTGGTAATGGCTGTGAGGCTGTTGGAGAGCTCAAGGATGGAGGTGAAAGGCGAGAGGGATGAGGCAGGAAGGTGTCGATGATGTCGGCGGTTCTTTCGAATCCGGGACAGACGTTGATGATGTTAATGTTGGAGTGCTGTTTCATTTTTTGCGCTGCCTTTTCTTGCACTGTCTCGCCACCCTTACTGTTGCCGGTGGTAGCAGCAGCAGTCTTGACATGCTGTACATCAATGCCTGGCAGCTTCGTCCAGGGCCTCGGATCCGCTTCAGCTAACAGATCCAATCTTCGTTGAAGTTCCAATGTCAAAGTATACCACCGTAAGGAAGCGGCACCGATGAGAGCTGAGTAACTTGATTCTGCCATCTTGTCCAGTTTCTGCGCTGTATTCGATGCCTTCTTTGATGGAGAGGAGGGTGGTAGAAGATCAAAATGCGACAACCCGGCAGCGTAGAAAGGAGACATCACAGAGACGATCCTAATCTCTCTCTCCCTCGGCAGGACCAAGAGGCTGCTTAGCAGAGAGTTGATGAGATGGAAACGTGAGAGCACGTGGAGTTGGTAGACCGCATCTCTCCTCCTCCGCTTCTGTGCGGAGTTGGTTGGGAGCTGTACTCGATCTAGTTGGTCGCGGGTAGGTGGGAGCAAGAGAAGACCATCGAGTCGTCTCACACCCTCGGGCTGTTTCTTATCGCCTGAGTTCCATAGTGCTGCAAAGGCAGAGATACTTTCGAGGCTCCCAATATCGCATTGTTCAGCATAGACCAGTTCGTTTTGAGTCGAGTCTCGGATAAGATGGATGAGCTGGATCACGTCAGGCGAAGAAATGTCGGGAGTGAGAGCGATGATCTGTGCTCCTCGATGAGCCAATGCTGAGATAGTGACAACACCTAGTGGAGTGAATGCGCCGGATGCCACTAAGATAACGCGTCCATGGAGATCTATGAAGAGATCCTGTGGAAGCGGCGGGATAGGACTGAAGGAAGAAGAGGGCAAAGCAGCACGAGGTGGGTCGAGAACTTTTGCACCTTTAGACCAACTTTTGAGCAAGGAGATAGCGACCAAGGAGGCTGCGAGAGAGGCCCAGTATTCCGTAGGGACGGCGAAGGATACTGCGCTAGCGAACAAGTGGACTGGCATCCTGGCCAAAGCCTCGAGGAGAAGAGGAGCGTTTGAGCGTACAGATTGAGATGGTGCGGGAGAGAGGATGGCGAGCAAGCAAGTTCAACCGTCTTGTCCAACCCTCGACGAATCCTAGGGCCCTCTCTTGTCCCGACATCCGAGCTTGCGGAGGTGGTGAGGACTGACCTTGCTTCTCTCAACCTCAACCTTTCTCCCTCATTCAGCTCGTCATCGCTCGTCTATCTCTCTCCTCAACAGCAAGCCTGTTGTTCACTACAGCAATCTTACGACATAAGATGGGCTTACCTTCAGGTACAGTAGAGCCGCCGTCTCCGCGCTAAGGCAGCAACACAACACACGACTGTACATGATCAAATCTCCTACAAGATGCATTCAACGTCGGCCTCAAGCTCCTCGGCGGACTACATTCGACCATCAGGCTACTTCTACGATGATGCTGACGACCCGTTCGCAGGCGCCTTCTGGCCGCAATTCGAAGATCCTCACGACCTTGCTGCTAAGCATATACCCACCGACTCTTCGCCAGCAGCGGCGATGAGGGCATACCGAGAGTACCGTGACCGCGTTCGCAAGCCTGTGCTCGCAACATACACAATTCTGGGCTTCTTGAGCTCGGGTACTTATGGAAGGGTGTACAAGGCCAGGCTTAGGAGTGCGCCCCAGGTGAGCTCGAGTAGCGTGCCTCCTGCGATAGGGTACGGCGGTGGAGTGGGTGGCGGAGGAGGAGTGGGTAGAGACGCAGGAGGTAGAGACGCAGGACCTGGTTCAGGCGTCGCAACCGGAGGAGGAGGCGCAACAGCAAAGAAGCATGCAGGGCTATTGCAGCAGCATCAGCTGTTGGATTTGCCGAGTGCAGCTTCTTGCCTTGATGCTACGTCAAAGTCGTTGGCTGAGGGTGCAGGAGACAAGGCTACATCGAGCGGGTTGGGCGATTCTTCTCCGAGCCTGGCTACTTCAAGTGGAGCAGCAGTCCCAGCAGCGCTAGGAGGAACAGATCACAGTGCACAGCTCGCCAATGCTATTCCCGATGGCCAGGTCTATGCCATCAAGAAGTTCAAACCGGACACCAAGGAAACCGATGCAACCATCTACACAGGTATCTCACAGAGCGCCATGCGTGAGATCTCACTCAATCGCGAACTCTGCCACGTAAACATTGTCACTCTTCACCAAGTTATGCTGGAAGACAAAGCGATCTACATGGTTTTCGAGTATGCAGAGCATGACTTGCTACAGATCATTCACTACCACTCCACAGCCTTACGTGCTCCAATTCCATCGGCCGTACTGAAAAGCCTGCTTTGGCAACTCATCAATGGCGTCGCCTATCTTCACGCCAACTGGATCCTGCATCGAGATCTGAAACCAGCAAATATTCTCGTCACCTCGCAAGGTGTGGTCAAGATCGGTGACTTGGGTCTAGCTCGTCTCTACTCTTCCCCGCTCCAGAGTCTGTACAATGGCGACAAGGTGGTAGTGACGATCTGGTATCGAGCACCAGAATTGCTGCTGGGAGCAAGACACTACACCACAGCCATCGATATGTGGTCTGTCGGATGTATCTGGGGAGAACTCCTGGCTCTACGACCAATGTTCAAAGGAGAAGAAGCAAAGGTGGATCCCAAAACAAAAGCAGCTCCTTTTCAAACGGATCAACTGAAACGTATCGTTGAAGTGCTAGGTACTCCCAACAAAGACAGGTGGCCGGCGATCGAGTCTATGCCTGACTACAAGGGTTGGTGGCCTCATTTGCGACTGGACAATTATCCCAAGACGCTTTCAAGGTGGTATACGACACGCAACAAAGGTGACGATGGCTATGATCTCTTTGATTCATTGCTACAGTATGATCCAGAGCAAAGGTTGACTGCCAATCAAGCACTCGAGCATGGCTGGTTTACTTGGCAAGATCCTAAGCCGACGGCCAACGCTTTTGTCAGTCTTGCCAAACCCATAGGCACCTATCCTAACCGACGTGTGATTCAAGACGATTTGGATCCAAAGATGATATCCAACTACCTTCCACCCATCGATTCGCATCATCTTGCACCTTCGCATCAGTTCAACCTGAACAGCAGCCATCCTCATCGACTAGCTCAGCTTTTGCATCAGCAAGAACAGCTGCGCCATCAACAGATGCAAAGCCAGCAACCACTGCAGCAGCAACCGCCTCCCACCACTGCAGTGGCGGCTGCAAGGGCCGCTGCTCCCGTAGCGCCTCCTGTGGGCGGTCCTGCTGCTCCGCCGCCCATCACGATTGGCAGTGCTAACACTGGCGGCGCTGGAGCTGGTGCAGCTGGGGGAGCAGGCGGAGCAGGCGGAGCAGGCGGAGCAGGCGGAGCAGGCGGAGGAGCTTTTGCGTTCTCATCCGCTGCACCTAGCACAGCACCCAGTCATACTTTGCAGAACCCAGTGATCAGGATCGCGGGAACGTCAGGAGCAACATACTCCAATCCGGCTAGTGTGACGAGTGTCCAGAGTGTTGCATCGACCGAAGCGGGGAGTGCGACGGATACGCCTACGACAGTTGGCACAGGGACAGGGGTAGCAGCGAGAAACGCCAACAATCTTGTGGCTACTGCGACCCGCAATCAACAACGTAAACGGCAGCGCATCTGATCTCATTCTAGTACATGAAAAGATGCCATTCTTTGCAAATGGAGAACTGATGTTTCATTGAATTCCAAAACACGGGAGCCGAGAAAGGCAGATACAGAGATAGAGAGCACAACAAGATCAAAGAGTGAATCTGAGGAAAAGGATGGTGAGTAGCAAGAAAAGAACAAGGCGTGGATAGTGTAGAGGAGGGCTATAAAGAAGAATGTAAAGAGGGAGGAAGAAGGCATAATGTTGCAATACATGTGAGAGTGGGATAAAAAATAAAAAAGAAAAAGAAAAAGAAAAAGAAAAAGAAAAAGAAAAAGAAAAAGAAAAAGAAAAAGAAAAAGAAAAAGATGCGATGATTGAGAACACTATGAACAAAGAGGGGAGCAACTGACGGCTACCTCCTTCCAACCGATGAAGAAGTAGGATGGTGCACTTGCCTACCCGTCGACTGGGATTGAGCAAGGTCAGGAGGTTTCACCTTGAACTCGCTCATAATGCAAATGTGATCACTTGGAAAGTGGGCGTTTGGGAAACCGACGACCTTGGAAAGGTACTGCTTGTCGATCTCGCCCAACACTCCGGTCACATTGAGCGTGTTCTTGGTATAGAAGATGTAGTCGATGCCACCTTCGTAACCTGGAGTGTAGTTGGTGAAGCTGAGTTCGCCGACGGGTGCGTAGGACGACTCGAGCTTGTAACTGTGCTGCAGACCCTGCGCTGTGTAGTTGCCGTAGACGTGATCCATAAAGTCCTCATGATCTCCCGGTACAGCACCGTTGGCCAAAAAGTGATAGACACCCGTCTCGGGGACGCTGTTAAAGTCACCACAGACGATGGTGGGGATCTGGTTGCCGTGCGTGTACTTGGGTGCGGGTGGGTATCCATCTCCGACGGTGAGCTTGGGAGGAAGTTTTGCGAAACGGTTGCCTGCTTTCTCGACTTGGTCCATGAGCATAGCAACTTGTACAAGCTTGACGTCACGGAATTGAGGATCCCAGTGGGTGTGAACGTTGGCGACAACGACTCGGGAGCCAGAGAGCTTGCTTTCGAGCAAAGCAATGACGGCAATGTTGTCCTTGGTCATGACACGGTTGTACATATCCTCCGACTTTTTCAAGTCGGGCCGCTGGAGTGCAATCTGGTTGAACTCGACCAATTGCTTCTCGATGAGCTGGTACTTGTCGGTCTTGTAGAAGATGGCACATCCGTCGACACGTCGCTTCTCTTCGTCGCGCATGGTACGTGCTCGCGACTTGGGATAGAAGACACCTTGGTAGTCGTGTTGAGAGAGATGGTGGAGGAAGTAGTCCTCGAACTGCTCCATGTCGATCTCCTGCAGACAGCAGATGTCGGCACTGTAGGACATGACCTCTTGCAAGATGAACTCTTTGCGGTAGTCCCATGTCAAAGCCCAGGAGGGGGTGTAGCCGTACATCTGTGCTGTTGCGTACTTGTCGCAGAGGATGTTGTAGCTGAGCACGTTGAACGTTTCCTGGGGTGCTTCTGGGCCGTCCTTGTCTGCGTCGAGGTCGGGTAGGTCAGGGTCGATCATGATCCATTCTCGCTCTGGTGGTGGCAATGGCACAGGGCAGGAATCGCGGAGGTATGCAATGACTGCACTAGTGCCTTCTCGCTGGAAGAGCGTGCGGAGGTTCTCTTGCAACGGGTTGCCCTCGATACCAAGCATCTCGAGCTGGTGGAGTGTGCCGAGCTCAGGTGGCAGCGTAGCAAGGTTGTTATCAAAGAGGAAGAGCTCTCGCAGACTTGTGAGCATGCCGAGCTCGGGTGGTACCGAGTTGAGCTTGTTGCCAGATGCATCGAGGACAGTAAGGTGACGCAGCTTGACAATGTCGGGCGAGATGCTTGTGAGCGAGTTGTGATTGATAAAGAGCGAGGTTAGGAAGGAATAGCGGTAGACCTCGTTGGCGATGTTCTTCAAGGCTAGGCCACCCATGTCGATAGTGGACCAGGTCTGCTTTTCCTTGATCGCACCGTTGCTGGATGCCGAGCCAGCGTTGGAGGTGGCTGATGCTGGATCGGCACCACTACCCTTGTCCTGGTCACCTCCTCCGCCATTGGCGGTGCTGGAATCCTTCTTGCCGACAAAGAGACCATTGGCAGCGACCTGTGGAGGCATGATAGCTTTGTTAGGATCTTGAATAGCGATGGCAGAGTTGGTGGCGGAACGGGCGGCTAGTGCAGCCGCACGCGCATGATGGTGCGGAGAGGCGGACTGACGTGAGATCTCTGCTTTGAGAATCTGCTGCTGCCAGTGAGGCGAGCCTGAAGCTGCTACCGCTGGATCGGACCTTGCGGAAGAGTTGGACATGTGTGCCGAATGCATGGCTGCCGGGGAGGAGATGTGGGAGAGAGCGGATGGGCCGTGAGCGGGATGGTGATGATGGTGGTGGGCAGCGAGATTTGCATAGGCTGGCGAAGAGGGGCCTCCAGCGGAGATGGAGGCAGCGCTCGAGTGAGCAAGGGATGCAGGCAAGGAGGAAAGGGAGGAGCTCTGCTGATGCGAGTGAGGATGATGCTGATGGGCACGTTGGGGCCATGCAGCGGAAGGGATAGGAAACCTGCCTAGAGGAGTGAAAGAGGGGTTGTAGTTGTTATGGTTCTGGGCTGAGCCCTGGCCACCAGCACCTGGGAGAGGACCACCGCCATGGCTAGCGGATTGATGGTGGTGGTGGTTGAGGTAGAGGTATGCTGGAGGCGAGGGGGCCGGAGAAGGGGACGGGGAGGGATACATGTATCGTTGTTGTTGCGACGCCGGTTGAGCTTTTAGAAAAGAGGTGCTAAGGTCGTTGGCGGCGATAAGGAGTCTTTGTTCTGCGTTGATGTAAGGATCACTAAAGCCTATCTCGGAAAGTATTTATGAACGAGAGGGGAGGTGATGGCGAGGAGATAGAGGCGGAGGATGGTGAGGAGAAAGGGATTGTTGATAGGATGGATGAACGTTTTGAATATGCCAATAGAATAGCAGGCAACGGCAGAAGAAAAGGGGACTGATTGGAAGAGCGGGAGGATTGCATGTTCCCCTGGAAGCAGTCACGAAAGAATAGCTTGTGCGGATGAAGAGGAGGATTGAGAAGTACTGTTCAGCTTGAAGTGATAGGGTGAGGTATGCAAGCTGGCTCGAGAGGAAGTTTCCTGAGGTGTAGAGGGTGGAATGAGCAATGCTGGTAGTTGATTGTGCAGAAGGTCGAAGTGGTGTTAGAAGCGAAAGTGTTGGGCAAGATGTTTCGGACGCGCGTGGGATGGGGGGTTGGGTGATGGGATGAGAGGCAACGCGGCGTGGGGATGCGAATGAAAGCCGGTGCGGATGAGCGAAAGAAGGTATAGAATAAGCCGTTGTTGATGGTGAATGGGCAAAGGATGGTGTTTGACAAGATGGGCTAGCGCTGCAGTGGAGGAAAGATGAGAGCTGCAAAGCGTCGATGGTAGTGGTTAGCAGTCAAAGAAGACGAGAGTGAGCCGAGCGCACTTAGGTCAGATGGAGATGCAAACCACGCTTGGTGATCGATTCGGCTCCGAATCCTCCCTTGATCTCATCGGGCCTGCAAGATCTGAGATCTCGATAGCAATCAACCTGGCCGAATTGTTAGGTCGCTTGCAATCTCACAGACAACCACACATCACAGACTATTACATAAGCCTTCCATCGGATTCTACAGGGCGCAATCTCCATCTCGAAGCTTGCCATTCTCAACAAGCACAGCTTATGTGCCGAGCTTGTTGTGTTGTGGGATTGCTGTCATTCTATAGCAAGGGATGGAGGCAATCGTGCTGAGCAGGTCTCTATTCCGATTGCAAATGATACCAACTCTCGAAAGCGCTGGAAAAGAACAGCATGGAAGATGCAAGATGCAACATACAACATACAACATACAACATACAACACACAACACACAACATACAACATACAACATTCAATTCTTCCCTCCCAAATGGCTTTTTCTTCTTCCAATTTCTGCGAGGAATTTGGTTCAATAGCAGAAAACGTCGGTGGCACTCAGCCTTGCGCAAAGCCATTTATTGCCACACTCCTTGTCGCGTTTTCCCTCTTCCCTTCTCCTTCCTCACTGCACATTCCCTTTTCCACCTCCCTTACCCCCTCCCCAGTTCGTTGCATAGCCTATTCACCATGTCCGGCAACACTGAGACCTTTGGCTTTGTAAGTATCTTGCTCGCTCATCATGCTAGCCCACTCAAGCCATGGTGTGCATTCTTTTACTCACTCCCTCTCACCCCTTCTCCCTACCGCAAATAGGCCGCCGACATCAGCCAGCTTTTGGATTTGATCATCAACACTTTCTACTCCAACAAGGAGATCTTCCTTCGTGAGCTCATCTCAAACTCTTCCGATGCTCTCGACAAGGTTCGTTACAATGCTCTCACCGACCCCTCGGTTCTCGAGACCGAGAAGGAGCTCTACATCCGAATCACCCCGGACAAGGAGAACAAGTGTCTCACCATCCGTGACACTGGTATCGGTATGACCAAGGCCGACCTTGTCAACAACATTGGTACCATTGCCAAGTCCGGTACCAAGGCCTTCATGGAGGCTCTCTCTTCCGGCGCCGACATTTCCATGATCGGTCAGTTCGGTGTCGGTTTCTACTCGGCCTACCTTGTTGCCGAAAAGGTTCAGATCATCACCAAGAACAACGACGACGAGCAGTACATCTGGGAGTCGGCCGCTGGTGGTACCTTTACCATCACCCAGGACACGGTCAACCCTTCCATCGGCCGTGGTACCGAGATGCGCCTCTTCCTCAAGGAGGACCAGATGGAGTACCTCGAGGAGAAGCGTATCCGCGAGATTGTCAAGAAGCACTCCGAGTTCATCTCTTACCCCATCCAGCTCCTTGTCACCAAGGAGGTCGAGCGCGAGGTCGAGGAGGAGACCGACGAGACTGCCGATGATGACGAGAAAAAGGCTAAGATCGAGGAGGTGGATGACGAGGATGCCAAGAAGGACAAGAAGGACAAGCCCAAGAAGAAGGTTAAGGAGCTCCAGACCGAGCAGGAGGAGCTCAACAAGACCAAGCCCCTCTGGACTCGTGACCCCAAGCAGATCACGGCCGACGAGTACTCGGCCTTTTACAAGTCGCTCTCCAACGACTGGGAGGACCACCTGGCGGTCAAGCACTTTTCCGTCGAGGGTCAGCTCGAGTTCAAGGCTCTCCTCTTTGTCCCCAAACGTGCTCCCTTTGACCTCTTTGAGACCAAGAAGAAGCGCAACAACATCAAGCTCTACGTTCGTCGTGTCTTTATCATGGACGACTGCGAAGACATTATCCCCGAGTATCTCAACTTTGTCAAGGGTATCGTCGACTCTGAGGACTTGCCTCTCAACATCTCGCGTGAGACTCTTCAGCAGAACAAGATTCTCAAGGTCATTCGCAAGAACGTCGTCAAGAAGACTCTCGAGATGATTAGCGAGATTGCTGAGGACAAGGACAACTTTGCCAAGTTCTACGAGGCCTTTGGCAAGAACCTCAAGCTCGGTATTCACGAGGACGCCACCAACCGTGCCAAGCTTGCCGAGTTCCTCCGCTTCCACTCGACCAAGTCGGTTGAGGAGATGACCTCGCTCAAGGACTACATCACTCGCATGCCCCAGGATGGCAAGAACAACCAGATCTTCTACCTCACCGGCGAGTCGCTCAGCTCCATCCGTGACTCTCCCTTCTTGGAGCGCTTGAAGAAGAAGGGTCTCGAGGTTCTGCTCATGGTCGACCCCATCGACGAGTACGCTGTTACCCAGCTCAAGGAGTTTGAGGGCAAGAAGCTTGTCTGCGTTTCCAAGGAGGGTCTCGAGCTCGAGGAGTCGGACGAGGAGAAGAAGCAGCGTGAGGAGGACACCAAGAACTGCCAAGACCTCTGCAAGAACGTCAAGGAGATCCTTGGCGACAAGGTTGAGAAGGTTGTTGTCTCGAACCGTATCGTCGGCTCGCCTTGCGTTCTCGTCACCAACACCTTCGGCTGGTCGGCCAACATGGAGCGTATCATGAAGGCTCAGGCTCTTCGTGACTCGAGCATGTCGCAGTACATGGCTGCCAAGAAAACGCTTGAGCTCAACCCCTCCAACCCGATTGTCAAGGAGCTTGCCGCCAAATCGAGCCAGGACAAGGAGGACACCACGGTCCGTGATCTTACTGTGCTCCTCTACGAGACTGCTCTCCTCACCTCGGGCTTCACCCTGGAGCAGCCGCACGACTTTGCCAACCGTCTCTACAAGCTCATCTCGCTCGGTCTCTCGATCGACGAGACTGGCATCGACGCCGATGCTTCCGACGACAAGGCCGAGGCCGCTGTCGAGGAGGTTGCTGGCCAGTCGGCCATGGAGTCGATTGACTAAGCGCTCCTTTTGTCTTGATCTCGCACTCAAGCATTCCCCCTGTCGCTTTTGATTCCTTTTGTGATTCATTCGAACCAGAGTAACTTTTGTACCATACCATCCACTCAAAATCTCTTTGCCCTGTTCTCTACTAGCATCGCAAATTCCATCACAGATTCAGTTAAAGTATATAAAAGCTACACAAAGCGTAGAGACAGTGAAGGTAGTGCTTACGGCCGAGTAAAAGGCCTGAGCATTTGAGCACGGACCACATGTGTCACAACCTACTCAAGACAAATGCTTTGTTATGTTCTGCAGTTGATGCGGCTCTCTGCTGCTCTTCTTTTGTATATATAGACTCCTTCTCTCTCCTCGCTCTCTCTCTCTTGCCACCATCATCATCAATCACACGAAAACTTTAACTGGCTCCCAACGTGGGGCTCGAACCCATGACATTCATCATCAATAGTCCGACAATAAGCATAATGCCACCATCGACATGAGCAGGACAGACAGGAAGGGAGGAGAGAGATGATGATTGTCAGGGGTCTCGCGCCTGAAACCCAGGTCGGTCTGTCGAGATACTCGGTGACTATCAAACTGTGCGACAGCTATTGTCTCGGTATCGGTGACTATCAAGTTGTGCAGTGACAGCAGGTGGCATTTGTTGTATATACTATCGTAGGTTTCGGCTGACCTCTGTGGACACTCCATTCAGGGGTAGCTCGGCATGATCAATATCGATGTTATGATGACACCAAGGTCTGGTGTGAGTGTTGATGATGATGAGGTTAATGGTGTTGGTGATGAGATTGGTGATGTCGATGATAATGAGGTTGATGGTGTTGGTGATAAGGTTGGTGGCGTCAACACGAGTGTCCAGTGTGTTGACTTGATGCTTGAAGTGATCCCCGGACCGCAGTGGACTACTGCCTTCGGTTCTATCTTGATCCGGACCACTAACCTGCTATGGGTGCCTTCGGACATCAGGTAGTGGTGATACAACACACACACTACGATGAGGAGCAACCTTGATAGATTGCTGCTATGCTGACTGAAACTAATGTATACTTATGCTGAAGTGATAACTAGTTATATGGTGAGTAGAGTGGATGAGGATCCACTCAACCTATGATGATGAGAAAGCATGGTTATATACCTCTTCACAGCATTGCCAGCGATGCTGCTCCTGCTCTCTCTCCAGAGAGTACCTTCTTCATCGAGTACTGCTCAGGGGCCTCTCCTGCTTGGCACCCCTGTGCCTCTTGAGCTGTGTCGACTCCTTCGACACTGCTCCTCCTCCTCATGACCTGATGTCAACTCCTTCGACACTGCTCCTCCTCCTCATGACCTGGTGTCGACTCCTTCAACACTACTCCTCCTCCTTTGATCAGTGACAGTTCCTTTGGCTCTTGTCTCTCGAGCCCCTGAGTGGTAACCATCTGCATGCTCCTTGAGCTTGGTCCTCTTCGTGGCTGTGCCTGCTCCTTGAGCTTGGTCCTCCTTGTGGCTGTGCTTGGCCCTCCTTTGCATGTGAGTCCATAGGAGTCCATGGTCTCCATGGAGACTGCACTACAACCATGCTCTCTACTGATCTCGACTAGATCTTTGATACCTGTGCTCCTTCCATATGGACCTGTGACCCTCCTGCTTCTTGAGCATCCAGGCCCATGACAATGATCAAGCAGCTGCGACTGCGGGCAATGGTCAGGAGGAGGGTTGGCTTATGCAGGTGGTCAGGATACTACAGTTGGCAAACCTGGCGCTGACAGCAGAGGAGGCAATTGTATGGGTGATGGGTCTCATCAGCATTAGCAATCAAGCTCCAAGAGGGGAGGCAGAGAAGATTCCCAAGGACATCTCGAGTGCCATTGCACACATTAAGAAACTTAGTGATAACAACTGGCACACCTGGGAGCCCACCTTTATCAACTGTCTGCAACGGGTGCATAATGCAAAGGAAATCTTATATGGTGAAATAGCACCTGGAAGTGAGGGATATGATGAGGACCTGGACAAGGCGCTGGTAGGTCTTATCCACGCTTGCTGTGATCACAGCCTGGAAAGCCACATTGACACATACACCATCAGGGGTGCAGATGAGGAGGCCCAACTTGGAAGTATGCTTTACACTAAGCTTAGGAAGGCACTAACATTGAACGATGCGGTGAAGCGAGCGGGCCTGCAGGACTGCATCCACACTGTATGTCTATACAATCGCGATGTAGTCAGGCTAGGCAAGGAACTTGGCTCCATTTGGAATGATGCTGCATGTTTTGGGAAGTGCCTTGATGAGGACCTAAAGAAATCCATGCTCTACTGTTGCATGGCACAAGATTGGTTCTATGCCAACTCTGTTGATGTGCTCAAGATGGCCAAACCAGACTGTAAGTATGATGAAGCCTACCATGCACTTGCCAAGAAACAGCAGGATGGTGAGATTTCAGGTCATATCAGAGGAGCAGCCAGGGTTGCTACAAGCGCAGAGCAAGGGGGTACTGGTCAGGTGGAGCAGGGGCCCAGGGGCAGGCACGATCCGCATAATCCCTCAGCTCCTCCAAGATGCTATGCATGTGGGGGACCCAATCATATTGCTCATAATTGCACAAACACCAACAACCACCCTGCACCAAACACAAGCGAACCTGCTGCTCGTGTGGCACAGGAAGCGAGTCACTAGGAACTCAGGTGCACCTTCCTAGTGATCAACAGGGGGGAGCAATCAGCATACAACACCTGGATTGTTGATTCAGGTGCAACTCATCATATGGTAAATGATGAGAGAATGCTGCTCACCTCGACAAGCAAGGATGGTCAGATCAGTATGGCAGGGGATGAAAAGCTTCAGGTAAAAGCCATAGGATTTGCCTCCCTTCAGGTTGGTGAGGCTACCATCCAGCTATTGGATGTGCTCTATGTGCCGAAGCTCAATTCTAATTTATTGTCCATACAAGGCTTGATTGAGAATGGTGCATGAGTAATCTTTGATGAGTTTGGGACTACCATAAAGCAGAACGATGGTACCCAAGTGCAATTCAAGAAGAACAGGAGACAAGGCCACTTCGACATGTGAGGACAAGCACTGGCTTTGGAGCTGGAAGAGACAATCAACAACGTCCCAGAGGACAACCAGAACACAGGAAACTGAGACAACAACTCGAAGGAAGACAAAGATAGCTACCTCTGGCATGAGAGGTTCAGACACCCAGGACGAGATAAGACAAGGCAAATCCAGGCACACTACCTTGGCACTGATGAGAGAATGGAGCATGAATCAAAGCACTGCAATGCATGCAGTCAAGGAAAACAGACCCGAGCATGGATGAGCCAATCAGAGTGGAAGAGAGCAGAGGCACCACTAGAGTTAGTACATGTAGACTTGATGACAGATCTTAAGGGCCATGCCAACTACCACTATGCACTAGTTGCTGTGGACGACTTCTCCTCCCTGATCTATGTGGAACCACTCTGCACTAAGAGTGCTGCACTCCTGGCACTGAGAAGGTGGATCACCAGGATGGAACGAGCAACAGACAGGAAACTCAAAACGCTCCACAGCGACAATGGAGGAGAGTGGTGCAGCTTAGGAGCTGAAGACTGGCAAACTCAAGAGGGTTTCAAGTGGCAAAAGAGCATCCTGGGGATCAGTGTCCAGAATGGACAGGCAGAGAGAGCGATCAGATCGGTCCAAGAAAAGATGTGCTCAATGCTCATTGGTTGAGCTTGCCCCAGAGAGTTGTGGCCATATGCAATCACAGCAGCAGCACATGTGATGAACCTCACCCCATCAGCCACCAAGACCATCCCCCATGAGGCCTTTTATGGAACCACTGCACACAAGCTGGCCCAGCAGCTGCAAGTCTTCGGATGCTTGGCATGGGTCCATGTTCAATGGAAGGACCAGCAGGGCAAGTATGGGGCTAGAGCAAAGCCAGCCATCATGATTGGATATGATGATGAGCACAAAGTGTGGAAGTTTTGCAACCCAGACCAGCCTGCATCAATCCAATGGAGCAACTCAGCAACATTCCATGAGGACAAAGGATGGAGTGATTGCCAACAGGAGGCAGTCTGGCCCGTGGTGACCTCAGAGGTTGAGGAGGAGGGTGTCACACCAGCCATAGTGGAGGATCTCCTACCAGCTGTAGACAGCACAGTAGGCGCCACCAACACAGCAGTACTGAACCTGGACCCAACACTTGGGGAAGCAATAAATGGTGAGGATGCCCAGCTCTGGAAGGAGGCAATATGAAAAGAACTGGAAGGACTCGAGGCAATGGGGACTTGGGAGGTGGTGAATCACCCACCAGGAGCACCACTCGTGGACTCTAAGGTCATGCTTTGGCTAAAGCACAATGCTGTTGGTGTGCCCATAAAGCACAAGGCATGACTGGTGGCAAGGGGCTTCACACAGAGAGAGGGAATCAACTACCAGGAAACCTTCTCTCTGGTAGCACCCCTTGGAGCAATCAGAGCTATCCTAGCACTAGCAGTACAGAATGACTGGGAGGTGCATGCACTGGATATCACAATGGCCTACTTAAACTCCAGGTTAAAAGAAGCGATCTATATGAAACCACCAGAGGGATCAGGAGTAGCACCCAGACAGGTATACAAAGTGGTCAAGGGCCTGTACAGCCTAAAGCAGTCTGGGCAAGAATGGAACCAGGAGTTTGACAGGTCTTTGCGACGCATGGGATTCTTCCAGGTAGAGTGCACTCCCTGCATCTACACCAAGGGACAGGGCGAAGATATGGCCATTGTGGTCATCTACGTTGATGATACATTAGTCATAGCACCATGGCTGGAAACAGTCCTAAAGGTTAAGAAGCAGATTGGTCAGAGATGGAAGATGGAAGATAGTGGTGAGGTCTCTCACTTCCTTGGCATCAAAATCAGTCGAAACTGTATGATGTGCACCATGATGATTGGTCAGTCAGGGTACATTGACCAAGTGCTGGCTAAGCACCTGGACAAATGCACCAAGCCAACCATGGTTCCAATGCAGAGCATACCAGAGGGAACCCTTGTTGCAAGTGCAGCACAACAGAAGGAGTATCCAGTGATTGTTGGCAAGCTGCTCTGGGTTGCCAACAGCACCCAGCCTGACCTTAGCCTCACCATGAGTGTCCTCGCTAGACACATGTGTGAACCATCCCAAGAGCATTATCAGGCAGCACAACGGGTCTTATGCTACCTCGAAGGCACAAAGGATGTTGGATTAGTTTATAGGGGAAATATGTCGCAAGAGCCACTGATTGCGCATAGTGATGCAAACTGGGCAAGTGATGCCACCATTCAGAGAAGGAGTACATCAGGGTCAGTGGCGTTAGTGTATGGGAACCCGGTAGCCTGGAAGTCAGCAACACAAAAATGTGTATCACTGTCTGCTGTCGAGGCAGAGTTCATTGCAGCCATGGAAGCAACACATGAGGTGCTCTTCCTCAAGCAGCTGCTATGCTCGATTGGCATTGCCACAGGCACCCCAACAGTCTACTCAGACAACACTGGATGCATACAGGTTAGTAAAGACCCAGCACAGCACTGGAAGCTTAAGCACATTGACACCAAGTATCACTTCATCTGTAACAATGTTCAAGAGGGAAGGGTGCAAATCAAGTATGTGGACACAACAAGGAATTTGGCAGATGTACTCACCAAGCCAATTGGGAGACAGGCAATACAGAAAGCAAGATCTGGGCTACACCTGCAAATACTGGCAGCAGCATACGAAATGGAGTCCCCAAGCTATGTGATGATGTTAAAGAATGGAGGATATACCTTGAAACAACAGCATAATGAACAGGGTACATATGCTGTTGAGGGGGGGAGTTAAAGTATATAAAAGCTACACAAAGTGTAGAGACAGTGAAGGTAGTGCTTATGGCCGAGTAAAAGGCCTGAGCATCTGAGCACGGACCACATGTGTCACAACCTACTCAAGACAAATGCTTTGTTATGTTCCACAGTCGATGCGGCTCTCTGCCACTCTTCTTTTGTATATATAGACTCCTTCTCTCTCCTCGCTCTCTCTCTCTTGCCACCATCATCATCAATCACATGAAAACTTTAACTGATTCTTACCCGTTCTTTGCAGTTTGATGATTTCTCTCATCTTGCTTTCTTTCTCCGCCTGATAAGGTTTAGGGTTACCCTAACCCTAAACCCCCTTTCCTGGCCTTGATTTGGTGATGTTTTTTTTTTTTTTTTTTTTTTTTTTTATACTTGCAAAAACATTTCTCACTTGCAGAATAAAGCGACGATACTAAAGGATGTCATAGATCCAATCTGATCGGGGATCAGGCAAGGCCGATCGGATATTTCAGACATCGGGCTTAGTGCCGATAAGAGAAAGGGATCGGGTACAATCATGTGCCACTCGTTGTTATACATTGTCATTAGATAGGATGCAGCCACACTAGGCTAGGTGCGAGACATTTGTATATATATGCAGGTGCTTACCACTTGAGCTCCGTCCAGAGAAGGCAGCAAGCGAAGGGGGCACAACTTTGTTTTCCGGCGGATTCCATGCTGTTAGAGTCGGTTTTGGCTGACATAGAAAGGAATAGTTTTCGGGCCGTTTTCGGGCGGATGTCGGATTTGTTCGGTTTAGGCTGTTCGGTTTAGGCTGTTCAAAGCCGAACCTTATGAATCAGCTTTGCCAGACGGCTAAACATGTAGAGCAGATTCGCACCAATCCAGAAGCGCCGGAGAGTAAAGTGGTGTAACGTATCACCGAACGATGATTCATGTCCAACACTGCGCCATCCTTCTCGGTGCCTCTTCTCTCGGCCTCTCTCACAGTCCCGTCTTCTTCTTTTGCCTCGGTCAGTAAAGCTTCATTCTTCCCGCAGAGCTCGCCTGAGTAGGACAAAAAAAAAAGAAAAAGGCGGTCGAATGTCGCTTTTGTTGTGCAACAGTGGGAGGGTCGATGATGCCAAGCCGAGTCTCTTCTTGAATCTACAGTATCGCTTCTAGACAGGAGCTCCTGTTTGACCGTCGGCTCATCACATCACCACCTTCTTGCTTTCAATCCTCCAACAGACTCTCCTCATAGACAGGGATCAGCATCGTCTAGATGGCCAACCCGGGCTCAAATCCGAACCAACATGATGCTGAACGCAGCAAAGATGCCGAGCTTGCACCCCATAGCACCACCGAGAGGGAACAGTCTACCTTACAGTCTACCTTACAGTCTACCTTGGGCTTAAGGTTAGCCATGCAGTCTCCTGACCTCCAGAGGCCAGCCAACAATGTCACGGCGAGACAGAAGCAACATGGAAGATCCGGTGCCTCGAGGACTGCCACAGCCTCAACGACTGCCACAGCCTCAACGACTCCTTCCACTTCCAATATCCACCCTTCCTATGCCTCTTTCCCATCTCAGTACAGCTCGCGTACACCTTCCACCCAGCCATCGCAGCCATCGCTACAGTCTCATACGCAGCCTCGAACGGCTTTTCTTCCAGCACCCACTGCATCGCAGGATGTACGCGGATATGAGAGAGTCACATCCGTTGCGCCTGCTCCCAAACGTCCGCTCTGGAGCTTGGGCTCTACATTGCCTCGTGTCAGGCGTATTCCTGTCAGGCCAGCCAAGACTGCTTATCCGACGCCAGGCTCTCGATCTAATATTGTCCAGCAGCCCCTCGTCATGCTGCCAATGCAGACATCTGCGCCCAGGGCAAGCGACTATACAGAAGCCAGTGGCAGTGCCACAGCTCAAGACTCTTCTGATTCGCCAGGTGGTCCAGAAGAGCTCGTTCGTGGTCGCGACTTTGCTGACACTACCGAGAACGACAATTACACTGCCACAGATTTCGCACATGAAGGGCGACACTCAGGAGAGCTGCGTACCAGCTCGGAAGGCTCAGATCTCACAAGTCTAGTCACCGGCGATCTACCTCCTATCGTGGAAGGCGAAGCACTCCCAACCAACCAATCATCCTTACCGCAATCAGAGCCATCGCAGCCAATGGCTAGACCGCGCCTCGGCTACTCGTTCAGCAGTCCAACAGCTGCGGCCAACTCTAACCCTATACAGTTGCTTGGCGCTGACCAGCTCGGTCTGGGCCGCATTTCGAAGCAAGATCAGAACCCACTCGCTCACCTCCAAGTCCGAGAAAGTCGATCCAACAGAAGAAGCACAGATGAGCACGACATTGCTTCTTCAGATCCGCAGCGAAGGCTCTCTGCCGCACGAAAACAGCTTGTCCAAGAAGCTCAACACGGCGAGCATCTGCTCGCCACACAAGGCAGTGCAATAGATCCGAACGACTGCGAAGACGAAAATGCACAACATCCTACACACAAGCACATCAAGACCTCTTCGATGCCGTTCCTCCCCTCACAAGGCTTCGACATCATGCTGGCTGCCTCGAGCCACAAGAATGCTGATGAGCTGCACAATCGGCCACAGGATCGCAAGAAAGCCAGGAGTGACTCGCAAAACCGCTCAGCACTTGAGCAGACACGACATCCTGGACTATCCGGAGCCAGACCGACCCCTCGAGGTCGTGCTGCCGGTGGCCCCGCAGCAGGTGTAGACGTTCGAAAGCCATCTAGCCAAAGTATCCGTCGAGCGACCAACGCGACGAACCAAGGTCGATCTGCAGCTGGCTACTTTGACGATGATGTGCCACTTCACCAGCTGACCCACTTGGAACGTCAATGCTCCAGTCGACATCGTCGTGCAAGTCAACAAAGTCAGCAGGCCGAGCAACATCACCTTGAAGCTTCAACATCTCCAAAACCAAGCGACAGTCATCGCAGCTCGAATCGAAACGATACGAGGTCTCCATCCATCAGTCAGAGCATTCCATCGCAGGCAGGCATGCAGAAGCCTAGCGAAGAGCCAAGTGGCAGAGATGGCAATGAGGGCAAGGAGGGCAATGAGGGCAATGAGGGCAATGAGGGCAAGGAGGGCAAGGAGGGCAATGAGGCCAGTCTACAGCAAAGCATGCAGACCAAATCTGCCCAAGTTGTGGAAGGTGCAGCGGGGCAAGAGCGTCATAGCGAAGAAACAGTGTACTCTTGCTCGGGAAATGACATAGGGCATACCAGCCAGCGCTCCCATTTTGCAGGTCAAGGCGGAGAGCAGGATGAAGGATGGGAAGCAGAACAGAAGGAATACGTCCAACAAGATGATGAGATGTGGCTAGGTGGACAAGGCACCTACGAGGATGGCTCAATCGCTTTCCCGACAATATGGTCAAGATGGCGCTACCACAGTCGCGAGTTTCTGGCGGAATCGCTGGCGACAATGCTGCTGATCACGGTGGGTACAGCTGTTGACTGTCAGGTGACGCTCTCGCAGTCAATAGGACAGAGTGCAGGTTCTTATCCGAATCAGAACTGGGCCTGGGGCATAGCTGTAGCCTCGACGATCTACCTCAGCGGTGGTCGTAGCGGTGCTCACTGTAATCCTGCGATCACGTTGGCACTCGCCGTGTTTCGTGGATTCCCTTGGATTCAGGTGCCCATCTACTGGAGCGCTCAGCTGCTGGGTTCAATTCTGGGAGCTGCAATCACGTATGGCATCTATTTGCCAGCTATCGATCAGTTTGAAGGAGGCCCTCGTGTCCGCACATTGACTGGCGACACAGGAACAGGACGTCTATTCGTTACAGTTCCTCAGCTTGTCTTCACACCGGCCTCTGGTTTTGGAACTGAGCTTGTCGCCACGAGTATCCTCATGGCTATGGTGCTGGCCGTGGGTGACGAAACCAACGCTCCACCATCGGACGGTCTGTCAGCATTGGTGCTCGGATTTGTGGTGGTGATGATCGGCATGTCGTTCGGATGGCCTACAAGCTATGCCATCTCGCCTAGTCGTGATTTGGGTCCGAGGCTGTTTCTCTACATGGTCGGCTATGGCAAGGAGCTCTGGACACACAACTCGTATTGGTGGATCTATGGTCCGCAAGCTGGCTGCTTCACTGGTGCATTGATGGGTGCTCTATTGTACGACTTGGCCATCTTTACAGGAGAAGAGTCACCGATCAATTATACGCGGCAAGGATGGAAGCAATCGACGCCGGCGCGCCTCGGTTCACGTCTGCTCAACTCGGCGGAAAGACTCGAGTTTTGGACAAGTCCTGTCAGGCGTGTTCGGCGTGGTCAGGCTGCCGGTCAAGACGAGGGCAAGGAAGGAGATGCCGCCAGTTATTCACTTGCTGATAAAAGAGCAATGGCACATTCAAAATCGCACAACGCTATCCTAGGTATGAAGAGTAGTTCTGATGGTGCAGGCCTGCTGCAAGATCCAACCTCTGGCGCAATTAAGGGACAGAGACGAAGGCAAAGTCAGGCGTCGCAACAGCTGGACGCTCAGGAACAAGGTTGTGCTGAAGGATGCGATCCAGCAAGATGTTGATGGGGAACCTGGGCCGACACGCTAAGAGGTCGGGCACTGCTTGGTCCCGCTCGATGTCACACTTCATCTTGAGAGATATACTCCCACCTTCGGCAATGCCTCGTTACTGTATATATATCGAGCTGAGAGCTCCAGCCTACCACCCATGTTCTAGCCAGGTCAATATAGTATAGTGTTTCTGCCGCAATAGGAGCAGTACTGTGCTTTGACTGATATCGCTCGTTGAGCATGGCCAGCTGTCACCTATGATAGAGCTGCAGTAGAGAGAGTGTCCATTGCAGTGAATTGCTTTGGGTGCTTGTCTAGTCTGGTGTGATGGGGATCGTTAGTGATTGCGCTATAATTGGGCTTTTTGGTTAGCTGAGGAGCGCGAGGAGGATTGCTTCAAAAAGTGAGCGAACTGGTCGTAGACATAGTCTCTGCGCTTGATGGATTCGGGACCACGAGGGAGTTTGTCGAAGCCGTGACCTTCCTTTTGGATGCTAATGAAGCGCACATCTGTGCGTCCTGCATCTGCGAGCTTGCGAATCAGCTTCTCAGAGGCGCGATGGAGAGTGTCAACCTGACCGGATGCGAGCAAGAGAGGAGGGAAGCGATCGGCATGGAGGTAGTAAACGCTGCAGAGTGGGTGCTGTTTGTCTTGTTGGCGGACAAAGTAGGAATCGATAAAGACATTGCTCATCCAGGTAGGAAGTGGGAATCCGCTGTCAGGACGGACTTTGGAAGCGAGGGGACGGTCTTGGGGCCTAATTGTAAAGTCGACAGGTGGATAGAGTGCGGCGATAGCCGCAATGCGTTGTGGGCCGAGCTGGGCGCCAACGACGAGAGCGAGGTTGCCTCCTGCCGAGAAGCCACCAAGTGTAATGCGATCGGGATCATAGATCTGTGGCTGGGAGAGTATGTTATTGACAACGTCCTGGGCATCATGGCTTGCTGCAGGGAAAGGGTATTCGGGAGCCTTGCGATAGTCAGCATCGATAAAGATGCAGTCGGGCCCGAGCTTGTTCAAGATGTGGGAGGCATATGCGTAGTCGTCACCAAGGTTGGGCAGGACAAAGCCAGAGCCGTGCCAGGAGATGTGGACTGGCAAAGGAGAAGGAACGCCGTCTGAAGATGGCGAGGTGAGCTTGGAGCGATAGATGTGAACGCGAATGGTGCGGCCTGACTGACGAGAAGGCAGGTCTACCACCTGACGCTCGAATCCATGAGGAAGAGGTGTCTGTGTGCGATATATGAGAGGTCGTAAAGAGTTGAGAGATCGCAAGAGGAGCACGATGGCCTTGAGACGGACGTAGCGAAGACTCCAATCGTGGAGCCTTTCCTCGGGAATGTCGAATGAAGATGAAGAAGTGGGCATGCTGCCTATCTAGAGGAAAGCTTTATTTGGGGAGGTGGTATTCAGGAAAGTGAACAGTCTATAGAGTGCAATCGGGAAGAGCGGATCTTGGTCGAGCTGGATGTCTACATAGCAGGTTGAGAGAGAAGAAGCAAGTCGATGACGACCAGCGAGAGTTTCGTGAAAGCAAGAGCTGAGATCCCTGATCTAAGTATCATGATCCGCGGAGATTTTGCTGACGTCATTCCGCGGGGTATGCTGGTCCAGCCCGGCCCGGCCCGGCCCGGCCCGGCCCGGCCCGATTCTATCCGATTCTATCCGATTCTATCCGATTCTATCCTTCCCCGATTTTATCTTGCCCGATCCGGGCCGATTGAATCGCATCCACTTGCGTCACGTAAGACAATTTCTGGCTTTCTGGTAGGATATGGAGGACAGTGACAAAGTGGGGGAATACAGGATACGAGAATGGCGGTGTTTGGAGAGAGAGCATTCTGTAGTTGCGCTAGGTGACTTGGCGAGAAACACTGACCACGTCACATGACTTTCGGTCACGTGACCGCCACCCAGTCTCCACTTGGCTCTTGCTCTGGCTCTGGCTCTCTCTCTCTCTCTCTCTTGCCTTTGCTCTCCTCCTGTGTGTACATGTGTATGTGTACATTACACATGACTATGTGTGCGAGTTCAGGGTTGAACTTCCTCGCCTTTTAGGCCTTTGCTGTGCATTGATTGCAGTTAGTTAGCTTAGCCTCGCGTCAGTTTGGCCGCTGAGCTGAACGAGGATGATGAACTGTAGCTGCCATACACAATGCTCCCATCCGTCTAATCTCCTTTTGTCTCATCACCATCATCATCATCATCAACAACAACAACAACAACAACAACCACGCTCTCGATCTCAACTAGTCCCACCAACCAGACCAAGCCAAGCACACACACACACGCACACACGCACACACGCACTACCACTCACCTGTTTATTAGCCCAATCAAGTTCAGCAAAAGCATACGTCCATTGCACTGCCACACGCTCCTCATCCTCATCCACCCATCCGGTCGTCCCTTGGTCGCTGACACACTAACTGTCCACTCTCCTTTCGCGAAACATCCTCAGCAGCTCATCGCCTCGTTTCCCTTTGACCGCCGCCCGGAGTTCCCCGTGGTCCGTAATCAAGCTTAATCTACTATCTCGCTTCATACTCGCACTTGACTCGACCCTTTTCCTCTCTTTGGTCCCTGCTTAGCCCCTTCGATTATACACAGCCTGCATCTCTTGGCCTCTTTATCATCTCGAGTCGCGTCGTCCGGCTCACGTCTGCACTTGCATCACAACCATCTGGGCACGGCATCACTGGCTCTCTTGCTATCCTCTCTCTTGCTGGCTAGCGCTTTGCTTCGTCTTGCTGTCCGCGCATCACCTCGAGCCTTTCGCCAATGAGCCCTCACTCTTCTGACAATGCCTCCCAATCAAAGCAAAAGAAGAAAACAGGCTCTCCCCCTACCATACCCGTAGACAAGCCCTCCACCGCCGCCACATCCACCGCAGCATCCACCGCAACATCTACATCCGCCTCCTCTCCACCTGTCCAGCCTGTGTCCATTGCAGCTGCGCAACCAGCAACAACAAACTCTGGTCCGGCTCAACCTGCTGCTTCCATCTCTACCGCACCTGACGCTCAATCTCCTCCTCGGCCTTTAACCGCCTCCAACCCTCGCGTGTTCACAGCCTCGACCCTCAAACCTGTCTCGGCCATTGACACTGTCACCTCGACTATCTCTGCCATCTCGCAGCAGGCAAATCGCGGCATCTCCAGTCTCATAGCCGCTCATTCAAACCTGCCGAATGCCACCTCTCCTCTCGTCTCAGCATCCGCAGATCACTCCACTCCTCTACGCACTGACGGCTCCGTCTCGCCTATCTACGACGCATTTCACAATGCTGGCTCAACTCCGGATCCCGCTCCCATCGACGCTGCTTTGAAGCATGCAAATCATCTTGCCACAGCTGCACGACCTGCACTGCCCCGTGTGCTTTGGTCACGTTGGGATCGTCTACCCCTGAAAGCCCAACCTCCCAAATGGGCCCCCTTGCTTATCTCTTACTTTGACGACGGCACTCTTCAGGCTCTCCTCGCTCAAGACCGTCAGATCTCAGAGCTTCTCTGTTTACCAAAGGCCGCAGAGGTGCTAAGCGAAGACGCTGCTGCTGCTTCTTCTTCTTCTTCTTCTTCTTCTTCTTCTTCTTCTTCTTCTTCTTCTTCTTCTTCTTCTTCTTCTTCTTCGTCCGCTTCAGGAGCACTTCAGCTTTTGACCGCCTTTGTCAGGCACCCGCTTCCGGACTCCAGTGAGCCTCAGCTCATGCTTGTTCTTCAAGAGCCCAACAAGGCGACTCACTTGCTCGCCTACTCCCTCACTACCCATCAGATTCAAGCTTCTGTCCAGCTGCAGCACCATGTCTTGCCTCCATCCGACACTATCCAGTCCAACGACGCTCGCATCGATGATATCTGGCAGCAAGTGAGTTCGCAGTGCAACAAAAGGTTCCTCGTTCTCTCCTTTGCTTCTCCAGCCTCCATTCATGTCCTCTCGACTGCAACGCTCCAATATCTACACTCGCCCATTCTTGACGCCGCAGCCGCCAACGCCAACCGTCCTCCTCCCATCTCCCTCTCACATCGACTTCTCGCCTTCGCTTGCACCACATCTCAAGCCATCTCTCCCGTCGGTGAGATGCGTGATAATCTGTTCGAGACTTCCGCACATGTTGGAGACGCTGCTCGTCGCATCCGAGGCGGCGTCATGAGTGGCGTTCGCACGCTCGGCGAATGGGGCAGTTCCTACTGGCCCCATGCAGGTAGCCCACCAACTACAACCGCCTTCTCGCCTCCAAAGCCCAGCCTCCTATCGCAATCGGCCCCTCACTATGCACATCCCTCACGTTCCGCCTCATCTGCCTCCAGCTCACCTATGCTCCTGGCTTCTGACGGTGGACGCAATCCCAAACGCTTGTCAACCGGCGCCACAGCTGCTCTGCCAGTCATAACGGATGCTACAGCCAAGAGCGCTGCTAGCAATACCAATGCTGTCCAGGCCGGTTGCTTGCGCATCCTTGACTTGGCCTCAGATGCACGCATTGTCTGCACCTTTGCACCTTCAACTAGCTCACTTGCCTTTGTCGCCTTCAGTCCATGTGGTCGCATGATGCTGACAGCCGATATTCTGGCACATGCCTTCCACGTATTCGAGCTGCACCTTGCTGGTGCTTTTGGCGGTGCGGGCACCCCTTCCAGCTCCACCGTACTTCACAGGTACAAGCTCATGCGTGGCATCACCACTGCAGATGTAGTGCAAGCCCAATGGTCTTCTGATGCCCAGTGGATTACTGTTGGCACACGCAGCGGCACCGTTCACGTTTACGCTGTCAATCCTTACGGAGGCAGTCCTTCGATTGCTAATCACGTCCAGCGCAAGATCAAGAACCCGCAGCTCCTGCAGCCCCTCGGCGTATCGCTCGCAAGCTTGGCTCGCTCTACGCGTCCCTCACTACCACCTCAGCAGGAAACAGCCCTGAAGCAGCCTGGTGCGCCTGCAGTAGAGGCAGAAGCCTCTACTGCCGCAGCCTCACAAATGCGTTTCAGTCCGCCCTCCTTCTTGCTTGTCGGTCACGGAGCGCGACGACCAGACGCAGATAGCGAGGCCTCCTCTCCGTTTGAGCTTCTGACGAATGATCCACGCGGCCACCGCGTCACACTTCATTCGGTACGTTGTTGGAGCACGCAGGCTCGAGCACCGTCTTCAAGCAGCACTAGAGAGGAGATGCCCTCCACCAGCCCGGAAGTCAAGCAACGTATCGGTGGCGCCACATCACCACGATCGTCGGGCCTCTCCCAGATGATGAGGAAAGCTGGCGAGGGTCTCCTCGCTGGCCAGCAATTACCGAGACTTCAGGCAGAGTGTGTGCGCGTTGCATTGTGGGAACACCTCGCTCCCGAGAACGGTGGCCCAGCCAACAAGCAGGCTCTCTCGACTTTGTCGGATGGGGACCTCTCGTCTCGCTCGCTCGAGCGTTCGCACGAGGCTATGCTGGCGCCATTGGCCGCGGTAGCCAAGGCCGAGATCGAAACTCACAGTCAGTCGCCGGCCATTGTGCCCACGTCCATCTTCTTATCTCGACAAACCTACTTCCACTCACGCACCCGCGTCCCAAAGTCGTCTTTCACCCAAGCTGACTCCTCAGAGTCTTTGCGCTGCATTCAGCGTCGGGGTTCAAAGCCGATCCAAGTTCGTAGAACAGCTCGTATGGTGTCACGCAAGCCTTTATCCGAAGCTTCGAGCTCTTTCGATGACAGCCTGGGCGGCGCTTTGGAGCAAATGTCCTTCGATCCAGACAGACTGCCTCCTAGGAGCGCATCAGCCCACATCCCTAGCTTCCCTCAAGGTCAACGTGGCCGCTCGTCGGGCTGGACTTCAGGAAGCAGCATCCCGATTCGTATCGTTGCTGGCGGTCTAGGTGGCATTTATCGTGCCGGAAAGGAGCTCGGACGTGGTGTCGAGATGGCTCGACGTCGCACTAGTGGCGCTTCCGGTACCGTTGCACCTGACTTAGGCCGAGTCTACCCTGCAGCCAGGACTGCATCCTTCTCGTTTGGTGGCGATGATGACATCGACTTGCTCGGCGATGACGAGGATGCGCATCGCTCCAGTCGGCGGTTGTACGGCATGGACAACAACGCCAGCACTCGTGTCGAAGACAGGTCGGTGAGGTCTGACGCCTCGCTTCTTTCAGCTCTGCGCAGCGACGGACCTCTGAGAGGCTCGCAGCCTAGCTCTGCCGAAACACCTTCCTTACGCTTCAGCGAAACAGAAGACACAGGCATAGATGGTGTCGGGGCGGACTCGGACGAATGCGATTGGGACGCCATCGAGGCCAGCCGCAGCCCGGCGGCACCTGAAGCTCCACTTTTTGATGTCATGGATCTCGGTGAAGGCAACGATGAAACAGGCAAGGCCTTGGCCAACACAATCACGGGCAGTCATGCTGGAAACAGCATCGACGAAGACTTTACCGTCGGCATGTTGGACGAAGACTCGGGGCAAGCAACGATGAATCATTCTCGCTCGAGCCTGTCGACGGGCCAAGGAACCAAGAGCAAAGTCACGCCTCCTAAAGAGTTGGTCTATGCGCTTCCATCTGGTGGCTCGACGCGGTCCAGTCTGTTGAGCCACAGCAGCAATCTGACGACCACGGCCGACGTGCGTGCCGATGGCAGAGACCATGAAGGAAGCTCAAGCGATGCTAGTCCTTCCAACTCGGGTGGCGCTGACAGTGGAAGCCAGGGTAGCCTAGGTTCAGGATTGCTTTGCGAGGGCAGCAAGGAAACATACACGACTGATAGCTCACCAGCTGGCCTTATCGCCGAGCTGGAACCTCGCAACAAAGATGTTGCAGTCAAGGAGACGGATGGAGCCATCATGAAAAAGCCCATCAGTACGTTTGGCGGCGGAAAGAAGAAGAGAGGTGGAAGGTAGCACTCCTAATGTTCGTGAAGCCTTACACGAATCTTGTCATTTGCCGCTTTCACTTAATGGACACGCTATTGTGCCGCACAACGAGATACAAGCCAGCTTGCTCAGTATCAGACACTAATACTATCGTCAACTAGATCTAGTGCGACTGGAGAAAGTAAAACTCGATCCCTTCCAACGTTGCGTGCGCACGAGGCTGCACGGCTGAAGGTCATTCGAACGATCTCGAGCTTGAGAGCGCACGTACTACGGAGACACACATGCATAGCGAGGGGTCTGTCTTTGCAAAAGTTTGATCAAAGGCTCTATATGAGGGAAGGTATATCGCTATCGTGCGATCCGGTTTGAAGAGGCGTAATAAGATGGGCTTTACTTTGGGCGCATTACTTGGACCCGTTCATGGCTGCCATGACCTTTGTCCTCCTCTCGTACAGCTCCTTGTCGGCACCTTCCCAGTTGCTTCCGTAACCGTTCTTCATAGCTCGTGCCATACTCTTGTGGGTGACGGTGTTGTCACCATTGTCGAGGATGGCAAGCAATCTCCTGAACCAGTCCGGAGCGGCACGAATGAGAGGAAGCAAGTGGGCAAAGCCTGGGAGCATGAGGTGCTGCGAGAGACCCGAGTCGAGGGTCCAAACGATTTTCTGTGCGACCTGAATGGGTTCGAGCACAGGGGTGAAGAAGGGGTCGGCGTGGTCCTCCATTCCATCACCAAGGGCGGTGCGCACCTTGGTTGGAGCGACGAGGGTGGTACGGACGCGAGGGGCGTTGTAACGTGTACGGAACTCAATAGCAAGGCACTCGTGGAAGGCAAGAGCGGCAGCCTTGGAAGTTGCGTATTCGGACATGGACGGGAGCGTAGCGTAAGCACCGGCAGAAGAGATAGTGACCACATGTCCGTGGTTGCGGGCAATCATATCTGGAATGAACTCCTTAGCGGTGATCCAGTTTGCAAACGTGTTGATGCGCCACAGACGAGCCGCCGAGTCGAGATCGACGTCGAGGATGGTGTTGCCCGATGCAACACCGGCGCTGTTGATGAGAACACCGACCTTCTTGCCGCCGAAAGCCTGCCGGATCTTCTGGCCAACCTGAGCGACCTGTTCGCGGTTGCTGACATCCGTCTTGAAGTAAAGAATCTCGGGGGCGCCAGGAGGAGCAGCAAGGTAGGCAGGTGGAGCCATGTCAAGCACAGCGATATGCGCCTTCTTCTTGTGACTCAAGAGCTGAACGATCTCCTTGCCGATGCCCTGCGAGCCACCGGTGATTACGACGATGTCCTTGGAGTAGTCGATGGGGTCGCGTCTCCACTCGGTGTGGTTTCGCACATAACGGTTGATGGTACGGTTGATGGTACGAAGGAGAATGAAGATCCAGATGTAGCCAACCCAATTGTACTGATTGAAGAGAAGCGACTTGGCAAGCAAAAAGAGATCCTTGTAGGAAGTGGGGAGCGTTTGCGTGGGGTTCTTTTGCTTATGGTAGAGAACCGAAAGCGCCGGTAGGAGACCGAGGAAGGGTGTCGAAAAGGGAGCGATGGCAAGGAGGCGGAAGATCGAGTCGGCGGTGAAAGGCTCCTTGAAGGCAGGCAAGGCCTGGCTGATGGTTGAATCGGTCATGACTGTGAGTGTGTGGCGTCTGTCGTCGATACACAAGTCGGGGTTGGGATATGTGGTTGGCGATTGCAGGCGTCTGTGGAGGTGAAGTAGGGAGGAGAGCGTCACTTATATACAGAGAGCAGCAAGGAAAGTTGAAAGACTCTGAGGGACACGTTGCGAGAAGGTGGATGGAAGTGCGATGCAAGCGGGCAAAACACTCTAAAGGCTAGCCAATGCGGGGGCCAAAGACAAAAGAAGCAAGTCTAGTGCAGGTGATGGCGGAGTTGGGGAGGAGGATGATGCTCGCTTGCCGCAAGAGGAAAAGAAGAGCTGGCTCAGAGCGGCAGCCACCATGGGGACTAGATTCGTGTGAAATGCACTCGACACCGCCAATCAAGGGTCTTTCCGCTGGGCCGGAGCCGCATCTACCACGATGCAGCCACACTTGTTTGTTCTGTGCGACCTTGCTAAAGCTCGCTCATCCTCCACACTCTGTTCAGTGCACATTCAGCAGTGCAGTGGCAGTCCTGCTCTGGTACGGATGCCTCGAGCCGATGTCAGTTTTGTTTTCAGCATCTTCGCTCTTCCTCGCTCGTCCTCGCCCTGGATTGTGTTGGGAAAAGCATTGCAGCAACTCACACTAACACGACATATGAGTTCCTGGTTTGACAGACCGTGGCAGTGGTTGGAAGCACGCTCTGAGTTCATCAAGATGAGCGATGCCCATATGACGTGCAACTTGATTTGTTTCTTCCAATGCCACTGTTACACAAGAAATATTGAGCGTGAAAGCCTCCGAAGAGAAAACGGAGATCTGTGGGGTAAACAAGAATCAGATCAGCATGACTAATGGACTGGATCGATCGACGCCGAAAAACCTCCTCCCGATCTTTAGATCCTGCCCTCCCCAGCCCATGGTCAAATCTCCTTTTCCCCGCCTCCACGTCGAGAGACCGAACATCGCCTAACCTATCACTCGAGCCACCACCTTGGTGTCCACACTTCACACCAAAGCTTGCGCAAGATCGTCGCTCAGCCGCAAGGGAGGACTCCCAACGAATCTGCTAATCAAGATGCTCTCTTTCGCCACCTTTGGTATCACCTTCTTTGTCGCCATGGTTGCTATCAGCACCGTTATCACCCTCCTCGGATGGTGATTCCGCTCATCGGCCTCGCGCAATGTCGGCGACCTTCAAAATAGTCGAGCCAAAGAAACGCGCCGAGCTCGTGTCGCTGCTCGACGAAGGCTGAGCATGCTGCCCGACTGTACAGTGCAAATATCGTCTTCATCACCCAGGTCAAGCCGCTCCGTACGCCGCCGATGCAGTCAGTCTTATCCCGGCTTTGATCTACAATACGACTCCGACTTTGTATTTCAGCCTTTCTCGTACTCATACCCAAACATATCGTGACAGCCCTCAGTCCTGAATATGATTGTGTGCCATCCAGGTGATCCGGCTTCATAGCCGCATTGTGAGACCGACCGGCAACGGCTTTTCTGAGCGTGGCGCCTATCAAAATGGCTCCTTCCAAATTCCGAGTTACGAGTTCCGAATCACAAATCCCGTGTTCCGAATTCCGAATTCCGTATCCCGAGGCCCTTGACTTAATTCTACAGGTTTCTCTCTCTCTCTCTCTCCACCTCGCAAACCTTGCAAAGCTTCTGACCGTCTCCTTCTCAACGTTCGCTCGCCCCTTGCTCACCTTCGCCTAAGCTTTCTGCTGTTCTGACAGCACAACGCAGCCGCTGCCGCCGCCGCCGCCGCGAGGACCATGTTCTACGATCTGAACGTGCCATGGCCTCAAGTGCCCGGCGCTGGATCGTCCTCTTCCAATAACTCGGCGTCTAGTCCGCACACCTCTTCCAAGAAGAAAGCAAAGCAACAACACCCACTGCAGCAAGCCTTGGCTTCTTCGTCGGCAGCGGCAACACCCGAGCCCCCTTCGACCCCGCTCTCTTCACTCCGCGACAAGGATGCAACGTGTCTGGCACAAATCCTACTCGAGCTCAACGAGCTGCGTTACTCGCACGTTGCTTTCAACCATGTCGTACAGTCAAAGTACGACCCTGCACTTCATCCTAATGCACTAGCACCACTCCGAGACGGCAGACCGAATCCGCCATTCCCGGAGCTTGATCCACGCACGCGCGCCAAGGGCAAAGCAAAAGTGAGCTCAGCAGGCAATGCTGATGGACTTACACAGCTCAGTCGACTCACCCTTGTTCTCGACGATCAGTCTATGGCCAAGTCCGGTAGCGGCTGGGTCACTAACAACGCCACCGCACTTCAGTCGTACGACCTCCTTGCCGTACGTCCCACCACAGAAGCTGCATTTCAACATGCATGCTTGACACTATCGGAACTGAAGCCATTCAGCATCGATATCATATCACTCGACTTTGGTGCCCAGCCTCGCTTGCCGTTCTTCCTGAAGCGATCTACCCTCAATGCCGCTCTCGAAAACGGCGTTCAATTCGAAATCACCTACGCACAATCCCTTTCCGAAGATGGATCCAAAGCAAGAAGAAATCTCATAAGTGGTGCCAGGGATCTGCTACGAGTAACCAACGGAAAAGGCGTCTTCTTCTCCTCTGGTGCAACAGAGGCGCTCTCGCTACGTGCGCCCTACGACGTCATCAATCTGGCCGCCATCTTCGGTCTCAACCCTTCCGCTGCTAGGGACGCTATATCTAACAACTGCAGAAGCTTGCTCCTTCGATCGCGAACACGTAAAACTTATAGAGGCGTCCTCTCCCATCCCGTCGCGATCCCACCCAAACCCCTAGCAGACCTCGCCACCTCCGACAAACCGAAGTCGGTTGCGATCGAACGGGTTGAAGCAAACAATAAGAAGCGCAGATCGGCTCAGGATGAGGAATCGCCACAGCGGCCTTCTGCAGCACAGATTGCACAAGTGAACAAGAAGCAACGAATCTAGCATGTTGACAGAACCTTGTATTAGTACGATTAGCAATATATGCATACGACTTTCATTCACAACCCACTCACTGCCTTCTTGCCTGAGAGGCCATGACCGATGATAGACTCATACCTTCCTCACACGCTTGTTTCCAGTCCATCCTAGACTCCAGCGCTAGGGCTATGTCTATGCAAAGTCTCACGGTACCCTGTTCTGCGGCGGCTGAGATACAGGCTGCCAAGGTTTGGTCACTAGGTTTGAACTTCGGTCAACCTAGGTAAACTTCGATGAAGCTAGACAAACTTCAAAAAACCTTGGTAAACCCCAGTATACCTATGTTGGACATACCTCAACCTCTGTGAACCCCAGTGTCACAGGGTCTGCGCAGAAGACCCTGTACAGTCCCTGTCCAAAGTTTGGGGACAGGGTCCAATATATGTTCGTGCATGATCTGGGTGTTCCACACCTCTGCAGCTCTGGCAAGTTCATCCCGGGTTTTCGGTACTGGCAAGTGCTTACCAAGCAAGTTTTTGAACACATACCATATGTTCTCAATAGGGTTAAGGTCCAGCAAAGCCAGCAGGTGTTCCTGCATCTTAATGTGGTATTTGGCCCACCATTGCTTGCAGATAGCAACCTGATGACAGCTGCTGCCATCTTCGACAACCAACAGGCCATCAGGGTATGCACTAACAGCAGTTACAGCATCCCAGAGTGGCCTGTTGATGATCCAATCACAATATCTGACAGCTGTGAGGTTCTCAGTGGGATCCCATTGATTAGCCAACCCCAGCTGCTTCTTTCTTGGAGCCAATGGGAGCACAATCAATGGGGTTTTAAGGTTGTATGCAATGTTGGCCCATACCTGGATGCTGAAATGGCTGGAACAGAACATCAGAACCATGTTGTTGATGTCTTCTTGAGTGTTTTTCCAGCAACTAACCCATGTGCATCTGGGCCAGTAGCCAACCTCGACAGCTGCCTCATCTGTGAACAGCACACCCCTCCAATCAGTGATGCTGTTAGCCTTGGCCCATTCTAGATGTTTATGCCAGTTTTTGGCTGTCAGAAATGGCTTTTGGAGCACAATCTGGCAGTTAATACTGGCCTGGTATGCTGCTTTCCAGAGCTGCATAATGTCAGGGGTCTCGCGCCTGAAACCCAGGTCGGTCTGTCGAGATACTCGGTGACTATCAAACTGTGTGACAGCTATTGTCTCGGTATCGGTGACTATCAAGTTGTGCAGTGACAGCAGGTGGCGTTCGTTGTATATACTATCGTAGGTTTCAGCTGACCTCTGTGGACACTCTGTTCAGGGGTAGCTCGGCATGATCAATATCAATGTTATGATGACACCAAGGTCTGGTGTGAGTGTTGATGATGATGAGGTTGATGGTGTTGGTGATGAGATTGGTGATGTCGATGATAATGAGGTTGATGGTGTTGGTGATAAGGTTGGTGGCATCAACACGAGTGTCCAGTGTGTTGACTTGATGCTTGAAGTGATCCCCGGACTGCAGTGGACTACTGCCTTCGGTTCTATCTTGATCCAGACTGCTAACCTGCTATGGGCACCTTTGGACGTCAGGTAGTGGTGATACAACACACACACTATGATGAGGAGCAACCTTTGATGGATTGCTGCTATGCTGACTGAAACTAATATATACTTATGCTGAAGTGATAACTAGTTATGGTGAGTAGAGTGGATGAGGATCCACTCGACCTATGATGATGAGAAAGCATGGTTATATACCTCTTCTCAGCATCGCCAGCGATGCTGCTCCTGCTCTCTCTCCAGAGAGTACCTTCTTCATTGAGTACTGCTCAGGGGCCTCTCCTGCTTGACACCCCTGTGCCTCTTGAGCTGTGTCGACTCCTTCGACACTGCTCCTCCTCCTCATGACCTGGTGTCGACTCCTTCGACACTGCTCCTCCTCCTTTGATCAGTGACAGTTCCTTTGGCTCTTGTCTCTCGAGCCCCTGAGTGGTAACCATCTGCATGCTCCTTGAGCTTGGTCCTCTTCATGGCTGTGCCTGCTCCTTGAGCTTGGTCCTCCTCGTGGCTGTGCTTGGCCCTCCTTTGCATGTGAGTCCATAGGAGTCCATGGTCTCCATGGAGACTGCACTACAACCCTGCTCTCTACTGATCTCGACTAGATCTTCGATACCTGTGCTCCTTCCATATGAACCCGTGACCCTCCTGCTTCTTGAGCATCCAGGCCCATGACACTACCCCCCTCTTAAGAGCCAAGCTCTGTCGAGGCATGCTCTGGTCTGGTCCATGCTGACTCCTCCTCCTCCTCCTCGACAACATCGCCAACATCATCCTTCCTCCTTCTCTCAATGTCATCCTCCTTCCTCTTCCTCTCTCTACTCCTCCTGTTCTCCCCTCCTTTCTCTACTTTGTCTACTCACTCGTCCCCCCTCCGACACCTCATACTCCTGGATGAGGTCAGGACAGTTGAGGTTCTCTACTGGTTCCCATGAAGCAGCTTCCTCTGAGTACCCTCTCCACAACACCTTGTACTCTGTAGTCCCATTGTGTGAATGCTTGTTGATGAGTGCTTCGACTTCGAAGTCGAGGTCCTCATCTGGAAGTGATGGTATGGTGGGCTGTTCAGCATGTTGAGGAAGAGAACTTGTTCTTGCTGGCTCGAGCATGGAGACATGGAACACATCATGCACCCTAAGGTTTGCTGGCAATGTGATTCGATAAGCTCGGCGTCCTACCCGTTCCTGAAATGGGTAGGGTCCTGCAAACCAGGTATCTAACTTGGGTGTGGGTCTCTGTGTCTTCCAGTTTCAACGGTTGATATAGACCATATCACCCACCTTAAACTCGATGTCCTTGTGCTTCCTGTTATACTGGTCTACTGATCTCCGTTGTGCCTCTTGTCAGGGGTCTCGCGCCTGAAACCCAGGTCGGTCTGTCGAGATACTCGGTGACTATCAAACTGTGCAACAGCTATTGTCTCGGTATCGGTGACTATCAAGTTGTGCAGTGACAGCAGGTGGCGTTCGTTGTATATACTATCGTAGGTTTCGGCTGACCTCTGTGGACACTCCGTTCAGGGGTAGCTCAGAACGATCAATATCAATGTTATGATGACACCAAGGTCTGGTGTGAGTGTTGATGATGATGAGGTTGATGGTGTTGGTGATGGGATTGGTGATGTCGATGATAATGAGGTTGATGGTGTTGGTGATAAGATTGGTGATGTCGATAATAATGAGGTTGATGGTGTTGGTGATAAGGTTGGTGGCGTCAACACGAGTGTCCAGTGTGTTGACTTGATGCTTGAAGTGATCCCCGGACCGCAGTGGACTACTGCCTTCGGTTCTATCTATATCCAGACCGCTAACCTGCTATGGGTGCCTTCGGATGTCAGGTAGTGGTGATACAACACACACACTATGATGAGGAGCAACCTTGATAGATTGCTGCTATGCTGACTGTAACTAATGAGTACTTGTGTTTCTAAAGTATTGACTAGTTGTATGGTGAGTAGAGTGGATGAGGATCCACTCGACCTATTGATGATGAGAAAGCATGGTTATATACCTCTTCTCAGCATCGCCAGCGATGCTGCTCCTGCTCTCTCTCCAGAGAGTACCTTCTTCATCGAGTACTGCTCAGGGGCCTCTCCTGCTTGGCACCCCTGTGCCTCTTGAGCTGTGTCGACTCCTTCGACACTGCTCCTCCTCCTCATGACCTGATGTCAACTCCTTCGACACTGCTCCTCCTCCTCATGACCTGGTGTCGACCCCTTCGACACTGCTCCTCCTCCTTTGATCAGTGACAGTTCCTTTGGCTCTTGTCTCTCGAGCCCCTGAGTGGTAACCATCTGCATGCTCCTTGAGCTTGGTCCTCTTCATGGCTGTGCCTGCTCCTTGAGCTTGGTCCTCCTCGTGGCTGTGCTTGGCCCTCCTTTGCATGTGAGTCCATAGGAGTCCATGGTCTCCATGGAGACTGCACTACGACCCTGCTCTCTACTGATCTCGACTAGATCTTCGATACCTGTGCTCCTTCCATATGAACCCGTGACCCTCCTGCTTCTTGAGCATCCAGGCCCATGACACCTCTCTGATCTGCTCCTGGAGGTACTTGCAACGCTCCTTTCCATCCATGAGGTACTCGAAGCGACCTGGATCATTACAAGGGGGTTCCATTTTTAAATCAAGTAGGGTTGCTTAATCAAAGTTGTAGTACTACCCAAACTATGCATGTTTCATTATCCAACCCTAGCCCTAGCCGGTGTGTCTTGCTTGCGGGCAACGCACAATTGCGCTCCGCCAAATTCGAAATTCACGCGACTGCGTTGACCCCCAACGCACTCGAAATTTACACTGCTCAAGTGCCGCAACGCAAACAAATTTATTTTTGCTGGAGCAGCGCAAATTGAGCAACGCACAGCTGGAGCAACGCACTCACAGCTGGAGCAACGCACACTCTGCTGGAGCAACGCAATCTGAGCAGCGCACAGCTCAAGAGCAACACACAGCTCAAGAGCAATGCACAGCTGGAGCAACGCAATCTGAGAAGCGCAATCTCATCAGCGAACTGCTGGACAGCGCACACTCTGTCGGAGCAGCACAATTGAGAGCAGCGCAATTGAGAGGAGCGCAATCGAGAGGAGCGCAATCACGAGCAGAGCAGGAGAGAGGAGCACAATCGACAGTAGCGCAAGAGAGAGCAGAGCGAGAGAGAGGAGCGCAATTGAGAGGAGTGCAATCGAGAGCAGTGCAATTGAGAGCAGAGCAAGAGAGTGGAGCGCAATCGAGAGGTGCACTCACTCTGCTGGAGCAGCACAATCAAGAGCAGCGCAATTGACAGGAGCACAATCAAGAGGAGCGCAATCAAGACGAACGCAATCTACAGGAGCGCAATCGACGAAAGTGCAATCAACAGCAGCTCAATCGACAGGAGCGCAATCAAGAGGAGTGCAAATGACAGGAGCGAGCACTCTGCTGAAGCAGCGCAATCGAGAGGAGCGCAATCGACAGGAGCTCACTCG